CCTCCTGCCTCGCCCGTCCATGATGTTACGGGTCATGCCTCGCCTCTCATCGCCGGCGCCTCACCTCCTACCTCGCCCGTCATCAAGGGTTCAGCTCTTGCCTCACCCATCGCCGGCGCCTCCCCTCCTGCCTCGCCCGTCCATGATGTTACGGGTCATGCCTCGCCTCTCATCGCCGGCGCCTCACCTCCTGCCTCGCCTCTCATCACCGGCGCAGCTCCTCCCTCACTCACCGTCGCCGCTCCCGTTCCTGGTGCTACTTCCTCGCCCGCACCCACCCAGGCTACTGTTGCCACCAAGGAGAACAAGAGTCGTCTCGCTCCCCACAGAAAGCTACTCGCACAGAGAGCTTCTAACGAGATGAACACCGAGGCTAGCCCCTTCGTGCCCGCTGGATCTGCATCTGCTCAACCTGGTCTTGCCATCGACACTTCTTCAACTTCTACTCAGCCTACCGCTTCTGCTGGTGGCCCTCAGCCCACCGCTTCTGCTGGTGGCCCTCAGCCTCCTTCTGTCATGACCGCCACCACCATTGACAAGGGCAAGGGCATTGACAAGGGTGAGAGTGGTGAGTCTGCCGATCAGAAAGACAAGACTATCAAGAGGCTCTCGGACCGTGTCGCGTTCCTTGAGGGTCAGCTCAACGATGCACGCACTGGTAAGCCCTATACACCCTTCTCTTACATTTCGTTTGCTAATACAGACAGGTCCCTCGGTTCCTTCCGACGACGGCCGTCTGCGCAATGTTCTCACGGCACTGCGCCAATACGATCTTGACCACAGAGCTTGCAACGACTGCTCCATCAACTTCAACTCGCAGTTCAGAGGTGTAGTTGACGACATCAACTATCCCGAATTGATCTTGATCTGCAACAAGTGTGGCAACGAGAAGTGTCGCTGGAACTGCTAAGCCCCGCCACGACTCGGACTTTTGCTGCCGTTGGTCAGACCGCTCGCACAAGTCAAATGACATCAACATTGTAAAATAGACACAGAGCATTTCAGCTCCAAGGAGGAGACGATGGTAAACAAATCAAGAGAGTTCTACATACATTCTGTATTCCTGTGCACATGTCTTTCCCCTCGTGACCTCATGTTCAATAGCCACAAACGACAATCACAAAAGTATTCAACTCTCAGCTGCATTAGTCCGTCCTCTGGGGCACGGTGGGGAGTCTCCTATTCATCAAGACAGACATTGGACAATTTGAACGATCGACCAGACGAACGACATAGCTTATCCCTCGGACAGTGCAACGGAGCACCTTCCTCTTGCAGTATACCATGCACGAGTTCAGGAGAGGTCGTCAGCTCAGATATCTCAAACCCTTCATCGAGTCAGAAAACATAAACCAGGTATAGCAATGAATACTATCTGCTGTGTGAGCGCTGTACCTCTCTGAGCCCAGCTCGAGACTTGGGGCATGGGCCAGCACTGTTGTCACCATCACTGAATGGTCTCCCAGCCGGGGCTGCAAATGAATCTTTAGGTCTAGATATGATGATCTGGAGAACCGTGTACCAACTCTGATCTATTTGCTCAATGGTCTCATGCAACGCCCGAAACAATACCACCTTACTACCACAGGCTTGGTCAATACCTCGAGTATCTTCTGTTCAGATCAGTGCTGTATTTCTTCACATACTCGTTGGAATGGGTCTGATGCGAGAGCAGGCGAGGACATGTAGGGTGACTCGTGATGAAGCCAGGAACGATACTTCCGCCATTTTATGCGATCGTTTTTGGTACCATTGCGGCGGAATCTCAAGCGTCGATTGTAGTCCAGACAAGGTCCAGAAGTGTCTTGGTTTGTTCATAGGATCAGGGCATGATCTCTGAGAGGATATGTTGATAGTGTCTCTGTATAGTTGACTAGACGTGGAATCTCAGACATTCGAGGTCCCGCTATACCATGAGATGAGGAATGTGTTACCTGCTTGCCATGCGTGTCTGAGTACTGAGAGAGAACGAGGCTAGAGGAGTCCTTTGCCACTGCAAACGCTTGTGTAGTTGAGATGATTGATTGCTGTTGACAAAATCTAACCTGGAGTCGTTAGTGTTCGACTAAGAGATGATCCAGTTCCGGCTGAAAGGGAAAGCATAGAAATATTTACATTGGCGAAGGGACACTTTTGCTTGATGGAAGTCAAGTGTCGCCGCTGGACAGTACACATAAAAAAGGGGCTCGCATAAAAGCAGCATCATCGGTGTTTACTAGAAGAATGGTCTTGTCTCACAGGGAGGGGGCCAACGTGGTATGTAAGATCGGATCATTCAAAGAAACGATACAAGGATGTACGGCGTGGCTGACTTGGAACTGTTTCAATCGATTGTCAAAAACCTCAAGTTGCCAGGCGATGGACATGCAACTGGCGCCCATTGAGTTCGGGATTTCCAAAGTTAAGCTCAGAACAGAGTTGGAAGGGGACTGACAGCAGGGGCGTGGGTACGGACAGAGAAGAGCGCGTCTTGACTTGATCTCTCTCCGCAATAAAAACATCATATGCAAGAAGGTGGAACACCTATTCTTCAAGCGCTTGGAAACCATTCGGATGGCTTTCATTATGACACCTCGTGGCAGGCTTCCAGTCGGAGTTGAAATGACAGCAACCGCAATCTTTCTCATGGCATTGCGAGCCTTTGTCGGAACAAAGAGGGCTTCCAGGTCGAAACAGGCAAAGAAGAACCAACAACGGCCCAGGTGATGTCATTACCCAAATGTCGAAGGTTCCAAGACAATTTGATTCGAGGTGTAGAGCTGATGTGTCGGATAGTCATGAAGACAATATACGTCTCAGCCCATCATCCAAGGGTGTTCGTAGGCTCCGCACAACTCTTCATCGTCACAATTCAAACTTCATAACTTCTTGTAAGTAGCGTTGGCTGAATGAAACACGACCTGCCGTGTTTTACATTTTCAAACTTCAAAGCGCAATTGTCGTGAGATCGACGGCGTGTTTGTAAACCTTCAGTAGGGTACGGTAGTGGGCAGTGCTAGCTCGACCTTACACTGACATGTAATGCTACTTGAGAACGGAGAGGATGAATTTGTAGCATTGGTGCCAGGTGGATGCAACAGAGGACTTGCTGGCTGGGGTCTGCAGCAACGGAACTCGATCGAGGACATGGGGTGCTATGCAGACAAAGGTCTTCGATGCGGAGATCGTTGCAGTCGTATGCGTTGGCCACTGCCTTGATGACACGAAGGATATCGACAGGGCGTCGACCTCTTCAATTTCAGGAGCGATCTGCTGCGCAATTGATATACACAATTGTCAGCAGGAACCACCGACGGGCACTCACAAAAGCTTGATGGTGGCTTTTTGTTGAGAGTGTTCATCGAAGTGGTGCCGTTCTCAGAGCTTGTCGGGTTGTCTCTTCAAAGATCGATTGTCCCTTGAGTATAAGGAGACAGGACCAGCGATGTATTCAGTAAGGTTGAACGTCGAACACCAAGCATCACAGCGGCAGGTTCTGTCCCTAGTCTCAATATTGACAACCTTTGTTTTGAGAATACTGATGATCGACTAGGAACTTGGCATCATCCAGATAACACCCCGAGCAAGACCGGGCTGAAACCCCTCGCTGAGATACTCAATGGAGCAGTGATGACGACAAGGAAGGTTAGTTGAGGTATGTCCGACCAACGCAATGCGCCGGTATAGGACACGCATGTGGATAAGGACTCAAACTGGTCAGCGTTGTCCAATTCGAGCATGTACATCGTTCGTTGTCAAGAACGTTGATGGGAGTCGATCGATCTGGTACAGACTGGGCAATAGGAACAGAGGGTCTGAATCAAAGCATAGGATATTGCCATTGGTAGTCCATCTTGAGGTGTCTGTCGGACTGTTGATTCTTGAGTCGACTATCCCACAAGAAGAACACCCGACAGGCAACCGAATGGACATTGACGTAATGATTATCGGTCATTTCCACGAGGTAAGACCTTTTGTGTTCGCTGTCCTTGGATAGAAATGGAGAGGAAGAACAGCAAACGAGATAACACCAATGCGAAGACAAGCGGTGTGTTGTCATATCTGTGTCTGCATTGTCGCTCGACCAACTGCGATTACGGGATAGTCTTGTCTTGCAAGGGGTGGTCCTTGTGAAGGGCTGCTCCCTACTCGGAGACCGCCAAGACTTTTGGCTGTATGCACAAAGGGTTCAGCACAGGATTACGTTTCTCATTGAGTATATGCTGTATTCTCCACACTTTCAAGCGCGACTCTCAAGCCCACCAACCACAACCATGAGCAGGTTCGCCGAGCTTCGCCAGTGCGCTAGCTGCGGCAAGCACAAGGGTCGCACCGCCTTCTCCAAGTTCCAACGCAAGCTGGGTTTCTATGCGCGTTGTCGTATCTGTGTTGAGAAACACTCCGAGGTTGGCAACAAATTGCATACATGCGTAATGCAAGCTAACACTATAAACAGACTGCCCACTGGGGTCGTGTACCACGCCACTTGGGTGATGGGGACATCATCAGACTCAACAGATGGAGCTGGTTCGTCAAACCATGCGTATGTACCCGTCACGCAGAATCTCGGCGCGGCTCAGGATTGACACATCAAGCAGTACACCACCGGAGCTATCAAGAGAGCCAAGCGTGAAGACGCGACCAACGATTGGGACCCTAATGCCGATTGGGGCATGTAGAGGGGACACCAATCTGACCAAGCCGCAGTAGAATTCCATCACGTCTACTTTGCCCACGCGAAAATTGTTGCACTTCATCACTCTCCAGCCAGACATCGACCACTCTTTGAGAAAGGTGGTTTTGAGTAACCAAGTAATGCAAACCTTTTCCATATTATAAATCGAAAGTCCCGTAGTGATTGAAATCGATGCAAGATGTGACAGCCAGCCCATCACCTCTTCGGTTGGACTGGTGGCACCCAAGGGCATCCCATGCTCACACATGTTTACTAACCATGGCTGACCTCGGCCTCTGGGATGTGGTTGCTACTTTGACATATGCGACTTAAGCCAAGTAAGTGGAAAACTTTTCGGCCACGTACAGATGGAAGGACTCCCTTTTAAGAAAATAACATAAAATTAAATGCGATTGCTTCGAAAGTGCAAGAACTTTGTCTTTGACCCCAAGCACCCACCGAACATCTTTGGGGTACAACAGCCTCAAGATCGCGATGTAGCTAGTCAGATTAGTCTTGCAGCTCATTTTGATGCAAGATACAATGAGCTGCAATATGGGAGGTGGTCCTTCATCGAACGCAGGCTTCGATATCGCATCAACGTGTTCGTAGGCTCACCCCCTCAATCTCTCAAGCCCCATGCCTTCGAAAAAACATCAGTGCCTGGTGCGCAGTCTCAGACCAAAGGGCAAGGAATCAACTACACCTAGACAGAGACTCACGGAGTAGTGTCGCAACTTATGTCAACTTCCGGCTTCAACCATTTCCCAACGACTATCGCATCCAAATGTACCACATGTCAGGGTTCATGAGTGGGGGTCAGTCATGAGCAGGAGGGGAGGAAGACCAGCTCAGCACTGCGAGTGGCGCCGGGGCTCACAGTGCTCTGCGCGTCGTTGGCCACACCGAAGCCCTTGCTGTGGTGAGCACCGGAGAGAGGCGATGTGGGCGTAGTAGACAGCCGGGAAGAGAGGCGATGTGGGCGTAGTAGACGGCCGGGACCGAAATGAACTCGCCGGCTCAGCTAACCAGGTTCCAACTCAGTAAACTGGCGCATCTAAATGTACCACATGTCGTGGTTCATGACTGTAGGGCTAGCCATGGGCAACAGAGGAGGGAAGATCAGCTCAGCACGACCCGCGGCGCTGGGGCTCACAGTGTTCTAAGCGTCGTCGGCGACACCGAAACCCTTGCTATAGTGAGCACTGCGTAGAGAGGCGATGTAAACGTAGTAAACGGCGGGGAAGAGAGAGACTAGGGTGGTCGCATGGATGTGCTAGTAGGAGTGCTTGTAGATCGCGGTCTGGATCTTCTCGTTCGGCCACGAAGGCTCGTTAAGCAATTAAGCAGGACGTTGTAGTTGACAAGGCGAGCTGTGCCCTTAATGGCCGCGTGGGCGCAGAGGTAAAAGTCGTTCTCGTAAGGCTATGTGACTTCAGTCTCGACGAGGGTGCCTGGAAGAGCGTCGTTGTTCTTGTCGCCGCCGCTTTGAGAGAAGAAGCGCACATGGTGGCGCTTAGAGGCGATGATGACGAGGAACTTTGGAGTGTTGCAGCGCTTGAGGAAGGCATGAGTGGTTCTTGTGATCAGCTCCGGTCGCGACGAAGATGCCTGGACGAGCTCGCTTGGGAGCGTGAGCACAGCCGTTGGAGTCATCGTCATAGAGTAAGGTGCCCTCAGTGTCGCCAAGTTTGCTGGCTCGGTTGTTGCTGTTCTCCTGAAAGGCATTGCGTATACTTTTCGGACGATGCGATAGGAAAAGTATACGGAGCGGCAACTAGAAAGGACCCCGGCCAAGCAACCACATCATGAGTCATGAACCATGTAGGTGAATGTACAGGATGATTTGTTGACGATCATGTTGCTTACACGAGACATGAAGAGGATATGGAGCAGGGATTGATTATGTCGACTCGAAAACCGATGAAGCCTCTAGGCTGTTTGAGCGAGGGTCTGGCTTATTTGCGAGGGAAAAAGTTCTCCTTGAACAAGAAGATGTCGATCCCAAGAAGGCAATGATTTAGTTGTTTGAGAAAGGTGATATCAAATCGAGAGGGTGTAGGTCTTAGATAGATTGGTTCTCGAAGTGAACAAACTTTGTACCGGTATCGTGAAGTTAGCGCGTGGTTGCTGCGAAGCTTTCTTACGCTGTACAGGTGCTCGACTTTATGAAGATGGTGATGATGCTAATGGTGGTGGTGGTGGTGGTGGTGGTGGTTATTCATACTTAGCAACGAGGTACACTATCGTTCACGGCGAATCGAGTTCTTCACTAGCGAGAAGATTATCAATCGAAGATATAGATGGCTGCGTAAGGCTCGCAGAGCAAGAGGATTGTATTTTGGGGAATGGCTCAACGTTTAGCGAGAACAGCATCAACATAAGGGCTCGGTGTGCTACCTTGGCTGTGCGTGGCTACTAGCAAGGGACATTCAGAATATGTTCGGCCCCGTTTTGGTTGATGCATGTGGGGTCTGCCATTTAGAATCAGCCAAGCAACGACAATTTTGCTATACCGGGGCAGCTCGTTCGACTTTTCCTCCGGATCACTAGAGAGCAGAAGACAAAAGTGCGAGGATGCGCCAAAGTAATCAAGTGCCGAAAGCCGCTCTGGCAAAAGCTCTTTGGTGGTTGACAGCAACAGGTATTCGGGGGTCCATTGCCTCTTAGGGGGTTCCGTAGCATGCGGGGGTAAGATTACTCGAAGAAGACGATCATTATCGAGCCCAAGCACTCAGCGTAACACGGCCATCCTACCGTGTCCCGGCCCAGCACCCCTGATTCCATCGCCGTTATTCACACTCCGCACATCGGTCAGGCTCTTGAAGTCACTTTTAGCTCATCTGCCAGTTACAGAACTCAGAGCTGGCTGTCGCCCATTCCAATAGCCACCAGTCGATCTGTTTTCTACGAATTCGAACCATCGCACCGCATCGTATCGACACAATTCAAAGGCAACCTCTTACAACACTTCCGCGCCGTCCTAGTGCATGTTTGCATGAGCCAAATTCCCACAAGAGCTACTACAGACATTCGGCGCGCAGAGCTTCAGTAGCTACCGTTAGCGGTATCATAGCATCGTGTCTTCTCTCCATCCGGACAAGAAAGAGGCCAACCATGCGCCCACGATCACGAGCCGGTCTGCGACATTCATCTGGTGCAATCACCCCCAGTCAAGAACGGATGCTAGATGATTGGGAAAAGTCACTTGTCACACTGGCATAGTCCCATCGAATCCTGCAAAAGCGCAGGGACATGCTCGCCCCGCATGGTGAACCTGCGTCCAGCCTGAAGCTCCAAAGTCATCATCCCCAACTGAATCGACCTCTGCACCCCAGACACAGACCCTGCCGGCTTGACATTACCTTTCAGTCATATACCCACCAACTGGCACCTGCTTCACCTCACCGCCGAGGCATCATCAGTTCTCCTTGCCACGTTGGACACTGCAATTCACCAGCGCTCCAACCTCACTCCGCCAGTCTCGCACAAAAAAAAAACCCCCTATACTGCTGCTGGTGACAAGCACTGCAAGAAGGCCCAGATCCTGGATTGCGATACTTTTTCTGATGGGTATGGGCAACGGTGTTGTTGTGGGAAGACCAAGCGCTACTGCTAGTGCAAGCCTGGCACTTCTTCTCAGCGTGCGCGGTACACTCACGTTCAGGGTATAGTCTCAATAAATTTTATATGTGTAAAGAAGTTCAATGCCAAGTCAGACGGCTGGAAAAACACTGCCTCGCTCCTAGAAGGGTCTCAGCAACTTTCCTGGCAGATTCCAAGTCGACAATGCCGCTGTTGAAAGATTCGTCAAGGCCTTCGCTCAGATAGCAATGGGCATCACTTCCTCCTGCCATGATCAACTCTGCGATCCACTATCCAGCAGACCCCGGCCCTGCCAGCTTCACACAGGAGGCCTTCGCTGTAACAAGCACAAGCAAAGCCCCAGATCTTGATGTTCATTCTCATGGACAAGAATAGCGTGGTCTATGGAAAGATCAAGCGCTACTGCGAATGCAAGCTTGGCATCCCTTCTCGATGTGTCCAATACGCCCACGCTCAGAAGGCTCAACCTCAATACATCTCCAACGTGTTGATTACGCCTACTTTCAGAAGGCTCAGCCTTACAATACTCATGGCGCATCACTTCCTCCTACCATGATGAACCCTGCGATTCACTACCCATCAAACCCTGACCCTGCCAGCTTCGCACAGGAGGCCTTTACTGCTGCTGGCAACAAGCACAAGCAGAAGCTCCAGATCTTGATGTTCATTCTCATGGACAAGAACAGCGTCGTCTACGGCAAGATCAAACGCTACTGCGAATGCAAGCTCGGCATCCCTTCTCGATGTGTCCAATACGCCCACGCTCAGAAGGCTCAACCTCAATACATCTCCAACGTGCTGATGGAGTTCAACGCCAAGCTGGGCGGATAAACCAACACTGCCTTTACCGCTCAGGTCATCAAGGGTATTCTCGAGAACTCCACGGTCGTCATTGGCGCCGACGTCTTTTACTCTACTCCTGGTCTGAGGGGACCTTCTATGGCTGCCATGACCGTCTCGATGAATGTCCAGGGCACTCGTTACGCTACCGCTGTCGGAACCAACGGCTACCGTGTCGAGATGATCACCAACGAGAACATCAAGAAGCACATCACGTCTCTCGCCAGAAACGGCTGGATGAACAAGGTCGGTCAGGGCAAGCCTCCCGCTACCATCATGACCTACTTTCACGATGATGATTTTGCATGTTATGTTGATCAGGAAGTGATTGCTATGAAGAAGGCCTTAGGTGAATGTAACAATTCCCCAAGGTCGTTGAGATGACAGGAATGTTCTTCCTGGAAGAACATTGAGAATTGCACCATGTCGCACATCAAGGATAATCAACCCACAGCCGACGTATCTGTTATGCTATCACCATCGAGAATAATGTTACCATCCTGGAACGGTCACCGTTGAGGAGATTGAAAGCCGCATAATATCGTCTATGAAATACCTCCAGCACAGGAGAAATTTACTTTGGGTTTCTGAGCGACATCTAATCGTCATCACGCTCGCTTCTTCCCACATGGGCACTACCACGTCCGCCTATCGCACGATGGTAGCAATAAAAACAACAACACCCTTCTGGTGTTCACACCAAAATCAGAAGATGGCTGGCCATCGACAAAAAGCTTTGTACCAAGAACAAATATGATCCCAAGCCCCAGTCATAACAGTGAGGCACATTTGCCTTGATCAGGGACGGAAGCGATGGTTCTGAGGGAAGGTTCAGTGCCCATTTTTGGCGTGAGAGTCACCTGGAATGGTTGGAGTTTTCGATGGAGAAGGTGAAAAATGATATCATACTCGCCACGACTTATGCAATGGAACTTGATGGCAACCTGAACATTGAAGAAAAACAAGCAGGTAGCATTTCCCTCAATTCCCGTACAACGAACATGTATTCATCTAAGAATAACCCCACGGCTAAGACGGCATTCTCACACATAAAGGCACCATGATTGGCTGCAACGATGCCGCCAGATGGAGCCTTAGAATCTAGCTAGACTGCTGTACCCTTTCTTAGACGTCGTAGAAGAAGTCTCAGCTCCTTGACTCTCGCGTTCACCAGGGAACAAGACATCACTATTCGCTACGGTAATCACAAATAGCACACCACCCTGCCTTTTTTGGAAGTTCGCTCATGGAAAGCCAAAATGCAGCCAATCTCTGAACGAGAGAACAAAGGGACCTTTCGTTGTGCCTTTGGATTTCTTACGATACAAACGTTGTCCCAAAGTCTCGAAAGCGTATCGTAGTACCAATCACCAACTTTTTTGGGAGAAGCCTTCTCAGGTGATCTGTTCTTGCCATAACAGGACTCCAAACCGACTCTAGTGCCCAGAACCTATGCGTATCTGGTCTGATGGATATATCGAGAACCCCTTTCAAGACTTGCTTGCCCTCGACTGATGTTCTAGTCCCACCCTTTTGTGCTTGAGGATTTGTATGCCATGCCGTACACCTACACCATGGGTGTCTAGATGTATTCTAGTCTTTGAATTCATAACATCTGCACAGCACAAGCGTTTAGTCCTTGACTCTTGTTGTTATAACCTCATGAGATCAGGTACAAGCAGAATATTGCCTGCAAGAGAGAGGTAATCGCCCTACTCCACATCTTCCCGACACCGGAAGATATTCTACGATCAGTCACCGAGTATGTCGTGCTGGTGATGCTCATAGCATGCTTGTGTCAAATTGGCGTCTGATGAAACAGGATATATCTGATATTGGAGCCATCGACCCACAGTATTATCGTATGCAACCTATCGTTGTCGAGTTCAGTACGGGTCCCAGCTCATCACATCCGCTGGCTGGAGCAAAACTCCCATCGAGAAACTCAGAGGCTTCCTGTGACGATGTCCTTATGCGCGGAGATGATCAGGCAAAACACGATCCTCACACGACAGCACAACTCAAGCCAAGTACTGCCCTTTGCCGATGCGGTACTCTATGTATTCAAATCCAACTATGGCTCCAGTTTCGTTGAATCGCTTCTCTCGCAATCGTCAAGAAAGAGATCGCACTTATACAGCAAGATTATGAAGTCAGTGGAGCTATTCCTTTCGGTCAAAGGTGCGCTTTACCGGGTTCTCCTTCCAGTCGTCAATGTGCGCCAACTCTGCCAGATCAGTGTCTCGAAGAGAACAACACATCAATCAACTAGCATGTAGACCATTCGAACATCGAGAACAGCCACATCAAAAGATCATTTCCCGGTCAGCGAAGCCACTTCCAATCAACGTCTTCATTTCAAGGCCTGTGTTCTATCCGCACTATGATTGGTCTTCGTTGAATCAGTTAGCATAGAAACATCGAAATCAGTACGGTCGGTGTTGAGCCGCTCTCCCCGTTTTACTTCATGTCGGACAACAATTTTATCGGGGTACAGCCACGATGAATGGCGCCCGGGCTCTTGCTCAAGGTAGAAGCCAGGCCATGAACACAACGACAATCGAATTTGCAAGGGCAAATATGAATGGAATTGACGGGAAAAGGGGGCATCGAAATTCCTAGAGCGAGGCAAGCCCGAGCCTCAATCATAGAACCCAACAACAACTGCTCGGTTTGGTAAGCTATGCGATCGTACCATGGTTGTCGATCTTACAGTTGACGACGAGGACGACGTGTCTACCGTCAAGAACTAGCAGACAAATGTTCTGCAAAAACCCATGGAAACGTCCACTACACTCAACGATCTGGGGGTTACGTATCACACAGAGATGTATCGCACCCTTTCAGTCTTTCGGATAATGCCTGGTGCTTGAGGCCGCAAGAACGCATGCCGTGGTTTTCTCTTCCGGCGTTTCCAATACTCTCGGTAGCTGTGTGTAAGAGACGAGTGCGTCAATTCTATACTCTTGGCCAAGGCTGATTTTCCAACTTACTCTTCGTCTGATCTCCCCGACTTCTGACACTGATACTGAGTTGGGTTTTCTTCAGCTTCTGCGCAGAGCAAGAAGGATGTTGGTCGCGATGCATTGAGTGCCGAAGATCTTGCAATGGCCGTGATCCAACTTACTCTTCGTCTGATGTCCTCGACTTCTGACATTGATACTAAGTTGCGTTGTCTTCAACTTCTGCACAGATCAAGAGAAATCGCGCTGGACCAGTGTCCGCAGATTGAGTTGCATGTCCATCAAACCCCTGGCAATGAGGAGATTCAAAAGGTGGCACCAGATGCCTTCTTCTTGTCACGTTGCTGAGCTATGGCACACTTGACGTCGAGGATCAATATATTGACCGGCTGTTTGAACTCTGCTGAGGATCTTGCCCTTGCAGTCGAAACACAGTCAACTGTTTGCGACAATACGCTTTTAGACAGTACGGCTCTCTGACTCTTGATTCGGCAAAGCTTCGTTGGCCATCTGAAGATTGCTCGCGAATTTGAACCTCGTATTCATGGTATCCTTCATCAGCATAGGGCCGGCATCACCTCAGCGGTACAAAAGATTTGGAATGGCGTATGCTTAGAGCCCACATGGTATGTATTGTCACTGACTTCGAAATGGGTCGTTGTTCGGACAAAGAGATCTAGCGTTTGCCCAGGGAACTTTGTATCGAAGGCATCCCCAAGATGCTGCACGCAGACAGCATGATAGTACAGTGGCTATGCGCTGTCCATATATGGCGGTGCAATGAGAGGCGTTGTAGCACGGGTATCGAACCTTCATGCATCATAAAGATATAAGCGGCAGTAGGACACGAGCTAAAGATGAATTGAATTCTGCACCTACCTGCGCTGTGGGCCAGGCAAATTCCTGGCACGAGCTGAATGCTGACTAGATGACCCTGTCGCGTCCAGGAAAGAGTTCTTGCATTACCACTCCTGAAGACATCTGTCTCCAACGACATATCAAACATCAACAGAAGCTTCAATGCTATATTCGAAGTGTCATTCCCGTTTTCTCAAACTTGAACCATCGCTCTTCTATATATGGTTCTCCAACACATAACATTGACACAATGGGAGAAAGTAATGTGTCACCTCAAACTTAAATCTGCCTCCCTTGCAGTTTCCCAACTTCCTTAGATGGCGAAATATCGAAGTGGGGTGGTATAGTGCGCGATAACCAGGACTCTCTTCACGAATCCATGAGCAACCGCTGGGCAGATGCCTTTCACGGATTTCGTCTCAGAGCAAATGCCGGTGAGGATAATTAGTACTCACCATGAAGGCCCAATCCTCCCTTGCTTACCTCGATCTGGGGCTCCTATTGATTGAGAGTATCTCGAAAGAGAAGAGGAAAGTCCCTTGAGCGACATTGTATCGTATCGAAAGGTCAGTTTGTCCTTGCTTCATTAGACATTGCATTGACCGCCAACTTGTCATTGATCAGCTATAATGGTGGTCATACTACTCTTACTCTCGGCTCTGCTCCGCAGGCCTTCGGTTGCATTGAAGCCACCAATCTAGACCGACACAACTTCAGTCAATGTGGTGGTGCTGGGATCAGAGGCTCAAAGCACTACGACGAGCCTTCTGCTGCGCTTCGTGACTCTTATGCAGAGGTCATGCGACGGAATCGGGAGTACCTAATCCGATAAATGGACATCGGTAACACTCTTGGAGTGTTGATGTGAGAGCTCGACTCTCGTCTGCTTCCAGCCTTCATGGAGACTTCGTTGCTCAACCCAGGGCAGTCGGCTAAGGATGAGACCGCATAGCAGGGCTGGAAGTGTCAGAAGTAGCTTCGCATACTGTCTTCATAACATACCTACCTTTCTTTGCAGAACTCTTCTCATGCTCTTCAATCGGTCGTTAGCTTTCTACCGTGTACAATGGCTCATTCTCTGTTTCGACTGGTCAGTGATCACTGTAATACCTGGCGTTTTGTTGGGTTCAGTGCTTCGGTTCATATACATGGGCTGTGAAAAGAGGTTCAAGACGCGAATGAGTATCAATACTCTACAACCCGAACAGAAGCATAGTGCCTGCTTTTCAGACACAACTCAAAAACTCGTGTGAATGTAGCAGATACTTTGGTGGTTGATATGCACATGTTCTCGTTCATCTTTGACTGAAGTCGAGCCCTCATCCGCTGGCTCGAACGATCTGAGTATCCATCCGGCTTGACTACCGCCGCAGCGTGCTTCTGGTCACGGCAGTTTTGAGGGCTCTAGCATTGCAATAGAATATGAGAACATGGAGCACATGATGAGGCTGTACACGGGCAGTTTTATGAAATGCTTTGCGCTTCTACTTGTTACTGATAGAAGACCTAGACCCCTGGAGTCTTGAGTCGACCTGTGTCCTGCCTCCTCTGATTACACATCTCCTCCCTTCTCTCTTTCAATCTGTTGGTCGATAGACCAGGTCTTGTCGTCGCCTCTAGCAGTAAGAAGCCCATCCTCACTGTCCCCAATGGGAAGTGCTCTCGGGGTCCACAGAGGGAACATCCTCTTGAGTGGCGTGGTTGGCAGAGGTGTTGCTGGCGCGAGAGAAAAAACTGCCGAAGAATCTAGAGTTGTGCACTCTGGGGTCGCCAAGGATGTAGCCGAGGAAGAGACTTGTCTGATTGGAATGAATGTTGCGACACATGTCAATCAAGACACACAAGACGATTCTGAGGTGGTCCTGCAGATCGTCTGGGTACCCCTCGATGCGGGGGAGGGTTGTCTGGTCAAGGAAGACCAGAAGTTCTGCAGCTCTCATCATGATATTGGATAAGCCTTCGAGGTCCATGTTGGCCCTGACTAGAGTCATGGAGCGCTCCACGGGCACGTGCTCCTGCTGGTAGGCATTTGTGCTGAACCCGGCATGGCTAAGCGCATTGAGAGTCTCGTGAATATCTTCCAGAGCAGGCAGGTCGGCATTTTCGCTGCTGAGGATGTGTGCAATTCCAGCGGAAATGTCTTGGACGGCAGTGGCGAAAACTTGAGCTCTGGAGGTGCCGTGAGCGAATTGATAGTCGAATTGGGCATTGTCGCGGGAAGAGCAGTAGCGAACGCGACCGAGAGCAGGAGGGAGTCGGCGCTCGGCGCTAGGTAGGCGCGCATCACTGTTGTTGTTTGCGTTGACAGAGGGAGCTTCGGAGCGTCCGCCATCTGTGACGAATGTTGCTTCCTCGGGAACATCCTGGGAGATCTCGTGCAATGGGCGAAATGCATCACTCTGGCTGCTTGTAGACGAGTTCGAATGTCCAGCAGTAGAGGCTCCGGCGAACTCTTGAGTGGGCATACGCGGTTCGAGGACAGGGACAGGACCGGCGAGGCCGAGTCCACCACTCTCGCTGACAGTAGATGATGGTGCAGCAGCAGTGGTGGAACCCCCTTCGGACTCGTTGGCATTGTTCAAACCTCGGATAAGATCAGGCAACTCGGAGGCGAGGGAGCGAGGAGCATCAGCCTGCTCGTTGGTACCCGACTTTGTGGCGGCGGAGTCAACTGGCTCGACAGGTTCACTGACGACGGTCACTCCACGAATGGGCCGAGGCAACTCGGAGGCGAGAGCACGAGGAGCATCAACCTCCTCGGCAGTGACGGTGGGTTCTTGAGGCTCGTTGGCATTGGTCAAGCGGCGGATAAGATCAGGCAACTCGGAGGCGAGAGGGCCGAGAGCATGAGCCTGCTCGGTGGTAGAAGACTGCATGGCGGCGGAGGAGTTGTTCTCAATGAGAGTGTGGTCGTCAAACCAGGTTTGCCAGCCGCCAGGGGCTGTGGGCAGATCAGAGATCTGCGAGTGGGTAACGCCTTTCTCCTGGGTGCTGTGTTGAGAAAGAGTGTCAGTATCAATACCATTACCCCTAGTGAGTACAACATACCAGTCTTGGACAGTGTTATCATGGCCGGGGGTTGCAGCGCGGCTCGAGGGGCCAGCATGAGTTGAAGGGCCAGCATGAGTTGAAGGGCCAGCATGGCCGACAGCACCACCAAGGCACCAGTCAGCACGAGTTTGTACCCTGAGACTCTCACGAAGGGCGAGAGCAAGCTCTTCATCAACGCCATCACCGCGGAACAAGTCGGCAAGGGTTGTGATCTTGTAACTCTGATGAATGGCGATGGACATCTCGTCGTCGTCTTCCACTTTTGTGGCCAGGGACGACGAGTTGCCAGCGTCAGTGGGATTTCTGGGAAAGAAAGTCGCCAAACCTTGCCATCTGCCCTCCATCATGCGAACGTACAGACGCTTGGGAGACTCATAGACATTGTTGCGAAGGTCTTCCTGAGTGTGTTCGCCGATAACAACCAGTCTGTAGGTGGGCAAGCCACGCGAAGAGTGGTCAAGGTTGACCGCGTTGATGAGGTCGAAGAACTCCTCAACACTGAGTACAGTGCCAGGTCCGCTCATGGGGCGCGTGGGGTGGAGGTTTACGCTGAACGTCTGGCGCAGCGCAGCCGCGCGCGCGTCGACCAAGGGGACGTGGGGATAGTGGTATGGGGCGGCAGCGGCGATGGTAGCAGCCTCAACAGCACTCTGTGCAGCTGGAGGGGAATGAGCTGTAGTCAAATAAAATAGATGCGAGAGACTTACCAGAGCATAGAGGAAGGCCTTGGCACCACTTACCACCACTGTCGGGGAGATCGTTGATGCTGGGGGGTGTCTGTGCCATCTTTGACGTTGATGAGCAGTGATGATGACAGAGGAGGAGATTTGCGGGACTTGGTCTTAGATGGAGGAGGTTGTGTGCATTTGGTGGAGAGACTCGCGTCAAAAAAGAGTGGACGTGAAGCGAGAGTGAAGCGAGACCATCAACAGACAAGTTTTCCGACAACAAAAGCGAGTGACCGTGGACGAAGTGAAGTGATTCCGAGGCGAACACACAAAGGCCGCGCGCACCTTGTGACGCAACACGGTACGCACGGCCTTTGGATGTAATAATGAAGTGCAGCAGAATCAGCTCGCGGGAAGAAGAGAGTGCGAGATAATGATGAGACGCTTGACTTGGAGGACATTTCAACACAGCTGGGATTTAGTTTACCTCGAAGTTTCCCATGTACACAGCACTACAAACACGAGCGTTTGATCATGCAGGGTCATGCAAGCCCAACAACTGCCAGAAGTGATTCGGTGATATCCTTGCTTCTTGGAAATAGACATGGATTGACATGTAAAGCTCAGCACATTCAAGGAGAGGGATCGAATTTGCAGAGAATAAAAAAAGTAGTGAACCCACGAGAGCTCTCAGGACCAGGTGGTCAGGATGCAGAAGAGTGCATGAGCCGTACAGTATTATATCTTCATGGGTACCGAAAAGCATCATGTGCCCACAGATAAACGTCGAAGTGCTTGGTCGAAGTGATCGTGTGTTTTCGCGTATCGGTAAAGAATGCTGTCGAGAGATATGTGGAACAAGTCTCTTCTTGAGCCTACGGTGACATGGAAATGTATTCTGAGGTTCGAGTTCGGCCGCCTCTTAGACTCGTGACAAGAGACATCTGGATATCGCCAGTGGAGTATTGAGCACTTCGCGATAGTATACGTATCTAAGGCAACCATCAACATGCAAAGGACAGACGGGGAAGCAGCTCTTCACACCGAAAAGCACAAATTCGTCTCTAGCGATGAGACATGTAGCGGCATCGGTCGACAAGAATAGACTGGATGTTCCATCTCATCAAGTTGTTCGAAGCCTGTCAGTGTCGGTCGTCCAAATCTGAAGCCCAGGGGTGTTCCGATGCGGTCGGATCCCGTGACCGAAAAGCGTGCCGAGGTGTGGGGACTCTTGACAACGACCACGAAGCGCACCACACAACACAAGCTCCAAGAGTACAATAACTCGTCGACTGTCAGAAGAGGAAGGGCAGTGGGAAAAGGGGGACAAGTCGCGGCTGTCAGCAGAGGGCGATGGCTAGCATCAAACTCGGCGGTCTAAAGGAGATGGCGGGCTAAGATTTTCAGAACTCTGCACTGCATGCGATATGTCTATGCATGTTTAGTGTCAGTTCGCACTTTCGTCTGGGCCTCTGCCACGGCCGACAATCGTGCTGGAGCCCCCCCGAGCTAAGCTATTCATCCTCCTTGAGAGGCAGACGCGAATGCCTGTGGCGTAGATGTGTGGCTCCCTCTCCCACAGAACATATGGGCTTGATATGACGGGAGTTTTTTTGACCTCAGTACCTCACCAAGTGACATTGCCTCATCTCTGATGCTGAGGGCAGGCTTTGTTCGTTTGTCTTCTGCTTCTGGTTGGGCGGCCACATCCATGAGGTCTCGGTACGCAGGAACTCTGTTCGCATTGGAGTGACCGCGACTCGAACACCGAACAAAGGAAACTCAACCAGTCAGCCTTCGCCTGTCACCAGACTTCTATTCCTTCTTTTCTTTACACTGCCGTCACCCTACGATTACCACAACCACGTATCCGCTCAGGGGCACAAAACCCGCAAAGAAAGATCGCGTGCCAGCAAAGTGAAGATAAAGAGGGTTGCACATGACAGTCTTCGGGCTTCAAATGGATGCAGCAGCACCACAAAACGTGTCTGTATGTCGATCTTGAGATACACAAGAAGTCGTGAATCGATAGAATGGCAATTGCGTTTTGTCAAGAGTGTACTGTCTCTACCCCGTGATTATACTTTGAGAGCTAGAGATGAGACAAGAACGTTATCAAGGCAAGAGGGATACTAGTGCTGCAGACAACCTTCCACAAGGCCCAAAGCACAGAGCCGCTTGGCGACGACAGTGCTAGGACACCCAAAAGTACAAGAGATAGAATGAAGACATTGATGACAAACAAACATGCAATTATCGTTGTGTATCATTGGTCCGGCGGAGAGCCCTGAATTAACCACCGTTTCATCAGTCAAGTCAAGAGTCTCGAATCAGAAAGTCAAGCTCAACCCTGAGTGTTCAATTTGATTGCTCGAGTGCAGCACACACAGAGCCAACTCCAGACAGGTTCCAGCCAAGAAGACATCTGGTCCACAGCAAGATACCAGTCCAACGAGAAGGGCAAACAAACACTTAAGGAGAATGCCGACAAAGAAGAGAGCACTCCAGCTGCCTTGACCGAGAAGAAGGGCAAATCTGCTCTTTATCTTGTCAAGGCAGACAAGTATGACAATGCTACTTGCAGCGAGAAGCCGACTGGTAAGGGTCAGAACACACCTGCAGCATCTGAGGAGAAGGCCAGCTGCAAGATCTGCTACTGGGCCACACTCTCCAAGCCCAACGAAGTGCTCATGTCTAAGAAGGCTTTATCAATGTTGACAAGAATCTGTTAGCACTGATCATTTGAGTGTTATAAATACACCGTCATTCTTGGGAACCGAATGAAACCATGTTGTGCGTGTATAAATCTTCGAGTTTGAGCACGTTTCCCAGTTCATGTTATTGGGCGGAGCTTGCATTGCATCTCGCTTGGACGCGACAGAAGCAGAATGTCCTCAACTGTATAAAAACTGCTTGCCTTCTAAAAGAAGATAAACGCCATGGCCAATTGATGTTGGCCAGGGCGGTGATTTCGAATTATCATCTCAAGTGCCGTTTGGTCCAAGCCCTTGATTGTGTTCTAGTACATAAGACTGAATTCAAAACGGTTGTTTGGACAGGCATTATGCGAGTCAACAGCCATATGTTGGAACAGAGCAAAGCGTATGGTCTAACTCTTATTCTAGCAATCAACAACAGCGCATGTCGTACCGATTTTTTTTTTCTGGGAACAAGTTGTCATCGAGAGACTTTAAGTGGCTTTGCGGGTCTCGTTCCATCGGAATGATGAGGTGGTATAGGAATGTATAACACTTGGTCCAGCAGGGTCAGACCAGGGACATACCCGCTGTGCCATGCACAAGACCTCTGGCTTTCCTTCACTCGTAGCCGAAAGCCTTCTTGAAAATCTCAACTCCAATATTGTCAGCTTCACCTCGAACAATCTTGTCGAAAGTTTCTGTAACTCCTCGTAGAGCTTCGCCAATATGATCGCGTCATCGCGAAGGATCTCTTGCCATCCGTGTTCCAGTGCTGCCGTAAACATCAAGAGACCAGTCACCATGTCCGGGTAATGCAGGCAATGGTGGCCGTTCATTCCAGCAAAAGGGGAAATGTCGTCGAACTTGTGACTGACCTCTGCCTCGAGGGCAATACAGATCAGGGACATACCCGCTGTTCCAAGCTCAAGGACACGAGCTAGATCTTCAAGCGTGTAGAGACTGTCCCACTTCCACTCAATCGGCAGAGGATGACCTGCGAAAATTGTCTGTCTATGTCTCATGTGTATTCGAACCAAAATGAAACCTTCAAGGTATCTTGGAATATTGAACGTGCTATAGACATGTGCGCAACACCGCACACACTCTACAACTTTGCATGCTGGCTGAAGACCTGTCATGTACAAGCATTGGGTTGGTCGTGCTTTGAGAAACGAAATTAGACATGTGGTATTGTGAAACCAAAGCCACTTCGCTGTGCACTGGGCCTTGAAGAATACAAAATTCAGGTTATGGGGCGACGGCAAGCACGCAGAATGTTCACGCAACAAATGTACAAAATACGTTCAGGCAGAAGAGATTCGTTATTCGGACGCAGTGATCATTCTGTTTCACCCATGTCTCAGCTATGGCTGGTGCTCGATGAACTGACCACGGCTCTAAAATACATGATGCATTGCCAACTCACGCATCAGTCCATCCCGTACTGAGTGTTGGCCTATGCCTTCAAGGTCTCAGAGCGATCCCCAAACCATGTCTGAGTCAGGCTCAAACACGTCCAAGGCCCAGCGAGAGACAGGCTTGATCTTAGGCTTGCCCTTGGCGTTATCCTTGGCCTTGCCCTCAGCCTTGCCCTCAGCGTTGCCCTTGGTCTTGCCCTCAGCCTTGCCCTCAGCCTTGCCCTTGGCCTTGCCCTTGGCCTTGCCCTTGGCCTTGCCCTCAGCGTCAGAAGGGGATGCTGCAGCCACCAGAGAAGAGGTATTCTCGACCATACGCTCGAGGGTAGAGGACACTTCAGCCAGATTCTCGAGAGCAGAGGACACTCCAGCCAGATGCTTGAGAGTGCGAGCCAAGAACGGAGAGGCCTCGAGAGCATCAGTGATGAATTGGTCAGCCTTGATGAGCATGGCGGCATCCTTGACGATGTGGTCGAAGACGGCGTCCACGAATTTGTTGTCCTTGTACTTAGCGCGGAAGAGCTTGTCCAGGTTCTCGAAGAAGCCAGTAGTGTGCTGGTTTGTCCAGATGATAGCACCAATGCCGTTGATGATCTCGGTAGCAAGGGCGGGGAGCACGAAGAATTCAGCAGCCTGGTAGGCCGAGACATGGTAGTGAATGTTAGACTTGGAAAGCTCCTCGTCAGTCGGGATGGGATCGATGGAAATGTCGTAGGAGAAGCCGATGTCAAGGTCGTAGGAGAAGCCGTAGAGGTGCTTCACTGCAGCGATGATTCCATCCTCAGAAATGTCACACTCGCTGAGGTCCCAGTTGGGAGAGCCCTTGTGAACTAGGTCAGCGTTGCAAGACACCATATACACAACAGAACTTACAGGTGCGGCGCGATCGCAGTCGCTGAAGTAAGCGCAGGCGAGAAGGAAGACCTTGTGCGCGGCGATGATGCGGCCGGAGCGCAGAGTCAGAGTGACATCTGAGTGCTCAGCGTTGTCGAAGAACTTGGAATGGGCACTAGCCAATGTCAGCTGGGGTTGGCAAGGCGGTAAGAAGGCGACTGACCCCATGACTGTTGATAGACACGATGAGTCGAGGCGAATGTGGGATCAAATGTGTTAGAGAAAGGTCTGTAGCTGGTCAAAATCAGACGAGGAATTTAGACGAGCCGAGTGAAAGATGGTGTTGACATACGCGTCCAAGCAAACAACACAAGATGGCGTGAGTGAAAGCTGCTCTGAGAGAATGGAGTTCAATGCCGATTCACCCCGTCCTCGTTTTCGAGTCACAGGGAGAAGGCACTCCGGAGGTCTCATTGTATGTTGAACACCTTATTAATGGTAGACCTAACGAAAGGCACCATCGTCTAAGGCATTGGTGTGGAAAAGGACTGCTCTCATAAATCTGTTCCGGCTGGTTGCTCAGTATCGCCGGGCGAGATTGGGCGCTTAGCGTGAGTCGGAGCATCTCGCTAGATCAAGCGTTCAGTACCTCCGTGTTTTTTTGTTTTTTTTTTTTCTTTTCTTGTTTTGATATGCAAAGTGAATTTGATGGATGATGTTCGCGAATGTTGTGGTTGGGTGCACGGGCTTGGCATGACTCATGACTCAAGCACCCGCATCCCTCACTCAACTTCGGCGCCTCTTGACTTGCGCCATACGCTGCCATTCGATGCGTATACTGACAACCCCGCCAACCTACGCCGACGGCCTGGATCAAGGTCCCTTTTCCTCGTAAGTCTCTTGTTCATGTGTGTTGACTCGATGTTTTTATTTTCGGACGCTGACGATCAGAGGTTCAGTTGCACTCGCAGCTGGTGTGTAGAGGTTGGCTCTTTTGGGTGCCTGCGGGTGCCAATGCCTTCAGATGTTCGGTGCCTTTTGTTAGGTTAACCGCTCAAAGCATAAGGTCTTCAACAGATAGTGGGACGTTTGGGGAGCGATTTCACGCTGTGACTCGAAAACGAGGACGGCGGTGACTTGGCCGAACAAATGCTCTTTCCCATTCGCTGTTGTTTGGAACTCGATTTTTGTGTTTCCACTTATCGGCAAGTATGCATCCGCGAATAGTTGTCCGCTCCTTCTCTGACGAATGCAGAAGTGTCGTCGTCAGCTCTCTCTCTGCACTCTCCTCATCTCTCGCATCCTGATTCTCATCGACTCATACCAGCATCGACTCATGACAGTATCCAACAGTTGTGCATCACAACCTACCTTCGACGATTAGATTATCAATCTACATCATACGCATCCCCTGTTGCATGTTCTTCCATCGTTGTCTGGAGCAATTACCCTGTCTCTTTTCTACAGGCCGCCATCTTCTGCATCGTTCGAATTTACATTTTCATCAGTCCACTCACCCGCCTGGGTCGGAGAGTTTCTCGTCGTATTGCATGTCCACTGCTGCCCATACTCTGGAAAGCCGTCGTTCTTTCATCATGGATTCTCGTCTCCAAGGCAAACATGACGAACAGCACAACGCCATCAACAAACGCAAGCGGCCAGATGGCACTGCTATCCGGCCAATCCTTCTGGACGACAGCTCCGACGGGGAAGTGAAGCAAGAGCATCCTTCGGTGCGCCCTCGCATCAAAACCTCCCCCTCTTCGTCAAGCGAGGAAAAGACAAGAATCGTCAGTCTGCTCTTCGTCCAACTCATCATAACATTACTGACGTGCTACGCAGACGCCTGATGCACATACACAACCAGAGCTCAATGCCGCATAGAATCCGAGCATACGACTCTGTCCAACTTGCGGTGAGCAAGTTCGTGCAACCCATGTTGAATTCCTTCAGCACGTGGCGACGTGTCTCGCCACGACAGAACTCAGAATGACATGCCCAAACTGCTCAGGAGAGTACAGCGGTAGCGCACAATTCCTATCGGACCACCGCAACAGCTGTATGGCGCCAAGTCCATCGAAGTCTGGTGCTCAGGTCGACGTCACTCCCGATGGTCAACACGTCTCTACTCCTCCGCCTGACCACGCGACCTCCTCCAGTCCTGCAAAGCCTCATCGTCCAAGACCTCTCGTCGACTACCCACTCACAGACGAGGAGGACGACGACGACGAGGACGACCAAGATGGCCTCCCCATCGCCATGCGTTCGAAGTCCAAGGAATCCAAGAAACCCATCATATACGATGATGATGATGATGATGATGATGATGATGACGAGGTAGTTTGCATTACCGACACTGAAGAGGACTCGGGGCTTCCGCCTTACATGGCTGAACTGGTTGATCTGACTCAAGACCAAGAGGGAGATGAGGGTAATTTCGACGACCATGATGCAAAGCAAGAGACATTCGAAGAAGTCGCTGCCCGCTTCCTCGGAATGGCGCCCGAATGGACTGTCCGTTATCTGGAAATCTTTCTTGCCTGCATAGCCACACCACTGGCAACCAAGAACGTCGTCATTGATGCCGAGCTTCACAGGATCCGTCAAGCGCAACTTCGTCTTCTCTTTCTGGAGCTCCCAGACTTGGATCCTGCTCATGTTGTGTCGTCATACGGTGGTGCAGATAGCGAGCCTTCCCACCTCATGAACTTTCCAACACACACCACTCCCAATCCCCATGCGCCAAACCAGCACATCGCTGACCCAGATAACCCATCTACAGCCTTTGTCATTGATGCGAACGGTGGCCCCCAACGCATGATGATGGCCGATCGCCTTAGCGTCCGTCTGAAACGCCCAATCGACCGAAAAGGATGGACGCCAGAATCGGAATTGACTCCCAACGCTGTCAAGATACTTGTCGACCTCGCCTTCCAGACTCTCGACCACTCGAAGTCACGCGTTCTATGCTTGTGGGGAGAGTCACAGTTCGAGGCCTACAAGGAAAGATACCCTCGAAGTACACCAGTCACGCTATCGCAAACTCCCATCTTCAAAGGCAAGACGCACGCCTTTATTGAGTGGGAGCATGGCTCGCGCCACGTCGTCCGTCGATTGGTGTTTGTCTTCTTTCATCCAGAGGCGTTCTTCCATGGCCTTGGGGGCGCTGGGCCCAAGTACATCACTCTCTTCAACGATCATCTCAAGTTCATCCGTGCATTCTGCCACCGCCCTGAGGTCAACACCACCTACTTCTCAAAGTATTCCAAGGCACCAGCTTCGTCTGCCTCCTCGAAGTCCAGGTGTCCTGTCAATCTCGCTGATCTCACTGACACTCTGATTCATGGCCGCAAGATGGGCCCAAACGCTTTCGAAGGACAACACATCGATGATTTGTTGCCACACGACAGAGCCGCGCGTCAGTGGAAATTCCTTCTCGACTTGTACCAGTTAGAAAAGACCTCCAATGCACGTATCCGTAAAGAGCAAATCCCGCACTCGTTGGTATGCAACATAACTTGGCTGACCCTGTCCTGTTCACGCTTCGCTAACTTTACTATAGCGTTACCTGCTCGATCGAGCCTATACTGGCAGCGGAAAGGACCCGACTCTCATTATCCACATGCTCTCCAATGCGTTTATCTCGACGCCGAAGACCAATGCGCCCTTCCAAAACACCTTTTTACAGGTGCGCATGAACGCATTCAGGGTCAGTCACAAGCCAGGCGCGAAAGTGGTCTACCTCCAGCTCAAGACCAACGTCGTCTGGCACGACGAATGGTTGCGGATGTCGTTCAACGCGTTGGCCAATGCTAGGGTCAAAGTCAAGGACCTGTCCGACCGAGGCGAATGGCTTTTGGACAGTATCATCAAGAGGATTGCGGATGCCGAGCTCAGTGAGGCCATCAACGAACAGCAAGGCGAAGAGTTGAACGCGCTGCTCGTCACCCGCCGCAAGGGGACTGGTTCCAAGCTGCATGGCAAGGGCTTCGTTGGTCAATCTGTCACGTATGTCGAGCTGCTCAAGGCTGCTCGCAATAACCGCTTCCGTCCAAACACTATCGTCGGTCATAGGCCAGTTGTTGCAGCCTATGAACGTGGCGGCTATGCCGGAGTTGTTGATGCTGTCCTTCCTTTCGTACACTTCTCACATGTCGATCGCCTCACCGATACCGAGTTTGACAAGTGGAGAACAGTCCACCCAAAGTTCACTTATTAATAGCCTCCGCAGCCTATTCGTAGCCTTAGTTCTGTCAGTGGTCGTTTGATAGTTTCAGCTGCTCAATTCATATTGCTCTTACCCTGTGTCCCTTCGTGCCAACTGTCAATGTCATATGTGAAACAAGACGCCACATTATGCAGATGCTGGCTGCGGTTCCAGACCATTGCTCGTCTGATGGCTCTCGCTCGTTCTATCTAATTCGATTCTCATCCATCAAGGACAAGGAGGAGTCGACTTTCAGATAGTATTACAGTAGATAGGAAAGACCAAAAACACTATTCAAGTCCGTTTTCTGCCCCTCTTGACTCGAAGATGATTTTGACAATACAGTCAAGTCGAGTCTCCCTTTGAAATCCACTTGCTCTGTATACTGTTGGACGCATACTTGCAGTTAAGCTCATATTGCATAGAGGAAGGAAGCACAAACATGCGGCCTTGAGGTTGAAACTAGAGATACGTTTAGAGAGGGTAGGCAAGCGATATAATGACTCTCACTAACGATCGGTCTGATCTCGGGGTCGACATGGGTTCTTAGAGCCATATCCAATCCCGTCGCAAAGTGAGAAGGGCACAAATTCATCCAGCAAAACCAGCCCTTTGAAACAGCTGCTCTCGAGATGACGAATCTACAACAACAATACGTTTGCACGCCACATTTGATTTCTGGTTCTGCCCGTGCATATAGATGTTTGATGTAGCGTTCTTAGTGTCCTTTCAGGACATCTTTCGCGAACAGGGTTTGGGCGTCACAGAGATTCGATGTGGCACCTTTTCATCATGGATTCACGTGATATCTGCTCGTGCCTTTGATAGTGTTCTGTCGTATTTGGATTTCTTCCTATGGATGGTGTTCTAGTGCTATAATCTCGCCATGCCGTCTCCATGCATGGGATGATCGGGCGCAATGTCGCTGTTCATAGACAAGTTGAAATACGACCCCTTCATGTAATCAACAATATGATCCCAGCTCCTGCATTCGTGAGGAATTCCCTGTCCAGACAGTCAGTGCAAGAACTCATTTGAAAAGAGCACCTACGGCTTACCCAACCATCGACAGCAAACCTGCTACCATCCTCCTCTTTCCGTGGCCATTCCAAGGCCATATCACCTGCACATTGCAGCGTTTGTCGCAGGTAGTCGAAACAGTGCGATACGTGCTCGCCAGAAGGTCCTAGTAAACCATCCACCATGGGTCTCAGACTTGTGCTGTTGCTCATGACTCCATCAATCAATAGCCAGTAGTATTTGCGTAATTGGCCTAGACAATGCAATTGATGAAACAAGGATACGGAATAAATTTCGCCATAGAATGTCTTTTCGCCTGGTGGCAGAGAGTATCTTTCTGACTCGGGTACATAGACGAACCCGCGGCCTTCGGGGAGGAGCGCGTTCCAAGCTGCGTCAGATTCAGGTGATGGACGAGATGCATAGAGAGAGTTGCGCTCGAAGATCTGGATGTTCATGGGCACTGAAAGGTTATCAGCGATGACGAAGTCATGATAGACGGATTTGCTGACTCGGTGGTGCAGGCGACTTGAGTATGCGTGGGAAGAAGAGGCTGTCTTCGTGCGATTTCCAACTCTTGAACGCTATGAGGGCGAGGAAGGCTAGGAAGAAGGTAGCAAAGACGGCCAGCACACGCTTCAGGTTCGCATTGGCTCTCTTGAGCTTTTCTAGCTCAGCTTTCGTTGTCTGTATAGATTCATCGAGCAGTCTGTCCTCGTCTTCAGATACAGGATTGTATATCGATGAGGCTTCGTCGCGTCGACTGAAGATGCTGAGCAAAGACATACGGAAGGTTGTGCGAGCTAGCAGCGGAAAAAGCCTACAGGCAAATGTACAACTTTTGAAGGGCCGCTAGAAACCTACCGAGGCTCGTTCTTTTGGTCTTTCATTCCACCAAGGTCATGGCGGTTTCAGGACGTCGAAGCCATCTCTAGGTGGGGTCTTCAAGAGGATCGCCTAAGCAGCTCGCCATTTTCGTCGTTAATTTATATCTCGTATTCAGAGTGCGACTCGATCGGACATTACCGAGGCCATAACATTCATGACGATGGCAGCAGTCGAGCCCACGAAGAGATTCTGAGAAATGAGGTTGATACACAAAGACGACGAGTCAAGAATGGTTTCAGCATGTTCGGCGACGTCGACTTTGAGTTCAGTTCAGGGCTCGGAAGTCCCGTCCGGTCGCGTTGCCCAAGCCCTTACGGAGACTCTTTCGCAGAATCAACGAGTTGCAAGGAACAACTCACTGACCAATAGTCATTGCCGCAGTCACTCTGTGAAAGATGATCATGACTGAGCGAGAGCAAGACCGAGTGTCTGGTGTTGTGATCAGAAGCCAACGTCCTCGTGGCTGACAAAGCTTCAGTCTGCCCCGATTCCCACAAACACTTCCGTCAACCTCGCCTACCGATCAGAGATAGAGAGTCATCGTCCACTGCTTGTCGTAAATTTGCTGAGAAAGCTTAAGCATCAGGGCTGGCTAAGCGGATGGTCGTTTGCAAGATCGCGCCATCTCACGACTGTGCAGTTGCATGAAGCTGACCGAATCCAGCGGAAATGCCCCGCTCAGCCATTACAACCATGCCTTTGTTGCTTACAAAGTGTACTACGAGGGCGTTCTTGCTTACCATATCTCTACTGGTTAAGCCTATCAAGAGAAAAGACGTTGTATGGTGTGATTTTTCATTGTGGCACATGCATACCTATATAACACTTGTATATCTCTAAGGTTCATCTATCTCATCATCTCATCATCCTCTCATCCATTCTATCACAGGAGGCGTACGATATACTATCGTGCATCCGATCACACTATAACATCAACAATGGCATACAAGAAGGTAGCTATCGCAGGAGCCACCGGCAACCTCGGTCCCTCCATCGTCAATGAGTTGGTCAACCAAGGCTTCGAAGTCACTGTTCTCACATCCTCTGGCAAAACTTCCGGTCTACCATCAGCAATCAAAGTCATAAAAGTCGATTTCTCCTCTCAAGAGTCCCTAGTATCTGCTCTGAAGGGTCAAGAAGCCTTTATTTCAGCCATTCCCAAGCATGAAGAGCAGCCTGCTCTGATTGATGCTGCCATCGCTGCTGGCGTACAGAGATTCGTCCCTTCAGAGTTTGGCAGTAACATTGTCGGCAATGAGAAAGTTCGTGCTCTGCCTGTCTTCGCTGGTAAAGTCAAGACGCAACAGTATCTTCGCGAAAAGCAGGACCAGATCAGCTATACTATTATCACCACTGGATTGTTCCTCGACTGGGGCATCGGTCTGGGCTGGCTCGTCAATCTAAAGGGCAAGACACAAATCAACGACAACGGCGACAGTGCCCACAGCTTCACACTTCTAAGCGACATCGGCAAAGCTGTCGCTGGTATCCTCAACCACCCAGAAGAAACCAAGAACCGTGGAGTTTACGTTCAAACCGCTGCTCTTAGTCAAAATCAAGCCTTGAAGATCGCGCAAAAAGTTAATCCCGATTTCAAAGCAGAGACTGAACATGTCGATCTCGCAGAAGCTGAGAAGAATGCTTATGCAGAGTTAAGCAAGGAAAATGGAAATGTCGGTGCTGCCATGGTGACTTTTATCAAGATCTCAATCTTCAAGGATGGATATGGTAATCTGTGGGATGAGAAGAATGATAATGAGCTGCTGGGTGTCAAGGGTCTGTCAGAGACTGAGGTTGGAGACTTGATCGCCAAGTACTTCTAAGTCGAGAAAAGAATGATCAATCTAAGTTGATACCCTCCCTGTGTTTTCAGGTCCGTAACTTTTATCGTACTCCGCCTGCCGCGACAGGTAATTTGAACACTATAGAAAGGCATGAATGTTCTTGAAGGAGAGGCATGTCCATTGAGAGCCGATAGGGTGTCGCTTCTCAGTGGACAGCTTCCCGGTTCATCATAGTATTGTGCCTTTTCATAGCTACACGTTACATCGACTCGTACACGGGGAGTATGTACCTGCTCCATTTAACCAAAGCAGACTTGGTCTTGTTGATCTACGCGAACGGTTGTATTATTATCTGCAACCACTACAGACAAAAGTGCTTACGGGTCCATCCACACTCTATTCTTGGTCCACTAGGAATATCCATGTGGGCACCACAGCACGTGACGAGACCACCAAGGTACATCCAAGACACTTCATCAGCAGGCGACGACACACCCTCCACACACCGCACGAGGCAACATAATTAAGGTCAAGAGCCCACCTCTTATGACTCAAGCAAAAGGCACCAAACCCACCCTCATATCAATATAATGCCTTATCCTACTCTTCTTCCTTTTTTTCTATCACCTAGCACAAAGCAGCAAATCTCCATCATGCATCCCTACTTCTTACCATACCCAAAAACCACAGAACAAAAACCAGCACCTCTTCGCACGCAAGCTGCGAAACCATATCCACACCCGAGGCCAGATCCCGATCCTAATAATCCACCTTCGCCTCTGAACCTTTCTCCCTCTGCCGCTTCTCCTACCTCATCCTCCTCGTCTTCAGGCTCGTCAACCATCAAACCTGCTCGCAAGAATCGCGTTCATTGGAAACAAGATTATCATCCCAGTATCATGAAACTCAAAATCGTGTGTGGGGACCCCGAAGATCCGAGTTTGGTGGTAGTGTTTGGGTTGGAGTTTCGAGAAGGCAAAAGACCGAAGGTGAGGTTTAGCGTCAAGAGAGGCCATGGCAAGACCAGAGAGCTAGGAGATGTGAGTACGAGGGATGAAGAGGAACAGGAGGAAAAGCCAAAGATCATGAGACGAGGGATCGAAAGAGAAAAAGACGAGATCGGGATTGAATCAAGAGAGTAAGACCAAAAAGTTGTTGTGATCAGTCGGTTTTGAGGTTCTGACAACGATCGTAGCGAAAGACGTCGCCTTATACTTCAAACATGGGACCAGTGGCTGCACCACCACCTAGACCACCTGCTCTTAGATCCACAAGATCTACACGCCAACCTCTCCAACCTTCCAATCCGCGCTTGACTTCTCTGATTCTTTCGATTCTCTTCTTACCCTCCTCTTCTTGAGCAACACGGAAAGAGTCTTCGTCAAAGTCTTCCTCGCTCAGCAGACCCAACGATTGTTTCCTTTGGCCACCGGTGAAAGCACTGATACCGCTTTGTAGCACATCCTGGAAGCTGCTGCCTGTGCGGGCGTGTGGGCGATGTGTGGATGAGGGGGCAGCGTATGGGTTGCTGAGATCGACGTCTTCATAGCCTGGTGATGCGTCGTTGATATCAGGTTGCATGGCAGCCCTTTGCTCGCGCCACACGCCACGGCGCAGATCGGTGTTTTCAGCTTCAAGGTCGCGAATGCGTTGGTGCAATTGTTCGCGCTCGAGGTCGTCAGCATCGTCCGTGAGGGAGTCTGTATCGTTTGCGGCAGGCGTTTGGGATGTTTTCAGCGATGCAAGCTTGGAAGTCAAGTCTTTGATCTGGGAGTCGTGACTGCTGGTTTGATCCTTGTGGAGTTTTGTCAGGGTCTCAATCTTCTGTTCCAGGGAGCTGGCGCGGCTGGTCGCTGCGTCGGCAGACGATTGAGCGGTGCGTAGATCAGATTCCAGAGTTGTGATCTTTGCTTGTAGTGCAGCAGGATCTTCAGCATCGTTCTTTTCTGTCTCGACTGGCTTGTTGATCGTTTCCTTCAATGTCTCAATCTCTTTCTGTGCTGCTTCAGCAGCCTGCTCGGCTCTAGTGGCGCGCTGCTCAAGTTCCTTGATGGTGGCCTCGTGGGCGGTCACAGACGACTGCGACATGTTGTATTGGTTTCGAAGGTTGGACAACTCCAGCTCCAGCGACTCGATGGTTGATGTCTTGGATGCCAATTGTGCCTGAATCTCGCGCGAGGGACTTGCATTGGATTTGCGTCGCTTGTCGGCTACCTGTTGCTGAGCCTGAGAGAGCTGTCGCTGTACCGATGTCAACTCGGAGGTCTGTAGTATGTTAGTTTCTCTACAGATGGTGTCCTCTTCAAGGCTTCATACCAGCTTCTCGATCTCTTCGTGTCGCTTGTCGGCCAGGGCAGCCTTAGACTTGAGTTCGGCAACATCGCCGCTGCTCTCTCTCAACTGCTCCAGCTCATCCTCAACCTTCTGCAATTTTGACTGCGTCTCCTGAAGGGTCTTGTTCTCCTTCTCCAGCTCCTCGATTCGTGATGCTTGCTTGCGATAGATGTCTTGAACTTCGTCTTCGGCACTGATGGATGGGAGGGCAGGCGATTTGGACAAGCTCGGAGATGTGAGGCCAGAGTTTTGTCTAAACGAGGCTGATCGCTGTCGTGACTGCTCGGACTGGGAGGGTTTGCGCTCGGTTGTTGGTCGTTCGGCAGGAGTCTCGTCTGGGACTGCAGATTCCTCAGGCGCCTCTTCCGTCTTTTCCTCTTTTGTCTCTTCTGTTGTCTCTGCGTCTAACGGTGTGGTGTCTGCAGCCTTCTCTTCGGTAGAGGCATCAACCTCGGCCTCAGGTGCTTCGCCGTCTGCTGGTGCTTCTGCTGTCGCATCGTCCTTCTCTTCTGTGGCATCGGCCTTGTCTGCCTTCTTCTTTCCACCCTTCTTTCCCTTCTGCTTCTTCTTCAACTCCTCGAACTGTGCACATGATTTAGCTTGTGATGATGCTAGTTATTTTATGGTAGTGCGGGCGACGTACACGCTTCTTTGCTGCGGCAAGCTTCTCAGCCTTTTCCTTGTCATCCACGTCGGCCATGATGTATTGCTTAGCAGAAATCAAATGTTTTGTGTAGAAAGAACAAGTAGTAATGCTAAAGGGGTGTTGCTTCGTGTTGCGACTGAGCAGCTCGGCATGACGCGCCTCGGCTAGACTTGCCCGAGATGCTTCTTGTGCAGCTTCTGCTCACCAAATCTTTGCTCTATCCATTAACACCAATACATCAAAACTTTTCAAAATGCCTAGGGATAAATCATCATGGCAACCGACGCAGAAGCGTCAGAAAGCTACTAAACACAACAAGGGTCCAATCCCACTGCCAATTGAGAAAGGCTATCAACAAGACAATGCCATTTCGACTGCTCTCCAGCAATCTCTGTTAAATGTCTTTCGCGATGCATGCAACAAGGGCTCACCTGCTGAAATTGAACACGTCCTGCAAGAAGTAAAGGGCCACCTCTTCAATCGCGACTTTGCCACTGCTTTTGGAAAAGATGAGTATCTCGAGGCATATGCTGCGAGGTGGAGCCCCAGCAGAGCATTGGGCTATGCGCAGATCTTCTCTGACCTCACTCCTGAGATTGCTGAGCTACTTGATCAGAAGTCATCTGATACCAAGGCATCAAGTCAGGATGTATCGGAGCTATCAGAGCAACTCAAAACCAAATTGACTCTGGAAGGAAGTGCAGACTCGTCCAAGCCTCTGAACATTGTTTGTCTAGGCGGTGGAGCAGGTGCTGAAGTTGTTGGTTTTGCTGGCTGGCTCAAGCATCTGAGAGACAATACATCTGCATCTGATGAAAAGCCTCACGCCGACATCTCCAAACTCGACATTTTTGGTATCGACATTGCCAAATGGGATAAAGTCATGCAAGATCTTCACCAAGGCGTCATCACCCCTCCGGTTTTGTCCAAATATGCTTCCGCGGCTGCAAAAGCCGCCAACAAGGCCGTACTCCCTTCAGAAGTCTTCAACGTGCGCTTCAAGCAACAAGATATCCTGGATACCGACGCTGCTGGAGTCAATGATCTGCTCGCTAACAGCGACATTGTTACTATCATGTTTACCTTGAACGAGCTGTACAGCACCTCGGTAGCAAAGACTCAGAGATTGTTATACTCATTGACAGCCTCGATGCGCTCAGGATCGCTGTTGCTGGTCGTAGACAGCCCTGGAAGCTACTCTACGGTTACACTCAATGATGCTACCCAAAAGTACCCTATGCAATGGCTACTCGACCACACATTGTTGTCACCAAAGAAGAATGCAGAGAAGGGCACGCCTGCGCAATGGAAAAAGCTGGTTTCTGACGAGTCGAGATGGTTCAGACTGCCTGATGAGGATCTGAAGTACCCAATAGACCTCGAAAACATGCGCTACCAGATTCATCTATACCAAAGACGAGACGAAAAGCAGCAACAGCAGCAAGAACAGCAGGAGTAAATTGTCCTTGAACGTGGACTGCACCACGGATACTGCTACCTTGATTCTTCGGATCGCTGAGGGCCAGATACGAGTTAAGGGGTCGACCTGCGCCTAAAACACGCGATATCGATGTGTACGAGACTACGTCCGTTCCAAGCTGGCCGACTTTTACTTCAACCCAGATGCGGCCATGTCGAGACACATGCAAAATCATATTGAACACTGGTCGAGCGCCAGTTGCTGTGGATCATTATCGCGCATGATCCATAACGTACAGCGCATGCGACCAAGTCTACCTTTATAAACAAGTAAAATTGGGACCCTTCCAGCCGGCAACTCTCCACTGTTTGGTCACTAAAGGGACGCCTTTAGTGTAGTGGTTGGGAAGCTCACCAAAAAAAAAATACCACGCCACGTGCTACGTTCTTAGTAATACGCGAACCAAACACGACGTATGAAAGCGCTTGGGTGGGTTTTTCTGTAAGCAGTTTTTTTGCTCCTGACAGTCACACCTTCTGTTTGATTATCATTCCAGCCGCAGTATTGTAGTACTGCAGTGGGAGGTGGTGTCGAGTTTGGAAAGGGTCTGACAAGATCTGGTCCAAAGTTCTCGGCTATTTTCTTTCCGCCGACTGTATGGGATGCGAGAGAACGCGGGTTCGAGCACTGATGGTGATTTTTGTTATGAGCTTCTCTGACGCTTCGTCGGTCTTGAACACCGACAAAGCTCACACCTGTTGCAGCGATTGTACTGCAACTTGAGTGAGGGCGACTTTATCTGCAGATGCCAGTGCTATTCAACTACGACAGGTCACCTGGATCGCCTTCCCCCTGGGACGATTCTCGGGATCATGTACACTTTGGAACATTCCATCATATCATATATCGATTCTGCGGAGCTTTCAACCTTCGCGAATGCCTTACCTGCCCTTTGGACTCGTCGCAAGTCCTATATGTCTGACGATGGATCGCTCAACACATCTCTCCGGATGAGTCAAGAGTAAGATATAGACTATAAAAAGGCACAGCTGTTCTAGGAAGCAGAGACATGTTCACAGAGAGTCGAGAATTTGTTGCCTCTCAGTGGACATCATCTTGTTTCTATTATCAATATGCATTTCTATAGCTATATGCGGTACTTTAGTACACGAGGAGGTAATAAACCTTCCAGTTTGCCATAACGCTCAGATACTGCCACAAGTTCTATCGGTACATTGACTCGAAAAATTGTAACTCCTGCTGTTAGGAAGCGAGATCTGCTGCTACGATGTTATGATAGAGTATCAACAGTCAAGTCGCAATATTTTGCCTCGAATCATGGTCGACAACCTAAAACGTTTCAGGTCCAGCACCTACCACACACGTATCAAGTCTTGATCCTGCATCCTCTCTCGAATGTCAGAAAGTGATCTGGGTCGACACGCAAAAAACACAATCTGGGAAGAGACGGTATACGGAATCAGGATGCCTTTTGGAGAATCGATATCGTCGTCTGAATAAGGCCTAGATACACGCATTCACAAGCTATAAACTTTGATACAGTGATACAAGATGATATTATGGAAGCGACGTGCTATCAGAACAAAAGCCAGAAAAGTACAGTCAGGGTCACCACAGGCCTTGATCAAAATGTGGGGTAGCTCTTTCACATGCGCGTCAGAGGCAACTCGTCGCGAGAGCTGCCTTCCCTTCTCGTCACCATTTGATTCCCATCGCGTCTTCCACCGACATTTGAACTTTCCTACGCGATTCATCACACTCTCTTCGCGTCTTCGATCCTACAGTACTCCTTTCTCTTTCTGCTGCTGGCATGGACCACAATGCCTTCATGGCATGTCAGTCTGCTTAGCCATAGTGGCAAGCAGATCGATTCTCGCAAACAGGATGTGAATTCACATTCACATGCAACGGTCTTCATAGATGGAGATGCTGCCCTCGCTGACACATGGAGATTCGTTGATTACAGTGATGAGACGCAGGCTAGACGCGACTGGATCTCTCAATTCAGTAAGTTCACACTCATCTCATCTATCACATGCACCTTCCTGTCGCACATTATCATATTTGTGGTGCTAATCAATCTATCATTAGTCTTTGATAGAGGCGCTCTTCAATTCAGCTCTGATGTTGTCGACACTTTCATTGTGGGCCCGTCACCCGTCCATGGGCTGGATTCTCGCATTCATCTGCCTTTCACTGAAGGTACACAACAATTCTGCATTCTCTTGCGCCATGGAGATACGGTAGAGTTTGGAGTTACATATGCTCGCGTCCAAGTTGTGTTCGATCCATATTCGGACGACCCTCATGTACAGGTCGAATCTTCAGGACCGGGAGCCCTTGGTCACAAGATCAAGCACGAGATCAAGGAGGAAGCAGACACTGACGATGAAACCGACGATGAGGCTATCCACCCTGTCATCAATGCCCGTCGTGGTACTTCAGCTGAAGAATCCCAACACTTGTTCTCCACGAGCCGCGAGCATCTTAGTCCGACGCCCCAAATCACCCGAGAGTCACAAGTGGTCAAGGACACTCCCAACCGCCGCCGCATCAGGTCTCAACACGAGTCAACCATTCCGGAAAGTTTGCCCATGGACGAAACATATCCTGAGCAGCCCCAGCCTGTAGCCCATGCAAATACTGCGGGTACTGACAATGGCCTAACGAGCCTCTTGCCGGATGTTCACACTGGCGAGCTGCCGGACAACTCACCCTCTGAATCTCTCCATTTCCATGTACCGACCCAGCACACTCTGTCGCCGCAAGACCAAAGCTTTACCGCCGCTGAAGTGGGCAAGCTCATCTCGAATCTGAACAACATTTCATCACAAGCACCGCCATCAACTTCATCCCCGCAGAAGACGCGTGAATCAGATGTCATTGCCGGCCACTTTCCAAAGGATTCCTCGACTGTAGACTCGGCAAAACCAGCCATATTGCCAGAACCACAAGCTGAGCCTCCAGCTGCTGAGCCCGCTACTGTGCTCGAACATGTGGCTTCACCAGTCGATATCATCAATGATGAGATTACGAACGATCGAGACAGAACAAACGCTTTGACCGGCAGTATCGCCGCGACCGTCGAGTCAGATCCGGTTGCCAGTGTCAAGCAGACTCCGTCGGTGACTAGTGCGGCGAAGAAGAGAAAGAAGGTCTCAGACAGCGATTCTGTTACTTTGTCAATCAAGCGCGCCAAGTTTGTTGAAGGCGATGTTGGTGATGCTAGCACTACACCAATGAGCACTGCTTCGAAGAGGAGTTCAGGCCGGGGCAAAGGCTTAGAAACGCCGACAGGATCTGCACCGACTAGAAGTTCTTCACGAAGGAAGAGCTTGGATGAGGATCTCCCGCCCAGTACCATCTCCAGACGGGTTGCCACTAGGCACAAAAGCATTGACAGTGAGAGCGCTCCTGCTGGATCGCCATCAACAGGTCGACAATACAGCGGTGACCCTCCTGTCATTCTCTATTCTAATACCAGAATCACGGACAAAAATCAGCTTATGAAGTCTCTCAAGGACCATGGCGTCAGCAAGACTGAAGATATCAAAAGCGCAAACTTCTTGTGTGTAGGCCCGGGGGAGCTTCTAAAGACACCTAAATTGCTCCACAGCTTGACGTTAGGCAAAACGATTGTCACTGACAATTGGGTATCACACTCGGTCGCGGCTGGAGTTTTGCTAGACACCTCCGAATATCTACCTGAGGAGCTCAAGGCGACCAGACACTTGGACCGTACGAAGACTTTCACCGATCAGGTCATTTATATCACGCCAGCGCAGCGCCTGGCCTACAAGAAAGGTCTTTGGGACGATGTCATGGCCATTATCAGGCAAGCTGGCGGCACAAATCCTTTGACTGGACCACTTTCGAAACTTGACACTAGCAGCATCACGCTATATCTCGGTGCCGACAAGAACGACGATGTCGCTGCAAAGTTACAAGAGCAGGGAGAGAAAGTGTACAAGAAGGACATACTCGGCGCCAGTATCGTCCAGGGAGAGTTGCTCTTCGACGAGTCGTTAGAACTTCCACAGGCAGAACCAGTGTCGAAGACGAAGGCAGAACCAAAGTCGGCCAAGAAGAATGGACGCAAGAAGAAGGCTTAGAGATGTGAAAGACAGGCATCAGGGCAAGGTGTACAGGGCGTTTCTTGCTATGGAAGTGTATTCAAGGACCATCAGCATTGTGGGGGATCAGGAGCATAGCTAGGAGGCTGTATTCATCTTAAATCCCGTGATGCAGTCCGTCTACCAGGACTGTAGCAGCACAGTCTATTCGTCCAACAAACATCTTTTCTCGATCCAACATTCACGCTGGTAGATACAGTCTTGGCAGAGACGCCGAGGTCGCGAAGGCAGTCTTGCAAGACCAACATGCGAAGAAGAAACAAGCGGACGAAACAACACTGTGTTCGCGATAATCATTGTGGGTGGTATCTATTGTCGCGGAAGAAGAGAAAGCAGACTCGCTACAAATGCAAAAATGCCGAAAAGAAAAAAAAAGGATCTACTCCTGAGATCTCGGATTCTGTCAACCCCTGATGCTCTAGAAACCAACTTTCCCAGCAAACTTGGCCCTCGCGTCTTCCACGACATCAAACGGCAAAACGAAAACAGGATGGACGGGTTCGACCAAGTCCTTCTCGTCAAAACACCATTCTTTCATCTGTTGCTGTGTAGGACGCTCAAAAGACCAGTTGAATGCTGCGGTCAATGCTTCCACCTCTGTATCTTGTGTGGTCTCTACATCGTCTTTGTACGTGTAAACGTATTGTGCGGCACTCAATCCCGCTAACGAATAATTGGTATGATAGCCATCAGGTCGTGTAGACGGTTTATCTCTCAACCCACCCTTTTTCGCTTGAGAACATGTCAATGTATAGCGTACTAATCCTTCTCTGTGCCAGAGGGATTTGCCGGCTGGGATGGAAAGAGCGGATTCGAGGAGAGACCAACAGCCGCCTACCCAGTGGCTGTAACATGCATCTACTAACTTGTTTGTGCGGCCGCTGAAACCACCTTCAGGGGAGGCTTGACGGAAGACCAACCAGTGGGTTAAGGATTTGGTGTTGAGGTAGGTAGGGATGGCTTTAGTGGGGGAATCGAGGAGGCAGAGACAGGCGAGGACGCAGAAGGCATAGGCGCCGTGGGCTTCATTGTCTGGTGCGCCGCCGAGGCCGCCTTCGAAGGTTTGGCAAGAGCTGATCCAGGAGCCGAGGTTAGAGGTGAATGAGTCGAGACCAGCTGCACGGGCGGGAGAGGATGGTGGAAGGGTTAAAGGTAGGCGAAGGAGGGTGTGGATGGTCATGCAGCAGTAGGCACCGCGGACGTCTTGTTCGCCGTTGACGGCCATATTGAAGCCGCCTGAGGGGTTTTTGACTTGGCCGAGCCAGTGCCACCTGTATTTCACGTCAGCGAGTGTCCTGAAAGAAGGTGAGGGGAAAGATTATATGCTTACATGGCTCTCCGATCAATCATGTCCAGACCGCCAACCAAAGCTAAACTCAAGGTGGCAGCATAGCTCGCGGCAGCATGAGAAAGATGACCATGACCACCACCAAAACCACCTTCTGGATTCTGGAGCGGTGTAAAAGTGTCAATACACCTTTGCTTGTATTCACTAACGTCGACACCCAGCGTTCTCAAGCCATTGAGAGCCCAGTACAACAACCAAGGCCGACTCGCATCCATGACTTGGAAAGGTGGAGGGTATTTTCCCAGTATCGTGCGCAAGAAAGCAGCATGCTTGTTCTTCAAGAGGTGTGGCAGACCATATGCATTGACATCAGTCATAATCTGAGCATTCCCAGTCATCAGATCCAAGACCTCCCTCATTGTCTTTTCTTGGGCGACCGAAGTTGACGTGGCGAGAGTGTCTCGTAGTGGGCCAGGAGCTGCAAAGTAGAAGGGAAGGTTGGGCTTGGCCTTTGAACCGAGCCAGCGGTGGACATTTTGACCGTCGTCGCTGTCAGAAGACGTCTCGTACTCATCGTCGTCGTCTGCTTCTTTGATTTCGTCTTCTTGAGCTGAGGATAGTTCTTCGATTCGTGCGGACGAATCTAGCATTTCAGCCAGGCGGTCTGAGGGAGCGGTGGTGGGTTGTGGGTCTTGGGTGGCCGAAGACATTGTGTTTGGAGTATTGTTGGTATCGCGAGTCGGGAAGCGGATGTTGCGTTTGTAGGGCATGTGGTTGTGGTAGAAGTGGATTCTTTATGGTGGGCTTAGTATTGTTGTCAAGGCATGTGACACTGGTGAAGGGAGTAATGGAAGCGTCTGGTTGCGTGTGGGCTATCCAGTTTTGCAGGAGAGGATATGCAGACACGGTAAAAGAACAATAAAGATGCAACAAAGATGCTGTCACGCTCGCTCCAGATGCAGATGCAGATGCAGTAAATGTGTGTTGATGGTCTTTGAATCTTTTGAATTTGTGACGTGCTGCTGCAGCACATGCGCCCTGAGCTTGGGCCATGGCTATCTCCGACTAAACCCCGTCTGTATATACCATTCGTTGCTCTTGCCAATCGTGAGACATGACCTTTCTTTGTCCAGCCTTCAAGGCTATCCTGTTTCTTGCGTGGACTCTCAAGAAGATCCGCCGATGGCATTGTCGAAGTACGTCACCAACGGCGGTCCTTCTACCTTGCTCTTAGCCACAGCCTTCAGTGCTGCGTGTGCCTCGCACTCTGTGTCATAGTACTTCATGTCGTCCATATTTGAGAACGACGTTTGGGCTGTCAGAGTGTAACCTTGACTTCTCGCATCGTCGACTGCTGCTCCTGCTACGCATCGAAGGATGTATGGCTTGCCATCCTATTCCACCGTTTGTATTAGCCATTGTCGTGTCATGCATCTAAGGACGAGGCTGGAGACACACCTTCTTTGCATCTTGAGCCATTGTGGCATATTTGTCCAGAACAGCTTGAACATCGCTCGACTTCGGGATCTTGAAGAGGGTGGTGCGATGCACCTGCTTTGAAGCTGCGGAAGCCATATTGCGAACTGACTTTGTTGTAACGAAGCTGCGAAAGAGAGGTAGAGTTGAGTGTGAAGATAGAGAAAAGATATTCTTGGTCGACAGCGACATCATGGTGGTTTTATTCTCCGCCAACAGTTGAGTTTCACCAAACAGCCTTACGTACCTTACACTTTCCCCTCACCTCCGATGCCACTGCCGAATCCAGGAACGCTTGCGAAACGACTTCCGTTAATTCGTGTGCTAACCAATGTTTAAGACCTGAACTGTCACGATAAGGATGCTAGAGAATGCGTCGTACAGAAGAAAGTCGTCAATTGTATTTGCATATCTAAAAGGGTATCGTATATATCTAAACTTTGAAGAAATCGTCAATGCTCTCTTAAACGGAGGCGCCGCCGTAAGGAAGAGCGGTGGCAGAGGTCAAATCGATGTAACCGTACTTGGCCATCTTGCTGTCCTCTGACATCTTTTGTGCCCACTCGCCCATGTCCTTCATGAAGTCCTGCTCGTTCTTCTCATCACTCATGTCAATAGGCTCTTGGTCCTTGGCGATCTGGCGAATCTGGGTACCAGCAACAACGTTGGTGATGCCAAAGTTGTTGTCGTCAGGACGCTGCAAGATGGCACCCTTGACCTTGCCGGCGAGGATGTCCTTGCAGAGGCGAGGTTCCTGGCACAGAGGACGAGCAAGACCAACGCCATCAATAGACTTGAGCGAGTTGGCCATGGCACCAACAGTCTTGAAGCCACCAGTAACGTAGACCTTGGTCTTGGTCAAGGCAGGAGCAATCAAGTCCGAGAACTCCATGAAGAAGCCCTCGCGCTTCTTGGTGCTCTCGCGCTTGTGGCCGAAAGCGAGGTGCTCATAGGTACCACCGCTCAGCTCGACAAAGTCGAACTTGTTGTCCTCGAGCATCTTGCACAGCTCCTTGGCTTCCTCGGGGTTGAAGCCCTTGTCCTGGAACTCGACACTGTTCAACTTGATACCGAGGATGAAGTTGGGCGATGTGCGCTTGCGGACTTCGTTGGCGATCTCGATGATCAGGCGGGCACGGTTCTCGAGGCTGCCGCCGTACTTGTCGGTACGCTTGTTGGTGGTGGGAGAGAGGAATTGGGCGAGGAGGTAGCCGTGAGCACCGTGAAGCTCAGCACCGTCCCAGCCACCCTTCTCGAGGTACTCGCAAGCATGGGCAAAGCCCTCGATGATGCGGGCGATATCTTGCTCGGTAGCAGCACGGGGCTTTGCAAAGGTCATGCCCATAATGTTGCCCTCGAGCTGAACATCACTGGCGGAGATGGGAGTCTTCTGAATACGGCTCTCGACTTGGCGACCCTTGGATAAATTGTAAGCATCAAGTAACATGTAGGATGGAGAAGCAGTAACGTACGGGGTGAGAGACTTGGCCAACCATAAGCATACCGTGCTTCTTGCCCTCGGTAGCCATGCGCTTGAAGTTCTCAAAGCGTTCACCCTCAAAGGGAGCATCCACAGGGATGATCGGATTGCCAGCAGCCTCGAGATGGTCGTACTCAAACATAATGTTTCCAGACAAGATCAAACCAATCCCACCCTCACCCCATCTCTTGTAGTCGTTGATGAGTCCCTCAGAAGGCACACCACGAGCAGGCAGGTTCTCAGGGTCCCATGATGACAGGCGCTCAGTCATGGCTCCCTTGAGGAATCTGTTTGGTGCCGAGCGGCCGGAGAAAGCAAACTCCAGAGGCTGGCCCAGAGGGGCAGCCGAAACATCTTCAGATTCGTAGCGAGGAGGTGCCATGTTGTAAGATGTGTGTATGTGTGGTGAAAAGACGGGTATTGAGATGCAAAACAAATGTGAGAATCGAGAGAGAAAGGGAAAGGGAAAACTGCAATACTTATGGCATCCAATGGACTAGTTGAAACGTCACACCGTATCAGTGCCCTCTCGACGCTTACAAAAGCTCTTTCGCCTGGGTTGCCTCGGTGCCAATGGCAACCAGTTAGTCCATCAACGAGTTTCAAAGAATTGATTGACTGTGCACGTCATTTGCCTTCGATAACCTTCGAGAAATCCCCGGGCATTCTCGGCAAAATGTGGAGTGGAGACCATCAACAAATGCTGACAAACACTTGGACATGGCTTGCGACGACTTGTTGAATCTGCTATCACCTTCGCTATCAACGGTCAGAATCTTGTTGCGCAGGTTCCTGAGGAATGGTCTTTCAGGCCAGGAGCGACGCGCCTGTAACTCAATCTAATTCTGCTCCTTGGAAGTTTAGGTCTATTCGATACATCGGTGTTTGTCGGAGATAGATCCGTAATGCTCGGTGGAATTTGCGCCGAGGCAGGAAGTGAACAACCACGATGTTCGACGAGAGCACATTGGAATGCAGAAAGATACTCGAGGATCAAGAAATGAAGTTTGGCTCCAAAAAGTGTTTGTTCTTGTCTTAGCCTCTCGAACAAGAGTCATATAGCAAATAAGGTATCTACAAGTGTTGCATGTACGGACAGCTGCCGTCAAATCAATCTAGCTCTTTTCATCTGAACCAAGCAGTTTCAGCTCCAAGCATTATCGTTATATCGTTGGATGTGTTTCGTTCTTGCTCTTGTCCTTTTCGATTACTCGCGCATGTTGACGACGCAGCGGATGCAGTCACCAGCCTTCATGTCCTGGAAGGCAGCGTTGATCTTGTCGAGGGGTTGTCTGTGAGTGATGAACTCATCGACCTTGAGCTTGCCATTCATGTAGTCGTCAACGAGGTCGGGAAGCTGGGTGCGACCCTTAACACCACCGAAGGCACATCCCTTCCAGACACGGCCGGTGACGAGTTGGAAAGCTAATGGTTCTGTCAGTCGAATACTCGTGATAGTTTTTTTGGCCAGGAAACTTACGTCTTGTGGAAATCTCCTGTCCAGCGGCGGCAACACCGATGATGATACTCTCACCCCAACCCTTGTGGCAAGCCTCGAGAGCGGATCTCATGACGTGGACGTTACCAGTGCAGTCGAAGGTGTAGTCGCAGCCACCATCAGTCATCTCAATAAGCTTCTCCTGGATGGTCTGGTCCTTGAGCTCCATGGGGTTGACGAAGTCGGTAGCACCGAATTTCTCGGCCCACTCCTTCTTGCTGTTGTTGACATCGACGACAATGATCTTGGAAGAGCCGTTCTTGACGCAACCTTGAATGACCGAAAGACCGACGCAACCAGCACCGAAGACGGCAACGTTGGAACCCTTCTCGACACCTCCCTTGCCGGCAGTGATGACAGCAGCACCGTATCCGGTGGTGATACCACAGCCGAGCAAGCAGGTGCGATCCATGGGGGCCTTGTCGGTGATCTTGACGACCGAGATGTCGGCAACGACAGTGTACTGCGAGAAAGTAGAAGTGCCCATGAAGTGGAGGAGGTCCTTGCCCTTGCACTTGAAGCGCGAGGTTCCGTCAGGCATGACACCCTTGCCCTGGGTGGCTCTGATCTTGCCACAGAGGTTGGTCTTGCCAGACTTGCAGAACTTGCACTCCTTGCACTCGGGTGTGCTGAAATGATAGTTAGTCGGCCAAGTCTCACGTCAAACGAATGCGGCGAAACTCACTAGAGAGCAACAACGTTGTCACCAGGCTTCACGTTGGTGACGCCCTCGCCAACAGACTCAACGATACCAGCACCTTCGTGTCCAAGAACAATGGGGAAAGCACCTTCGGGGTCCTTGCCCGAGAGAGTGTAGGCATCGGTGTGGCAGACACCAGTGTAGTAGATCTGGATTCTGACCTCGTTGGCCTTGGGAGGGGCAACCTCGATGTCCTCAATGGAGAGGTCCTTGCCAGCCTCCCAGGCGACGGCAGCCTTACAGGTAATGGTCTTTCCAACGGTATCGGCAGACATTGTAGCGTATGAGTGTTTAGATGTCTGGGAAATGAGTTGAGAAGGAGAAGGAAGAAATTGGGCGGGAAAGATACGGGCGGCCGATGATGTCGATTTATTATGCACGCGGGGTAGCTTGGAGGGGCCTGTCACACTTGTCCCGATCGCTGGAGATAGCTCGGATTTACTTCTTCGGCAGTTGCGGGCACTCTGGAAGATGGCGGGAGGAGCAAGGGTGCGTAAGGATGGTGAAGACGAGGTGAGGAAGGAGGAGAGATGGAGAGAGGAGGAAGAGAAGGGGGCAGCGATATTCTTGAACATTGAAGAGGGAGAAAGCAACGCTGCAGCTTTTGAAGAAGCGAAGGCAGCTCCAAGCTGTTTTATACGTGATTTCCCCAAACAGGCAACATGTTCCGCACTCCCCATCCTTCCGGCATGAATATCCATATCAAGAGGGGTCGGAACGGGTTGCCTGTTCCGCACTCCCCATCCTTCCGGCATGAATATCCATATCAAGAGGGGTCGGAACGGCCAGACAGAACTCTATGACTAGCCCTCGCGCGCTCCCATTACCAATTTGATCTGATTATGGTTGGGCAAGGGTTTTGGCTGCTGCGGTTGGCGGAGGTGCCACAAGTTGGGCAGGTTCATGAGCGAGCAAGCAGCTACTCGGAATAGCAGCTCTCTCCTCTCATCTAGATGAAGAGCACATGAAACTACTTGTAGACATGACGTGGTCATGATTGAGTGTTGCTTCGATTCACTTTCATGAAATTGAAGTGCAGGTGTAGATTAACGAGTCACGACAACCTTGTCGACTTTCACATGGAAACGCATGAATGCGCTCATGCATCGGAGCCCAAGGCCGGATCTTCTGATAGAACCACACACCTAGACCTGTGAGACAACACGAGTTATTGAACCGCAAACACAAATGGCAAGATGATAAACTGCATGTACTGGCTCATTACTTCTAGATAGGTACAGCGAGCCAACCGTCCCGCTCAACGGTACAGAAATGCTCCTCAAAACACAAGACAATGTTACAAGGCAAAGGAAAATTGGAGTGGCCCTCTGCCACCATGATAACCCCCACGACTCCATCTTCTAGCATTCATTCTTTTGTCCGATCGTTCCCTCCAATTACTGCTGACAGTCGGTCATGGCAGGGTATGTGACTTAATCGAGTACAACATGCGCGTATGGGCTTGTCGATGAACTGCGCATGTCAAGTTCGATAATGCATTTAGCACTCGGCGGGCGAAGCTCTCGAGTTCATGAGAAGAGCAACGATCAGACCGTAAAGACCTAGACACAATGTCAAATTTGAGAATCGAATGGAGACAGCAACGTGACTTACCCAAAACTTCAGCGAAAATGAGGATAAGAATCATTCCAACGAAGAGTCTGGGTTGTTGTGCAGTACCACGGACACCAGCATCACCGACAATACCGATAGCGAAACCGGCAGCGAGACCAGCGAGACCGACGGCGAGACCAGCACCAAGCTGGATGAAACCAGTGTAGAGAGCCATGTTCTGAGTGAGATCGTTGGAGATCAGGACAGCAACGACCAGACCGTAAATGGCAATGATACCAGCCATAATGACGGGGATGATGTCTGTGGCGAGGTTAGCATGTATGCCAATATCAAATGCTGTCGGAACACTGACTCTTGACGATCAGATCAGGGCGGAGGACACCCATGGCCGAGATACCAACACCAGCCTTGGCGGTACCGTAGGCAGCACCAAAGCAGGTGAAGACAATGGCGGCGGTGCAGCCCATAGCACCGAAGAAGGGCTATAGATACGTAAGCTTCTGTTCATTGTAGGTCGAATAAAGCATAGCGATGGAGTTGCTGAGATAGCGCAGGCTAATATAAGGATTGGGAAGCAAGGGGGCGGAGGCGGATTATGACATATTTGGGTGTTGATATGGACATGGGAGGCGGCGCGCGAGACTTACGGCGTAGACGGGGCTATACACAAGTCATGTCAGCATTCTGAAAGGCTTTTAGGGACTTTGGAGGGCTGCCCAAGACGTCTGTGGATATGCAACAAGCCTAGAAGGCAAGTTGACGATAACCTTTGGCGCAGACGTTCCTGCTCAACAAGCTCCAGGGGACGACGTACCAGAGATCGGAAGGCATCTTGGCGATATGTGTGTGATGGATCTGCTCGGGAATGAGAGGTTGTAGAGGCGGAGGCGATGAAGCAGAGAGTACAGCGGATGTAATAGCCAAGGAAGCGCGCTTGCAACAGGTATTCGGTGACGATTGGAGGTTGTCTCGAGGCGTTGACCGTCGGAGACAGCCACGCTTGGCACACGTGATGTCCCGTCTCAAAGCTACCTACACTTTCATCATCGCCAAACACATTTTCTCTACCACGACACGCCTTCTTGTCTTGCTATGACGCTGATAGGAATTAATCTGATAGACCTCGAGCGATGGTCTGACAGGACTACAAGATCGATGACACTGAATCTTGTTGGGAGTATGACCCTGTCCTTCCAAATGTATCACTCAGTTCGTCACCATGCTGTAGTACTGCGTCCTGGATGGGCTCTGAACTGCGTACTGGGGAGATATAGGATACGTCCCAAGTACCATCCTGTCACATAGGTGTTGTGGTGCAGCAGTCAGGGACAAAAATGAAATTGTATACGCTTTTCGCTAGAAGCTTGAGCTCAAGCATACTACAGCGACACTCGAGACACTCATAAGGATGAAGACGGTTTACGAGGTCAGCGAGTCGGTATGTATTCCAAATAGCACAAAACACCGAGCGGAAGAAACAAGAGACAAATTGCATCTAGGGATATAGAGTGTCCTCCAAGCCTTTTGGTTCAGTGATTGGCACCTCACATGGACCTTGGACGAGAACATACCAACAAGCTCGGTTTCAAGCTCTCATCTCTTCAGCTTGTGCTGTTGAAGTATGAGAGGAATACAGAAGGTGCAACATGAATTCAGGCCGAACACTACAGGTCTGGGAAAGATTCGTCCATGGAGCATCCATGAGGATCGAAAAAGCTTCGGTCCGTGCTGAGCAAAGAAAGCTTGTCACGGTACAGCAACAGGCCAACAGCAACGATGATCTGTACGTTTTACGTTCATATCAAATTTGTATCCGGCAAGCATGTAACAAGCCGTCAGTCAATGATCCCCTTGTACTACTGCAATGATAACGCTGTGAGGAAAGCGGTCACAGTCAATGGCGTGGTTTCCAACACCCCCCGACCAAATTGAGGACACACACGGTTGGATCTCGATTGCCAATAACAAGTCGTGATTTAGGACAGCACTTGTGCTTGTTCCGTTCTCAGAGGAGAACTCAAGAAGGATTAATATGTATGTAGTCGGCGCCGGCGACTCGAACCACCGACGTGGCTGACACCAGCGACGAAGGAGTCAGCCTGCCGCAGAAATTCACGAACATTCCGTCTTCTCAACCAGTAAAATGAAAGCTCAGGGGAAGGATGATGAACCAGGACCCGTCTGAGTCGGGCCCGCTGACATTAGAAATCCCATGCCTCTCAGAAAGAGTAGGTCCATGGACAGTCGGTCCCGTCTGCTGTGCTCGGTCCCGAGCGTGCTATACTAACGCCCGCGCATTCCAAAATACAGCTGCCTGGTCGCCCGGGTGGATTTTATTTGAGCCACCGATGTCCGTTCTCATTGGTCTGCCAAACAAACGTTCGCTGTGGAACATGTTTATATGAATAACCTCAGTCCACGAGGCTTCTGACATTTCGTATCCTGTGTTTCCAAGCAACTTTCAATTCTGCCACTGCCCCTCTATGCTTTCCTGGCATCGTTCACAAAACACAAACAAAACAACCTGTACACAACAAGTCGATATGTCTGCCACAAGTACAACGAGTATAGACAAGGGGCCAAGAACCGACTCGTCACCGTCCAAAAACGAAGAAGAATTTATCACCGGCCTGACTCTACTCAGTGTGTTGGTGTCGATAGTCCTCGTCGTTTTTCTGTTGATGCTCGATACATCTATTGTATCCACCGCAATTCCAAGGATCACAACCCGGTTCCACTCTCTTGAGGACGTTGGCTGGTACGCATGTTAAGAATTCTCCATGACATATATACTAATCGTTCTGTCTCCTTCAGGTACGGGTCTGCATATTTGCTCGCCAACTGTGCTGTGCAGCCCCTTACGGGCAAAATCTACAGAGAATTCAGCTACAAGTGGACCTTCCTTTGCTTCTTCGGTGTCTTTGAGCTCGGATCCTTGCTATGTGGTGCCGCCACTTCTTCGAATATGTTCATTGTCGGAAGAGCAGTAGCTGGTCTAGGAGGTGCTGGCTTGATTAATGGTGCGCTCTCAATCCTTGCTGCTGCTGTTCCCCTTGAGAAAAGACCTCTTTACATGGGCTTCATAATGGCCATCAATCAGCTCGGTATCCTGTTCGGACCCTTGATTGGCGGTGCTCTCACCCAGTACGCAACCTGGAGATGGTGTTTTTACATCAACCTCCCTGTTGGTGCTGTTGTCGCAGTCGTTCTCTGCTTCACTCCTGTTCCAGCTGGACCTGAAAAGACCGAAAGCAAGAAGTTCATCATCGGTGCATTCCTCCGCTCCCTAGACCTTATTGGCTTCGCGCTGTTCGCACCTGCAATCATCCAGCTCCTACTAGCACTCGAATGGGGTGGCACTAAGTTTTCCTGGAACAGCTCAACCGTCGTTGGTCTTTTCTGTGGCGGTGCTGCAACTACTCTAGTGTTCTTGGTCTGGGAATACTTCAAGGGTGACGATGCTATGGTCCCTTTCTCGATGGTCCGGAGACGCATATTCTGGTCTAGTTGTCTGACCGTCTTCTTCACATTCGCTTCTCTGCTGGTAAGTGATTTACCAACTCAAATTTCGTGAGTGCATGCTAACTGTACCCCCGGGTGATAGTTACTTAATTTCTTCCTTCCACAATACTTTCAAGCCGTACGAGGTTCTTCACCAACAATGAGTGGTGTGGATCTATTGCCCAGCGTCATCAGTCAAATGATCTTCGTCATCGTTTCTGGAGTCTTGGTCAGAAAAGTCGGATATTACCTGCCTTTCTCGATTGCATGCGGCATACTCACTGCCATTTCAAGCGGCCTCTTGAGCATGCTCGACCCTCAAACCTCCACAGGCGAATGGATCGGCTATCAAATACTTGGTGGCGTCGGACGCGGTTGTGGCATCCAGATGCCCATCATCGCCGTTCAAAACCTGCTGCCCAAGTCACAGGCATCAGTCGCCATGTCACTGCTCATCTTCTCGCAGACGTTTGGCGGAGCCATCTTCCTTGCTTTGGCACAAACTGTTTTTAACACTGGACTCTCTTCAGCACTGAAACAGTACGCACCCGAAGTTGCTGCCGAGACTGTTCTTGCGGCCGGTGCTACCGGAGTGAGAAGCGCTGTGTCCAAGGCTGTATTACCTCAGGTACTGCAGGCTTATAACATGGCCATCAATCACGTTTTCTATCTTGGCGCTGGTGCAGCTGCAGGAGCTACAGTCGCTTGCTTGGGCATGGGTATGCATAGCATCAAGAAGGCTCAGGCCGCCCAGGCGGACCAGACAGCTGCTGCGAAATCGGAGAAAGCTGGAAAAGAAACTGTTTGATATCCCAGCTGCCCCTTACTGTATCATATCGTCACAACAGCATCCTCTCCCCTTCGACTAATGAATCATGAAGACTCCCGTAACTATGTAGAATTATATCCTAATGACGAATCGAAGGCCTTTTGCCCCCGAAGAATGCAAGCTACTTTAAGCCATTTCGGTCATTCCAATTATCCGTACGGTCGTTTGTCTCACTGGATATACATGTGCTTCCGTCGCGTCATACAATCTGCCACACGGATGAATTTGCTGCTAATTGAAACCATCTGCTTGTCCTTCGATGAATTTGCTGCCGACCGCCCTTCTATTTCCATACAGTCATAGGTGTGTGTATGTATATATATGTTCGCCCATTTGGGCCTGCCAGGACACATCTGTTTCCGATTGGTGAGGTTCGATTTTTGTTTTACGAATTTGTTTTGTATACTCGAAGATATTTGCTTTTTATTTCCTTCTGTTCCTATTTGTGCTCCTAGCCAAGTGACCTGCAACAGTTTCATCGTCTGCGCTGCGTGGAACGAAGGTCTTGCGTTAGAATGGTGAGAAACTGGAGATGATGCTGTTTCTCTGGTGGCTCCTATGACCTGGAACATACTGTGCATTTCTACAGCTTGAATCTCGATCTCTGTTGGTGCTGGAGGAGAGACTCTACAAGTGATGGGGCTAGGCACATAGCACAACAGGGTCATGGGTTCAGGGGAACGGATCGAGAATTCCCTATGCATAAACATATCCAAGTTGCAGCTCTGAGTATAGACAATGGTACTAAGAAGCAGCGTAACATGCGTTAGAGAGCCTTCGATCCACCACCTTTCTCCAGGTTCAACTCTAGCCTAAACGACACTGTGCATTTCTTCAGTCAATTCAGACTCCTAAATCTAATTTGAGATTGAACCACCAAAGGATGTGGTTCAGAAGCCTGACTCTTGCTCTTAGACTCCGAGCCTGATCCTCCATGTGAACCATCCCCTTTGCCAATGCTTGAGACGCAGCCCATGTGGTGCTCCACGATCAGCGGAGCCAGAAGGGCAGTTGAGTTGAAAGTCGATAGACAAAGTTACTCGTTTTATAACAATGTAGCACAGGGAACTCAACATGATCAGCATGCAATGATGAGTGAATTGGCCTGGGCTTAATTTCGTGCGTATGTAATTCGAAAAACGATGTTGAATGATATGGTTGTGGGGTATATGTTGTACTGTATGAACACAAAATTCTCCTTTTATGCTGTAAAAAGCGCCATGTATGTTCGTGGTTTTCCTCGTAAACGACATCAAGCAGGGCTGAACATGTGCTTGAATTTCTCAATCTGCGAAAGACACACAAAAGTCAGTAAACCGATATCTCAAGCGGTCAGTTGGAAATGCTTGCTTACCTTCGTGCCAATGTATTTCTCCAATTCGGGCCCTTGCACACCTTCCTTACCGCCGGATTGCCAGGCCAATGGAATCATGGGTACTCTCTCCTTGACCACGACTTCTCTTCCAGGTCCTTCAACCGCACGCACCTTCTCAGGGTTGTTCGTCAACAGTCTGATACCTCTTTCGCCGCCCAGACCCAGATCCATTAGCATGGCTGTTGCTAAGCCGTAACTTCTTGCGTCTGCGGGATGTCTGAGCAGGAGATTCGCTTGCATAGTATCGTGACCCAGATCTTGCAAGTTGTACGCCTTCAGTTTGGAAAGCAGACCTATACCACGACCTTCTTGACGAAGGTAGACGATTACACCACCAAGCGAGGGAATAGATGCATCGGTGGGGTCGAAGGGTAGAGACATCAGACGGGCTGCTTCGTCAAGCTGTTCACCGCAGTCGCAACGTGCACTCCATACCGTCTCGCCAGTGTAACACTCGCTGTGGATGCGTACCAACGGCGCCAATGGCGAAGGCATGTTTTGTGCTTCGGCGACCTTGACAGCTCTATCCTGTCTCTCTTCTGTGGTAACGGCTTCAGGCGTGGGACTGCGTGGTACTTGGGCAGCAGAAACGCCAGCATCCTGCTTGATCTGATCCAAGCGACTGGAGGTACGGCCCGGGTATAGTTTTCCAACGTATGCGCCTCTGATCATACGGTCTTTTTCTGTCTCGCCCTCCCTCGGGGCATCGAGGCTGCGACTGCGGATGTGAGGACCAAAGACAATGGCCAGATGCTCCTTGTTATCTACATTGTTGTGGTAGAGGTGCAGAAACATCTCTTGACCGGTCGTAGTAGGGATACGGGCGCGTACTTCGCAGGTGACCTCGGGAAGTTCTTCTAACAAGGCTGGAGGGGCAGCAGGCTCGGCTTGGTGGGCTTCGGCATCTTGAGTAGCGGGGTCGGATGAGGGTTGAGCAGGGTCGGAAGAGGGATTGGTAGGCTCGGAATCCAATGAGGGCGATACCAATGGCGGTGCGGCAGACGTGGGCTCGGGGACAGGCTTGACGGACGAGGAAGACGAGGGTTCGGCGTTCTTGTTGTGCTCGAGGTCGTATTCTGACATTGTGGACATGGTACGCTGGGTATTTTGCGGGCGCGGTGAATTGAGCGGCGGTAGTGCCGGTGATGCGTGTGCGGGATACGCCATGGTCGCTGAGATGTATACAGGAAGGAGAACAGAAGCAAGAACAAGAGATAGATATGAAAGACGAGATAGACGGACGGAATCAAAAGTCTGGCGCTGTCATCATCCAGGGTCATTACTCAATAGATGCTTCTGGAGCCGAAAGGCCGACTTGCCCGCCTCGGGCCCCTCGTCGCTCGTCTGCCGATACCGCCCGCCGTTTTCCGCCGCCCACTGATTGGTCAACATTGTCTCCTAATTTGGTGCGAACTCCCAATCTCCACCATTTTTGTAAGCAGCTGCTTCTTTCCGCGACCATCTGTCACTATTGTAACACAAGAATATCAAGAATAGAGTGTGAAGGAGAAATCAAAACTTGTTCAATTGATCTAGCCGGAGCCAGCGCTTAGATACCGCTCAATCGTGCTTGCCTGCCAGAGGAAAAACATTCCGAGTCCATCGGAGCATTAAAAGAAGCTCAACCCACTTACAAACCTCAAGGATATCCACCGAAAAGCACCAAACTCCCTTTCAAAACATCCCCAATAACCAGTCGCTCACCATGCAGCGGATGAATCATAAACGGGAAAAAGACAGCCATCTCCAAAACAAGACCTCCGATCGAGCGTCATTGCAACTTTTGCTCTTCTTGTCGTGTAATTATCCTCTCTCTCAGTTCAGGTGCTGTCCAAATCAGAATATGTTCTCTTTTATGCGCGCGTGTAACAAAGAACCAGAATAAAAAGCAGTGTGCGCGAAGTGAAGAATCATGAATGGAAGATCCACCCGGTTGGTCCAATAGACAAGATCCGGGAAGTGGTATTTTTCTTTTTCTTTTTTGTGTGCTTTGTTCGAAGCGCAATAGTCGAAGAGATGTCCACTCACAACATCAGCGAGTGCAGATTGCGTTGGACGATCATGTCCTGCACGCTCTTCATCGTCTTCTCCAGTAGGTTGGTGTCTGTGGCCGTCGTGCCATGCACGTAAACCTCTTTCGTAGGGTCCCGTACCAGGTTGCGGAACTTGTCGGCGAAGAACTTCTGTCCTGCTGCCACATCTGTGTTGCCGCCTTGGAAATCTGGGAAGTGATCACGAATGCGTGTTCGGCCTGTGGAAACCTTTTCGGTGAAGAGATCGAGTTTGTTGAGGAAGAGCACCAGGCCAGACTTCTCGAAGTAACGACTGTTGGCAATGGACTCGAAGAGCATCAGAGCTTCATGCATTTGGTTCTAGTCGCACTGTTAGCATGGGATCAGCATACTCACAGACACACAGTAAAAGCTCACTCCATTCTTGTCTTCGACCAGAACGTGGTCGAAACCGCTGATGGCTACAAGGAACAAGACGACTTGTACGTTGTCGAAAACGTGAATCCACTTCTTTCTCTCAGAGCGTTGACCACCGACGTCAAACATCTTGAAAGTCAGGTTTCCGGTATCGAAGACGGTCTCACTGATACCTGTCGTTCTAAGGCGTGCACGCAGGATGTCCTGGTCTCCGGGAACGTAGTTCTTTTCGAAGAGCCTGCCGAGATCACTCATGTAGCTGTGGTCATGTCAGTTTCGAGTTTGATGCTGGGAAAGTGAGGCGCATACTATTCGAGGTTGTCGTGCAGGGCATATTCGTGACCTTTTGCAATGGCACCCTGCACACCATCATCGTCCCACAAGTTCTTGAAAGCGTGCATGCAATCTAGTGGCATGGGATCATCAGTCCCAATTTCCGGTTCCGAGCAGACGACTTCCATCGCTTTGATGTTTTGTGGGTTCTCGAAGGCGACCTCATGCTCTTCCATGGCACCTTGAATGCATTGGAAGGCGTGGATCAGGTTGTTGAAGATGGTCACTTTCCATTGCCTACGTTCGCTCTGTGAGAAGCCCTTGGTGTGGATCAGGCGCATCTGCTTCAACACTGTCGACTTGCCGCTCTCACCGGCACCTGAGGTCGCATGTCAGCATTTCTGCCTGTCTTGTTGTGTTTGTGTATGACGACGTACCCAAGAGTAGGATCTTGACCTCTTTTGCCTGTTTCTTCTGGTCGGCCCTCAGCTGCTTCTCAATGTCGGCATTTTTCCTCGCGCGGGGGTCGTCCTGCTTGGAACTTCCGAAACACATGAAGCCCATTCGATCTGTAGTGCGGCTTTGAGAATAGGGTAGTTGTAGTCTGGGCCGTGTGCCAATGGACGTGATCAGGTTGAGATTTCGAGGATCAGAGAGGGAGCGTGCTGCGTAGGGTGATAATTTGACAGAAGGCCAGGGAGATGAGTGGTTATTGCGACAAAAAGAAGAGTCGGGGTCTGTGTCTAAGAGCTATGATCCTCCGCCGAGACACCAGTCGTATGGGGTAATTTCTGATGCGCCGGCGATTATTGACGAATGAATAGGAGCACCGAGAGGAATAACAGCGAGGCGATCTGAGATGCCAGGTGTGACGAGGCGGGACGAGAGGCAGAGCAACGTGGAATCGGCAAGGGCGGCGGTCCAAGATATGAGAGGGTGGTATTTGTTCGTTCTTGAGCAGCCTGCATATCAAACAGTGGGGTCTTTGCTTTAACTCTGTTCGTTCGGGCCTAGTTGGCCATGCATCTGTGCACTGCGGCCCTTGGCCGTTGTCCATGCTCCATGCAACGCCTACCTGAAACGTGCTACACGTTCAAAGGAAACCTATGAGTACGGCCGCGCTCGCCATCGCTCCATCTGCTCCGCTCGATCAAGTATTGGACAAGTCCATTGTGGAAGCCTGTGTTCATGGAAAAGCCTGATACAAAGAGCTATACATATCCACACCTTCCGCATGGTTGTGATCTGCACCACGTGAACCCGACTCTACTCTATCGGAGAAATTGAGTCTACTCACGCTAATTGCTGCCGCGTGCAGCGTCGCACCTCCCTCGAGGATACACTGCACACCCATCATTGTCCTCCCGTCTTACACACATTCATCGCATGCCTTCCACATGTGTGAGACCTCTCATTTCACTCGGTCATCTTTCCCGTTGCCGTCTCACGCGAGATTTGTCTACATGGGTTTCCATTTTGCCCTACCAGTACAAAAGACTTTTCAGCGAGTCACGGATGTTCTCTGCTTGACTCGCGCATAGTCCAGCTCTATATTGAACCCTCATCAAACGCTATATTGACAGCCATTCTACTCCCTAGCAAATTTCTGCAAACTCAGAAGCAGCAGCCATGTGTTCCTTCCATGCTCTCATGATGCATTCGCACCTTAGGCATGTACATCTGTTGCCTGCAATGAAGCAAGGGTTTTGTGCATGAGCTACACTGCAGCATGCCAAGCCCAGCCACAGCAGATAGCGAGACCTCGCAGCATCTGACTTGTCAAATGCCTTTGACAATATTGCCGCAATAGGTTACTCTTTGTCAAACTCTTGGTCCAAAACAGCAGTCTGCTCTCTCGATCAGTCCGGTGTTTGTCCCCCGGTCCCTGATTCTAGCGAGCCGTTGATATGTTTTCGACCCGCTACGGCCCGGAACTGCAATTCGTCCGTACTGAGCCGACCGCTTCCTGGAGAATGTTCTTTGCGGCTTCCTTTTCTCTTTTCTCTTACGCATGTGCTCGCTTGAGTCCCGGCGCCCTCAAGCCTCCAGGATTCACCGTCGACGTTTAACCAACTGAGAGTTTGGCCGTACCGGTTTTCTGTAACTTCAGCGACCCAAAAAGCTGGATGTCTGAATCATATCAGGTAGCATCTGCTGCTCGCTACCATCCCAAAGAGTCGTATGTGTAAGTTCGAGCGGGCGTTATGATTCATGCACATCATACTTGTGACGGACGATCACCAAGCCAATACAATCTATTGTCTTTGGGGATGACTTCCTATCACGAAATTACCATGCTAGAAGTGCAGGATGCTAAACTTGATTGCTGCCCGAACAACTGCATACCAACCTAACATGCCCATGCGTCTGCTCCTTCACAGACACCATCTGCTGCATCGCCTCTTGCATATGCTGCATTGTGTCATCAAGAACTGGAGGATTTTGTCCTAAATCGCCGTATGCTAAAGACAGACTGCTACTGTTCCGCGATCAATTCCGTCGCTATGTAGAAGAGATGTAGTGATGCCACCATTGAAATGCACAATTGCATTTGAAAGCAGAAGTGATGTCCACGGAGATAACCTATCTTGGAATATCTTATTGGACATCACTTCTACATCAAACATTATTGTGCATTTCTGTAGCAATTTCGCTACGTCGTTCTTGAAGGAGAAAGCTCGACTGTGGCATCGTAGCAGCCTAGGCGACGTAGAAGGCGGACACATGACTTGCAAAAACCAAGAATCATCCCGCGTCTTGACTCTCGTCACATGGTGGGCTATAAAAATGCACAATTCTTCTCCGGAGATAGAGTAGTGTCCAGTGAGAATCTGTGGTCGTTTGGCTCTCTCTGGACTACACATCTCTTCCGAGAACCACTGTGCGTTTTGACAGCTTGAAAGATTGTTTCAACACTCGAGGAGAGGTTACAACTCAAGACGTTGGACAGATGCGGAGAAAGACGAGTCCAGACAACTGTCGTGTTTAGACCCTTACGGATGCTACGGCACCTCTGACTCGAGTAGCTCGTCTTCCCACTCAGTGATGCCTCTGTCCGCGAGTTCTCGGTTGCGCTCGTACCAACTATTGAAATCCAGTTCTGGCATCTCTCCACCATGAAGCAGATACTTGAGGATAGCACGGTCATGAGGATGCGCGCCTTCGCCGACATCTAAGCCATCCTCGAACAAAGCTTCGTCGCCAGACTCTCTTGGATAATCTTCATCGTGCAGTCCCTCCAGGTAAATGCGTTGTAGGCCAGTCTCGAATATCTCCGGTACTTGACGAAGCACAGAGTTCCATGTGCCCTCATTCAGATTGCAGTCTACAAGTTCGAGACAGCGCAGTGTCTTTGACTGTGCACGCAGGAGCTCGATCAAGCTTCTCTCGGTTGCATTACAACTCAGCCGTAGGAGCTCTAATTGTGGTAGTGTAGGGATATGAAGATGGCCTATTGTGTCGTCCTCAGGGTCCATGGGCCGTTCCTCGGCAGCCCAGCTGCCTTCATCGTCACGACACTGGAGTCTCAGAGTCTTCAGAGAATGTGCTGCTGCTGACAAGATAGCATGGATCTCCTGGAAGAGTTGCCTTGTCTGCCATGTCTGTACCCCAGCACCTGGTCTCACATTAGGCGAGGCAGGGGCACAATAGCTCACATCCAGCTCTAATCTCTCCAAGTGCGATAAGCCCTGGATTTTGGCAGAGATCAACTCCTGTGGCAGGTCATCCCTGATGGCATTTACGATTGGCTCAGATGCAGGATCATCTGGCGGGGGGTAGTGCTCGTTCATGTCGAGAAAAGGCTGCCCACCAACATTTACAAGGCGCAAATTTCTAATAGGTGATGCGCGGCTGTTCAAAGTTGCACGCTCTCCGATGGCGGCAAGAAGACAATCCGCATGCTTCATGTGGATAGGATATTTCAACACATCTACAACATGGACTTCCTCATCGTCATCAACCTCGACAGCATGAAGCTGCATCCAGTTGTTTGGGTTGAGGATGATGTCTTTCTCGATCCTGTTCCATGGGAAATGGAGATGATTGTCAGCAAACCCATGCTTTGCATTCTCGATGGATGTCAAGTTGGGCAGGCGTGATAGCGCGCCGAGAAAGAGATCATTCGGACCCCAGTCCAGTTGTTGCTGACGATATGCTGCGTATCGTTCGAAGTGATGTTGCACTTGGCTGGGATTAAGGGTGTGTTTGGCCATGTTGTCGTATTCCTTGTACGCCGCATGGCGAAGGTCTTGTCTTTCAGTCAATACTCGCATCCGGAAATCGTATTCATCATCTGAGGAGAGGCGGCTGTCCATGCGCGCTGGGTCCACTGTAGTCCGTTCCTGAGAGGAGCATCAGTACCTTTCTCGTTTTCGTGAGAACCATTTGCTTGACTTTACCTCAATGTACTTCTTGGAAAAAGATGACCAAGGTTCGCGCATGTCGATCAGGCCTTCAAAGGTGCCTACCCAGTCCATTTGTGGTAACACATCTCCTACAAAGACAAGACGTTTTATGCACCTCGCAATGTCTGGTCTTGCCGATAGTCTCACAAATCTCTCCAGGTGCGATTGAAAGAAGGCAATGTAATACGTCTGAAATACCCGGGCATTGGTAAGGCCGCTGATGTATTTGCACGTCGCGCGTAGATTCCTGCAGTCCTCAAAGCTGCAGTATTCGAGAACCAAGTATAGAAGTTCTCGGGGCAGTGAGTCTAGCTGACCCATGTTGTCGCAACCAGCAAATTGACGAATCGCAACTTCAATGGCCCGGATAAAGTATCAAAAAATTGCATGAACCACTCGAGGTCGCCGCTGCCTTTGCCATGATTGGACGCCCGGGAGTATGGTTCGTGTGGAGGACCCTCTCAGGAAAGATCTGACTCTTGTCGTTTGAACCCCGGATTGTGTTTCTTGTTTCTTTTGCCAAGCAAACAGTTTGACCGACAACTGGTCAAGCAGCAGGTAACTTTCGATGGTGGCTGATCTGGACTCTGGCAGCGCCTCTGGGTGTGCTGTCTTTCATTTCCCGTCTCTGTTCTTTCCTCCTGCTTGACATTCGCACCGATATCCATAGTCATATTCATAGTGTAATATCATGTCGTTCCCATCTGCGACGCGCATTGGCGGTAGTGGTGAGTACTCGTACCTCAGCCTGTCGCAAATATAAAGGATACTGACGTGAAGCCTCAGCCTTCAACCACCAGCAGTCTGGCGACGCCGAGGCCGAGTACGATAGATTGAGAGACCTTGCGCGACAGGAACACAGCAAACGTCAGCACTGTTCCGCCGAGTCACAGAAGGCCTACGCGCGTGGAGACGGAGGTGCTGCCCACGACTTGTCGCAGGAAGCTAAGAGCCATGGACAGAAGGCAGACGACTATAACAGACAGGCATCCGAGTTCATCTTCCGTGAGAACAATGCCGTAGGAAGAGTTGACAGCGATACCATTGACCTTCACGGTCAGTTTGTCGAAGAGGCCGAAGAGATTCTGGAACAAAGAATCAAGTACGCAAAGAGCACCGGCCAGAACCATCTGCATGTGTAAGTCAGCTGCTGCGGTTGCTGCTAGTCAATGTGTCTGACGATTGGTGCAGTATTGTCGGCAAGGGCAATCACTCTGTCAACCACGTTCAGAAGATCAAGCCTCGCGTCGAGCAGATCTGCCAGGAGCAAGGTCTTCAGTACCACACCGAGCACAATGAAGGTAGAATCTACATCAACCTTACCGGTGGAGCAGCGGTCCCTCCTGCTGGCTATGGTCAACCTCAACAATACGACCAATCTCATCATGGAAAGCCCCAGTACCAGACTGCCTACCCTCTTGGAAACCAACAGGGCTACCAGCAACAAGGATATCCTGCCCAACAACAAGGTTACCAGCAGAACCAACAGCAACAACAAGGAACACAGCAGATGGACTACGAAGAGGAGATCAAGAAGAACCTCCCCAAGGTTATTCGCTTCCTCAAGAAGAACTGTTGTACAGTCATGTAATGTGGTCAAATGGCTTATGGCCATGTTGGTCAAGAGATGGTTCTCTTTTTCTTTTCCTTTTCTTTTCTTCGTCGATACCCAAAGGCCAGGATGTAGGATGTGTTCGGGGCTGTCTGAGGACATAGATGCGCCTCCGTGACGGCCGAACGAGGTTAGAGCTCAACAGCTAGTGTCGTGGCCGGGCACACACAAGGCGTCAATGTTTTGGTTGGTGGTTCATAATCTCTTCATTCACTTTGGATCTCCATCATCAGAAAAATTCATTATTTGTTCTCATGCCATTGGGACCATCTCACGTGCTCGCTAACCATTATCGTCACCACCTGGACTAGCGTGCCGCTAGCGTACAAGTGCTCCAGCTGTGAACATGAGTTCAATTGACAGCGACTCTCACCTTCTTGAGCAGCCCTCCACAGACTCAACTGACAGCGGCTCTGCCCTCCTTGAGTATCTCGCGACAGAGTCAATTGACAGCGAGACTGACCTCCCTGAGTACCCCTTCAACGAGGAACAGAGACGCTATCTTCGCATCGTTAACCAGACCACTCCGCTGTCTGATACCATCCGCGCGCAGGCTTTGCGCCCTTCGAGGCCTCCCAAGAGGCGCTACCTCAGCCGTCTTACTGTAAGTGCTGCTACGACTATGCGCAGACAAGCGTCTAACTTTTCAGTCCATCAGCGAGTCGATCAGTGAGAGCCAATACTCAGGTGTGACAACTTCGAGGAGGCTCGTATCTCTCGTTCACAAAGCATCACGCTTCCTAATCCTATTCAGGATTATTTCATCCCTGTATGTCACCCCTGAACATCTGATGTTCTTACCCAACTGACATATTAGACCACCAATCCACCCAGCCTTCCTGGAGACAAGGTCAAGACACGTACCAAGATCTACAGAGGACTGGCTCGTCTCTTCAACCAGAGTAGCACGAGCCTTGCCGAGCTCTCTTCTGCAACCAAGGAGAAGTTCAAGGACTTCAAGCTCGCCAGATCCAAGAGCACTTTCAACCTCCCGGGTCTTGTGTCACCACCATCGTCTCCTTCGAGCAGCACCACTACGACCCTTCCGTCTCGTTCAGTGGGTCTCCCTCAAGCAACCGAGAGCTGGAGTCTGCCTACTTCATACTCCGAGAGCGCACTCTTGATGCACAGCACCGAAATCTTGCCAATCGAGCCATCATCAAAATGGAACAGAGCTCGCCGCAGTCTGCGCGCGTCCACTTGTAAGTTGCGCTCTGAATATTCATCCCACGACAGAGTTTTCCTAACATGTCATGTAGCGTTCCTCAGAGGCAAGAAAAACTGAATGGCATCAAATCTCCGCGTACGCGCTCTTCGAGCGGCCATTGGTCTTCATCACACCGCTCTACTACCGACGCCAATGGCAGTCCTGCAGCATCACGTCTACACGCAATGAATTCATCAAAAGCTTCGCCCTCGCCTCAGTCATCTCACAACTTCGATCCTATTACACCCCCTCCAAACTCTCTTGAATCTCCTCACGTCTTTAAGCCTGTCATTCCTCCTTCAACCCCGACCGGATCCTCGCATCTCTTTAGACCGGTCACAGCCGCTGCTTCGCCCAAGTCGAAGTCAGCACACAATTTCAAACCCGTGATCATCAACAGGTCACAATCTCCTAATCCTCAGCACAACTTCAAACCTGTCATCATCAACAAGTCGCAATCTCCAGAGTCTCCGCACAACTTCAAGCCCATCATTGTCGATGATCTAGCGACACCCATCTCTCCCCATACCTTCACACCCATTCAAACCGCTCCTTCGCCTTCCTTGAGCTCATTTTTCAAGTCTAAAAGCAACGCCCACGCTGACCTGAACGTCAACATTGGCTTCTCTTTCTGCGTCCCGGCTTCACCACCAGTCCACACCGAACCTTCGCCTGTTGTACCTGAGCCGTCCTCAACCGATCCAAGCCGTCCTCTGCCTTTCAAAACTCGTTATCAGCCTTACGTTCCACGTCCCTACGTTGAGGACGAGGAAGTCACCTTTCCCAATGGACTCGATGGAGACAACCCCTATAAGCGTCCTTACGGTGGAGGCGGGCGCAATGACGCCTATCACCTTCATGAGAGATTGACGACCGCGCAGCTCCTGGTTGATCCATATGCTAAGCTACCCAAGCCACCCAAGAAACCTAAGAAGGAGAGTAGTGCCAATCACTACGGTGGACGTTCCGCATCTCAGAGAGAGTCCACAAGATATGTGCACCGTGTTATCAATGGCGAATCTCGGGAGATGTACGAGATGGACGATCTTTCCCCTCCCACATTCGAATCACCAAACATCGCTTTCGAGACCGCCCCTGATGACACTCCCAAGCCTTTCGTGGGCACGGCTGCTACTATCCTGCAGAGGGTCAGAGAAGATCTCCAGATCACGCACGTCAAGGGGTACGATCCCGCCAGTAACGTCTACTTCTACGAGCAGGCCTATGTGCCTCGTTTTTCGAAGCACTCTCTGCGCCCATCTAAGCGCATGTTCAGCATCAGAAACTTTCTCAATCGCCGCCTATATGGCAGACCAGGTGACGGCACCAACTTGCTCCTGCCCCATATCCCTTTCGAAGTCAAGATCCCTGGCGTAGACAAAGAAGACAAGGCCGAGCCCGAGGCAGAGCCCGTCATCAAAAAAAAGGAGAATCCCTTTGCTGGCCACCGTAACTTTCTTGATGACGAGTGGAAAGCTCAATTGAAGGAGGCACAGGACGCCCGAAAGGCACAACAGAAGAAGAGGGCCCGCGAGCTGGAGAAGAAGATAAAGGAGGAGAAGAAGGCCCGTGGCCACTTCTATTCTTTCAGACAGCATCTCGAAGAGCAAAAGCTCGCCAGAGCAAAAAAGAACTATGAGAAGGATGTGGAAGAGGAGGCTAGAAAGGAGAGGATGAAAGCTCCTGAGCCTTCCTTCCCTCCTGATGACCTTTTCAACAAGCCTGAGCCTGTTGAGCGCCAGGATTTCGCATTTGCACAAAATGCATACGAGAAGCAAAGAGCCATTGCTCTGAAGGAAGCAAGAAGCGGCAAGAAGAAGGTTTCTTTCTCCGACTCTGTCTCCGATTACACACCCAGACCGGTTGATCTACGCCACAACTTCCTTCACGGCCATGATTCTACTGAAATTGATATGGATTACAATGCTTTGTCCACTGATGATTCTGCAATGGATCTTGTTCCTCGTTCCAGATCAAACAGTTCTTCTAGCAGCAGCCTCGTCTCGCATTGTGAGACGGCTAACCATCCCTCACTGGTCGTGGCCGTTCACCCAGCCACGTACCCAGCAGACATGGCCAAGAATCTCTTGCGTTGCCAAAAACTGCTCCACTACTGGAAGACGGGCGAGAATCAGCCCGAGGAGGCAGACAGTGAAGAAGTGCGCCAGCGCAACCTCAGAGCTGAAAATATATTGGTAACAGATTTCCTGAAGAAGCACGAGTCAACTCCAGAGAAGCCAATCCAGCCCGTGGCAGCTGAAACTCCGAGATACATTGCGACAAAGTCTTTGGGCATCTCTCCTCCTCGCCTTCGTACTCCTGACCGTTACAAGAGTTATACCTTTGAAGAGGCCGAGCAACTTGTCACCCCAAAGTCTCCTCAACAATGCCAATTTGAAGAAGATCAAGCTGCTACTCCTCGACGCTATCATCTTCCTTCAGTAGAAGAAGTATCCGACAGTGAGGACGAGAAGCACACCACCGATCTCTCCAATGCTCTCAGAGAGTTTTTGTGAGAGATTTGCACCCTACCTTCCAATGAGTGTGCTTGTTTTCTGTCGCGCCTTCCAGGATTCTCAATCTGTCACTCCTGCCTTGATTCTGTCACTTGTCCTTCCTTTGGGTTCCTTGCTCTGGTGTCTTCTCTTTTCAGTAACGTTTGTTCTCTCTGGGTTGTCTAATTGGTGCCGCTCAATACACAAGCCGTCTAATATTGGGTTCTGCTTTTCTAAGGAGCTGGGAGTCTTTTTGTTTTCATTGCTTTTCTTTTGTTCACAAGCACGTACATGAAACAGGCATAAAGGTATAATTAGCAATCGATCACGTTCTTTAACAACTGTGCTTCTCCGGTATAAGATGATCGCAGTCGCGACTTCTCAATCTGGTCTATACCGGTGATGTCATGCACAAGGTCCGAGCGTTCTGAGGTGTTACAGACGAAGGCAGAACATCAACAGCAAATGCCAAACGACTCCATGTCGGACAACAATGAAGCGCCGGTGAAGCTCTCATTACCGCTGGTACGCTTTGGTCATGCAAAGATATAGATGTTGCACCGCTGACAAGAGTGTAGGAGTTCCAGCAGGACATATTCAAAGAGCTCCGCGAGGAAGATGAGCTCGTCATCATGGCGCGTGGCCTCGGCCTTCTGCGCATCGTCACCAACCTCCTACACTCGTACGATGCCGCCGGAAACAATCTGATTGTCGTAGTCGGCGCAGACGACAGAGAGAATGGCTGGATTGGAGAGGCTTTGGCAGAACACGCCGCCATTAGCAACTCGCCCAAATGCCGTGGACTGAGCCTGGTCAACACCGACTTGACAGATGTCGGGCAAAGAGAAAAAATGTACAAGCAAGGAGGCATCTTCTCCGTCACATCGCGTATCCTGGTCGTCGATCTCTTGACCGAGAATCTCGACCCTGCCAAAATCACCGGCCTCGTTGTCCTCCACTCCGAACGCATCGCTGCAACATCGCTGGAAGCTTTCATTGTGCGCGTATACCGCCAGAAGAACAAGCAGGGCTTTCTGAAAGCTTTCTCAGATGCTCCCGAACCTTTCGCGTCAGGCTTTGCTCCTCTGGCAACCATGATGCGCAACCTTTTCCTCAGACGACCCTCGCTGTACCCTCGCTTCCACGTCACTGTCGCAAAATCTCTGGAAGGTCGTCGAAAAGCCGAAGTAATTGAACTGGAAGTCCCTATGACTGATGGTATGCGCGACATTCAAAATGCCATCATGGAGTGTGTTGAGGTCAGCATCACCGAGCTGAAGAAAGGAAACACTGGTCTGGACATGGAAGACTGGAACCTTGACAGTGCTTTGCACCGCAACTTTGACGCCATTGTCCGTCGACAACTGGATCCCGTCTGGCATCGTACCAACTTCAGGACTCGTCAAATTGTTCGTGATCTGGCACTCTTGCGCAACATGCTACAATATCTCCTCACTTTCGACGCCGTAAGCTTCCTTCGATATCTCGACACGGTTTTGGCTGCTTCATCTCCTCCGCCTGGCTCTACTCGTCAAAACCAATCACCATGGCTGTTTTTGGATGCTGCTCATGTCATCTTTGACAACGCCAAGCGTCGTGTTTACACTGGCACCATCAAGGATGGCCAAAACGTGAATGCTAGAACCGGTGTTCCAGACTCTCTACGCCCTGTGCTAGAAGAAATGCCTAAATGGAATCTTCTGGCCGAGATCTTGGAAGAGATTGAGCGTGATATGTACTTCAACCCTTCATTTCAGGATGAGTCAAATGGTAGTATTCTGATCATGTGTGGTGATCAAGGAACGTGTCGGCAAATTCGCGAGTATTTGCAGAGCATGAATGTCCTTCCAGATACGACATCGGTAGCCGACGATGCTGATGAAGATGCTCGAGGACCATCTGGTGCTGCTATGATGCGACGAAAACTCAGAAATTACTTCCTCTGGAAACGAGACTTCAACCGAGTGAGCAACTCGCTCTTTGCAGAGAATCAGAAGAACATTAATGGTACAACTGACCAGCGCCAAGGTCAGGCTGGCCGAGGAGGAAGAGGCGGTGGGTCTAACAAGCGACGCCGCATACGAGGTGGTTCATCTGCCGCATCTGCTCCTACACGCACAGCAAACGGCAGTGTGCATGTGGCAGGAGACAAAGAGTCCCACGTACAAAGTCTCCTGGCCGAGCTTGAGCCTACAGAAGCCGAGGCTCAACAGAAGGCAGAGATTGGTGCCGACCCACTGGATGATATGGACGACTTTTACGAGCTTTACGACATGAAAGATTTAATAATGGTACATCCCTACGACGGCGACATGGACGAACATATCCTTGAGGAGACCAAGCCAAGATACGTCATCATGTACGAACCTGACGCCGCTTTCATTCGACGTATCGAGGTATATCGAAGTAGCCACTCAAACAGAAACGTGAGAGTCTACTTTATGTACTATGGAGGAAGCGTCGAGGAGCAACGGTATCTCAGCGCTGTGCGCAAGGAGAAAGATGCCTTCACCAAGCTCATCCGTGAAAGAGGTTCGATGGCAGTGACCTTGACACATGACCCTGCAGGGCTGGATCCACAGGAGTCGTTCTTACGAACGGTCAATACTCGCATTGCTGGCGGTGGTCGACTTGTTGCAACGGCAGAACCACCGAGAGTAGTCATCGATGTTCGAGAGTTCCGATCATCTCTTCCATCATTGCTCCACGGCAGGAACATGGTCATTGTTCCATGTACCCTAACGGTGGGCGACTATGTTTTGACGCCTGAGATTTGCATTGAGCGAAAATCGATCAAAGATCTTATCCAGTCTTTCCAGAATGGTCGTCTCTACCACCAAGCCGAAACAATGCAGCACCATTATAAGAGCCCGATGCTCTTGATCGAGTTTGATGCCCAAAAATCTTTCACACTAGAGCCCTTTGCGGATCTTTCATCCGGCGTAGGTTCAGGATCTCTGCAAGCATCAGACTTGCAGTCCAAGCTTGTGCTGCTGACACTTGCCTTCCCTCGTCTACGCATCATCTGGTCCTCATCACCATACCAGACCGCCGAGATCTTTGAAGAGCTCAAAAAGCAACAAGAAGAGCCTGATCCCATCAAAGCTGTCAATATTGGTCTGGAAGAGAGTGACATGGATGGTCAAGAGAGAACTTTCAACCAACTTCCACAAGACATGCTACGAGCCGTACCAGGTGTCAACCCAAAGAACTTGACCAACCTGATCCTAAAGTATGAGAACGTTCTGGAAGTTGCCAATGCAGATGAGGATGAGTTGGCAGCGCTGATCGGAAAGGAAGCTGGCAGACAGATCTACCGTTTCTTCAATCGTAGTGTCTTTGACGAGTAAATGGTCGTCTGCCGCGCTTATACAGGCAGTTTTATCACCACAGAACATTATAATAGCAACGTTCAACATGTCTTAGTCGCACCTGCCTGTTATACCGTGCAACGTTGTCCCTACCTTGTTCTAAACATGATATATCAGAACGTCTTGGTCGGGATGGGTTGTCGTCGATTCAGGAACAATGTTCTATCTCAGCTCGTCGAGACAAAATATCATTATGTTTCTAGAGCTGCTCAGCCATCGAAAGCTAGCTTACAGAAAGTCCGCCCCGGGTCCCAGTGTCGTCACGCATGAGGCAGGTGTTGACCTCGGTTCGCAATTGCTTTCGTCAGTTTCGTATGTCTGATTTGTTCACCGAGCTGCTTTTCTTCAAATGTGGCCATAGCCATCCCTCTCGACGAAACAGCATCAGAGCTCTGCCGGCGGCAGCACAACCCCTATGCTCACAATACATTGGCCTGGGCGACTGTCATTGTTTCGTGTGATATCACTGGGGTTTGCTCGTGCCTAGTGGCTCACTATAATACAATAATAGCCTTAGTCCGAGGTTTGAAGACTGCCATTGTCACCGGAGTGTATAGTCCCTGGCCATCACCGCCAACATACACCTTTTGACCTGATGACTCCTGGTTTCGACAATCTTCACTTGTCAAAAATCCGGGATTTGTGACTGACCGCTCACTATAACTCTTATGGCTTCGTCACATGGGGACTCAAAGATGTTCCCATTGCTTGTGATTGTCGGAGGCTCCGTTCTCGTGCCTGAAGCCATACTACAATTCCTTGGATGACACTGCCATTGTCACTTGTGATGCTTTCAGCACTGGGGGCTTGTGCCTGATGCTCTCACTACAGCAAGCTCCGTATTATCATTTTGTTGACAGCCAGGCAACAACACTGACAAACGCACATGGCTACGCTCCAATTCTCATTGATAATGCCATACATCAATGCGTCAATTGTATAAATATGAAGCCTAGCTAGACTATATAGGAACATCGATCGATATTGTTGATAAAAGCAACAAAGATCTCCGATCTCCAAACAGCTGAAGGTCAGTATGCTCAAGCAATCTCTGTGGTTAGCATGATTGATATTGATACCTTCTTGCCTCTGCCAGAATTCAAATTTGTCTTTGCAAGGATAAACAGTCATGATCAAGAACGAGACACCAGATACTCCCCGCCCATCGAGCCCCGCTCGCAAGCCTACGATCAACCTTCCTCCCATTACTCCTATATCAAAGTCACCACAACTCAAAGCTCGCACCCCTAGCAACAAGTTTGTCACCTACAAGGAGTGTCTTGCAAACGACCGCGCTGCCAGAAAGAGTGCAATATCTCTAGTCAAGCAAACAGATGAATACATCTTTGAAATGGACCATCAAAAAAGGGACCTGATGCTCGAGACCGCTGCTCAGGAGACTGATGCCAAAAGAATCAGAGACGGAGAGCACGTTTCCTGCCTATTTGAGGAAGCCCAGGAAACACCTCTGAGCCCCGAGGAAGCTGCTGAGGTATGGGAAACTACAAAAAGAGAGATTGCCGCAAAGACGTCGGGCTTAAGAGGAAAACCAAAGTCTAAAGTCACGATGGTACCTACGAAGATGGCTCGTCGGGATGAGAAGATTGAAATTGAAGAGAGCGTTATCGACCTTGCTCGCGACGTCGATGTCGCCTCTGAGATGCTTACATCGAATGGTCTTCCGGTCATGGTTATTGATGATGATTAAGGCACGAGAACAAGAAAGTTAGCGGTTGTAGCATACGAAACCAACGTCATAATGAACAATGTAACATACCCCGTGTCCCAAAGTTTATGCTGTAACAATGCACGATGTTCACATGTCGCCAATTGGAGAAATGACTTTGTAGGTTAGTCTTGTAAGCCCGTGAGATAATCTCTTCAGTGAGAAACACGGGCTCTCAACGGACCTTGCTGTTTTTCATAAGACCATCAAAATGCATGAATGTATTGAGTTTTGGGAGTACGTCCAGAGAAATGTCATGAAATGCAGGGCTCTCAGGGGATAGTGGCCGGAATGCAGAAACTATTGTGCATTTCTACAGCTTGTGTGGTATCTTTCCATCAAATCGGGAGATCATGCCCTCCCTATTGCTTGACTCCATAATATGTATTCGTCAAAATGCACAGTTGTTTCCAGGTAAGAAGATATGTCCAGAGAGATCTTGTATGGTGAGAGCTCTCAGTGGATACTGTCCAATATTTCAAATTAATTGTGCATTTTTATAGTGCAATCGTTCGTCTCTTTCACGATGAGAGAGCCTTTCAAATGACAAGAAAAACAAAAGAGCAGCGTATTGACTTGCAAATCCTAAAAATACAAAAAGCGTGATGATAGAAAACTTTAGGCGGCAGAGTTCTTGATCTCATCTCTTCTGGCTTGTGCAGCCTGTTCGGCAATTCTGCGCTCTTCGATCAAACGAGCTGTACCTGCTTCCTTGTGTGCGGCGGATTCCTTGTCCCAGGCTGTCCAGACTGTGAAGAGAGGTTAGCTCAGTATGCAGAAAGAGTTGGCAACAAGAGCGAGCAAAAACTTACGAGGCAAATCGCTCTTTGAGTGCTTCTTGAGCTGTGCAACCCACTCGTTGAAGTTCTCTTGCTTCTCCTTGCGGTTCTCCAGCGATCGTCTCTGCAACTCGGGGTTATATCTCTAATAGTCGCAAATCGCATTAGCTCGTGCATTCGCAATTGCAAAATTAGTCATTCGCCTGGTAATCCAACGAAATGTGGAAGCCAGTCTCTTATACGACTCCGAAACGATTTATGAGAGAAGAAAAAAAAAATTACTAACCATGAACAATTCCTCTTCGGATGGCGTGACGTAGTAGATCAGGTAAGGACCGCCAATACACAGGATGGCACCCCTAGAAGAGCAGCATATCAGTACCAAAAACTTCGCGCAAGTGTAGTTGCATGGGAGAAAGCGCATACGATCCGATCATCTTTGCCCACAACTTTACGCCTGGCATGGTGGCGAGCTGTGCGTATGAAAACTTGACTGTAAGGTTTTGCGACTTTGGCGTTTCGAGGTCGGACTACAAGAATATAGCTCTGTATAGCGCAAAGTCACTTGTTCAAGCGTTGCGATATAGTTATGTGGGTTGTGGGTGCGACACGATGTTGATATAGAAGATGTAATAGATTGCTCGTGGGGCCATAGAGGTCAGCGCACAGGTCAAGCCACAGTTCGGCCACAGACTTGATCTCAGCCACATCTTGGCATAACAATCGCGACAAAAGAGTATGGTCTTACAGATGTACAATTGCTTGCTACAAACGCTATAGGCTCTTTGTGAGATAAAGGCAAACCATTCAAGTATGAGCTTGAGTATCGCAGAAGAACAAATCATCCAACAAGTTGTTAGAGAACTTCTTGTGCAAGTCCTTCAAAGTCCACCCTTGTCGTTTGCCGATCTTTTCCAAAACCGCCAGACATTCTGGAATCTCGTTTTTGTACGCCACCGTCTTGATATATTCTCGAGCTGGAAGACCACGAAACCGCATGTTCACCCACTCTTTTCCCCAATGTGGGCGAAGCCTACCTTCAGGAGCAAGTGTGATCAATGCATCGACCAATCCTTGACAGAACGTCTGCCACTCTTCTTCGGTGACTGTGTCGATGATTGATCCAATCTCAATAGCTACGGTGCCATGATTGTTTCCACGTTGAGGAGCCATGATTATGTCGCTATCACCCGTAATTCTCATGTCCATTGCTAATCGCATTGGTGAATTTGCCGAGCGGTACACCAAATCAATCACACTCCACCAAGCTTTCCTTACCGTCGTCCAATCAGGTCTGTTCTTGTCTGTTGGTGAAGACGGTATTGGTAATTCGAGTGCCATATTTCTGGCGCGAGCATAGTGCCGGCCGCGGCGGAAGTGGAGTGCATTCGGCAATTTGGTCTTGATCTCAAGATTATCTGGGTCAGTGGTCAAAGGTGAGAGTACGGCCATGTTCCCCGTTGCGAGCAACTGAGATTGCCATCTCGCCGGTATGTCAGCATAAAAGTCAGTACCAACAATGACAGCGGTGATCTACGACGCGATCCATTGTAGAAATGTTTGGGTAGGGGTTGTGTAGTCCTGTTGCCCTTCGCTATCAGAGACTGTCGACCATGTGTTGACGAGAACGTCTGATTGATAGGAAAACCATGACCACTCAGTATAGTAGTCTTGCTCAGCTCGTCGTTCAAACTCAGCAATTGCTTCCTGGAGTTCTTCGGAGCTGGTTTCAACATGCAATGCTTCAGGAACTTGGCATGTATCCGGAGGTGGAATAGCAAGCATTGTCTTTACCTTACGCGGTCGCATGACGGCGAACGTCATTTTATTGACTTCGTAGGTGACGTGTGTGATGATTCCTAACAGGCCGAAGCACCCCAAAGCAGCATGCAACTCGAAGGAATCTTTGATTGTTTGAACAACGCCGTTGACATCAACGTACTCAAGCGATCTGACATAGTCGTTGATGGCCTTGTGTGCGAAGCCTGAGCCATGACACATGGACGCAATGATTCTACCGGTGGTCATTCTGGAGACGGTCAGCTGGACACCAAGAATGACAGGACATCTCGTCTGCCCTACTCATCTGCTGTGACGTCTACAGGCAGCGACCAGCCGTCTTCGATGGCCTATTCTCGAAGCTCTTCCGGAGTGACTGCCGCCCCAACTCGGACTCTTTGAGTATCTGCTTGACCTGCTTGAGGAGGAAAGGTCTGGATGCTCCTCAACTCTCCCGTTAACTCGGCTTCGTTGATTCGGCCGGTGAACAGGTTGATCATCTCTGGCAGCACACTTGCGACGTGGTGCAGGCTGGCGAAGGAGACGAGAATATCTCCGTCTTCTGCGAAGAAGTTGGTCCTGGTATGGCGATAGCCACTACATCGGATGCGCTTTTGGGGATATGCCTTGATCAGGTTCTGCAAGCCGAGTACAGTAGACGGAACGAAGGTCAGGATGGGTCTGGTGTGTACATTCTGTTGCCAGTTGAGAAAAGGGACGTCGGTATAGACCTAGATGGTGCGTCAGCGAGCAGTCAAATTGTACTACCTCAAGGCCGTTCGAACCTCCATGATTCTGGTTCGCTCGCAGTCCTCGAAGATGACCGGACGATGCTCCACGGCACCTATTGTTTGTTCGACCTTGGCGTAGGCACGGGAGCCAAAGAGGTGATGTTTTTTGTGTGCATCGGGTACACGGCCACCGAAAGGATTTCTGTGCAAGTTCAGAGGCGCGCAGGTAATATCGAAACCCTGAGCTACAACGGTCTCTGCTGGAGTGCCACTGAGAAATGCCGAGACTTTCGCTTTCAAATCGGCGTTGAGCTGACCATGCAGCACTTCAAAAGTGAAAGTGTCCTCGAAAATCTGACACAGAGCGCGGGTCGCATCCTCGGATCCAACTTGGTCACCTCGAACTCCATCGGCAAGCTGACGAAGCAGGTCCAGATCGATGGTGGGATGAGCATCGGCCAAGGCAGTAGCTTTCTAGGCAATCTCTCCAAGAATATAGTAAGTGTCGAGTTTCGCAGGTGGCGGCTGGTAAAGTTCTAGGAGCATGACGACTGGCAAAAGGAAGCAGTAAATCAAGCAGGATAACAATAAGTGGAAAGGGGAACAAAGGACCGTGAAATTGATGTAGGGCGCCTGGCTGGTATCGATCTCAGGGAGGTTGATGCGGTGGTTGAGAACAAGAGTCATGTCTTGCTTCCACGTATTGTGCTGCGCTCAGGGAAAGGGCAATGGCTGACATCTGACAATTGGCAATCCTAGCTCCAAGGAAGGTCCGAAAGACCTGCGACGGTGCTCAAATTTCAAACCTTCACAACCATTGACGGCCTCGAACATCCCCTAGAACGGTAAAAAGAAGCCCCGTGGCCATCAACAGCAACTGTCACAAGTGAAAGAAGCGGTGGACTGTCGCATGTGATGGTTTCTATGCTCGGGTTGACCAGTGGGTTGACCAACCCTGGATCTGTTCGGAGGTTTACGGACGAACGACTGGATGGTACAGTTGACGCTACCAGGGCAAGCCCCATACTCATTACGGACATCATCGACTTTGCTGAAGCCATGTCAGGAAAGTACAAACGATGACCGACACAGACAATGATTCAGGGAACGTGGAGGTTATGAAGGTCATGGAGAGCAGGGGTGGGTTGGTGGGGCAGTGACATGCAAATAGTGAAACCGGCTGGACCTTTTGATGAGCACGCGACAGCAAGTTGAGCTAGATGGTTAGACGACGTAGATAGATGGCAAAGGGCGCTGGAAAGAAGCCTGGCCACCCTTCGCGATACCGACAGACAGGAATACGGGCTACGTGGCGTATGCACTGGCAGCTTCTGACTAACAAGATGCTTCCCATATCATGATTTTGGCAGCCTCGGGCGTTGAGAAATACAGCTCTTGAAATCGTGTAGTTACGGAAAGCGATGATGGCTCGGTTGAATTTGCGGAAGCCGCCTGTTTAGGAAGGGACGAAGTTCCGGCGAAGGGGGAAGGAGCACACGTTCGCCCCAGCTGAATTCTGATTGGTCGGTGCTCGTACTCCAGCAGTTGTGCTTTCTCCAACCTCTGAACGTGGTGAGGCCAGACAGAGTCACAGAACGATCCACTTCGTGGTTATTAGGTTGGCGGCATTTGCCAATGCTCATTGAAGACCCCTCTCAACAGCCGTCGGCAAGCTGCTACGTAGACGCGAGACTCGTCTGACGCCCTTTTTGACCGCAAACACGAACAATCTCGCCTGGACCCATATGTCATTACCATTGCAGTCCAAATAAGAGTGAAGCCCGCCGCTCATCACTAACCTTCGTCGCTTGTTTGCCAATCACGTTCTATCGCTTTCGACTGTAGAGCTGTTCGTCAGCCCTTCTACGCCGTAATTTTAGAACGCCAACAAATCACCCCTCCCTCTCAAGCAAGATGTACGTTATCATCACAAGTTTATGGTTTTCACACCAATTGTATTATCATAATCTGACTGTTTCGCTATCAGGAAGTTCGGCAAACACATCCAGAAGAGGCAGCTGGATATTCCAGAATATGCTGCCAGCTTCGTTGACTACAAGGCCCTCAAGAAGGTAACCATCTCGCCATACTGCCGCCCACCAATTTTGCACAAGTTTTCATTTCATACTGACGTTCCACAGTTGATCAAGAAGCTTAGTGCGACACCGGTCATACACGCCCAAGACCTCACACATGCTGGAAGCGGTCTTGCCGACTCTCAAGCCTCATTACAGGCAAATAAAGCCACATTCTTCTTCCGACTAGTAAGATCACGATATCGCTCTTGATGGTCACAAACTAACGGCTTTGAAGGAACGTGAGCTGGAGAAGGTGAACACCTTCTACCTACAGAAAGAAGCCGAGGTATGCTATCTATCATCGGACCTTTGTCACTCTATCTAACACTACTGCTAGCTCAAGTTACGGTTAAAAACTTTGGCGGACAGGAAGAAGTCATTACAAGCTCGTGGACTGTCTGCTTCAAAGCTCTCGACAGTCTTCGTTACACTGGATGAAGGTTTCCGGCTGTTCAACAGTGATCTCGACAAGCTGCAGGTGTGTTGGCTACAAATGACTCAAAGGGCGAAATTCTGACTTGTGTAGCAATTCATCGAGATCAATCAGACAGCCTTCTCAAAGATCCTCAAGAAGGTGGGATCTTAGTGCCCCGTTAACATTGGTTCTCGACTGCTAACCTATTACTATAGTGGGACAAAACTTCAAAGTCGCGCACAAAAGAGCTGTATCTCTCACGAGCAGTAGAGATCCAACCTTGCTTCAACAGAGATGTCATCAGGGATCTTTCCGACCAAGCCACATCAAGCTTGCTTGAGCTTGGCGCTTGGGCAGAAGGTGAAAAGATTGAATACATCCCTAGCGGCGATCAACACCAAAAGCCCCAAGCCGGTGCGCAAGAGGACAACGATATTGAAATGCAAATGCAACAGGCAGTGAACACTGGTAACGAAGCACTAATCAAGGAGTGGATCTCAAGATTGGGGTCCACAGATGAAGCAAGAGAACGCATTAACCGCATCTTCCTCAGCACAATCAACGACGCACCCTTGGAGATGCAAAAGACCTTGTTGGAGACGGACCTGGTCAATTTGAACTACGTGGATGAGATCAACGAACGTACTTGCTTGCATGAGCTCTCGATCTCAGGAAGACTACGCACCCTGACAATGGTACTCGAGCGTGGAGCAAACCCCATAGCGACCGATATCTATGGTCGCATTCCGCTACATTACGCCTGTATGCGCGGTCACGTTGACGTAGTCAAGGAACTTGTCAAGCACGACTCGGCGAATGCAATGCAGGGCGTAGAAAGCACTTCTCCAAATGCCGCACCCGTTGCTGAAAGCGTCGACTACAAGGACCTGGACAATTTCACACCTCTCATTCACGGTATCGTGCATGCGCGCTTTGCCGCTGTGCAGGCAGTCTTGGAGTTGGGTGCTCGCGTAGATCCGACTAGCGAAGCCGACCACATTCCAATCAACCTGGCCTGTCAGTACGGATCGGTCGCAATTGTGGACCTGCTCCTCCAATACCACCCACAAATATTGCCTGATGCAGAAGGCCTCTATCCACAACATCTAGTTCCTAGATCAGGCCGTAGTCCGCAGATACTGCAGATGCTGAAGAACTACGGAGCTAATCTAGATCAACCGGACAAACTCTATCAGTGGACTCCGCTCTTCCATGCTGCGAGCGAAGGTCACTTGTCTTGCCTGCAAGCTCTACTTGAGTTGGGCGTAGACGTTGATGCATTGGATGAGAAGGACCTCTCCGCCATGTACTACGCTGCATGGGAGGGTCACTTGGACTGTTTACGTCTGCTGGAAAAGGCAGGTCACGGCAGAGGAATTGCCCGTGAAGAACCAACGCCAGCTCCTGCCACTTTCCAATCTATTCTCAGCTCAAGTGCGCCCATCCCCGCAAGTGCGGATATGGAAGCAATTCCTGATCTTTCATTGCCCCCTCCCATCATTCCTCTTAGAAGATATGGTCACAACTTCCTCGACACAACAAAGACATTCATTGTCATTAGCTTCGATTCACAAGATGCCGAAGCGATTGAATTCTATGGCGACAACAAGTATCCTGCAGCAAGGTTGACGATATCGTCCAAATCATCAGATCTCATCCCCCGCAACATCCCATTGCCGATACAGGACGAGTTCAAGGTCATCTCTTTCCAGATCGACAACCTCGACACCTTTTCGATCGACTTCGACATTTTCCCTACATTCGGTTCCAAGATCATTGCCAGAGGCGCAGCGTCGTCGCTTGTATTCTCGCGCAGATACAGTAGTTCTGGAAATTGGCATCTGGAACTCTTTGACCCTAGACTCCGAGCTATTGGACGTATCAGCTTCAAGTACCAAGTCGTCACGCCTTTCCATGGCATTCCCATGGAGATTACACAATTTGCCACGTACTGGAAGGCGACGAGTCAGATCAGCTCTCAGCCTAACGCACTTATAACTGGTTCAAGTTTGAGCGGAGATTACATGCGCATCTTTGTGCAGGCAACCAAGGATGGTGTGCCAGTCCTGTACCCTTCGTGGGCTATGCCATCGGCACTTGCAGCGTATGGTGTGAGAAATGACCTGATCAGCCGTCTGACTTATGAGCAATTCTCGGCAATCGGCAAAGCAAACGGCAAGGGACCTGAAAGCTTGAGGGCGCTGCTTGATTCTTCGCGCGCGCTGTTGGCGCAGGGTCTTGCAAACTGTTGGTGCTCTCTCGGTGACGTGCTCGAGATCCTGCCTCCACAGATGCATCTCGATGTGCATATGCTCTTCCCCACAAAGGCAGAAGAGGAGCAACTGCGACTTGGCCCGACAGGCAATATCAACGAATTCGTGGATGCTTCGTTGAAAGAAGTGTTCGACCATGCAAGCCGCCTACGTGGAGCAAATGAAGGCTTCATAAGATCAATTGTGTTCTCTTCTTACAACCCCAACATCTGTACAGCACTCAACTGGAAGCAGCCAAACTGTAAGTGGCTATCAAGACATATTTTACAAGACAGAACTAATTTGGTGTGCAGACCCTGTGCTATTGTGTAATGACCTCGGCATTGAACAAGCAATGTCGGAAGAGGCAGAGTGGCCACTGTTCAGCAGTGGGCGTACCACAACATCTGTCAAGGAAGCCGTCAGAATTGCACAGAGCAACAACTTCATGGGACTGATGTGCAGCTCCAGGTTGCTGGTAAGTAGTGGCTAATGAGGCAAGTGAAGCAAGCACAGGCTGACGTAACCGACAGGAACTTGTACCGGCACTGATCGAGTCAATCAAGACGGCAGGGCTGGTGCTCATCGCCGACGTGACCAACTCGACAACACAGGAGCAGGTTGCACGAGCGTCGTTTGACGCGCTGCCAGATGAGGTGGACGGTTATCTTGACAACAACGCAGTTTTGCGATTCCACGAAAGCGTCGATATGTAAAGACGGGCTATAGATATGGGACCAGGCAAGGCGTAAGGGTTGACGTATAGAGGCGGTTCTATTGTTCATCTGCAGAAAAAACGGAGGCTATCACTGGGAGGTTGCAGGATGATTGATGACGAATAATCAAATTCATGCAAGGAGCTAAAAAAGAATCAAGCACCTTTGTAGTTGTACTTTAGACGTTCCAAGCTGGCGACATCGAGCGGGACTAGTTGAGAGCGAGCATACATGGTGACGAGGAAGATGGCTATACATAACAGGTCAGTGAGGAATGAGATTGGGTCGGATGCGAGACGACACGAACCACCAGGCATCAAGGCGCGCCAGGCTTCGTCGACCAAGTCTCTCTTCCAAGCCAGCACGCCAGAGAGCGCAAGAACAGCAGTGAGAGCAGCATTCAGCCAAGGTAGAGCAATATCCAAGGGACCTCTGCTGTCGATCATGGCGGCAGACAATCTCGAGCTGTCGACAGCGACAGGCGCAGAGGGGACACAAAGCAAGATGTAAACGGTGGCTCCCAACGCCGTCAAGGACAGCAAGGCCAGCAAGACATGTCTGAAAGCTTCGGCAGAGAACAGCACGGGCAAGTATATGAGGGCCGTCACAGCAGGCAGAGCGGTGAAAGCGCGGCGGTAGAAGATGGTATTGTCCAGATCGCGCTTTGCCAAATCGTCAATAAGAGTTTCCTGCTCTTGCTCGTCCAGTTCTTCGCGGTCGCTGTTGTCGCTGTCTGCGTCTTCGGAAGGGTATTGGAATGTTTTGCGTAGACGGGCGGCCATGATTGTTAGTGTCGTCTATTTCAGCAGTTGCGACCAGCCGTAAATTGTTTGAGCCCCTCCAAAACACGGAAGACGCGCCGCAAAGTGGGAAGCTGCGCATGACGTGCAGCAGCTCTTTTCCCGGAGAAAAGCCGTCAGTATACCAGCAGCAGTCATCAGACATTCTGCCTGGACAGAGAATCCCATACCACACACATCTTCCAGACATGCCACCGAGACTACCACTCCGCAAGCCCCTCGAGGCTCTCTTCAAACGCAACAATGCCACCATCCTCACATCCCGCCGTACCCTCATCGCCGCGCCAAAACCAAACTCCGGGCCTCTGATGGAGCGCCGCGCCGACCGCGCCCTCCCCGACATGACTCCCAGCAAATCATGGATGATCACACTACCTCTATTCCTTACCGCCATGGCTGCCTCCACCCTCGCCATCTTCAACTACCAAAAGCAAAACTCGTCTGTTGTGACCAGCACAATGTACTCATTGCGAACAAATCCTTTGGCCAGAGAGATCCTGGGTGATGAGGTTTACTTTGCCAGCAAGATTCCTTACATCGGTGGAGAGATCAACCAACTGCATGGAAAGATTGATGTCGTGTATTGGGTCAAGGGAACAAGGCAACAAGCCAAGATGAGGTTCAAGAGTTTCAGGAAGACGAGGATGGGAATTGTAAGTTTTCCGGGTAAAGAAATGCTGAGGACTAAGTGCTGACAAAGAGATAACAGTTTGAGACTACCGAGTGGAGTCTGGAGTTGATGGATGGCACTGTGGTGGATCTGCTCAAGAACACTGATTCCGATCCTTTTGTCGCTACGCCTATGGAAGCTAAGGCTATCGCTGCCGAGGCGTAAATCGACCGCCTGAACCTTCTTGAAGGCCATCAAGAACCTCCTTGCGCCTAGAGCATGCCCCACATTATACTGCCTCTTCATCACCTCGTCCTGGGCACGACATTCCTTGAATTGAGAAAGAGAAGGCAATATACTTGACATGAAACGCACTGTAACATTAGATCTGGTCTCTGCATCACACGAGACCATACTGTACATATACCACACACCAAATCTAAGAAAGAGAAGAATTCTGCGAATACACCATTGCAACTTTTTGTCTACCTCGAAGCTTCTTCTATCTGGAAGATTATCCTCCTATATCTTGTGATAGGTGTAGCGCTCTGTCCCTTGACAGACAATATAACATGGTAGGTCTGACAGCCAGTCTGCGGACATGCAAGCGTCTCGTTCGGCATCTCCATCTGAACGGTTGAGCACGCCTGATTTAAGCAAGTAAAGTTGAGTTGAGGAATGTCTGCATTGGCGTTGTATTGGTTGCTGGCTGTGATGTCTTTGTAATGCATCCACTCGAACGTCAAAGTAGAGCTCGAGTTGCTGTCTGGGTCGATTGTGGCCGAGGCATCAAGAACAACACTCTGCTCCGGCTGAACAGTCAGGGGGTATGGTTCCGTGCCAGTCGTCCCGTTCAGTGTGATCTTGGGAGGATGCACGGCTGCACTGTAGTTTGAAGAAAGCGACCATTGCACTCGAGCACTCATCTCGTTTTGGTATGCGCTCCGCCATCTCCAGATGGTGGCATGGTTCGACACTAGAGTGTTTCCACTAATGCCTACCACACGGTCAATGGTATCGGCATAATGGTTCGAGGCACCTGAGATGTCGGATAAGATGTATCTACCGCCCCAGCCACCAAACTCGGGATGAGAAGGCACATTGAGACCGTTAGGGATGACTGACAGTAATGAGGGACTGTCGCCTTCCATAATGTACGCTCGATTGGGGTACTTTGCCCCCAGAGGACCAAGTTGAAAGTGGTTGCGGATATACGTGTCGTCAACGAGTGTCGTGTCTGGACCACCTGCGTCAAAAGCATATAGAATATCACCACTGATACCTGTCCACGTCGCAAGATTGTACATGTTGAAGCCGTGAATTGACGCAATATATGGGATTTGCGGAAAGTTCTTGCGAATCCATGGTCCTGCATTATCCTGATCAGAGATTGAATATACATGCAGTTTGCTGACAAAAATGTCGAGTTCTTCCTGTGTACTGGTACGGTTGACATGATCCAATGCTTCGGCAAGGACATTCGCACCTCCCCAAAGCAGAACATGCAGGGTTTCGTTCGAGTTGCCAGCAGCCGAGATGAGCAATTCTGCACCCAAAGACAAAGTCCCGTTCTTGAGTGCTGCGAGGCCATATACGGAGTGGCCTGCTTTCACCACAGAACGCAAGCTATCGGCACTTGGGAATGTGCTTTCGGTGTGAGTGTTGAGGTTGGTAGTGACGTTTTCATAGGCGGCGATAACATCTAAGATGTGTTCTGGGTAGGTGGTATCATTCAGCCAGTACGAAGTCGTTGTCGTGATTCCTTGAATTGACAGGATGTCTGAATGCAAGAGCAATCGGACCAATGACATTTGGTCATCAGGCTCATTGGAGATGTCTGTAGCGACGAAAATCCTAGGGTATGAGATAGAAGCACTTGAGTTGGATGTGTTCGAATCCAGAGGAGCGGAACGACAACCCAGACAGAGTAGCCATGCGAGACTGAGGTGGAGAAGACTGATCATCGTTGCAATTACTTGTATCAAGCAGTTCGAAGTGTAGCGGAGCCTACTACCTTATGTACTTCTCCATGCCCTCTCGGTAGTAGGTACTTACTTGGAGCCAGGGCACACCTGATCGAAGCTCGTCATTGCTCCAAGATCCCCGCAATTACTGCTTGCCCTAATGTACATCGGTCACAACAATGCGCTTGAATCTGCCCAAATCATCAAGGAGTGGAGGTGAATCTTGAAATGAAGGTGGAAGATCGCTGTGGATCGTATCCAACCCCGCAATGCTATCCCGAAGGCATCGGGTTTCGGTACAAATTTTTACCGAATAGGCAGTCACTCAGCGCTGCTGCTTGTCAAGTTCCGCTTCAAAGCTGACAACCTCAACAATCTGTAATGTCGACATCCATAGGACAACAAAGTGAACAGAGATGTTGTCCTGGGTTTTGAAACTTAGAACCTCTTCCTTGTGGACGAGTGGTTGGTGCCCGACAAGTCTTGAGCATGATAGGTGCTTTGATTGCTACAAGGTTCGATGAATGGCACCTCATTGGTACTTCAGTGAAAGGCTCAACCATCTGTTCAGTCACTAGATCAAAGGAAGGCTATTGGGCCCATCTGATATGTATTACTTCATGTTCTCATCGTGGTCCAGCCAATGACAACCATGTCGAGCCTCGCCCAACAAGCACTACACACCCGAACGCCGAGAATCTCTTGAATTCCAGCAAAGCTGCTTGATACTTCACACATCGTAGCAAAGGGACCAGGTATTATTGGTGATGAAGAAGTCAGAAAGGGAATGGGATAAGAATCTGGATTCATGGAAGACCTCTGGAAGGTTGTCGGGTACATGGACGATTCTGACAAGTTGCACCTGGGCCAGCGCGAGGACTTCATTACGACTTGCGAGCGCTTTGATAGAAACAGTCAGAGCGCTTGTATCTTCGAAGGATCTGAGAAGATTGTATCGTGCTTCAAGCGAGCCGCTGGCGAACTTGTAGGACGATTATGACGAAAATTATTACAGCCTTGACAAGTATGGGACTCGTAAAGAACGATCAGAGTGGCGGTGACCTGGATGAGCGATGAAATACCCTCTGCGCCGTCGAGAGAGATGTCTGTGCTCGCAAATGCATACCAGCACTGTGAGCTTTATACAACTGTTTCGCACCACGTGCTATGGATTGCCGCCGGAGACCATTATAGAAACACCCACCCAGCCCGTACTAATGACCATTTTGGATAGTATCGCCTTCCTGATTCTGTACAAGAAGCCGATAACCAAACTTCTCGTTCCCTGGTTCTTGTTTCACAGGCACAACACCAACCACTTTGTCTATATTGTTCTAGCAATTATCACCTTATCTTTAGGATCCGCTACGATTATGAATCATCCAGTATGGCAACACGATTTGTTTCTCCCGAGAAACACGATCAGGCACAAGACGCTCCAGCAACTTCGGAAAGTGCTTCAGGCTACCAACCCGGCCATCCTGGCTCCCATCCACCCGCAGAACATCAGCAAAACCAGTCTCATACTCATGCATCTGAATCTGGTAGAAGTCGCACCCGGCCTGGCCCTTCTCATCAACTCCCAGACGCTCAGCCAACGGATGATCGGCCACCTGGTCTCGCTTTTCCACCAGAGCCATCAAAGGATGTTCCTGTCACGCGTCAGGTTCTCGCTTCATACGCCCCTGAGGCTCCTGCCCATCAGCTATCAGCCTTCGTTCAGCCTGTTTCCCATCAACTCCGACATGACCTTTCCCATCCCTACGCAATACCTGGCCACCAATTTACCGATCATGCGTATTCAAACCCTCCGACAAACGTGTTTCCCGCGCTCCTTCCAAGCTTAATCTCCTGGATCGACCAAGATACAGTCCGCAATTACCTCACTATTGCCGCCGTTCATCACAGAGATATCCGCGACATGGTAGAAAGAGAGTACGAAAGGATTGTAGAGGAACACGAGGCTAGGAATAAAGAAGATGCCGACATCTTGTCCTTCGCTCAGGAGCGCATAAGGGTACAAAAGACTCTCGACCAGGAGTATGAAACCCTTCCAGATCCCATGAAATGGGAGATACTTGATCAGGCGCTCGACACGATCAATCGAAATATCATGGCCATTCCTCCCCTTGTGCGACCGGGAAGCAATTGGAAAACCAAGTTCAATGCTTTCCTCAACCTCGTCTGGATAGGCAGCGCGATAGTAGATGGTGACGGCATGCTCCCCGCTGTAATCAGATCTCATATGGTCGATGGTTCTGAACTCGTGAAGGCGCTTTATCATGTCTGTGCGATGATGAGTGAGGCGGAGGTCTCGAACGACGGTACTCATCTTCTGGAAAACTTGCTAGGGCTCGAAAGCATTCGAGGACATTGGTTTCAGGGTCTTGAAAGAATTGTGGACATGTTTCGGAAAATTATGCAGCAAGGCAGGGTGAGCTGAGGAGAACGAAGCAGTGTTAGAGCTCGTGATGACGAGGCTAATGAGCAATAAGTCTTAACCATTCAGCATAACTAATACAAGTTTTCAACACACCTTGTCAATATTGTGATCGTTGTCACTTGTTCAAAACTAACCATTGATCCTTTGTGATCAAACTACACGATCTCGACGCGTCGAAGGCATACGTCCATGAAAATGCGTCCGTAATCTTTGCTTGCTTGAGCCATCTGATATTCTTAACGTTGTCACTCTTTTTGGGTGATATCTAAAAATCAGCAGATTGAGAATGCAGCCACTCACCTTGTCTGAAAAGCCAAAAGGCATCTCGCATGAAGGTGTCGAACGTGATGACACGGATGAAAATCCTCAAGTGTCAAACAAAGCCGCAAGATTGGAGACAACCACAGATGGAACTAGCTCTACATCCACCACTCGAGTCAACGCAGATAACCAATGAGTGAGGTCTACTTAAAGACAACATCTCCCACCCTTGCAGAGGTCTGTCACTGAAGTATCAACAACACATCTGGGCACGCTGCATGCAACAGCAAAGCCACTCCAGATCGTAGCAGGACGCAAGAAGGAAGAGGAAGACAAAAGTGACGAAGATGAGATCGAAGAAGAACCAAGCGAGTCTGAAAAAGAACCTCTCGGCCTGTTTAGCAGAAAATACCGTGTTCGTCATATCCACATCTTCGAGGCTCGCAGCAAGATGCCATCACCTACGAGGCTTCAAGTAGGACCGAGTATCACCTGCGGAAAACCTCTGACCAAATCCAACCTGAAAGCTTGTACGAGATGAAGCTCAGTGCCATGTGCACGCTGCATGACATTGGTCTATTCGTAGTCGAAGAGAACGACTTTCTTGGATGCAAAGTGAGGAATTACATGGCATTCAGTTCCGTATTCGTCGACACCATGTAATCACCGTACAACAGCATAACTAAATCGGAACGAAGGAGAATCAGCCATGATTACTTGGAGGATCTTGAGCAACTAGACAAGAAACGAGGTGCTTGTTTCGAAGGGGTTGACAAGATTGTGGAGCTCTTCAGAAAGTCCAACCCTCGAAAACAGGATGAAGGCGCAAAATGGGTTGAGGTTGCGAGCATTGATTTGTCCGTCTAGTTGACATCCACCACTTGCCTTTTTCACGCCATTTCATCAAACGAAATTGTGAACAACGATAAAGACAACTAAGAGCTGACATTGGTGCCTCTGACAGCGTATGTCCAAATACGGCTAGGTACTCGAGTATCTTTTCATGTTTTGCCTATCGTTTCATGCCGTGACGGAAGGAGAGGCGAGAGTGACAGACTTCGGCACATAGCGATAATGCAAAAGTCCTTTGGGTGAGTCTTAGACGGCTATGAATCGCCATGTCCCTGGGTAAAGCATATGCCCCATAGAAGCGTGGTCGTTGGCTTGCTCATGAGTCACAAAACTGTCTGTTCCTCGAGTCCTCTGACGCTGGCTTTGTAATCTGACAGAGTACCATCATATGCAAGTTCGCTTCCGACCCCTGATGGGGAAGACATCGAGATTTGCCGGTCTGCAGCTTGCTTCCGAAGTGTGACTACGCAATATGAGAAAGCAGGCATTATTTTGACCAATCGTGATCATTATTTCAACGATCCTTCCCAGATCCTGTCATACCGCTGTGCTGGAGAGAGCCTTGCTTCTGCCGACCGAGGACGATCCCTCTTCCCAGCCATTTTATATCTCCAACGTCACATTTACGTCGCCCTGTCCAAATTCATCTCCCGCGACATCCAATTTCAGCCCGAATGGAGAAAGAAGCACATCCAACTTCCGAGCTGACCATGGTCATGCTTGGCATTATTGAGACCTTCTTTCACTGTTGCGTAAGATGCTGTTGGCAACACGCTCGTGAAAACTGACCCGCACTGAACCGAAAGCCGTTGCCTTCCGAGAAGAAGGGTCAGGAGGCGGCCACGTGAGCGAGTGAACGCCATTGACAGCCGTACTCCAACGGTCCGACAGCAACCAGAAGTTAGAACAGCTCTGACTCCCGCACCTCTGCGTGAAATAATTCTAGATCTGTCCCTTCTGCCCTTTTCTTGTTTGCCGCTTTGGACTATGAGTTGTCTATTGTTTCTAACCTTCACGAGTCAATTTCATGCTTTTTGGTCTGGTAGCATGTAGGCCTTAGCCCGCTGTCACGGATGTCAGAGCGATGCATGCGAAGAGTCGCTAGCTCTAGTGTTTGTTTTCAGCATTCATCGAACCCACAAACAGAAAGATGCTCCCAGATCTTCGAAAAAGAGGCGTTCTAGGTCACCACAGCTCTGGTAGAGGCGTCTCGGCTTCTGTACGGCAGATGGGAATGTTGCAACTCGATGATCCGGCTTGAGGTTTGAGGATAGAGATTCCGTCACAGCTTCGCTAATTGTATCAACTTGACACATCGAGATGTCTCCGTTATCTTTTGAGATGATGACCGGTGGTGAAAGGCGCCAATCAACACGATTCTCAAAGGGGTAACGACAATGTGTGGTTAAGACGTTTGGGAATCTGGGCTCCTTCTTGGAGTCTATCAAAGAATCGAGCCAAGTCAGACATCTTTTGTTGCTTATCAATCTTAGGAAGCTCTGAATCGTACAACGCGGGTACCGAAATACTGATGCGCTGAGTTCTGTAGCACTCGCGAGTGGCCATGACTTTGAAGTTTCAAACCTTCACGTTGCAGTCGCGGCGCGGTCGTCTTCAGCATGGTGTTGCACACTAGGATCGAAGCTCTAACATGCCCCGATACCTTGGTTGGTGGTGGAGTGTGTGCTCGCGTTATACCTCCAAAAGAAGGGTAGTACACAGTTGTCGTCCCACAACCATGTGGATGGTACCGAGATGAGTGTGGAATCCCACGGCAAGCCTCTCCGAAGAGCTAGCGGTCATCGCGAAAGACGACTCAGCAAAGCTTTGAATCGAAGATTTGACCGTGTACGGAGAAGCGTTTCTATACGTGGCGCCGCTTAAGAGCCGCCGTGTCTTTTATTACAGGCTACACCTTCCATATAAAAGAAGTTGTTCTTAGATGATTCTGGCAGATATTGGGATCTCGTCCATCCTGGCCAAGCATCCGTAGAATTCATTGAAGTCTCATCATCTCGATCGTTGAAGCTAGCACCGGATGCACATACGAGTAGCTACCAGTCCATCGGGTTTTGCGACTCCCAATCACGTTGTTGTTGGGCGAGAGGCGCGCCGCGCGCAAGCCGAAGAGGGATTCAAGGAAGACGTGGTCAAGTCTGGGAAGAGTTGCGGACATGAAGAGCCGCCGGGAAATTTCTGCAGGCTACTGCAGGGACTCGTTTTGACAGGTCGCAGGCTCGCAGCAGAACCAACCAACCCAATAGCAAAATTGTTATTGCGTGCAAGGTAGCCGTGTGGCTATGCTTCGTTGTACTGTCCAGGAACACTTGCATTGGGGTGCGAACAAGCTTGCAGCTCGTGGGCTGCCTGGGCAGTTTTGGGGGATTTTTGACTTCGGGGATGATGAGCCGGCGCTAGAAGCGGCTAGCCTGCAGCTGACTTCATGGCTAAACAACAACAACATCCTGCGTCAAAGCCGTGCAAGAATTTGGTCCTCGCGTGAAGGAAATTGACATGTAGCGCATGGGACACGCGAGCTGCGAGAAGAAGCAGCAATAACAAGTGACAAGCGAACATGTCGACTCGACCAGCGCCAGTGGCGCGCAAGTCGACAAAATCTGAGTACATCGAGACGGTAAGTGCGAGCTGCTTTCCTACCAGAAACCCATCGCCTGTGGACAAACGCGCTTTCCTCTATGAGGGGGATATTCTCTTTTTGCAGCCAGTGTCAGAAGAGCAATCTGTGGTAGAAATTAGCTAAACTCAGCAATCAGGATACCGGAAACAAGATCTCTCGCAAGGCGAAAATTGAAGGCAAGCCGAATATCATGCTGGGCGGCAGGACCGTCATCATGGCAGATGTCTACATGCGAGGTGACTTGCATCGCTTTTCCAGCTCTGGTGATGGTGGAGCAGCACAGCCTACCACAGCCATTAGCATTGGAAGGTAATTTCTCCTGTTGCAACCACTTTGAATGCATCGCATTTGCTGACAGCAAGTCAGATACACGGTAGTTGCTACGGGCTGTACTCTGAGACCACCGTCAAGGATCAGCCGCGGCCAGATGGCATACTATCCTATGCGCATAGGCGACAATGTCTTTATTGGTAAGCATACGCCTGGCCCATCATCGAAATAGCACACGTTAACACAATCAAGGTCCCAACTGCCATATCTCGGCAATTGCGATCAGTTCACATGTTTACATTGGCGCCAACGCTGTGCTCAGTCCCTTCTGTATCATCAAAGACAACTGCAAAATTCTGCCTAATACTGTGATACCTCCCAATATGGTGGTTCCGGTGGGTAGTATCGTTGGCGGTAAGCCCGGCAAAATTATCGGCGAGGTTGGCGAGGGATGGGGTGTAGGTGCCGGTGCTTCCGGCGAAAGCTGGGTGGAGGGAGGTGAACTTCGCGATCTGGTCAGAAGCATCAGATGAGATAACAATGATCAATTTGACCTTTGAGCTTATTGATCTGATACCAAATCTGAATAGTTACAAGATGTGTCTGGCTAATTTCGTGCGAAATGTTCTGAAATGCTCTCCATATCTGAATATCGAAGGAATGTTTCCATATGTGCTCAAAACCATTTCTTCAGTGTTGCAACCAACCTGCCTGATCAAGAATGAACAAGCCCAGTGCTCAAAAATCGCAGATCGTAATTCATCAAGTCAGTTCCACTGCCATGGCTTTCTCAAGATCGTACCTCGTCAAGTCATTTCTGAGGGACTCCAGTGTCGCGGGATGTCATGGCGTCCTCAAACGCCCCGCTTTCAAGCTTCGTCCAAGTCGCCGGCCTGGAGGGTAGCGATGCAGATTGGATTGTCAATGCCGTAGCCGCGGAGCAGGAATCCCAAGCCGGATGACTGAAGATCGCCAGCTTCTCCATGACGACCGATGAGCATGCAACATCTGGCTGCTCCAAAGCAGCTAGAAAAACGTTAGCCCACGAAGAACTCGATAGTTTGCTCGGGACTGACTCCGCGAGGGTGTAAAAGGAAGACTTGGGATAGGGTGAATGGAAGAGATCGGCGGTGCAAGTAAGAGAATATCAATAGATGTAACACAAGTAGGGGTTATTGGGACTTCTGACTTACACATCAGCTAGATCTGGACCAAGCAAGCCTTCATCGCTCATGAGGGTAGCCTGGTCGAGCAGATCTCCAACGGCCTGTTCGATTTGGGCGACCGACAGGCTTGTATCGCCTTCCAGCATCTGTGTCTTGACTCCTTCAAGCTTGGTCATCAACGTCTTGATCTCCCGGCGGCGAGATTCATCACGGCCGTCGGCGCAAGCAATGCAGGTGCAGGTAAATCCCCACATACTCAGCTGAGCACGTCGTTCGGAGCGCAACTTGCCCGCACCGTTGATGTAGGCAGTGCAGAGCTCATCTCCAGCGGTAATTGGCTTGAGAGCCTGCACAGTCATGCATCCGGATGTGCTGTTGTAGGCAGTGTAGACATTCGGAACGCATGAGTGGTTGAGGCGGGACGTAGTCAATCCAACGCCAGCAGAGTCGAGAGTGATACCATCGTCGAGCATGTATGAGTTGGTACGCCAGATATTGACAACACGGGCGGCAAGCGATTCTGACATCTCGCACTCATCTGAATCGTGGTCTGGCTGATTGTCATCAGCCGTGCCATTTACACCGCTTCTCGTACCCGAGTCAGTGACTGTCCTTCGAAGAGCTTCTTCTAGGTCTTTGACGCTCCAGATTCGGTTGTCAAGTGTAGCCTGTTGAGCTGGTGTGACGGTTGTCGTGGCTCCAGACTCTGACAGCTCGAGCTTATCCGACCCTTTCAGGCTTTGATCGCCGCTGCTACTGGCCGGATTGGGAGACTTGCAGCCATTCTCAATATCGAAGCTGCTGGGAGGAGGCTGCGCGTCAGAGGCACAACTGCAACGATCAACTTGCTCAGCTGAGAGTTCATTCTGCACAACTGGATAGCCGGAATCTGCCACGACGACTGGCGAACCTGTAGCACCATCTTCAGCCGCCGACGTTTCGACGTCCTCAGCTTGTGCCTTCTCGGTGCACGTGGTATAGGAGCTCAATTTCAAGTAGGCTGCGCGCTGCTCCGAGCGTAGTTGCATGAAGCTCTCGACGATAGCTGCATTCAGAGTGTCTTGTTTGGGAAGGATGAACAGTGGAGATTCCTCAATAAGGCGTTCTCCTGGTTCGATATCGCGCGTTGCGAACAGGCCAAAGCCTTTGGCTCCGGCGTTGCGAGTTTCGAACGCAGCAATATTGAGAGCTTCACCATCATCACTGTTCATGTCGTTCTCCAGACATTCGCGCTCTTGCCGACATTGTCTCTTGAGCTGTTCCTTCTTGCCGGCACGACGTTTCTTTTTCTTCTCGATCTTCACGTCGCTCACTGGTGAGGGAAGCATAACGATGGATTGGTAGATATCGGTGTGAACACTGGAAGTAGAAGTCATACTTGTTGAAGTAGTGTATATGTGATGGTTGATGGGGTTGTGAAAACGAAAGAAGCGCCTGGCCTTTGTTGAATGCGACAAGGGCTGTTTGCTTGTGTAACCGCAAACGCAGATGCAATACTTGAACTTTGAGTGAACTTTGGTAAAAGAATACTTCCCCTATCAGAGAAGTCAGTTCTTTGTGAGAGTCTAAAAAGTTAGTCTTCTATCCATGGAGAGTCTGCAGCAGATGTAAACCTGGCGAACAAACTTGATTTGACCACGCTATTTAGAATGATCAGATACAACGAACTGCCCATCCCTCATCTGTAGCCGCCTGGAATGAAGTACTTGTAGTGCAAGAAATTGATTGTAGGGTCTCTGGTCTGTTGTTAATCAGGTTCGGAGCAGAAATGGTCACTTAATTCCCCGATAACCGTGAGAACAGGGTCGTCAGAGCAACATCAACCGGACACAGATGGGGTCTTCTCCCAATCAGTGAAACTAAGTGCATATGAAATGAGCATACCAGGAAGCCCTTCATTTGGACTCTAGTTGCATAGCCCTGCGATGGTCGTAAGTTGTTGACAAAGCATCCTGAACTCGTGGCGTTCGCGGATCCTCTTAGATAAGTCGTTCGCGAGTCGTAATCTGCATATAAAGCCCGTGATCTGACTGAAACCAGTAGCTTCGCAGGAGGTTCATTATTGTTAACTCGGCTGAACTGATCGGCAACATATGTCGAGCGGCTGTCTGGATCCTTCTATCGTTTAATGAGCTGGTCACTGTGGTTCATGATTCAGAACTGGTTGATCTTGGACGCCTGTCGGTAAAGCTTCGATCATGTCCAAGATACTTAACCAGGTCCTGTACACAATAGTCAAAGCACGAATGGATCTCAGATTGATCAAGATGTGCAATATATCTTTGATCTCGTTCCGCACAGAGCAAGTGTACCATAGCCTTGTTCCAAGCTTCATCGCGTCGTGTCAGAAAACACGATGATAGCCAGGGACCAGGGACCGAATAGAGAAAACCAATATGCAGGAGCGCACAGATGGTCTTTGCTCGAAGAAGCTCGTAATATCATCAGATCTCACCGCCGCGCAAGCAGCTCTCTAGTAGTGACTGGTGACTAGTCAGTCAGTCACTTGAGAAAACCATGACTTAGTGGTATTGCCGCTGGACAGCTCGCCTGACATACGATTATAGCCATAGCAATTGCATCATGTGTCGCTCCATGCTCAAGCTGGTACGCAAAATCTGCAGGTGCCGTGAGAGAATCACGGAAGTGCGTTGTCGGGGTTCAAATGGACCCTCAGCCTGTCAGCATATGCAGGCACTCGAGCTACACCGATGGTGGCTTGATTATGTCCCACGTATCAACGGCCAAGAAGTAGATCAGATCTAGCGCATAGAATTTGTGTCACCGGACAACGTTCCCTTCCATGAGATTGACGTTCCATCAAGGGGTTTTCCTTGAGCGGCTCCCCGCAAGTCAAGGACCCCTTCCCATCTTGTCCGCGAAGCAGTCTTAAGTTTTCCGCATGCCAAAAAAGCAAGATCAGCTTTCTTTGATTGCTAGTCATCGCAGCGTTGGTCCAAACACAAGCTGAATACTCTCGAGAGTTGTTCTCATGATGCCGCCGGCTGTTCTCAAACGATATGGTGGTGCTGGTCTCGGAAGCTAAAGTGGCGGCCGCACGCACGCAGTTCGGACCAGGACACAACGTTCGGGCGAAGCCGCTTCCGCTGTGCGTGAAACGGTTCTCGATCTTGAGGAGCGTATGATCTGTCTAAAGATCGCGCCCAGATATGAGACCGTCGTTATGCTAACCAGATCTGACATAAACAAAAATTTCCGACTGGCTGAAGGCTGAAAGAAGAGAACTAGCTAGGCCTGCTTCGGCATGTGGTAACGACGATCTTGATGAGAACCCGTCGAAGCCGTGGTTGCTATCTTGTCTCTGATCATCCAGAACTTGACAGGACAGACCCCATCGCAGACGTCATGAGTAACGACAAGTATCCTCAGGGAAACACCGCAATGTCCCAGTGAGACAGTTACATTCACTAACAGCCAACTGTCGTGAGTCAATATATCCACATTCGCTTGCTGAAGCAAAGCGAGAGTAACCTCACAAGTACATTATTTCGTGAAGTTTTGATGTTCCCTGGGCAAACGGCCGCAGCTCGTATATCTGAGTTCGATACCAAGATATAGCGTACGATCGGAGCGAGGAAAACAGATAGGATCTCAGGCACGACTTGAGTGGCATTGGTAATCGGGCGGCGAATCTGCACGTGGGTTTACAGAGATTGATTCAAGAAGATCCCTTCCTAGAGAGACTTGAGAAGTTGATGAATCACCGATGCATCGTGAACTCCACAGTCTCGATGCTATCGAGATTAAAGGCATACGCAGCGACAGCTCAATCTGCCATGGCTTTTTGAGATTGCTTTGTTGTCTATTTTGATCAATCGTGATTTTGCACTGCACAAACTTCAATGAGCGGGATTCGATGGCCTGAACCCGCTCAAGATGGCGCAGAGCCAGGGTCCACGCACTGATGCAAGCAGCGAGTCGGGCAAGCCACAAAAAGCAGAGCGAGGCGAAAGTAAGCGACCGAAGCTCCTGACACGTGCGGCGCCTCTTCTCAAAACAGTTTGACATGCCCTCTCGAAGCCGAGGATCTACCTGCTATCCCCGCCTTGCCAGTTGTTAGATTGTCTTTGCGACGGTCGCGGCGTCGCTTGAGTTAGCCATCCGAGCTTGTGGTCCGGTAAGCAGACTTAAAGAGACTAGTAAATAGGGAGCTGCAGCGACGCGCAGCTGGGCTCAAAGCACGGAGCGTATCTGAGACAGATGAAGTTCTGTGGGATTCAATGAGTGGCCTTCCTGAGGCTGTGGTGACGTTGACCGCACCGACGGACGGGCATGCAATATATCATCAGCCCTTGTAGTGCTAGCGTGCTGCATGAGCGGACAACAAGGTGAGGCTTCGTCGAAATAGTGGGCTTGGCTTGCGAGCCGGGGCGCGCTGCAGAGGCACAAAGCTGAGTATGGCGGATGCGAGGCTCTGATTCGCCGAGTCGTGATGGAGGGGGATCTGGCAGCAGATGCAGACTGAGATTGGAACTCGATTCCAAACCAGAGATTCGATCTACTCCACGGCCCACGGGACTTGTCGCGAGATGGTCCGAGTCACGGCCGCTAGCCGAAGCGGGCGTGAGAGCATCACGATCTAGGACAGCCAAAGTTTAGGGCCTGCAGCCGCTGCACGCACGTACGCAGCGAGTCCGGGCATTGGCTGTCCTGCTCAGCAGAGGCAACCAACTGCGAGGCTTGGACTTGTCGCCGTCGTGCCATGTTGGTGGGCGAGAGACGGTACATATCGCAGACTTGCAGGCCGACTGGCTGATAGCCAAGTCTGACGATGCAGGCGGCACACCAGATCACGCATCTAAGCAAGGACGATAGGGTTTGAGATCTGTTCGTTAGAGGAACGTGATGTGCATGTTGTGTGGCAGGAAGCGAACGGAAGCACGCAGCGCAGCGTCTGCAACCGCAAGCTCAACGGCATGGACCATTGGCATGTCATGGCAATCCAAATGTCTCGCTCTGGTGGTGGAAGGTTGTGCGTTATTCCAATGGAACAGCAGGCCCACCAGTCGTAGCGGCAAAACCCTGACAAGCAGGAAGACACGAGAGCGGATGTGCCAGTAGCGGTGGTGGCGGCCATCCCTGTCACTTTACGCCTATGTGATCGTCGCAGACCGTGCACGCCCGTCAAGTGGTGCTAACTCAACTCAACTCGATGCTCCGTCGCTCGCATGAGGGTCAGGCACGTCTCTTAAGGCTCTTTTCTGCTCAGGCTCCTTCCTCTGCCCACAACCTAGACTTCCTGCCGCAAATCTCTACCTCCATCCCTCGACCTCTCTCTTCGCGCCCTCGACACCTGCTCTTCGCTCTTGCCACACCGCGCCTGCCATCCATCTTTTCCGACGTGACTTGGTAGCCACTGCCAAACCCGATTCTTGCCCCACGCGATTCTCGCTGCTCGCATGGAATTGGTCCCGTCGTCATCCGTCCTCAATTATTAGACACTCTTTCACCACGCCGATCAAAGGAATGAAAATTGCCATCTGAAGCATTCATCGACACGTTTCCGACCGGTCTGCAAATTTACTCGCCATCACCTCATACAACCATGGATTCCGGCGACAGACAAAGGCAAGACTGGGCTCTCCGGCAACCGAGTCCCGTCGAGTGTCTGGCTAACAAGCAATTCAGACCTGCGCTACCGCCCATCAAAATGCTCGACATTGAGAAAATAAAGCGGGAAGAAGCCGAGTATCAGGCTCGTGGCACAAACATGTCAATGGCGCCTTCTGCTACGAACAGCCCGACCATCGCCTACCCTTCTGGTCCTCCGCCACCTTACAGTCGTCCTTCCTATCCTGATGCTCGCCTACCCACAGAAACCCGTCGTTCCTCGAATGAAGACCCCTCGAACCAGGCCAACAAGCAATCCTTGCCATCAATTCATGAGGCCCTCGGCGTAGAGCAGCCAGCTCCCTACCCTCCCACCAGCCAGAGACCTTACTCGTCTGCTCCTCAGCCCCCATACCACGCTCCTGTCACAGGGCCTTCGCCTGCTTCGCCTCTCCCTGCCAGAAGGTCTTTCGCCGCAATGGAGCCTCCACCACCACCGCAACCCGCCGTCTTTACCCATGGACCCCGGAGCCCTTATGTCCAACCCCACCAGGAGATCAGTCCTCGTCAGGTTCCCGAGCATCAAGATCGCCAACGATCGGTGTATTCATCGCAGCCAATTGCATCACACGCCGGCCAATCTCCCTTGGCTCACCAATCGCAATATCCGCGTTCATATCCTGTCACTGCTTCTCATGAAAGGACTGCATCCCATCACCTTAGTATGCCTCCTGTTGCTCCTCCTCCTCCGTCAGCACCTCAGCATGCTCTTCCTTACGGCTACGCTCCTGCTCCAGCTCCAGCTTCAGCTCCTGCCCCGGTCCCACCTCCAGCACCTTATGCATCTCATTACACCTATCCTTCATCGGCGCCGCACTCCGCAGCACCCACTTCATCTGTTTATCAACCATCAATCACCCAACCTGCTCCACCTCAAAATGGTGAACCCGGCAGAGCTGCGTTCGGCGATTCCGTGAAACGTCATCTGGACATGTGGGACTTTGGAGAAGCCCTGAACGAGGTTCGTTTGCCCCGCAAAAAGTTGCATCTACGCGTCACTGACAAACCGCCAGATTGCCGAGTCTAGTAGCTACATGCTGGACTTCAGTAGACAATGTGGTGCTCGCCTGCACCAATCTCAGAGATCAGACCCCGCTCCAGGCAATCTACCTCAACTACAAGAGATAGACCACCTTATGGAGAAATCTCGTCGTCAACTTGATTGTTATGCCAAGATGAGAGAATTTATAATTGCACAGCAGACAGCTTATTTCCAGCAAGCCCAAGAACAGCAGTCAAGAGCACAAGAGGGCATCAAGCGTGACTCTGTCCATCAGAACGAAGAGGCAAAAATTGGTGGATTTGCTGGTGCCGAGGCTAAGAAACGCAGAGGTGTAAGTTTATGTTGTTTTCATGATTGACAGAACCACAACTAATTTGCCATCCAGCGCGCTGCTCCACCTGGCAGATGTCACAGCTGTAACAGAGCTGAGACTCCAGAATGGCGAAGAGGTCCGGACGGCGCTCGCACCTTGTGCAATGCATGCGGACTTCATTATGCCAAGCTTACAAGGAAAGCTGGAAAGAACGCGGCCGCCATCTCCAGCTCCAATCTTCGCCCTAAAGCCTCTGAGGATTCGCAAAACTGAGAGCTGCAGATTACAACACCTGGCGACGGTTTTGGAGCTATGTTCTCGACACATGTGTTGCATGTGTTGTCGCTTCTGCCACGGGTTTGTTTATTGATCGATTGTTATTCTTCACACCAAAAAAGCGAAAAATGTGCGGGCGTCACATGCGTGGGGCCTTATTAGAGGCCATTCTCCGGTATAAACTCCTGGCCGGATAGTGCATCAACAAGTTTTTGCAAGAGGTTTTTAGACCTCTCGATTGCATATTTCGTATACGACGGATCACGGGACACGCATACGGTGGCTTTTAGGCCATCCTCACGACACTAGCATCGGGACCACGGAGTTTTAGGATGTGTCTGTTGGGATAGGAGTTGTGATTTTTTATTGGCATTTTGATTTGCGACATGGCTTAATCGGCCATGTCAGTGGCTACAAGAGCACGGAGCTATTAGGCTCTCAGGTGTTTGGCTACCAGGCTGTCGGGGTTAGACAGTTGGTAATGGGGAAGTCTTGTTTATTTTGTTTCGAACTGTTAGATATTCGGGTAGTGGGGTGTTGTTGGCGATCGCCATATGGCACATGAATACCAATCATGTGTTTGTACCTGCTCGTTGCATGTCAGCGTGATTTGTTGGTAACTCGGAGTTGGTTGCCTGGTTGCAGGCATGTCAGGCAATGTGTTCTTAGAGTCAATGGCACGAAGAACAAGTATAAAGACAGGAGCGATGCTTCACGGCAGACGAGATGGACGTGTCAGACATGTAGTGAGAGTTGTCGGCAGGTAGATGCAAGAGGTGGCTGTGGTGCAGGAGCGAGGCGGACGGCGGCGTCTGACAAGTGTAAAGTCGCGCCTGCCTCAAGCTTCAGAGCTGCCTTTTGATGGATCTTCCGAGTGCAGCAGCGGTCGCAGCTTAGCCAAGATGCTGAGTAAAAAAAGTGTCGCGGTCGTGTATAAGATGAACTGATTAGGCAAGATGCCCCGCGATCGGGAGCGGCCGTGAGGTTCTTGCCAATGGCGTGCTTTTGACTGCCGTCACAGCGAGCGTCTGGGCGTGGAGCATTTGTAATGCCCATTTCACATTCACTGCTATAGACTGCATAGCTATTGTTTTCCTTCCTGTCCCTACCCGCTATCAATTTCTCGCCAACCTACCACCACAGTTCCTGCACCGCTATGTGGTAACCGCCCGAACCACTGCCTATCGCGGCCCATCATCGTCTCTACCATCCGACACAAATCTTGTAGCCCGCTTGCAGCTACCCTCGTTTCAGCACCACCCATCGTGGAAGCCAATTGAAGACGTCGTACCACGTAGTACAAACCACAAGACATGGGACTATTGTATGAGACATGACGATCCTCGATTTACCACACTCGCACCCACTAATCGCTCCTCCGTACAGAGCCCTGGGAACGCCGCTTGCCTGGCCCGAAGCGAAGCAGGTCGCCGGACAGGTCCGAGAATGGGGCATCGAGGTACGTGTACCCACTCGGATCCACGCATCTGAGATGAGCACAAGAGCTGAGAATACTGGTTAGCAACTATTGGCCATTTGGAGACGAGCAAAAGGCAAGGAGCGTGATGCTCTTCTCTGGGGAGACGAAATCGAGTATCTTGTCGTGACATATGATGACGACAAGCGTCAGGTCCGACTCTCGCTACGCCAGGCAGATATTCTCGAGGCTTTGGCTAGCGATGAGAAGCTCCTCGCTCAGGGCGGTGGTGTAGACGAGATCCAGCGTGGCCATGCCAGGTACGCTCTTGTTTTGTACCAACCAGAAGAGGCATATCTTTACTGATGCGTGTCAGGTCTGGCAAGACAGCTCCCGTGTTCCACCCCGAGTTCGGTCGTTTCATGCTCGAGGCGACTCCTGGACGGCCATGGGGAATCGACCTCAAAGATTTGCTTGACGTCGAGTCAGACATGAAGTGGAGGTAAGTCTGCTCTCAAACTCAAATCCGCAGAGCAATGGCGCTGACCAGCTTTCTAGGCGCAAAATCGCAAAGGAGCACATGGAACCAAGCGAGTTTCCTATTACTCTGACCACCTTCCCACGATTGGGTGCCAAAGAGCGATCCATCACCCCCGAGTACCCCCTGAACGGCGACAAGCTAAGATCCCAGTTCCTCCCCGACGAGATTGCGAACCCTCATATTCGATTCCCAACTCTGGCCGCCAACATCCGCGCTCGTAGAGGCCGCAAGGTCGAAATCAACGTACCTGTGTACAAGGACGAAAAGACTACATGGCCCTTCAACGATCCCAGTGTTGATTTCGATCTCCACACTTGGCCTGAGGATGACGACGTTCGTAATGGAGCTGCCAAGGAGAATCACATCTACATGGACGCAATGGCCTTCGGCATGGGAAGCTGTTGTCTGCAGATTACTTTCCAGGCAAAGAACATTGACGAGGGCCGCAAGATGTACGACCAACTTAGCCCTATTGGTCCAATCCTGCTCGCTTTGACTGCCGCCACACCTATCTACAAGGGCTTCTTGGCCGACACCGATGTCAGATGGAACCAGATCAGCAGATCAGTCGACGACAGGACTCCAGAAGAGCTCGGCGAGAAGGTTCGTTACTCGCTGCCTCGTACACAGACCCAGACTGACAGATCGCAGCCATTGAAAGAGTCGAGATGGCAGATTCCCAAGTCTCGATACGCTTCTAACTCCACATATATCGCTCAAGATCCTCGCCTGCGCAAGGAGTATTTCGATCCTAACCTTGTAGTTGATCCCGAAATGAAGCAGAAGCTCATGGATGGTGGCATGGACGATCTGTTGGCCACTCACTTTGCTCATCTATTCATCCGCGATCCAATTGTTGTTTTCAACGAGGACCTGAAGGAGCTAGATTTGAACAAGGTCGACCACTTTGAGAACTTGCAATCCACAAACTGGCAACACATGCGCTTCAAGCCTCCACCGCCAGGCAACGACATTGGCTGGCGGGTCGAAGTTAGACCCATGGAGATTCAGATCACCGACTTTGAGAATGCCGCCTTCTCCGTCTTTGTTGTCCTCATCACCCGCGCAATTCTCAGTTTCGACCTCAACTTCTACATCCCCATCCAAAAGACGACTGAGAATATGGAGACGGCGCACCTTCGTAACGCAGTCACGGAACAGAAGTTCTGGTTCCGCAAGAACCCATTCCCAGCGACCAGACAACCGAGATCAGGCACTTCGACACCGACACAATTCTCGCGTCCCCCTAGCCCTGCTTCGCGTGTCGAGGACGAATACGAACTCATGACTGTCGATGAAATCATGAACGGCAAGGCTGACGGCTTCCCTGGTTTGATTCCTCTGGTTGAACGTTATCTGTCCAGCATCAACGTTGATGTCGAGATCCGCTGCGAAATGGCTAGGTATTTGAAGCTTATTCGTCAACGTGCGACCGGCGAGCTTTGGACTGCCGCCAAATGGATCAGACACTTTGTTGCCGAGCACAAGGAGTACAACAAGGACAGTGTGGTTGGCGAGGGCATCACTTTTGATCTTGTCAAGGCTGTTGAGCAGATGACTGTCAATGAAGGCAAAGATGGTTTGGGCGTTGAGATGTTGGGTCAGAGGAAGTGAAAAGGTGGGAGCGGAAAAGTTCGTGTTTATACTGACTGACAGGGGAAAGACCAATATATCCCTTGGATTACCCTACTTTTGCAAGCCATATCAGCCTCATACGGGCGGCGCGCCATCGAAATACACTCTAGAGCAGATACCCCTTAGTACATAACACATTCCCCAATGCATTACTCTAGATTACGATTCCTTTTGACTTCAACCTAATGTGATTTTCGTCCCTCTGTGTCTCCATATATCCCTCATCCATATCAAAAACACCTGTGTCTAGAAGAAATCAAACCCGGGATTCATAGTCGTGCTCAAAGGCTCAACCTGCGTGAACGCCTCAAAAGTACTCGGGCTCATATCCAAAAGATCATACTCTAAACCTCCAGACACATCGCCATTGTCGAGATAAGAAGCATCCATAAAGACCATGTTCTGCTCTTCTCCTCCATCAACCACAGTCTGCTGCTCACTGTGGAGATCGTTGGCCACCAGAGGCATGTTATGCGGAGGGTGTGCAGTAGACAGCGGTACGAATTTTGGTGGATGAAAGGGTCGTGTTGATACGTCTCCTGTTGGGTCGCTAGGTGATGCGGTATGAGCGTGGATATCTAGACCGAGGACCATTAATTCTTTGCGAATGAGTTTTGAGGCTGTTGCAATGACTATTGTTCTAAGGGTCAGTGGGTCTCAAGGTGGATTGTGTAGAGAATAGCCATACCCGGGTTGGTCTTCTTTACTCTTTCAAGAGCAGAAAGGCAGTAAGAAAGTCTTTCCATCGTATATCTTTGCGGATTGGTCGGACTGGCCTGCAGCTCAAGTAACAGAATGGATGTTGCAGTGTACAAGCTGTAGGCCAAACTTAGGACTATATGGCCGTCACCAAAAGTGCGGACAAAGAGGTCGAAGAGTGCTATGATCGAGGTGGAGGATGATATGCATTGTATGAGCGGATTTTGGTCAATGCTTGTAGCAGCTGATGGATGATTTGAACTGCTGAGTCTGAGCAGGGCCCGGTGCAGAAGGATATTGATGGTGTGATAGAGGCAACTGTCATCCCGTCAGTTTGAACATATCAAAATAGTCAAAATAATTCACTTTAGTGTTACAATATGCGAAGGGGGCGCCAGCTGCGGTAGAGCTCCAACGTTGATCTTCAGATGCTCTGGTAGATCTTTCCACCAAGCTCTCATCTTGGAGCTTTGCTCGAGGGCGCATGCCAAAGCGCTAGAGGATGACAAGTCGCAGGTCGGGCTGTAGAAGTGAATGAGAACTTGGTTCAGTATCTCGGCAAGACCGCACATATGTACGAAGCATGAGATGGAATGTGCTTGTCTGGGTGGATAGTTGGCGGTTGTGAGGCCATGCGGCATCCATATCTCGATCTCTGCAGTGTCGTCCACTGTAGGGACGTCAGCGGGACTCTCAGGAAACTATCAGGGTGATAGTAGAATAACTTACTAATAACACGTGGTGGACTGACGTGTGAATTCTGCAACATAGGTGATCGTCCAAAGTAGAGCGACACCAACTTGTCCCACAGATAACAGCCCCAGAAGAGGCGGTTTCTTATCTCAACATCTTCCGCAGAGAATTGAGTCGAGTCAGCGTAACGTTGGCCATCAATGCACATGCCCATGTCGTCAATCAGGCGGAAGGCCATGCCACTGTACAGCCAAGCTTGTGTTCTGTTCCCACGTCCACACTCTTGAGCACTGAGTAGAAGTAGACTCTGGACTGTAGGTACCTTGCTCTGCCCGTTCCTAATATCGTCAAATAAGTTTGTGACAGCCGTCTGGAAGAAAGCCTTTCCCTCGTCGAATGGAGCAAGTAACTCCTGCATTCCAGGCTCTGCCTTGCACCAGCGTACTGAGTGGGAAAGCATGGCGTTGAGCAATGCGGCGGAGTAGTACTGACCACCAGTCATCATATCGCCTGACAGCTGTTAGCTAACATCTCTTAGAGGAGCGCTCGGCCACACGTACGTGTAAAGGCCGGTCTGTAGACGAAGTTGAAGAGAGGTTGGATCCATGACCAATGTGAATCAAGCAGATACCGATAAGGCTCCTGTGGCGGGAGTCAGCTTTGACCAGTAGTGCCTGCGAAGTAAATGTCTACTCACCGGGGTGGTTGCAAGCTTCTCAAATGCTCGTTCACGCCATGCATTGTTCAGTAAGCTTTCTCGTTTTGAACCATCTTCCTGCTGCTCAGCATCCTTGTCTGTCACCCGTGCTCTAACACTTCCGGGCAGTTGGAAGAGACTCGTGGAGCCATGAAAGGCAACATCATCGTCTTTGTTGTTTCCGGCGTCGGCAGCTGTAGAAGTAAATGTTGCAGTTGCAGTGGTGCTTTGTTGAGGAAAAACAGCCTGAGTTGTTGCTGAAGTTGAGGCTTCAGGTTGGGAAGTCGCAAGCAACGACTCAAGCTCTGCGACTCGCTTCTCCAGACGTTGTGTGTATGACAAGGTAGGAGCACTTGAGTAATTAGTTCATTCAACTTTCAGGCAGGCTCAAATCTTGAGCGAGTCATGATTCCGGAGTGACTGTCATACTTACAGGTGATATTCGCATGTATCAGCACGAGCTTTGCATCGGTTACAGATTGGTTGAACGCCGTCGCATTTGACCTGAAAACATCGATAGTCAACAAGTGCTTACGATGTACTCTCTCCCTCGGGTTGTATACCTTTCGCCTTCGACAGGGCTCACAGGAAAAGGCACTCTTCTTAGGGTTACGATTTTGAGCGGGCATACTGCCTCGCACTTTACTTGCTAGCCGTCGGATAAGAGACCTTTATCAGGTAGGAACGGGCCTTTACCATATCCCTAATCGACAAATTGCCGAGTGTTTGATGGTTTTAGCGTGTGGAGAACGTGGGTTGAAGGTGGAGTGCTTGGAGATTCGTGGGTTGGCAAAGCTTAATTTCATCCAAAAAGTTTGTCACACAAGAAGCCGAGCACGAACGTCTTGGTCTATCGTCGCTCTCTTGTCATGTGAGTACGTTGTTTAGAAGAAGTCTTATTGAGTTGAACAAATGGTTAGGGGCCTGCTCCTATCCTTTGTTGATACATATCTAGCTAAGCATGTAATGGTGAACTCTGATGTAAGAATTGTCCATGCATGAGTGCAACTATATTCATTCAGGACGAATGAAAATCAACCTGCTCTTGCACTTATCCCAACTTGCCTTACTTTCTCTACCCAAGTGCATCCTTCTCTCTCTACTCAATCCCACCAAGAGCGTCGTTAACGATGTCCATAAGGACAGGTCGTTTGCTGCTCGAATTCTCTTTTCCAAACAACGCCTTGGTTCCCACTTTGCAAACCTTTTCAGGCATTTTGAAGGGCTTGTTCATCTTCGAATTGTCTCTGTGGTATACGCTTCTGGCTGCTGGAGAGCCAGAAAGGTAATCCTCAATGCCTTTACGTTGAGCATGAGGATTACGCCTGCGCTTCTTACCATCTTCGCTGTCCTCAAGATTACCGGCGAAGTCTCTCTTGCAAGGTGATTTAGCAGGCGTCTTTTGCGTTGCCAAACTCATACCCAGCATGTCTTGGAAGTTGTGACCGCGTTCAGCCAATTTCGGAAGATCGTATATCCATCCATTGCTTTCGACAAGTTTGAGAAATTTCTCGAGCAACTCATTCGACGTCAGCGTCTCCTTACTGCCCAACACGACCATTTTGCTTCTGGCACGTGTGAAAGCTACATTGAGACGCCTCCAATCCCGAAGCAGGTCACCCACGTTTCCTGTATCATTGCTACGCACGCAAGAGATGAACACGACTTCCTTGTCGCGGCCTTGGAATTTGTCTGCAGTATGCATTTCTACCCCCGAAGCTTCCGGGTGTGATTTCAGCAACTGTCGCAACAGAGCGAGTTGAGAGCGGTAGAAGGCTATGACTCCAATTTCATTAGGAGGGACGCCCTGGGAGATCAGAGAGAGAACCAGTTGTGTAAGCAGTTGGGCTTCAGTCGCATTGACAATGCGAGAACCAACCGCGGTTTCCTTTGGCACGGGACAAAGGGTGTCTGTGTTTGCGAAGACCACCTTTCTGGATGGTGAGAGGACTTCGGAGAGCCAACATTTTCCTTCAGCTGGACCTGGACAGAGGTTTCGGTCTAAGGACCACGAACCTTGTGGCTCGGAGTGATATCTCATCATGCCGTCAGGGGTGGGAACTTTGAGGGTTCGGGAAGCGACGGCATCATTGCCGCATTTTAGGCGACCGGAGTAGATCAAAGTCTTGGACAGCAATTGCACTTCTTCGCACATGCGATACTGGTGCTCTAAGTTGACCACACTCTCTGGGTGTCGGTCAGATAGGAGTTTGAAAAGACTGATGTCGAGGCCGCCTTCTTGGGCCTCGCGATTCTGGACCAGAGGAGGAAGCTGGTAGTGGTCCCCAACGAGGACGAACGTTTTTGCCATGCGAATAGGTCCGAGACAGACTGGAAGAGTGATCTGTGATGCTTCATCGACAATGCAGTAGTCAAAGGCTCTCTGCTGGAACAGTTGATGGTTGACACCTAAACATGTCGTTGCAACGACCTGTGGCTTCATGTACGTGTCTTCCAATTCTTCCATGCTTTGTTTAGGTGTTGCGGCTAGATGGGCAAACTCCTGAACCTCCGGATGGATCTTCGCCAGAGTACCCAGTCGCAAGACGGACGCATCTGAATCTCGAAGTTTCAGAAGAATATTGTCCACGGCGGTATGTGTGTATGAAGTCAGAAGCACACTCTTGCCACGAGCCACCAAGGCTCTAATAATATGAGCAATAGTGGTCGTCTTTCCCGTACCTGGCATACCGAGTACAAGAGCATAGTCCTTGGCAGACATGACTTTGTCAATCGCAGCACGTTGATCCTCGTTGATTTGAAGTTGGCTGGCTGGACCAGACAATGCGTAGGCCGCAGGCTCGGGCTTGAATACCGGATCAGTGTTTTCAACGATGAGTTTGCGCAAGTCGGCGGAACGGAAAATGTTATCGTCCATCAATGCTAGAAGATTGTTGCGAACAGTAGCCATACCATTGCTGAACTCGTCCTTGTCGAGACGATAAACAATAGGTACTTCCTCGATACCTTCAGCATTTTGACTAGGCTCGTCTTCCCTACCAACTTCCATTATACCTGAAAAGGTTTGATTCGTGTTGGTATCGAAGTCGGCTTGCTTCTGGCGTGCGTTGTGGAGTCTTCTGTCAACAGCGACCGTGATACGCCCTCTTGATACTTTGGTCACATAGCCATTGGCGAGTGCAAAGTGACCCTTTTCGCTCGATATGACGATAGGCTCTCCGACCGTGATTTGAGATTCGGTAAAAGAAAATCCTGATCGCGGCTCCTTCTTCACTAGAGTATAGCGATATCGGTTGATCTTGGTCATGTCGTCAAGCTCTCTCATAGAACCTTTCTCGATAACGACTTCGGAGAAGCAACGGCCAAGCTTCTCACGTTCGGTGCTAAGCATGGTCCAAAGCTCGCGTCGGAACTTCATCAGCTCAGATTCCTCCTTGGTTAGAAGAGTGTCCCACTTCTTGAAAAAGTCTTGATGAACAGGTTGCAGTTTGCCGACAAGCTCGTTGAATTTTTCCTTGACACCGGCACTCTCAGTTGTGCCGTCCTCTGCAAGTTTGTGGTAAAGGAAGCATTCTGTTTTGGCATAACATCTTCCACACTTGCGCTCGTCTTGTATCATTGGTGGAAGCTGAAGACGCTCACGGACATAGCAGGCAAGCTCGTTTCGCTGCATGATCATATGGCGAAGTTCATGGCGTATTGCTGGGATTCGTGCAATACTGGAGTTGTCCATATAGTAAAGCAAGCCGTAGATGACATCCAGATCGTATCGATCAGACAGCAAAAGCGTGTACAATGCTGTTTGCGCGCGATGCGAAGTATTCGTAGTGTTGCGTCCAGTCTTGACTTCAAAAGGTACAGTTAGTGCTCGACTACCCTGCTCATCCTCCATGAGAACTTGAACAGTGGCGTCAATGTTGCCTTTCAGTCCGTAAGTTGGCGACCATACATGCTCCTCAACGTCGAGCAGTTTGGTAATGCTGACACGAATTTTCTTGCCACCTCTGTCTTCCGCAAGAGCATCAGGGCCAGGCTTGGCTTTGACGAAGACCTTGGCCCAAGAGCTCATCTCGGGCATCTTGCTCTTAAGGTGCTCATAGGCCTTGTTCGTGTCTTTGTGTCCGAGCTCGAACAAGCTCTCCAGGTACTTGCTTACTGTCTTCCCAACGAGTTCGTTCAATGCGTCTTGTTCCCATGCATTTGCCTTCATTGCTTCCTGGAAAATCTCGTGAAGCATGGATCCGTAGACAGAAGGCTCACTGGAACGACTAGTCGCTTTGACTCTGTCTTGAAGAACAGCTCGGCGGATACACTCGAAGGAATCCGCGACGACTGTGGCTGAAATCAGGTGGTCGGGATGAACAATGATCAAGTTCTCAGCGTCATCGATAGTAATCTGACCGGTCCTGCTGAAGCGGCCAACAACATGCACGTAGGAGCCAGGAGCGCAGTGAGTTTCAAGCCATGTTTGCCTCAGAGTGATGGTTTTGTTTCGACTGTGCACCTCATCCTCAACAAGCAAGACCTGCACGTGATTGTCAATTCACCAGAATCTCATGAGGAAGGGGCGATGGCACAGCACGTGGCTTACCTTTTCAGCCTGTTGACGACCACGATGATCGGTATATTGGCCGTCTATAACTTGCTTCACCAAGTACCGTTGAATGGCGCGAGACTTTTGAGTAGTCTTGGATGACACTTAGCTATCTACACCCTGGGAAGATTCGAAATACGTACAGAGCTAGCACTTGTACTTGCTTCCAACGCTTGAGTAGCATCCATTTCAGCCTGGACAAGTTGTTCTTCATCAAGGTCAGAACCACCAAATTCGTCGTCATCGTCGTCGGAGAATCCTGTAAGGTCAAAGGTTTGTGGCCTTTGCTGTTGGTCTTGTTGAGGCAGCGCTGGCGCAGAGGGAGGTAACGCTTGGTCAGGCTGTGCGATCGCACAAGTATTTGGTTGGGAGTTAAACTGGCCATTGGAGGTACCGGGTCTGCTTTCGAAGAACGAAACAGCATTTTCCATTTCTTCGGCGTCGAGATCATCGCCAAAGTCGTCGCCAAATTCATCGTCATCCTCATCAATAGTATTCATTATGGTTGTGTTGGTCATCGAATTATTCTGAGTTGTGTTATTTGGTTGGATCTCTGCCATGTCATCCAATGTGATGTCTGCATCGTCAAACTCGGCGTCTTCATGTTGATAAGAATACTGTTGTGACGAATGTGTCGAACGTGGTTGTGATCCTTGATGGTCTGATGTAGGCTTGTGTATCCTGGGGAATTCGCCCTTGTCAGGTAAAGGTGAAGAACTTGAAGGAATGTCTTTGTGTGCAAGAGATTCTTGGACCTTCTCGACCAACATGCCGACTCGTGATAAAGGTTTTGCGACAGATGGATCCTGAGGATTGTTGTTGTCCCGAAAGATTCCATTGACACGGCGCCGTTTGACTCGAGAAGAAGGAAACTCTAGACCACAGCTTGCCCATCTTCTCAAACCACCAACGCTGCCCCCAGGTGTTCGAGGAGCTGATCGAGGCGAAGAGTCATTCATGAGATGCGCTAGTGAAGGCATGCGTTTCTCGATGGGCGTCTCGTCGGAATTCCTAGCAGTAGCATATCGCGTCCATAGTTCGGCGGCTGGGTCGGCTCTCGGAGTCTTGAAAGCAGACTGTGGGAACTTGGAGTCGAGAAGGTCGGAGGCATCATTCTGAGAAGAAGTGACAGGCGACGAACTCTGTGGGCGTCTCCGTCTCTGACGAGGAGTCAGGTCTGGGTGTGAGCTGTTTGCTATCCAACCAATCTCTTCAACAGGCGATTCCTCTTGAGGCGTGGGTCTTCGTAAAGCGTCCTCAGCATTACCAATAAGATCAGCAAGGGGTAGGCGCATGGCCGGGGTTGAAGGCAGCGGTCTGTCTTGTACAGTCTTGATAGGCGACGATGGGGCTTGAGCGTGCTTGACAGGTGACAGTGGAGCAGTAGTGATGTTGGAGGGATTTTCCTTGTCGGGGTGGCGGGAGAATTCGAAGGCTTTCAATTTTGATTTTGTGTCAGTCGAAGGTTGGATCGGAGGCTTTGTCGAGGGAAGAGGTTTGTTGGTGGCCTCGTTGGTGGATGGGTTCTTGTCGAAACTGCGATTGCCCTGCCATCGTGCTTTTGACTATGGTGGATTAGATTTGAAACGACGCGTCTCGAGATGGTCGGTTGTTCTCACCTTGGAGCTGTGATCTTGCTCAAAGAACGACTTTTGTCTTGACGATGACATGAGGCAGATGAATACGTGCAGACAACCCGATGTGTTTACTGACGACTACTCACTATCACACTTCGCAGCAGCAGTGCCTTCCTGTTGCCAGATGCATTTTCGTGTCCGCCTCGCGACACGGAAGTCGCGTCCTATCGCGCCTTCCCCACAGCCTTGGCATCAATGACAGCGCTGACCATCAGTGCTTTCCCCAGCCCGGCGATAAGATAGATAGTCCGAGCAGTCGTCAAGGTAGAGCAAGACGACTTGAACTTGTGCTTTTGTCCACACCTTGATTAATCATCGTTGTAGAAATCATTAAGCAAATCATGTCTGAGACTTCAAGCAGAAGACTGGAGTCGCTGCCTGACGAGATCAGATCCCATATCTTAACTTATCTCATGCGCCCTCCACCATCTTGGGACTGGCAGAAGAATACGCTTGACACCAATTTGACAAACGCATCTGACTTGAGAAGCAAACCCTTGAAGTCTCTGATCCTTGTATCCAAGACCTGGTATCGATTGGTCTCGCCGCTGCTGTACACCCATCTGCGACTCCGGCTTCAGACTCATATAGCGCCGGCCGAACCGTCATTGCTTGCACCAAAGCTCAAGACTATAAGTGCTAACTTCAAAGAATGGCTGTTCAATGACCCAGGCTATCCACGCGACATTCGTCTCCCATATAGGCATGTTTGGCAAGATGCAAGAACGGACAAAGCTGCGGCATGGATGACTACACTAGATGAACAATTGTCCAGCCTTTTCTCATTTCTCGACTCACCAAACAATGGCAGCGCTAGTCATAGTGTACAGTCTCTAACCATCGTCGCTACTGGAGAGCTCAGCAAGAACGATCTTGACTACATCCGTGATGAAGTACACTGTTTGATTGCAACGACGGCCTTCTGGAACCTGCTATTCGAGAAGCTTGACCCTGCAAGAGTCTCGGTACTGGCTCCACCGAGTACGCTCGCTTGTCTTCTGGGTTGCAGTATGAACATGTTGGATGCTTGGGCATTTCCGGGCATGGCTATGCAGTTGGTCTCGGTCTGGAGGGAGCCGAGGCCTATGGAAGTCGCCGACCAACGTCAATCACCTTCTGAAAACTACTACGACTTCCTGAAGCCAGTGGAGCTGGTCATGGAACCCAATGAGTACGGTAGACCCGCTCTGTCCAGTTTGATCTACATTAGACCCTGGACCCATTTGGCTGTCAACGAAGGATCCTTCCTCGAAGCTTACTCAACGTACGAGTATTTTCACAAGAATCCCCCTGGCATCTTGGCATCGGTAGGCAGAGCGTTCCGACTCGAAATGGAGATGTGGTCGGTAGCATACAAGGCTGTGTTCCCTTTTGGTAACCATATCGGCTCGCCACTCGACCGAATCACATACAAGGGTAATTCATCGAACGTGCGAAAACTTTACGTCAAGTTGGCGCCCAATCCGGATGATACAATCCTGGATGATCCGACTCAAGTCGGCAAAGCAGACATTGCCGATTGCTGGCGTGAAGTTGAGTCTGCGTACAGATTCTTGACAGATCCTGCTCTCAGAGGCGACCCGGATTTTGCACAATCTGGAACGGGCAGAGAGCTTGAGATGTTTGGGTTCGGTGATGGCAGTATTGCTTCAATCAGGGAGACAGTTAACACCTCGCTGGCCACTGCAGAATGGCAAGAGGTGGCCAGCAATGAGTGGCACAGCTCTCGACTATTGTCTCGATTAGGAAGGTCGGTGAACGGTGCTCAGGGTATCGCTAGAGGGTTGGACGACATGCAGATCGAGTAAAGTACTCTCTGGTGTGATTGGATCTATATCAAAACTCGCTACTGTCGCTCAACTCTCGCTTTGAATCCTACAGAGCCCATACACAGAGAAAGATAAGAGCCCGATCGACCCAGAACAAAGGAGTCAAAACATAAAGAAGCGAGTATAAGAAGCGACAAGGCATGACTCAAGTGCACGCATCGGTTTCACAATTGATTCGTTGCCCTTCTGCTCACCACTAAGACCATCATCGTAGCTAGACTAACGCTTCCTCAGCAAACAATAGAGTTAGCCCAGTTGGTGAGACCACTCATAAATTCGTTACGACACGACTCCCAGAAATCTTTGGTTCGATCCTCGGATGTAGCGGACCTGTGATGTTCTTTCTCTCTTGTAAGGTAGAATGCTTTGCAGGCAGGAGGGGGGTTCCAATACTAGCTGTTGCTAACAGGGTTTTGTGCATTTGTTTCCTTTCTCTCGGCAACGAAAGAATTGGCCGCTTGTAAAGAGATTGTTGATTTTGGACATCGGTCATGATGATTGAGGAGAGTATTGTTGTTACACAGTCGTGGTCATGGTCACGGTCATGGTCTGCTTAGGTCTTGTCCTTGTCCTTGCTCTGACCTCTGACATTGCCTTCACAGAGTCTGCAGTCGCACTCTGCGACCTTGTTGTTGAGCAGGCTCCAGACGTGATAGGTAAACTGGTCAACTGAAGGGAATCTGCCGCGAGGGTGACCATAGAGGTAGATGTCGCTGCGAGGAGGGTTTTGCTTCCAGACGGTGTAGTTGGGAGGCAGACTGGTAAAGACCAGGTTCACATCATAGTCTGCGGCTGTGGACTATAGTCAATCTGTTGTCAATGCATTGATGATTGGATTAACATACAGTACTTCTTGCTCAGTACTTCGAGGTATTCGTCTGGGTCTTGTTGGGTCATCTTAGAGTTGGGACCGGGGACTTTGTCTTCTTTGCCATTGCTCCAATAGAGGAAGTGAAGAGGGACGAGTATCTCTTCCTTGTTGGCAACCTTCTCCGCTATCTCTGCTTGAAGTTGTTTGAGAGCATCTGGGCTCGTCAAATCACCAAAGCCATCCATGGTTACGCGTTTGGGCCTAGTCTTGGTACGTGCAGGCGTCGCGTGGTGTGGCGTTTGTGGAGAAAAAGTGTGGCGGTGTGTTTGGGTGCTGTTTCATATCAAACATGACACTTTTGTTCTCGACCTGACATTGATTTGTTTCCAGACCATTCTTCTTACTCTTGGAAATTCGACGACATTCGTGATCCGGTACTTTCTTGGGTCACAACACGAACACGATCACCTCACATTACCATGACAATGCCATTATAACTCGGAGCATACCCCTGATCCAACACGTCAAACAACATCTTAAGGATTACCACAGGTGCACTTGAAGATGTCTCAGCCAAAGCTTCAGGAGCCAGCTCCCACGTCAGAACCTCCAAAGATGATCCCCACGCCAGAAACAGATGTGATGCTAAGGCCACGCTCTCCTCGGCCTGTAATCCCAAACAAAGACCACCGCACAAGACTACGAGCTCGTACTCAAATCAAGCCAATTACAGAACGCCGCATCCTCAACTACTATTGCTTTCCAAACTTTGCAGACGAACTCCATGAGATTATGGAAGCTGGTGGTTCTTTCAGTGAATCAGACACAGACGAGGATTCAGACTACGAACTACCACCTCAAACCATTCATCGGGAAGGAGCGCAACTAGGCCTGAAGCGAATCAAGTGGTACAGCGAAGGCATTCAACGCGCAGCCAGAGAGTTGGAGAGACTACCTGAAGACACAGCATTCCTCGATCAAAAAGATGACTGGTTTGGTTTAATGGTGATACCCAAGCCTGAATCCGAGCCTGAGGAAGACCCCGAGTTGGACTCCCCATCTCGACAACTGAGGGAAGAACTTTCTCAAATGTCGCAAACTGAGTCGCCTTATGTGGATGAAGAGGATGGTGGTCAACCTGTCGTTACGCCAATTCATGACGAGGTCATGTTGTTTGTCAGCGAAGATCCTGCTCCCACTCCTGCCGTTCTGAACGACTTGCCTCCTCGATCGCATAAACGCAAACGCGTATCATGAAACCAATACTGTGGAGAGGGTTTCGCTGGCATTCTGGAGGCTGCCTCTTTGATAACACACCAAATGTCGGTAGCCGTTCGACATCCTCGACAATCTAGCATAGAGCTGTGATAGATGGATGATCAAGCCAACACCTCGGATCTCAGATACCAATCTATCTTGTCGAGAGCAGGATAAGCTCGGTGGTGGTGCGTGTTAGCTAATCACGCCAAACTTCCTCGAGGGAGAGATGGAGGTCCGATCTGACCAGACTTGAACGAAAGATGACGTTCCAGAAGTGACAACAAAACAAGTTGTGTTTTACACTCTGAACTCAGAGTAACGAAGCCAATAGTCATACACACGGCTCGCATACATACAGAGGACGGTGTTGCTTTTACACAATGCATACTGGATAGACTTTTGCATAGTCAGGACTTTATGTATCCGCATGTCAAAAGTATTGCAACCATCAAGGTTTACCACCGCTCTACTTTTTCATCCCTCCTCTCCTTGCCCATATATCGTTCTTTCTGTAAGCTGTCGAAATGCACAATACTGGTCTCTTGCATATATAGAAGATGTAGTATAAACAAAGTTGCTTCTATTATCGTATGTACAAATATTGAACCACCACGAATCATCAAGACCCATGGTTCAATCATCCACATTACACGTTGCCCAACAACAAAAGAAAAAGAAAAATTTAGAAGAAAACACTACCACCCAAGCCGGCTTTTGACCTAAGCAGAAGCGGAAGCAGTGGTAGTAGGCAAAGAAACCGAAATCGACTTCTCAGAAAGGTAACTGCTAATCACACTCTCCACCTTGCTGACAAAGGCACTGGTAGCACTAGGCTGGACGCTAGTACCAAAGCCGGTGGGAGTGGAGAAGGAAGAGAAGGAAGGCATGGAGATGGACTTCGCTGCCAGAGCGGAAGAAAAGCGAGACTCGACAGAGGAAATAACCGAAGAGGCGAATTTGTCGTTGGTGGCGAGAGTGCCGTTGGTTGCGGCGAATGAAGGGGTGGGTGAAGGAGAGGCTGATGACGAGAAGGAAGATGATGACGAAGAGGAAGAAGACTCGGTCAACGAGGCTGAGGAAGTGGATGAAGACTCGATCAACGAGCTTGATGATGAAGAAGAGGAAAGAGCTGAAGAGCTGGAGCTGGAGACAAAGGAGCTGGTGGGAGTGGCAGAGGAGCTTGATGAGGCAGAGCTGCTCTGGACTGAGGAAGAGCTGGCAATGCTCGAAGATGAGCTGGAAGAGAGGGTCGAGCTGCTCGAAGAAGAAACAGCAGAGGAGCTGGAAGAAGACTTGCTGACCGATGAGCTGGAAGAGCTGGAGGACATAGCAGAGGAAGAAGAAGAATGAGATGCCGAAGATGAAGAAGAGGCGCTAGAGCTAGCCTTTGCAGACGAAGCAGAAGAAGACTTGTGGGCAGTGACTTGGGAAGCAATTGAGGCCAACTTGGAGGAGACCTTGGACTCAACACTGGAGACCTTTGAGGAGACCTTGGACTCGACGCTTGAGACCTTGGACTGGATACTGGAAACCTTGGCAGGAATGTTGGTAGTAGAAGGACCAGCCTTCGAAGAGGAGGAGCTAGCCTTCGACGAAACTGAAGACGAAGAGGTCTTCTTTGCTGAACTGCTAGACTTTGCAGAAGAAGGGGTTGCCTTGGACGAGCTGCTAGACTTCTTGACGCTGCTGCTGCTGCTGCTCGACGACTTCTTTGCAGACGAAGTAGTCTTGGCCGATGAGGATGAAGAAGTCTTTTTGGCCGAGCTTGACGAAGACTTGCTTGTCGAGGAGCTCTTCTTGCTGGAAGAGGTCGTCTTTGCACTTGTCTTGCTGGAAGACTTCGAGAAAGCGGACGATGTGGCCAGGAATTCGGGCAAGACAATGAGAGAACCACCGACACGAGTGGTAGGGGCGACCAAGAGGGCACCGGCCGGAGCCCGCTCGACGAGATCAGCCTCCACTGCCTGAGCAGGAATGTTGCGAGGCACTGCAACTGCTGCGCTGGCGAGCAGGGAGACCAGAGCCACCTGGCTGATGGGGGTGTCGAAACGCATGATTGACGGATGTTATAGTGGATAGAAACGATAGAAGTATATCAGGAGATAGTATGGTCAAGCGAGTGAAACAAGTCGAGGCGATGACACCCACAGATCTGCGAGGAAGAGTTGTGCTGAGCTGCTGCTGGAACTGCAAAAGACAAGCTGGATATGGAAGTTATATCTTCATCCTGAAGGCATTCCACCATCAGGGTCTACATAGGTGCCAGAGCGTAAGGCAACATGCACCGTTGCCAGATCGATAGACAAAGTAAACGATCGTAACGTTTCGGTAGTCGGTACTTGGAATGGCATGTCTCGAACGCGATTCTGGCCAGACTTGATAGAACAGAGACGACTCCAAACCATTCTGGCAAGAAAAAAAGATGTTCTGTGACGGCGAGGCTTCCTATCAGTAGAACCGTTATGCTGATAGAGGCGTTGGTTGAACCAACGGTGCGCCGGCAGCTTCGCGTGGCGGCGCTGTTTGGGCATACAGAACCGTTTAGGGACAAAATCCCAAAAAATATGACCCTTTCAAACAAGATGGAGGGTTCGTATTCCTTGCCAGATCTTTGTTATGGTCGAGCTGACAGCACAACAACAAAGCGTCGTGGTTGTGGCTTTATTGAGCGACGTAAGTGGTTGCGCAGACATTCAAGCATTGCCAGTCAGTTTGTCATAGACTCAAGCGACCTCAGGATGTTCATATGAAAATTCAATTCATGCGTACCTGAAAAAGATCATTGTTCAAAGGTCTGGGGTTGCGAGACTCGCGACGGTTAATCCTGTGCTTCAAGAGAGTCTCGGCCAGATCATCTGGATCAAAACATGTCCAGTTCACATTCGAGGGAACAACAACGGTGAAAGTGCTCAGTGCACAGCCTTACTCGCTACAATGTACTGCCTCTCGCTCTTTGGAGTTGAAGCTCTGCGGTCGGGCAGCATTGGGATTCTGGCGTTTTAGCACTCCAATTTGCTGTCAGAAAGGAAAGTTGCGATTCGGTCGATCATCAAGAGAGTCGCCGATTGCGACGTGCTTCTCTGAAGGTGATTCCTGAAAATTGAAGTGGGTATCTTGATATTAACAGAGTAGCGAGACGAGGAATCTATCTTCTCTTCGATTTCGTATTGCTCTTGGCGTTGTTGTCCCACAGAGCTTGCAGCTTGGCCGCTGCCTTCCTCTCTTTCTTGTCAAATGGCCCATTGTAAAAGTCCCAAAGAACACGTTTCGAGTCTGCTTGCCGTTAGAACATATCGTTTTTCTTGAGGAGTTTCCGAAGCACTTACTTGCGTGGTCAGGCGCGAACGAAATGCCGTCAGCATCCTTCTTCCTGGCCAAATTGACGGCTTCATGAAGCAGAGCCATGCCCTCGCCCTTGCCGCGGTATCGTATTCTTACTGCCCAGCCTTTGATCTCGGCTCTCCACTTGCGTCTCTTGCCTTTTGTCTCTGCATCCACCCAGCCCAAAATGACTGTTCCGATCACCTCATTACCATACTTTGTAACCAAAACATCGGCATCTTCCAGCATGCTGATGTGGACTTCTTCGGCAAGGGCGATGTAAGGATTGGTGAAGCGACGGACCGTGACCATGGCAGCCATCAGGATTCCGGCCGAGGTAGTGAACATGATGCCAATATCCGCGCGTGACTTGACGATGTACTGGCTAATGATGGCCAGAAAGGCAATGAAAGCAGCCATGTTGAAGGGGTTGAACATCAGAATGCGATTGGCTGTTTGACGCATCTGCGCAATGCTGTCTGCGACCAGCTTTAAAGCAGCTATTTTGTCCTCTTCTGTTTCTGCGACATATGTCTTGAGATCTGGGACTCCTGCAAGAGGGCCCTCGGGTACATCGGAGCTATTATCGACTGCGTTCTGCAACGGAGAAGGAGGACCAATTGAAGAGGCACTCGCTCTCATACTCGGTGGAGTCGACATCGGCGAAGGTGGAGGCGACACGCCCAGATGAAGATTGGTTCGAAGTGATGTGAAGAATGCTATGAAGCACAAAACATCAGATCTGTGGACAGTTGGAAAATGCACGAAACGTTGCAATTGACAACAGCCTCGGCAGATGGAGAGCTTTATGCATACCAGCAGAAGTCCTGAAGCCTGGGATCTTGTCTCCTACACTAACAACCTGAGAATCAGTAGTTGCAAAATCGCAATTGTCGTCTATTTCGACTCGGAACGTTCCCTTCCAAGAGTCCTTGACAGCGAGCGAGGGCGACGAAGAAGGTGCAGAAACGTCGACGAGCTGGAGCTCTCTTCTTAAAGTTTCCAGACAAACGCGCTGCCTCAGGCGAGGCACCATTTTTTCATTGGTTTGTCGCCGGAGCACGTGGGCTTTTACTCAAATAATTAGTTCTATATGGCCTTCTCACGGGCCTTTGGCTGTCTGTCTTTTCATGAGAGAAACCCTCATTGACTGAACAACGTGCGAGGAGCTGTTCTTATGACTGGCTCAAGGCCACTGCCAAGACGTTCGAGAGCAGAGATAGTGCCCGGTATCTGTGTTAGCGTAATCCTATTCACCACTCCACCCGTGCTAGAGATCCTGTCGAGTTTGTTTGCTATCTTCAGATTTACTATTGCCTGATTGGTCGTCGTGAATATGCACGAGATCTTCTCGGAATGACCTGTCAGACGGACTTCTTTCCTTCGAGACTACTTGTCGTCAAATATGCAGTGACGAGAATTCCAAGCAGAGAATGCACGTACAGCAGCATGCCAGAGATAAGAAGGCGAGACCTCAGTGGTCGACATCGACCGTGTACCACGATTGATGCCAACCCACGAGATAGGACTGGTCACACACTCTTGATTGTACAATATACTGCACGAGAAAGACATGACAACAGCCTGAAAGCAACGGTATGCAAAGTATTATTCGAGTGTACTCGTCTCATCCAATTCGTCCATCATCATTGATTCTCTGTCGCTCGCGCCCAAACATCTGACATCTCGCATCTACTAACAGAAACCCAGAACGCCTCATATAACCACCACATTCAACTCTACCCCAGAGCTTTGTCACAGGCATTCCCAGTGACCACCGTAGCTCAGAACGAGCTCTAGTAACACATTTCGTATGGCCAAAGTCTAGAGGACTTCTACTTCTTTGGTGGTGCTTGAGCCGCACCGCCAGGCTCCAAGACGTGGGTATGACCAGGCGCGTGATAACATTCTCCTCCTTCTTCTTGTCTACACACGTAGGCGTTCTGGACCCAAGGGTCGGCAAGAATTTCGTCCATAGTAGCACGACGGCGCGGGTCGAGGTCGAGCATACGGCCAATGATGTGTCTAGTATCACGTGGCAGTAGGCGAAGCAAACGCAATGGGCCCTTGATCTGTTGGCTGGGTTGGTCGCCCGAAGTCGAAGCACCATTCTCTGGCTTTACAGAGCCGTTGCTGACAGACTGTCGAGATTGGGCGAGAAGCTGATCCTGGCCAGGGTCTGGAGGTGACACGAATAGTCTGTACGAATTGTCTGAAATCCTTGGCGCCTTCCAGGGGAATCGACGCAAACACATGCAGCAGAAGATGATCGCTATTGACCAAATATCAGCGGGCTGCGGGTCGTATCGTGAGTTGTCGTAGACCTCGGGGGCAAGATAAGGATCTGAACCAACGACACCTGGAGACTGTTAGCTTACTTGATTTGTTATGGTTTATTTGAGTGGCATACCTGTAGAGAGCACAATGTCGTTCTCAAATGGATATCTGAAGACGACAGCACTTCCGAAGTCAATGATCTTCATGATGCCATGCTCATTTACCACAACGTTGTCGAGCTTCAGATCTCGATGCGCAAGACCCATACTGTGTAAGTACAGGACACCACTGAGAATCTGCAGGGTGCAGCAGGTAATCTCGTCGCGAGACATCTTGCCAGTCATGACGATAGCGAAGAGATCGAAGGGAGCGTACTCCATGACCTCAAACCAGTTGCCCTTCTCATGTATAATGTCGATCGTTTCAATAATGTTTCCATGGTGAAGTGTCGAACCGATACAGAACTCGGCTGTGACCTTCTTGTTGTACTCCCTCTCGCTTTCATACGTATGACGGGCACGGAACTGCTTGACCGCGAAAGTTTTGCCGTCTGCAGTTCTCTTCATGAGTCTAACGGATCCTCCAGCTCCTGAGCCGAGTACTCTGCCGAACTTGCCGTATTTGGAGGCCAAACCATGATCGTCGGCAAATGGTAAGCTCTGAGATTGACCAGATGGTGTAGAAGTTCCGCTCCTGACAGGCGAGCTTGCACGGCTTTTGTCTTTCTTATCGCCAATCTTGAAGAAGCGCTTCAAGCTGACCTTGGAAGCTGACTTATCCTTGTCCTTGATGGTATCATCGTGGTGGTGATCGTGTTTCTTACCACCAAAGAAACTTGACCTCTTGTCGGCATCCGATGGCTTGAGGCTCGCCGAGCTTGAGGCGGTCGCAGCTGCAGGAAGGGAAACTAGTGAAGTTCCAGAAGTGCTGTGTCCCTTGCGAGGATCTCTGTTGCCAAAGCGGAAGCGAGCGTCGATGGAATCTACATTACGAGTGGGGGGAGCTCTCTTGCTTCGGGCGTAAGGATCGTCTTTGTCGCCTTGAGGCCAAGGCTTCGTGTACGTAGCAGAAGGCGTTACGGTTCCTGAACCAGTCGGGGTGCTAGCTCCTGAAGCAACGGGACTGTGCTCGCGCGAGGGTGGTACAGAGTCACCAGTGGGGCCGAGAGAGAAGCGAGGTTGTTGTTTAGGGTGTGCAGATACACCAGTCTCATCGGAAGACGGGACCCTTGAGCCAGGCTGAGATGCCGACATCTGAGGAGTCATGATGTCTCCGCCAGCTCTTGCTTTTGCCAGCTGGGATACAGAAGCAGCTGTGCTAGCGGCAGGCTTGCCCTCACGAGTGTGGGATGCCGATGGGGTCAGAGGTGGAGAGTGGTAGGCTGAGGCAGGGGGAGAAGGGCGAGGAGAGGGGTGTGCGGAGCCTGCTGGCATCACAGGTCGTTTGTTGGACTGACCCGAAGGCACCTGTTCATGGCGCGTCAGTAGTCAAGTTGTACGAGGCACGATCAGATGAGACATACCCTGGACACTGGCTGCGAGCCTGGTAACGACACAGGCTCAAAGGAGTAGTGCTCCATGCGCTTGGACTGTAAGCCATTCTGGAGCGTCGTCTTGAGCTGTCTCAGTTCCTCTTCTGCCTCGGGCGACAGATTCTCCCTCTGTGCGTCATGACCAGTAAGAGAGCGGACGGGCTCCAAGTTGGCCTCGGGCTCGATCTCCTGATTCTTTGTACTGAAGCGAACGGAAGCTTGCGAAGGCGAGTCTGTTCCGCGCTGAGAAGCCATTCTTGATGAAGTCGTGACGCGATGCTGGCTCAGCGAAGCGGTGACGTTTCAGACGCAGGGAGGCAGTATCCCCTAGAGTTGATGACAGTGGTTGGTTGGATGATTAAATGATAGTAATAGTTGAAATCGCAAATGTCAAGATGGTCTCTGAAGACCGGACAGGACAGCTGATGCGAGTATGAGGGATCCAATGGGGGAAGGCGTGCTGCTACTGTTGGCTGTTGCGTTTACTTAAACGAGACGCTTGAACGGGTCCACACGGGGTCGCTAGAGTCGGTAGATGCACGCTCACGACAGGCCTGAGCAACGGTATACAGATTGGATAGTTGGGATATGCAATAACAAGGTCCTGATCAATGCTTTGGTGACCAGTGCGATAGTTGGGGAGGAGGAGAAGGACGATGGAACACGCACGACGAGAGCTGCCCTCAGGTTGTTCACGTCATATTTTGACTCAGTACCGTACGCGGCTGCCAACGGCCAAGGCAAAATTTTAGCAGTTTCTTCTTCAACCTCTGGCAGGCAAGACGAGTGTTCGGCAGGATACGGGACTCAACCTTGGGGAGTGAACGCCAACAATTTATCAAACAAGCATCTGTGAAGAAAATTTCTGCCACAAGACAATCTCTTTAGTCAAGGTGGGAGCACGCAAAGCGCAGCGACGAGTCTGCCCCTCATTTCCGCAGCCAGATCGTGGATGAGAGCCTTGATCGCATCCTCTACAAGGCTTGGCCGAGGCATCGACTAAAACAAGACCTCGATCCCGAGCGGCCACATGTGCGCCTACCGCCCTCGCTGGTCTTGTTTGTGATTCAGTGCGGCTCTTTCTCGTCGTGGCTTGCACGCCTTGCATTTCCGTCGAGACCCTGCGACCAGCTGACAGTACAACAATTATGAGCCCGGGCAGTCAGCTACTCGAGTGCATAGAGCTCTTGCTGAAGAGCGGTCTGGTAGGCTAGAACTAGCATGCACACGCAACAATCGAAAGAGGGGCATGTGATTTACTTGTAGGCACTGCTCCACTCTTAGCCATCAGCTGCCGCGACCTGTAGAAGTTCTGCAACCAGGGGTCACAAAGCACTGGTTGCGATATGTCAGAGAGCGAAATACATGGCTATAATGCGGATCAAAGTGTTTGTGTCCTTTGGGAGCTGTTCAGGTAGGTAGTTAGGGCTAAGGGTCTCGAGCTCGAAGCACCTCGATGGGCTTGATGATGCACCTTGCAAACACGCCCAACTCGTCAGGTCATGCTTCAAGCACTCCTCGGAAGAGACTTACAGGACGGTATCGCTTTATCGCAGTAGCTGTAGACATTTACAAAATGAACCGTTGGCAAAAGAAACAGCCGAAATACTGAGCAGAATAGTCTCGCCATGCAATTTCTCGCGACGTCATTTTGCAAATTGGGCTCGAAGCGCAGTCCGCAAAAGACTGTAATCTTGTGATTAGACGCCCGAGGGGCAGAGAGCTCTTCGATCGTTACCCTCACAACATCCTGAAACTTTCCGACCAGCATTCGAATCGCATAGCATCAGCACAATCCGCATACACACAGCCTCTCTGTCAATCGCGACCGTCTTCGTACTCCCACCGCCAAGATGATGAACTGGGCGAAACAACAGTAAGCTGTGCCGAAACAAAGACCGCATACCCGCCACTGACTGTATCTCAGGCTGGCCAATGTCGCCGGCACTCAAGAGCCCATCTACGGACCTTCGGCCATCCAGGCCGTCAGCGAGCAGGCAAAGACCAAGCCCTACACCGAGCTGACCAAGAATGACATGAAGTGGATCACAATCGACTCGACCTGTGTCGAGACTCAGACATGGTACTTCATGACTGACAGCGGTCACATCTGCATGGTTCAGGTCATCTACAGCAACGTTGCGTAAGTCCTTGCCTCATGCCAACTTCTGCATCGTCTGACAAGTCCCAGCGGCATCAAAATCACCACCCAGTTCAACACAAAGATCTTCTACCAAGATGGCAAGACTCCCAACCTATGGTCCTCGGACGCTCTCGAGAACTACAGCTTTGATGAGGGCAAGTTCAGCTTCCGCGCAAAGGGCTGCTCCACCGAGCTCAACGAGGAGGGCAACAGCTACCACATCAAGTCAAACACAAACAAGCAGAGCATTGTCGACATCAAGTTCACCCAGGCTGCTCCCGGTTTCGTTGTTGGCAACAACGGTACCTCCAACTTCGGCACCGACCCCAAGAAGCCATGGGGCTCAATGAGACACGCCTTCTGGCCCCGTTGCCAGGTCGAGGGTAACATCATCACTCCTGCTGGCCCCCTTGACGTCAAGGGCAGAGGTTTCTTTGTCCACGCACTTCAGGGCATGAAGCCTCACCACGCTGGTAAGTCAGCTGAGTTGTTCACAGTCTTTGTGTCATACTGACCAATCCTTGCAGCTGCCAAGTGGAACTTCGTCACCTTCCAATCCCCTACCTACTCCGCCGTCATGATGGAGTACACCACTCCTCCCTCGTACGGCTCAACTGTCGTCAACGTAGGTGGCATCGCTACCGATGGTAAGATCCTCTGCGCAGGCTCCTCAAATAGCGCAAAACACAGCGAGATCAAGGGCGACCCAGAAAACAGCTGGCCCGAACCAGGTGCCATCTGCTTCTCATGGAACGGCACCGATGCCAGTGGTCAGTCTGTCGAAGCTGTTGTCGAGGGTTCGCTCGGCGAGAGACTCGACCGTGTCGATGTCATGGCCGAGGTCCCCAAGTTCGTCAAGCAAATCGTTGCCGGTGCCGCCGGTACTAAGCCTTACATCTACCAGGTAAGTCTTTTGGCTTGGTGCATCATAACAGTTGCTAACATCTTACACAGTATGGTCCCAAGCTTCCTATCAAGATCAAGGTTGGCGGCGAGGAGAAGACTGAAGACGGCTCCCTCTTCACTGAGGCCACCTTCATCTCATGATTGTGAATTCTACGACCTGTATGTATTTGTCACCAATTCACCTGGGGAGTTCCTGGGGCGGTTCGGGAGTATTCTTTGTTTGGGCTAAATATCATTGTAATAACCACGCTTGGAGAAGTGTACGTAAATACCACTCGAAATTCAACACAGACGCACATGCCTGTCTATGCGCTGATGATTAAATTCTCATAATGCACAACCAATTCACCTCCTTCGCTGGCCGGTCTTGCCGCCGAGACGCCAACCTTACATTTTGCGTCCTTTGGCAAGGCATTCCACCACGTAATTTCTCTCATTGGGTGACGCTCGCCATCATCGCCGTGCAGGTAAACCCACAGATGATCATGCTCGACAACCATTTCAATGGTGGCAGACACTTTGTCAGCCGCGACGACCGGGTGCAAACTCCAATCTGACCAGGTGTCGGTACCAACAACACTTACACGAGGCTTGCCATTCAACAATTCAATTCCTGTCTTGACCCATTTGTTCTGTCTGGCGCCTGGTATATCGATGATCATGCAGAGTCCGCCTTGGTCGTAGAGTTTGGTCCATGGGCCCGATACTGTGACTTTTGCTGACTTGAAATCTGAGGCGGCCATGGTACGGTAGATGTGAGGTGTGTTGCCACGATCTGTGGACGGAGGGATACGCCAGAGATCTGTGTTGTCGGGACATCTCAAGTCGAATGGTTTGCTCATGTCTGGAATATTATGGTCATAGTGAGATGATTGATATTCGGCCATGGTGATTGTTTGGCGTAAGCAGACTGATAGTAGACACAATGATCAATATGTAAGTGTTGAAGAGACTCGAAAAGCAATGCAGCCGTCTTTAGAGCCACTTTATGGACTCTGTGCAAAGGACAGCTGGCTGGTCGATCCATGGCATCAGCCACACTTATGCTCAGGATCCTGAATGCTTGGTATACCCAGGAAACACGGTCCGCCTTACCGTCTTGCTGCAACCCCCACGTTTCTCCACGCGCCTCCTCCTGCTTAGGGCAGCTGAGATCTGCGTCGTCGGACCGAAGTATCTAGGGCTTGTAACTGCCTCTCTTGAAGAGACAAGGAATATTCCTTCTTGATGACGCTTTTACGCGATTAGAAATGATGCCAGGTTTCCAAGCTCCACTTGGCATCTTCATTCAGAAAAAAAATTGATGCACTGAACTATCAGTGAAATATCATCTTCCCTCAAGCTGGACAATCTCTTGGATATTGGATTACATTCAAGTCATTGAGAATGTCATCTTCAAGACGAGCTGGCCACCAAGGCTCTGCCACGACTGTCATAGAACTTGAGCCCATCCACACACCGCCACGATCATCTGAGAAACGCGTTCCTAGGGAGTCGGGCAGAAGACTCGGTCAGAATGATCTTGATAATAACCGTGAACGACATGACCACAATGAGACTCTACCTTCTCCCACCGTCGCTTCTCATGATGCACTGGAGAGATGGAATGCTCCAAGATCAAATCTCTATCGAACACTTGCTGCCTTCATAGGCTTCGCTATCATGGGCATGAACGATGCCACCTATGGAGCCATCATTCCATATGTGAGGCCTGACTCTGCTTGTTTAAGCATATGATCAATACTGACTGGCACTAGCTGGAAAAATATTACAATCTCTCATATACAATCGTTTCGCTTATCTTCCTCAGTCCCCTGGTCGGCTACAATCTCTCAGCCTTACTCAATAACAGCATACACCTTCAATTTGGACAGAGAGGTGTAGCTTTCATTGGACCAGTTTGTCACCTGCTGGCATACATTGTCATCGCCGTTCACCCTCCATATCCGGTGCTAGTCGTAGTGTTTGCGATCGCAGGCTTCGGAAACGGGCTGGAAGACGCAGCTTGGAATGCCTGGATGGGTGCAATGTCGAATGCGAACGAAGTTTTAGGCTTTCTTCATGGTATCTATGGTTTGGGAGCTACCATCGCTCCTTTGATTGCCACTTCACTCATAACGAAAGCTGATAAGCCTTGGTGGACGTGGTACTACTTCATGGTACATTCAAATCGCCTGACTCAACGGTTCAGCTGTGCTAACGTGATCCATAGATCGGATTCGCAGCCGTCGAACTTGTCACTAACCTTTGGGCTTTCTGGAGTCAGACTGGAGAAGTCTTTCGTCTTGCGCATCCCAGAACCACCGATCAGACAGGCAACAGAATGAAAGAGGCCTTGCTCACTATGCCGAGTGCCCGAGTCACATGGTTGTGTGCTTTGTTCTTGTTGGGATACGTTGGCATCGAAGTAGCTCTCGGTGGCTGGATTACCACATTCATGCTTCGAGAACGTCACGGTGGTGCTTTCGCCTCTGGAATGACTGCAACTGGCTTCTGGCTCGGCATCACCATCGGCAGACTGGTACTTGGTTTCGTGACGCCACGCATCGGTGAGAAGTTATCCATCGCCATCTATCTTCCAATCGCGACCGGTCTCGAGCTCCTCTTCTGGCTTGTTCCGCAGTTCTATGTTTCGGCTGTTGCAGTGGCACTGCAAGGGTTCTTCCTAGGCCCAATGTTCCCCGCTGCTGTAGTCGCGACAACCAAACTCTTGCCTAAACATTTGCATGTCAGTGGTATTGGATTTGCTGCTGCGTTGGGTGGCTCCGGCGCTGCGATATTCCCCTTCGTTACTGGTGTCATTGCACAAGCAAAAGGTGTGCAGGTCCTCCAGCCGATTATTCTAGCACTCTTGGTTGTCATCTGGTTGTTCTGGATCTCACTTCCTAGGATCGAAAAGAAGAGAGATTAATAGGAGGAGAGATTTTGAGATGCCAAAAAAAGGCATGATATGACAGCTCTCAGTGGACATTTTCCTTATTCCAAAAGGCTTTATGCATTTTTATGGGTACAAATGCAGCAGCCATCAGATCTTGGGACTGGAACGCCATGTAGATTTTTTGGTCAGCCCGGTGACTACAACAAAGCAAACTCACAAGGCTGCTTAGTAGATACTAATACTTCTATTGTTCATGCTCGATGCACAGAGTTGTCGTGTCTTTTAGCAATATAGTATAGTCTGAACAAGTCTACACGAAACATGACAAAGAAAGCAATAGACCTGGGGCTCTCATGTAACGCACGCTTCCGGCCGTTGTCATTAATATCTCGTGCAGTTTCTCCGTAACTTCACAACCCTATTATGGAGACGAGCGTGTCGAAAGAAGCAACTTCGACAGGAGCCCGAGTTTCGAAGTTGGTGGGCTCGGTACTCGGCTTGGAGAGCTCGCAGCGACCATGTGACGAGTTTCTTGTCAGTCCTGGCTGGCCTGTAAGCCCTTAGTCTCGATGTGGTATGGGAGTGCGCTGTGATGTGGTGGTGGGTTAAACAGTATGTGGTACTGGTTTTATAGTGGGTCCGGTGCTGTGGTGAGTGCTTCACTCTTCAAGGAAACAGTTCTGGCTGTGTCATACTTCAGTCCTTCGCTGATGTATGAATATGGAAAGTCATGGGAGAGTGAACGTGGATGACTGATATTCTCTCTTTCTGCTCTCCATACAGCAAATCATGAGGCGAGAGCACCACTACATAAAGATTCACCAAATATAAAAACGGTCTTCCCTAGGATCGAACACACATCTCCAAGACACATCTTCTGGCATCATGACCACCTCTGACTGAATTAATTCCAACGCTCAGCAGCAGTGGCCCAATGGTAGGGCGCCTCGCCATTAAATGACCTTGCAAACACAAGCATTGTCGACAAAGACCTTTCTCCCCTTGTCTGACTTGTGTTGTCGAGTAGGCGGCGTACGCACGCACACCCACCGAGGCAAAGATTCCGTGTTTGCAAACACAAGCATTCGGACTTTGTTAGTAAGACCATTCTTCACTGCGTGGCATAAGGTCTTTGGATGCATTTGAGGAGGTGTGGGTTCGAATCCTACTCGCTGCAGTCAACATCTCTTTTTATGAAAGAGCGGGCTGCCTTTTTTGCCGTGTTCAGTATAGTGAATGTGCGGCTGTTTAGCCAGTAGGAACAACTAGCTGGTGGGTGTCGTGGTGGTATGACGACCCATGTCGCAGCTTTGAGCAAGTTTCCATGTCAGCCAAGCTGTAGGCGGCAACACCAACACACCACCTCGCCACCGCATTTCTTCTCCAGTGCCCAGCTATACAAGCCAGAAAAACACCAATGAAAAAAAAGTAAAGGTGACTCTCTCAGTCGAAACCGAGAAGAAGAAACCAAGGGATCTTTCTGTGTAAGGTAGGTCCGAAGACCAAAAGAGATCCTGCCTCTGTAAAACGAGCGAACAGGCGGCATTACTTCCTGAACTGGACCTCGTCTGTACTTTTGTAGTTTTTAACGTCCGATCCAACAGAAAGAAGTGTACTGAAGAGACTTCCACTTCCCAGGGGCTCTGACAGGACGGCCTAGGTTGCACCGTGGAGATCTACCGGCTAAGGCTCTCGTTCTGTTTGACGCGATGCATGGCGCTGAGGTATCGTGGAGATCTACCCAAAGGCTCTCATTATGATTGACACGATGGGAGGGTGAAGGTCGGGCGTGGAATGTTCATCGTGGATAACCACGGACGGATATGTGTGGACTCTTGCGCGGTGAGTGTGAGTGGGCAAGTAAGAGGGGCCAGAGAAACGGATGGCGAGGCCGCTTCCTTGGGGTTCCAAAGATTGTGACAGGGACTTGAGAAGAACTCAAGTTTGTGTATGAAGGAGAAATGGAGGAGAGGGAGGGAAGGGTTGTTTATATACCTATGTAGCGAAGCGTTGCTGACTGATGAGTTGCTTAGTAAGGTGGAGCGACATGCATCCATTGGTCAGGTTCGAGCGCCCTTGGTAAGGCAACGAGGTGTTTACGGAGCTCGCGTGTTACCTACAAGAGCGATTGAAAAAGTAGAATATCATGAGTTATCTCCTATACCGACAAAATTAGACGAGCCCTTCAGCATGTGTTATCATCAGCGAGAACGACCTTCCTGAAGTAGATGTAATGATATAGGGGTATGTCAGATGGTGATGGATCGAGAAGCCGAACCTTCGATAGCGTCGGATGTGTTCAGCAAAGCCTACTCGTCGTCGTCGCCATAATCATCGTCATCATACCGGTCGTAAGTAGTTACCAAAGTAGTCATTAGTTCATTCTCGATAAGATCGAAGACTCTCTGAAGCCGTCAAAAACGCGCCAGATCCTCCTCTTCATGTTGAAATTTTCTAGCTTCACGATATCATCGCGGAAGGCCATTATCTCAAAATGTGACATGGAATTCATAATGTCTGACATTGCGTTGACTAGAAATTCCTCGTGGCCAACCCGTGCGCGCACTTCGTCACCGATGCAATCGCCGCCTGTCATGACAGTGCTACCAGTGTTGCATAGGGCGAGTACGGCATTGATCTTTGTCTCGCAATCACTTTTATAGGTGGCAGATTCTTTAATCTTCGCAATCTCCAGGTTGACCAGGGTGGCAGCGGTCGGTGCTTTGTCATACTTTTCCGCGTCGTTCAGGTTGGTCAATTCCTTGTTGATGTAGTAGTCGACTTTTTCGATGTTTGCATTGAAGAAAAATTCTTCGGATTCGTGCGTGGCTGGACATTGAGCCTGCTGGGCTGGTGGAGCCAATTTCAACGGTGGATATCGTTCTTCTTGAACCTTCCTTGCCTTGTCCCTCTTGCAGAGCAGTTGAATATGTGCCAATCTACCCGCAATCTCAGTTCCGACGAGCTCATTCGATACTGCAGCATTAACCAGAAGTTTGTGTACGTCTAAGGCGCCTAAGTATTGGGCAGCTTGGGTTAGGAGCTTTCGTACATCGGACTGATCTAGCTCGTCGACGATCTCGACGAATTGAGCTGGGGTTGGTTTTTCATCGGGTAGCCTGAGAGGTTCGTCTGTGAGACCTTTGTAGTGCGATAGATTGTGTGTATCATAGAGTGCATCGGTCTGATGCTAAGCAGAAGGTTCAAACCTCCGACGCTTGTTGCTACTGGTTAATGCCATATTGACTACTTGAATGCGCTATACTGGCTCGGAGGAGATTCGTATGGTGACTACCAGAATGTGTGGCTTTTTTGAATGGTGTTGATGATATAGAGAGATGGAGAGTTAATGAGACGTCGGATAATGACGTGTCGCGCATTCGGTACTTTTTGATGTTGGTCGTATCACCCTGGTTCTGTCTTTTGATGGCTCTTATCACACATGTTTCTCCAATATAAGACAGTATTTGGTTTCGAACGCAAAACAGAGCCTGTTACTGCCAATCTGGATGCTTTGATGTTCATTGGATATGTAGTCTATGCTGATGATAAACATACGCATATATACATGCAGATGCTTGTCAGAGAGCCATGCAATTCGGGATCGAATCTCACCATCGATATTTACTCAGACATTATTCGTGCAGAATACATTGACTGCTCAATAGATGAGCCTGGGTCTAAAATACATGAAGCCACCTTACATTCTAGACTTCCTCGTCTTTGTTGCTCACTCGAGGAGTCATCTGTTATCTCAAATATCATATTCAAAGTCTCGGATCTGCGGAAGTCGTCCTGCTAAACAGCAGCGAGCTATCTCCGACTCCACAAAAGTGACAGAAGCTGGGGATCTCCGGCTTCGGGAAGAGACGCCGGTCGTCATGCCGAGGTTCCTGTCTCTCGATACAGTGCAGAAGTTGACGTAGGTGATTTTGTTTTCTTATATTGGTGTTGCCGCTGTTAGATAAAGACTTCTCAATTCTCAAACCAATTCTTGGTGTATGAATTATTGCCGTTGAATATGTCGCAAAGAGTGCCTCACGATTTGAACTGCTTGACCATCGCCGAGCTGCAGAAGCATGCTGCGGTTATGATGGACAAGCAGACTCGTGACTACTACAACGAGGTAAGTGCAACATTGAAAGGTATCTAGCAGATACACAAAACTCATTACATGACAGGGTGCCGATTCTGGTAGCACACTCCAGGAGAACTTGGACGCCTACACCAAATATCGCATTCGACCTAGAGTTCTACGAGATGTATCGAAGATCGATACCAGCGTGAACATTTTCGGACACAAGAACAGTATTCCTCTTGGAGTAGCACCGACAGCAATGCAAAGGCTTGCTCACACCGATGGAGAATTAGCAACCGCCAGAGCTTGCAAGAAGATGGGAGTTGCGATGGGTCTTTCTTCGTTTGCAACCACAACCTTGGAAGATGTGGCCGAGGCAAGTGGCGACAACCCACACGTGCTTCAACTATATCTCTTCGAAGAGCGTGAGCACAGTGTCAAGTTGCTGAAGAGAGCAAAGGAGGCAGGCTACAAGGCCGTCTTCCTCACTGTCGACACACCTATCCTCGGTCGCCGCAATCTCGAAATCAGAAACCAATTCAAGCTACCCGCACACTTCAAGATCCCAAACTTCCAGAATCAAGGCGACAATGAACCAGAGGCCGAGGCGGAGCAGAGAGGCAGAAGAGGCAGCGAGGCTGGATACACAGACAGCGAAGGCAACAGAGTGGTGCCAAAGGGACCCATCACCTTCCATTCACATGCAGCCAACCCAACACTAAACTGGGAGAGGGATATCGAGTGGTTGAAGAAGGAGTGCGGTGATGAGATGCAGGTGTGGGTCAAGGGTGTTGCTACTGCCGAGGATGCCTTGTTGGCTGTTCACCACGGCGTCGACGGCATTGTTGTATCTAACCACGGCGGACGTCAGCTGAGTAAGTGCAAGCGCTATGGTTCACGCAAGGAGAATTGCTAACAAATGTCAACAGATGGCGCATTGGCAACATTGGACGCACTTCCCGAGGTGGTGGCAGCCGTGCAGGGCAAGATCCCGGTGCACGTCGACGGCGGCATCCGACACGGAACCGATGTGTTCAAGGCATTGGCCTTGGGAGCAGACTTTGTATGGATTGGCAGACCAGTCCTGTGGGGCCTGGCATACAAGGGCCAAGCAGGAGTTGAGCTGTGCTTGCGCCTGCTCTCGGATGAGATCAGGCTAGCCATGGGTCTTGCTGGTGTCACAAAGGTCGAAGAGATCACCAAGGAGTATCTGGTTAAGATGGACAGGAGTGGATTTGTCTCAAGATTGTAGTAACCTGTCTCGATGAATAAAGTAAATAATGTATTTACATTGTGATTGTATCGAGTCAAAAGCCGCGGCGAGCACGAAGCTTGGTGGTGAAAGAAAGACTGAACATCAACAAGTCAAGCTCCAAAAGTCAACTCGACCAATTCTTCTGCCATTCGCTCACCATCTACTCGAAATCGTGCGCGTCAGCCTTATTCAACACCAAGTCAAACCAAAAACGACCAAAGCCAAAGCCGACTGCAGCTCGACTCTGTTTGCAGGCGCATCGACGCGCATCACGTACCTCGAAGTCGACGACAATGCCGGCACCCGCGCGCAGTCGCCCGCTCAAGAAGGACTTCTTCTCGCAAACCTTCAAAGGCCAAAAGCCCGTTCTCTTCAGCGAAAATGCGCGACCCAGCAGCATCCCTCCACACATCCGCCATCTTGCCTGGTCCTCGACCGGTGCCGCCCTAGCCACAACCTCTGGCTCTAAAGTCCGCATCTGGAACCCCGATCGTCCCAATGTTAAGAGCAGTCAGGAATTAGTGGGTCATGTCGGAAGCGTAGAAAAGATTGTCTGGAACCCTGTGCGCGAGGGAGAGGTTGCGACAACAGGCAGCGATGGTACTGTCAAGCTCTGGGATGTGCGCGTAGGTCCTGGTGCCCACAACAAGGCTGTACCCGTGAAAGAGATAGCTCTGGGAGACGGTGGTCTGTTTCTGGCGTGGAGCCCAACTGGTCAACACCTCGTAGCTGGACGTAGAGACGATGTCATTGTGCCCATCGACGTGCGCATGGGAGCCATGGCCAACACCGAGGATCTGATCATGCAAGAGGGCCGCAAGCTGGGTAGTGCCCAGACGAATCAGATGGCTTTCTCCAACTCTGGCAAAGAGGTCTTTGCTACTACCGGCGAAGGCACTGTTAAGGTCTTGGATTGGCCAAGCATGGTAAGCTACGTGCTACACGTCGACACAACACACCACTGACAAGCAACATCAGACACTGCTCCATACACTCAATGCACACACCAGTGCCGCCTATAGCGTACAACATAGTCCTAACGGTGACTTTGTCGCAGTCGGCGGCGGCGACTCCCTCGTCACCCTCTGGGACACTACCGACTGGGTCTGCAAGCACACTCTATCAAATATGACCGGCGGCGTCCACTGCCTCTCCTTCAGCTTCGACGGCACATACATTTGCGGCGCTCATGGCATGGACAAAGATGGCGACAAGGGCATTCACGTCGCTTGTGCTCAGACTGGCGAGACCGTGCATACTTTCGAGACTTCTCACATCGTCAACGTTCTCGCATGGCATCCACTCAGGTACTGGCTAGCATATGCTGGTGACTTGGGTGGTGTCAGAGTTATCGGTCTTGGAGGCAATCTTTGAGTTCTGCCTAAAAGCTTTCTTCATAAATGGTTTATGGCTTTTTTGCCCAATTCTAGCGAGGCGTTATCTGGTGTCCGCCCCTCAGATCGATCGGCCTCCGTTTCTCAAATCTGTCTTGCTCAATGATTCGTTCGTAGTTCAAAAAAATGCGTCGCGTCTACGAGCCCGTCAGTGTTCTTCAGAGCTGTCCTCTCCTGAACTGTCCTTGTTGGAGCCGTTCTCGTCAGAGCCATCCTCGTCAGAGCTGTCCTCGCCAGGAGGTCTGCAACAGTGATCGAAGCAAAGGGACTCACCATCCCCGTTCTCGTCACCATGCCTCAAAGCATAATATGCAACCTTGAGATCCAGATTTTTGGCCTTGAGATCTTGCTTCTGGCGCCCAAGCTCGGCATTCTCTTTCACGAGCACCAGCTTCTCATTCTGGAGTTTCAATTTCTGTCTCTCGAGGTCCAGCTTCTGTCCCTCGAGCCTCAAGTTTTTATCCTTGAGATCTTCTCTTTCGCCGACCAATCCGCTCAACTTCTGCGTGAGACCAGCGAGAGTGTCACTACGGTACTCTGGTTAAGTTAGCGCGTATCCTGCCAGCCGACTTCCAGTTATGTGCATGCAATGAGTTTCGTTTCACCTTCATTGGACACATAAGATCCGTTAACTCTGAATCTGAGGCTACGGTTTAAATGCTTGATTCTCTCTCGCAGCGTCTTCGCTTCCATCTTGTTGTCAGAGGTGCAAGCTTTGGTAGGGCGTTCTTTCTGCAGATGTCAGTGTCAAGCGTCGAAAAGACAGTAGTCATAATATCACATACTGTGTTCAAAGATTTGTTTGATGGTTGGCAGTTGGCGGTTGATGAGGAAGAGAGAAGGAGGATTGAGAGCTTGTATGTCTCTGCAGACCAAAATTGTGAAGGGGCAGCGGTAGTGTCGAGGGAAGGTGAAGAAGAGTGGTAAACAAGGTAGTTGCTCTCCACCCTCACAGATCACCCAATCTAGGAAGGAAAAGTGAAGAGGAAAGAAGCATGCAACAGGTGCACCGACTCACTCTTGTGGAAGCTGCTAATAAGGAGAGACAAGAATGGAGGTGAAGAAAGACCAAAAGCATCTGTAAAGAAAAACCATCTAGTCTATATGGGAGGACGTAAGTGTGAAAGAGATCCACCTGCTTCAACGAAGTCCTCATTATAAGCAACACAGTAACATATTGCAGCTGGTTTGGAAGAAACTTTATGCTCCAGCATTCCCATGACCAGACCTCTGCGCCGAGAGCAATTGTGAATACTGATATCCCGACATCATTGCAAGTCACTATGAGAGAAGGAGATTATCCAAGCACAGAATAGGTTGGACCGGAACAACACTTGCCAAACAAAGCTTAGTTCCACGTCTTGAAGCTCATGATGCTGGTAAAGAAGAGGATCAAGCCTGTGATGCGAGTCGGGGTTCGAATTGTCCCGAGTCACACCAAAAGCTCCAACTCCACCTATCTCCGCGTAACACCGTCTCACATTCCTTGACATTTCAACCAATTAGTATAGCAGCAGGATCATGTATCTATGGCGATGATTTCATGACTTGCTGGCAAGCTCGCGACTGCAGTTAGATGCGGTTGCTGAGCTTGAAGGTAAATGGAATGCCTCGAGAGGTAGATAAGTAGCTATGAGAGCCCCCTGTATTGATTCGACTTCTCGCACGTATCAAATCTACTTTCAGAAACTTTATACAATGCCTTCAAACCGAGCTGCTTGGGTTGTGATCCAAGGTAAACCTCTCGAAGTCAACGAAGCTCCTTACACTCCACCTGGACCAAACGAAGTTGTAGTAAAAAATGCTGCTGTAGCCATTAATCCTGTGGACTGGCTACTACCAAACGTCGTCAGCATGTTCACACCTCAAGTCAAACTCCCATTCGTCTTTGGCGATGATTGCGCAGGTACAGTCGTCGAAGTCGGACAGGGAGTCAAGACTCTCAAGGTCGGCGATCGTGTACTCGGCTTAGCAGTCAGCTTCGATAAACGCTCCAACAAGGCAAGCGAAGGTGCTTTCCAAGAGTACATTGTGCTGAGAACAAAGCTCACAAGCAAGATCCCGGATTGGATGTCCTTCGAGTCTGCATCGGTCATACCGTTAGGTTTGGCGACTGCAGCGTGTGGATTGTTCCTTGAAGACTTTCTTGGTCTTCAGCTGCCCACTGCCCCTAAACCGCAGAAGCCTACTGGAGAGACTGTGATAATCTGGGGAGGAAGCACGAGTGTTGGGTATGCAAGCTCATGAACAGCAAGTATGTTGACCTCGCTGACAAGCGAACAGATGCAATGCAATCCAGCTAGCTGTCGCCGCTGGTTACGAAGTCATATCTACCGCTTCACCCAAGAACCACGAATACTTGAAGCGTCTTGGCGCCACCGAAGTATACGACTACAAAAGCCCGACAGTAGTGCAGGACATCATAGCCACCATGAACAACAAACACAGGATCTCTGCTGGTGCATACGCAATCGGCGTCGGATCTCTGACGGCCTGTATCGACATCCTCAGCAAGACTAAGGGCAAGAAGTTCGTTGCGCAGGCCAGTCACGATATCCCAATGAAGGAGTTTCCAACAAACATGCTTGCAATCATGTGGAAGATGGGATCCAGCTTTGTTGGATGGAAGCTCAAGGGCCTTATGAGTGGTGTAGGATATAAGTTCGTCTGGTCGACAGAAGTCATGGCGAACAAGCTCGGCTCCGACATTCATGAGAGGTTCCTGCCAGTTGCACTTGCCGAGAGATCGTTTTTGCCAGCTCCAGAGCCTCAGGTCGCTGGCAGAGGTCTCGAGGGAATCGAAGAAGCATTCCAGGTTGCCAAGGAAGGTGTTAGTGCAAAGAAGATTGTCGTTAGTCTTTGATTGTTGTTCAGAGCAAGTGCATAGGCGGAAGAGAAAGATCAGCTGTCAGCTTTCCTAATATACTTTTGAACGATCAATAGCATTTGCAACATGCTGCAGTTAAGTCCGCGGTGGAGTTGATCAATGGAGCCCACAGTAGCTTGCTCCATTGATCACTCTCTTGCGAAGCCCATCATGGCTTTACTTGTCCGAGAAAATGTCTCTCCAGACGGTAGAACATGTAGGCGGCGAAGGTCGGACAAGAAACCGCAAGCAGCAAAAGTTTAATAGAGAGAACCTTGGAAGGACGTTGAGAGTGGGGCACGCCAGATTTCCTACGTCAGGACTTGGAAGCGACATGGGAGTCGAGGTCTTGGTCCATCACTCAAGAACGAACTCTCCTGGTCACTTGTTTCTGGCATACAATAAGAGACCGTTCGATCGTCGCACGCGACCGTTCAAAGCCCTCTGTCATTGACACATCTGTCGAGGATACAATGACCAAGGACAGCACTCAGCAGGACCTCCCAGCATGGTTTGCGGAGACTCGCAAGAAGGGTGTCAGTGTGGCAGGAAATGGACTCTTCACCATCTTTAGAATCGCCGACCTGCCTCTACAGTACTATCTCCTCTCATCTGGCGTAGGATTGAAACTCGTGGAAAAGCTGGGCGGTAGAGCCGTCTCGAATGTAGTCACGTCGCCAGTTACTAAGATCGGCCTGTCACCATATGACTCCCTCGTGTTCGGACTCGCTGTTGGCAGTGCTGCTAAGCAGATTTACTGGTGCCTTGGAGTGGCCGACAACAAGTTCGACCCTGGCTTCTCCACCATGATCGCCGCATACAACACAGTGCTGAACTCCGTCAACACTCTGCTGACACTCTGGGCCGTCAGCTCCAACCGCCCTGCAGTTGGTGACTCTTGGTCTACAATGTTTACGACACAGCCGAGTATCGCGGTTGGTGCCGGACTTTATGGCCTCGGATTGTTTACTGAGTGGTGGAGTGAAGTGCAGCGTAAGCAATTCAAGCAGAACCCGGCCAACAAGGGCAAACTTTGTACCAAAGGACTCTTCGGGATGGCACGGAATATCAACTATGGAGGTTACTCTCTGTGGAGAGCAGGGTATAGCATTATCTGCGCGGGGCTCCCAGCGGGCCTAGGAATGTTTGTGTTCCTTGCTGGTGACTTTTCTCAGAGAGCCATACCATTGTTGGAGACATATCTGGCAAAGAAGGTGCGATTGCAGCTGACTGATTATGAAAACATGAGCTGACATGTGATTAGTACGGGGAGCATTGGAAAGAGGTCAAGAAGAAGGTGCCCTACAAGCTAATACCGTATATCTACTGATAAGATTGAGGTTGTGGAAGAGGGGAGATAATTGAGGGAATGAGCACCGTTGGGCAGCCAGTCGGCAGCTGTCGTCGACATGAACTGTTCGGATTCACATGTGATGCGGCCTGAATGGGAGCTGCACGGTAAAACCGGTCCGAGGCCAATCAAAGGCGGTAAGCGGAAGAGCTATACGAATACCTGCAGGAACAGAACGGCACAAGAGACTTGCAGGTTTCCGGCGTATTGCACACACACAGAGGCGATGCTACGAATGACGAAATTGATATTGTCGCTGTCTTGAGCAGAGTGATATGATGTATTCGAATACAAAAAAGCAGCGGAGCAAAAGGAAGTCAGGATGAAACGGGTATCAAATATGGCAGCCAAAAGTGAAACATGAGATATTTAGGCGCAAATCAGGGTGCTTTAGGCGCAACGGGCGCATGATGCGTCCGTTCGCAAAACACGCCATGCGTGTGCCCCGCTATCTCCCTCCATCTTGTTATTACTGCCCGTAGCCCAGCAGCCTCTTTTTGACTCAACTCCCACATATCCCGATCCACTTGTATACAGTGCCGTCTGTCTGTTTCTATTACATAGTCACACGGATAATCACACAGATAATCACACCGAGTCAAGACCATAGAAGTGCCGTTCTTGAAAGTTGGAAAGCCCAAACAAATCTCCGAGCACCCGTCGGCCGTACTACGCTCTATTGCGATTTTCCTTTGCTTATTCCCAAATACCTGCCGCGTCGCTCTTTCTCGTTCTGTCACTTCTGCAGATATGGATTCGACTAGCATACAAGCACCTCCCAAACCAAATCCGAATCAAGACAGCGGACGTCTCCCGCACGATTATCACGTCGACATGGAGCAGACCAACGAGCCACTCATGCTCAAGGACGAGAACTGGGATCTCTACTCAGTGTCAGGTGTTGCAGCTGTGCAGATGCTCGCGCAAGCATTACAGTCACTAGCCAACATCACCGGAGATGTCGCGTGCACCACTCCCGTATACCAGAGGCAAATGTTCAAACCCCCAGCAACAATCCCCGAAGGCTCCAACCCTCCATCTCCCGACTCGATCACACCGCCTGCCCATACGCCAGAGTTGGAAGGCTCACCAACTCTTGCTCCACACCATTGCGTTCCCGTTCACCACATCGGCGCCCCCGAGGCGAAACGCGACGAACTCATCGCTCCACCAGCCGACTACGAGCCAGACATTGCCGAAGCCAACGCCCTGCAGCTTGCAGCTGTTTCGCGACGATTCTTCCTCAAGGCTGCTCCGCCATTCTCCATCACCGATTATCTCCTTCGCATACACAAGTTCAGCCCGCACTCGCCTGGCGTGTACTTGGCTGCAGCATCCTATATACACCGTCTTTGTGTCGTTGAGACTATGGTACCCGCCACACCTCGCACAGTACACCGCTTAGCACTGGCTGCCATCCGCATAGCCAGCAAGTCACTAGAAGACAACAAATGGACCCAAGAACGAATTGCCCGTTTGGGTGGTATAAGCACAAATGAGCTTAAGAAGCTTGAAATAAGTTTCTGCTACCTGCTCAACTTTGACCTTTTTCTAAGGCCAGAAGATCTACAGCGTTCGATGTGGTTGTTACAAAGTACCGCACGTCAAGGTCTATCCGTTAGGCGACGCCTGAGTGAAGGCTTCATCATGCGACTACCGTCCAGACTATTACCCGAAGCTACTGCTGGAGCATGATTACGATTTTTGAGGAATGAGTTATGCCATTGTTATGACTGAAAGAAGACATGGGATCAACAGAGCATTTGGCGTTGGTTGTGGCTGGAATACTTTTTAATTTTGGAGCTGGCTGCCTGGGCGTCTGGCACGAGGTGTATATATTGGCTGGAGCAGGCAGCCTCTTGAACATCTGATTTGCAGATGTTATTTTTCTTCTCAACTTTGTCTATACGAGACTCTGGGTTCCGTTTCAGGCGGTGGAAACGCGGAAAACACCAACAATATACAGACTTCCTTTATTCTTCCACTTGGTCCCGTTGACGGTGATTATTCTGGTAAGCAGCCACAAGTGGCTCATACAATATGACTCAGTGTCACTTCCAGCCACAGGTAAGCACTATGCAGAATGCCTAGGTACCTCTCGCTTGCTTGCTTCGCTTGCAGGGAAACAGCTTGGAAAGGTCAGCCTCCTGGCATCTTTCTGGGGCCACAAGGCCGAAACGTCGCCCTCACTCCGCTCGCGTGTTGATTGCGTAGACAGAGTGGACAGCCAGCTGAAACGGCGAGGCTGAGTCTCAATATCAGAAAGTACAGCTACCTTGCTATCCTTGTTTTCCAGGAAGAAGTCAGCACAGCCTCAGGCTGCCAGCCGGAAGGATCATGATTATCTGTTGCGCAGCGCAGCGCAGCACGCTGTTTACATTTTCTGCTGAATACATGAAGTCGAGCTTGAATGGTTGGTCATTGCAGCAGAGATGATCAAACAACAAAACCATCTCCAGGAAAGTAAGAACCCAAATGTAAAATGGTTGGATGAGAGACCGAGCAAGCACGCACGCGAAACGGACCGCTGCCGCTGGCGGTTGGCGATCATGCCTCCACGAGTGCGCCAGCGGGGGTCCACTCTTTGACACAACCTTGGTGTGCACTGTGCACTCATCTGGTTCCTGTCATCATGAACACCCGCTGCACACCACACAATCATGCTAAGCCCGCAACCAATTGTCAAATGACCGGATCTTTGGCTTTTGCTGAATTGCGCCTATGGAAGTGGTAGTGTATCTTGTACCTCTCATGGGGCATTTCGCTGGTGTCGGAAGACCCAGAGTTGAAACAAAAGTGCAGACGATGAGAAAAGCGGTTGGATGGTGATGCATCGCACATGCGTGTCCGCGTCTCTTCTTCGCATGACGGATGTCTATGCGCGTGTGTACCATACTCTCGGGCTCGTTCCAGCAAGATCTTTTACGAGTAGCGTCTTGTGCAAACCATGAACGAATGGTTTCCCTAGCAAAAATGTGTCGGGAAAGCGTCAAGCGCAGATGACTGCTCCAGACTTTCTATCTGCTGCAGATGGATGGACAACGGGTGTGCGAGAAAAAGGCAGACGACAGTCCTAGCCCAGGCAACAACCAACAACCATCTGCACCATGTACCTGACTTCACGCAGTCACGTTTTCTTACCAGTCGTCCTCTTTTTTTCAAACATTTCCTAGTCTTTTCACGGCGAACGAATCCGAAATAACGCACCCCAAAAGTTCGAACGGGGTTCGACACCGGGGTGTACATGATCGGAGAGCCCCAAAGGCGCAGCGGTGTCCTGTGGCTTCGCAGCCAAAGAAGATGGGTGTTGGTGGAGGCGCACGTCTGCCTTTGCCGGGGTTTCTGCAGCCTTACGTCCACTCCTTCGACGAGCGCAGAAATAGTTCCTTTACTTATGATGTAGCATGCACGGCGGATCATTGCATTACATATACTTGGCTGCAATCCGAGCTTTCACACCTTTGCTGCCTATTCGTTTGTATCTTCTTTTTTGAACGCCTTTGAATCATCTTTTTTGTCTCTGAGTTTCTTTCATCTTTGCTCCAGACTGAAACATCTCTGACTTGTGCCTGGTCCGCGTGGGGCACACTTTCTCTCTGAGACATCTAGTACATACAACACGAGACCTTTGCACTTGACTTGGAACCCTCTGCTACTCGAAACTTTCCATCGTTGTTCTTGACACTCCGGAGGCACTTCTTGACTACAAGATACGATTTCGGACACCGATACAAACATACCAGGCATTTGTTGGATTCCATCACCCCTTCAGAGCCATTGCTTTGGTATAGCCTTTACTGGGCTTCTCATATACCCCCGCTGCCGCTCCAGGCGCCTCCCTCCGAAGGACCAGAGAATCCCCCAAGAGAGCCAGGAAGTCCTCCAACCATGTGTCTAATCAAGGAAGAAACGACCACCTACGCCGATGGCTACTCAGAGATGAAGAAGACTGTTTTTGCCTGCAGCCACTCTGTCGACGGCCGCACGTGCGATAATACCGAGACAGAAAAGAGCACAAGACACGTGCCTGGAAACTCTTCACAACTGGTGCTTCGTCGTCCCTCGTCCTCGAGACGTGATCAGGTTGTGCTGCACCAAGACTCAACTCGCCATCGGCCAGAGCCTCGACAAGAGCGTCGTTACGCTAATGAAATCGGCGTAAGGATTCGCAATTGGCGCCCTCAGTTCAGTATCCACAGGTTGGATGATAGAGGATTTAGACATCGCAGGAGACGTAGCGATGGCGAGAGCAGGACTTCAGGAGAATTGATGCCCGAGGCCCCTATGCCGCCGCCGCCTCCGGTCGTACATCAGTCGGACAGAAGATCACCGCCTCCCTCTGCACTGCCGGCAATCATAACACCACCCAACAGGCCCACGCCTCCCTCAGGCTCAGGAGCAGCTGTTGTGGCGTACACCACCAGAGATACCATTCCATCGTCTTCAGGCACACCGAGCAGGACGTCGTCAACCAGAAGCAAGCAAGCTCATCAGGCAGCACAGGACTTGCTATCCTTGACTGTTCCTGCCAGTGGTCCATCTGTAACAAGCAGCAAACATACTCGCCCCACACCTGGTCTGAGTCGCTTGCGCGTCGAGTCCCGCCCAATGTTCCACGATTCGACCTACGGTGGATCGAGCAACATATCTCCCATTGACGCACCGAAGATAGATACCTTTTCCGAGACTCACAGCAACCCTACATCAGAACGTACCGCGAGCGAGAGATATAATTACACCAACCAAACCGTAGTGATCGGAAGAGAAGACCACGTTACTGATGATGAAGATAAAAAGTCAAATTCGTCAGAGGATCATAAGAGTTATCGTTTAGTCAGGCGTGTCAGGATTAATGATGATCCGGAAATGACGCAGCGCAAGATGCAAGAAGACATCAGGGCAGCGGAGGAATACCAGAGTCAGACGAGCGAACAAGTCGAAGGATCAGTCAAATCCGGGTCAGGGTCGAGGCGAAGGCGACACCATGGGCGTTAATGGATCAGACGAGCGATTTCTTTTTGATACCCAGTTTTGCGCTGAAATCGGTCTTCTTTTTTGGTTTGCGGGTAAAGGTTGGCACGGGCGGAGGACCCATAGGCGCGCTTGTAGTTGTAGCAGTTGTTGATGTAGAAGCGGTACCAGTCCCTTCATCTTCAGGATCTTCCACCAGTCTCCTGACCTTCTCGCCTGTGCCTGCCATGAAAGCCAATCTTGCTGCTTCGGCATCCTCTGCCTCTTGTTTTTCCCTTTCCTCGTCAACTTTGTCCACAACCGTAACCTCTACTCCATCTTTGGCGGCGCGTTCATTCCTGGCATTGCGCGTACGGATTTCGTCCAGAGCGTCGGCAATTTGCATCTCAGTCTTCGCGTCCAGTGTCTTTGTCTCCAGCTCCTTCATGGCGTCACGCTCAGCTTCTTCACGCTCCAGCCTGTCCAGTCTCTCTTCTTCCGTTTCTTCTGCCAGTTTGGCCTCTCTCCAGGGTTCAAAGTTGCGTTTGGCGCCCTTTTCGGCTTCGTAGTCCATGTTCTTTGGATCCGTTTTGAAGGTGATCTCCTGAGAGCAGCGAGTGCACTTGATGTAGAAGCGGTAGATTGTGATGGCGTAGTACTTTTCGTCTGTGGTTTCTTTGCGCGCGTTGAATTTTCTTCCCTTGTATCTGCGATGTTTGTTAGCAGGATGGTAAGTAGAGCAGGAAGAGATATGAACTTACATGAACTCTCCACAGGCATTGCACTTCATCGAAAACGGCGCCATGAGTCTGACAGTCTGAAGAAGTGGTCCTGTCTTCTTAGGTCCTCTCTGCCTGACCATCTTCGACGGATCGAAATCCGGAGGGAAATATTTCTGGAGCACTTTGCGTTCCGACATGGCTGCGGTTGTTCTTGTTGACGACGCTGTGGTCTATAGGAAGAGGAGGGATGGTATGGGACAAGTCCCCGCGTGGTTGTGTGTGTTGTGGCGTAGAGAAGGAAGAAAGATGGTATGCGACAAGTTCAAGGCAACCGTCAGACGAGTCCTGGAGAAAGGGCGATCCACTTGGTCTGTGCTCATTCCCGCTTTGAGCCTCCACTTGCATGTGAAGGCCTGTCTCCCCTTGCTATATATTTTCCTTCTGCAGCAAGAGTAAGAGCCTTATTGGTAAGATCTGATCCACATTCCAAGTAGCGACTGTAAGACAAGTTGAAACGCTCATCTCATAACCCAAAGATACTGGATAGTCCAAGACATGTACAATTCAAAGCCTCAACGTGTATACTTTTCATGATCTATGCATGTTGCTCGCCTGTTATATGTTTCATCAACTTGTCTATTTGAAAGCTTCCGCTAGCTTCTTCAGTGTGCTTATAAAAAGGGATGTCAAGTTCAAGACGAAGACAGGCTGAATATGGTGGTTATACAACCGACGCCTCGGTAAACCTGGGGTAATGCCTCGGCCAACCCTCCGACGACCTGAATAACTTGACCCTCTTCCCTGTGCGAGTGGATGCGTACAAACAGAGTTGTTGAAAATGTCTGCTTCAAAGTTCAGAGTGCAAGAGCATACATTGCCATGCTCGTATATCAGAGAATACCCGCTGGCGAGTGCGGAACGCCAAGAAGACACGCTTCATCTTGCGATCAAGCAATACACCCCGCTTGACAATTTATCACCACAAAAGGGCGATGTTACAATCATCGCTGCACATGCTAATGGATTCCCGAAGGTGATTGAAGTGTTTCCTAGGGGAAAGGCTCAATAAAGTTCACTGACATGGAACAACCGCAGGAACTATATGAACCTTTATGGGACGAGATGCATTCTAGATTACGCGCCAGCGGAGTAAAGATTCGCAGTATCTGGATTACAGACGTGGCTCACCAGGGCCAATCAGGTGTGCTCAATGAGAATATATTGGGAAATGATCGTGGGTTCATCATAGCATAACGTTCGGATCCGGCGACTCATACTTCACAGCATCATGGTTTGACCATCCTCGGGATTTGTTCTTGATGATTAACCACTTCCGTGATCAAATGCCACAACCACTGATTGGCATGGGACACAGCATGGGAGGGGCGCATCTGACAGCTTTGTCGTTGATGCACCCTCGTCTGCTGAGCACCTTGATACTGATTGATCCCGTGATCATTCACAACTATTATGGAAACGCTTACAAATTAGGCCGAATGTCTGCAAAGAGAAGAGACAGATGGCCTAGCCGGGCAGCAGCGCGGAAGGCTTTCGAGAAATCACCCATGTTCAAAACCTGGGACAAACGTGTATTGGACTGCTGGATGGAACATGCTCTGCGGGACCTACCCACCAAATTGTACCCGGAAGTAATGGCATCTTCCACACCACCGGCACTAGGCGCGGACGTCTCTGGTAGCACCATCTCTCCGGACAGCAAGACAGAAGTACCTGTCACGCTTAAGACGACGAAACACCAAGAAGTCATGACCTTCATGCGAGGCAACTTTGTAACGGCGTTGAATCCTGCACCGAGCACGGCACCCAACTCATTAACGCATCCAGATGTGGACACGAGCGGGGGATCTGTGGAACCCTTCTACCGACCGGAAAGTCTCCACCTTTCCAAGCTCCTGCCGTACCTTCGTCCTTCGGTCTTGTACGTATTTGGCACCGAATCTGATCTTTCTGCACCAAAATATATAGCAGACAAGCTGGAAACCACGGGAGTGGGTGTAGGTGGTAGTGGAGGTGTAGCGAAAGGGAGAGTCAAAGAGTTTACGATGCAAGGAGGTGGGCATCTGATGCCTATGGAGAGAGTGGGAGAAACGGCGGATCAGTGCAGCGGGTGGCTCTTGCAGGAGCTGAAGCGGTGGAAAGATGAATACATGCAGATTGAGGCTCTTCGGGCAGCGGTACCTCGAGACAAGAGAGGGCAGATGTCTGATGGGTTTGTGCAAGCTTTGAGCCAGCCCACAAAGTCAAAGCTGTAGGCACTTGGTAGTTATATGGAATGATGATATACAAGCTGCCACAACAGGAAGTCGCATCGAGTATCGGAGTGCAGGCGAAGAATAGCCGGGCGAGAGAACCGTGCGCCGGCGTTGCCTTCAGGCAGACAGAAGGTTAACATCAAATTGATAACTGCTGCTTCGGTTGCCATCTGCTTCCGCCCTGAACTGGACTTGTATACTCACCGCCTTCGTTGACCGCCTTTGTGGTAGCGCGTCATCTCGATAGCTAGTCGACAACAAATTCCATAAGACGAACCGCCCTCTCCCTGGTGGAGTGACGGCCCTAGTCGCAGTCGCAGACATGGGACGCAAGCCGAACGCGCTGATCCTCGAGTTTTTCGAGCGAGGCGCCAAGTTGGCCGACCAGAGCAACAGATATGAACACAGCTGCAAAAGATGCGGCCAGGTGGTGAGCATGAATTCTTGTTTACTCGCACAATGCCTTTGTTGACGAGGAGCAGTTTCCAAAGGGCAGACCCGACAGCCTGACACGCCACTTGTTCGAGAAATGTCCCAACATCACCGACGAGGACCGCTCGCGCGCCTTGTGGCAGCCCGCCGACAATTACATGGCCTCGAACAACTCGACCCCCCACTCTGACGCAGACCTCCCTCTGATACCACGTCGTGAACCCTCGGGTCTCGACGCCCTTGCCGAAGTCTCTCGCCAACTTCAGGCCAATGGTCAACATGAAGAGGCTCTGGTAGCCCAGCTGCGACAGCACATGGATCAAGAGAACAAGGACAACGGACCTTTGATGCATACGGCCAGCGCAGCTACTGACATGGTCCACCACATGCCCGCCAAGTCTAGAAAGCGTAGAGCCGAGTCAGACGTCGCTCTACAGCGCCAACTGCCACATCCACCAGTCGATCCACAACTCCAGCAGCATGACGACTATTCGTCCTTTGTCAACAACTCTCTCGACGAAAGCTCTGCCCACCAGTCGCCCCAACCTCAGTCTCAGCAATATCAGCAGCGTCAACAGTCCCAGCAACCACAACACCACCAAGCACACCAACCATTGCAACAATCCGGACACTATTCAGCGCAGCAACCGGCACAACACACACCACAGCCTTCTGACCAGCCTTCGAATACATCGCAACAACCATCTCAGCTACCTCCCCAAGAAGCACAAGATGGCGCCCCTTCAAGCCATGGTGAATCACCAGCATTTACTGTCAACCAAGGCGGCTTTGGTTTGCTGCAACGCGCCAACAAGAACAAAGTGCGTGGCAGATTCACCGAGGAGAGACGTAAGGAAGTACAGACTGTGCGCAAGAAGGGCGCCTGCCTCCGCTGTCGCATGTTGAAGAAGCCCTGCTCCGAAGGTACTCCCTGTGGTACCTGTCAGAATATCGAGAGCGCAAGACTGTGGAAGAATGCCTGCATTCGCTCTCGCATCGCCGAAGAGTTCACGCTCTACTCGTCCTCTCTCTTCCAAGCCAAGGACCACCACACCGTCCTTAGTGCGCTGCAGGGTGTCGACCCCATGCAGTTGCCTGGAAGAGTCGAGGTTACCCTGTTCCCTGACACAAACATCTATGCTACCTTCCCTGCTCTGATGACACCTCCTACAGCTCCCTCCCTCATCTTCATGCTCAATTACAGACGCGATCCTGACACGCTGGCTGCCACTTTGGAACGCTATCTGCACATGGTCATCATGCAATGCATTTCACACGAGCCCTCGACTTTCATGCGCTCCACTCTCGAGGTTGCTACCGAGTTGAGTGTTGATCACAACGATGTTCTTCTGGGAAAACTCATCAATCTCTGGGCTGCCACGAATATCCTTATCTCGAATGAGCCTATTTGGTCCATCTTCTACGAGCCTAACCACCCGCCGGTCATGGAAGCCGTTCAAGGCGAGCATGCCGAACAAGCTTCATCTGCTTCGCAAGACAAGGGCCAGTCGGACCGCAAGGCCTTCTCACCAGACACCACCGATTACGCAGTCATCTACGCGCAGCTGCAGCATGCCGCCGAGAGGTACTGCCAGAAGCAAGCCAAGTTCGTCATGAACGAGCTCGAACGTCGCCTCCTGCAACGCCAACAGTCTTCGTCCTTCCTCACTTTCCTTGCCGCCGTCATCCTGCTCAATTGCGTCGAGCGCATGACTGGTCTTTACAGGTCGTTCGATCCTGCCGGACCGTCTTCAAACGATGACATCCATGCTCAGCTCACCACAGCTAACGACAACAATGTCGAAGCTTCGCAGCAGCCAGTTGCCTCACCGGGCGAACACCCAGACCGTCCAGTTGACTGGCTCTTGGAAGAAGCACCTAGTCACTACTGGCCGCAAGGCAACTCGTTCAGCAACCTCGTACACCTACTCCTTCGCATGCGTGGTCTGCCTCCTGCGACACTGGTCCGTCACACCGGTAGTCTGGTCGTTATCCCAAGCACACACAACAAAGCTTATAGCTCAGAGACCCAGGGTCCTGCCGCTGAATCCCAGTTGCAGCTTGCAGCAGCCTGGATCGAGCGCACCAATGTCTCGGCTTACGACCTGCTCCGAGCCAAGGACAGACCTCTATCTGAAGTCGGATCCGATCCTAGAGACTGGGATTTGAGGTTCATTGCCCCTCTGCTGTTGCCACAGAGTTCTTAGGTTGTGGCTCATCTCAACCAACTTACACCCCCTTTATTTCGCCGTTGAAGACCCCGATGTCTGATCCTCCAATATGCTTTTTAATCGCTTTAGTCAACCTTCTCTCTTTTCTGTTGCTTTTGCTTTTCTGCACGGTATAGCGCGGCGCTGGTGGACTTTTCCCTCTGCTTTTCTTTCCTCGCGTAGATACAGTGTTCGCACAAATAACACTCAGACACAGATGATGCTCCTTTGTTACATAACTGAATTGCTCGAACCAAAAGATTTTCCACTCTCGTTTCTCAACCTGAAAAGTGCACAGGAGTCGCTAAAGCAAATAGAACAACAATGGAAAGCGTCGTGAAATCACATCTTCGTATACCTAGGTATCCGGCCATGAACCTCTCCCCTCAATTTCATCAGGTTGTGGTTCTGTTTTCTCATCTTTGAACCTTTGAAACTCGCTCGTGCGAATGCGACATCTTATGACTTTTTTCATGTCCGAACAAATAGAAATGGAGCAAGTTTGGGAAGAGAAAGAGGAACATGCCTAGAAAGAATGGGGGGAGAAGCATCAATCACATCTACAGAAGCTGGACTATCCCCGAAATGCCTCTTCTTGAGCTACCGAAAGTTTTTGGAACATGTTGGGCTTGCCGGGTTACGTCTGTTTCCGCTCTTGCTCGATACTGAGATGCGTGAACGAAGGTTTTCGTAGATATACATGTAGCAGAAATGAGATGGCTTGCGAGAACCATCAGACGCAAATTCATCCCCTCGTGTCGATAGGATGAGAGATGCAAAAATAGAGCAATGATGAACACCATGGGCAGGAATCGAACCTGCGACCTCCCGATCTTTGAGAGAGTTTTAGGAACTTAGGTAAGCGAGTTTAGGGACTTAGGTAAGCGGACTAGGGTTTAGGTTACCAGATCGGGTGTGCTGACCACTGCACCACCATGGTCAGAGGGGACACAAAATATCTAATATATGAAGGTTAAGCAAGAAAAGTAGGCAGCAGCCTGGGTGGTTGCGGGAGGGAGCTCGAATGGTCGGCAGATCTCGGGAAGCTTGGTCCTGATACCATACATGTGACTTGAATATCTCTAAGCTGGCGAGATACCTCCTTTCCAGTATTTGCTGGGTACGAAAGGCATCTTCGTCACTGTGGCCTTTCTCGTCTTGCCCCTGACCACGACGCCAAGCTCGGTACCGGACTTGTGTTGGCCGTCCTTGACGTATCCCATAGCGATGTTCTTCTTCAGCGTGGGCGAAGGACAGCCGCTGGTAACGATGCCGATGGCTTGACCTTGGGCGTCTACGATTTGTGCGCCCTCGCGCGCAGGAGCGCCCTCGACAAGCAGTCCCACGCGACGACGGTCAACACCCTTTCCACCTTTGCTTTTGAGTACCAGCTGTGGCAGAATAACCTCTGCACCATTAAAATCGTTGCGAGGAGGCGAGCGACGTGATTTGCCGACGATCCAGCCAAGAGCGCCTTCCACGGGTGTCGTACTGTCATCAAGGTCGTGGCCATACAAACACATGCCTGCTTCAAGTCTGAGAGAGTCTCTGGCACCCAGGCCGGCAAGACGTAACTTGTCGGGTCCGGCAGCGGTGAGGAGCAACTCCGTTACGGCGACAGTGTCTTCGGGCGCGATGGAGATCTCGAAACCGTCTTCGCCAGTGTAACCACCACGAGAGGCCAGAACAGGCTTTGAAGTCTCGCCTGATGCGAATCTGAGAGTCAAATACTTGGAGCTGCCGAAGTAAAGGGACTTGAGGTCAACGTTATCAGCGGAGGGAGCGAGTACACCTTGCAGGATCTCGGCTGACAGAGGTCCTTGCAGAGCTACAAGGCCTTGGTTCTTGAGCTCAATCTTGTCTACACGGGGCTGGTTTGCATTGTTCCAGGCGTCCAGGTTTGCGGTGAAGAAAGCGGCGTCCTTTTCTCTGCATTCAGCGTTGGTGACGACGTAGAACTTGTTCTCGTCCAGACGAGTGATGATGGTATCATCCACAATGCCGCCAGTCTCGGGGTGCAGTAGAGCTGAGAGTGTGGATTGGTGAGGTGGTAGCGCTTGCAGATCAGCAGGCGTGATCTTTTCCAGGAAAGCAGTAGCTCCAGGTCCAGTAAAGTGATATTGCACCCTGGAGGTAGAGACATGGCGTTGGTCGATTTGACACAGACTGAGGGAATAGTGTGACAGATTCAAGACTTACATATGGCTGACGTCGAACAGACTGGCCTTCTCTCTGGTCCATTTGTGAGATTCACCAACGCCTAGATCGCTGTACTGAACAGGCATCATGTATCCTCCAAAGGGGACCATCTTTGCGCCTTTGGCCACGTGAAGATCATAAAGACCCGTCTTGGAATTGGCTTGATCGGTAGATGAAGCATAGCATCGTGCTGCCACTGGTGTGGATTGGGCAAGTCTGCTAGGAAGTCTTTGCAGTCTTGCATTGGATACACAAGTTCCTGTGGATCCTCGATAGATAGCATTGGGTCTACAAGCACGCAGCAAAGGCGTTGCGAATCTAGCCGAGGAGCGGATGGCAGACATGTCTGGCGGAGTAACCAGTACTGGGGAAATGAAGTGGGAGACGTGAATATGATTGAAAGAGCTTGAGCAGACGGCCAGGTATGCTCTTTTGTCTATGGAAGGAAGTGAATTGAGTCAACAGAGACAGAGTTTGACAAGTAATCGATAAGAATTGAGGCTCTTCTTGGAAGGAAGCACCAACACCACATGGGTTCGTGTAAGCGCGCCCGCATAGGAAGGAGCTTCCCCCGACCGCTACCCGACGACAACCCCGAGGGGCAGGTTAGCGTCTACTCGGACCGACCCGCAACTCCAGCAGTGAGTTCAACGAAGCGGCTCTTGCTCTGTGGCTTGGTGGTGTTGACGTGCTGGCGGTGTCGGTGGGGAGGGCCTACGCAATCGGCGATGGGTGCCAGAACTGCCCCTCCGATCTTGCATACAGCGGCCATCTTTTTTCCCCTCCTCAGTCCCTCTATACCACTCTCTCATATCCTCAAAAATGTCTACGTGAGTTTGAACTTTTGGTCAGCATCTTGCCTATATTCAATTGCTTACATGAATTGGCAACAGCAACATCACCTGGCACGCTGGTCTTACCCGCAAGGAGCGTAGCGAGCTTCGCAAGCAGCAGGGTGCTACCATCTGGTTCACTGGTCTCTCTGCCTCGGGCAAGTCAACCATTGCCACTGCTCTCGAGCAGCACCTTCTGCAGCAGGGTCTTGCTGCCTACCGTCTCGACGGTGACAACGTCCGTTTTGGTCTCAACAAGGATCTTGGCTTTGACGAGAAGAGCCGTAACGAGAACATTCGCCGCATTGCAGAGGTACGTTGAGACTTCTGGCTGTTCGAGTCGATACCGTAAAGCTGACCATGGTCTGCAACAGGTCGCCAAGCTCTTCGCTGACTCATCCTGCCTTGCCTTGACTTCCTTCATCTCCCCCTACAAGGCCGACCGTCAGACCGCCCGTGAGCTCCACGAGCAAGCCACCAACACCGACACTCCTCTCCCTTTCATCGAGGTCTACGTCGACATCTCCGTCGAGGAGGCCGAGAAGCGTGACCCCAAGGGTCTCTACAAGAAGGCCCGTGCCGGTGTCATCAAGGACTTCACCGGCATCAGCGCTCCCTACGAGGCCCCCGAGAAGCCCGAGATCCACATTGACTCGGTAAACACCAGCGTCGAGGAGGCTGTCGTCATCATCACCAAGTACCTCGAGGAGAAGGGCCTTCTCAAGCAGGGTTAAATGGTTTCTTTATGATACCCCTTTGCATTTTCAACTGTATATAACGTCTCATGTAACGGACCTCTTACTACAAAAGTATACGAACTCAATCATGTTTTTTCTTTTGTATGGACAACCTGCAAAATTTGGCTGGGTATAGAGTGTCTATGGACAGTAAAACAAAGGGTAGAAAACAAGGAAACGCTGGCCGAAAACGACTAAAGCAAGGAAGGAGGATGGTTTATATGCTTTGCGCTCATGCAATCTCAAACTGGTAATAGACGTATGCGTTGTAGTCCTCACCACCAGCATGGCCAGTTGCTTGCAGTTCATTGGCGGTTTGAGCATCATCCTTGGTCACTCTACCCTTCTTGTCGCGGCCGAAGGCGTTTCCACCAAGGTGTGAGTAAGCACCGTCGAGGTTCTTCTTGACCTTCTCGACAACCTTCTTGTCCGTCTGTTGTTTCTGTCAGCATTTGTGCATAGCTTAGCGTCAAACTCAAACTCCTTACCTTAACAAGGCCACAGACAAAGCTCAAAGGAAGACCGTAACGCAGGACTGTCTCAACAAAGACACGCAGGGCAAGAACGTGGATCCAGGCCATGACAGCATCGCTGTAGCCAGTGCGACCGAGACGGAGAGCCTCGCCCCAAACACGGCGCTCGTCATTCTCAAGCTTCTTCTGCTCGCGCTCTTCGGCCTCACGCCCACCCTCGGTGAACTTCCACTCACGGGGCGTCCAGCGCCTCTCGCGCACCTTGTGGACAAACTCTGCGCTGTGCTTCTTGAAGACGGTAACGGCGAACAAGCTGAACTCGTCGTCCTTGGCCAGCTCTTGCGATGAGCGTGGCACGACCATGGGGCACAGAGACTCGTAGCTCTGAAGGTAGTCCTTGACCTGGTTCTTGGGCACAGCGATCAGGTGTTGTTGCAGGTATTCCGAGGCGTCTGGTGCGAGGAGGTTGTTGGGGTTGACGACAGAGGTCAGCGACTTTTGCGAGAGGTTGCCGGTGCGCGATCGCAGGGCCGAGGCCAACGAGGTCTTTGTAGAGTTGTACTGATTGAACTTGGACTTGACGTCGTTGTCTATGCTGGCAATGTCCTGTAGTGTTCTTGTTAGCCAGTGCGACAAGTCAGGTAGAAGCACAGGAGACCAACCTTCTGGAGCATGTCAACCAGCTCCGAGATGGGCTTCTCGGCGCGGTATTTGACCTTGTTCCATTGGAAGCTCTGCAGGTAGTGGTCGACGGGCTTGTCGTTGACGTTCTTCTGGTCGGCGATCTTGTCCTCGTCGCCCTCGAGGATGTTCTTCAGCGAGTCGGCCACCTTCTCAACAACGCCCTTGCATCCTTGCTCCAGCTTCTGCAGGTCGTCGGCCTGCTGCACAAGGGCGTCCAGAGTGCCAATCTTGAAGGATGGGATGCTGAATGGATACGTCGTGCCGTTGTCGGTCGAGACGACGGATCTCAGGGCCGTCAGGGCCTCGTCGCTGTCATTTGAAGGCGAGATGGATGTCGGTAGCGACACGAGACAGAAGGTCGACTTGGACATGGTGTCGTCTGGTTGCTTGCTAGACAACTCAATGCCTGTCGTTGTTGCCCGGTGATGTTACCTCCGCCAATCTCACCCTCGGCCGTCTCGGCACAGCCCTACTTCGACTTCGTCATACTCTCGCTTCGTCTTCATCCTCCTTCAACCTGCCATACAGCTGAATACATGCACACATATCATCTTGTCAATTGCGCTACAACCACTCAAGATCAAGACAGGGCAAACATCGGTAATGACTGACAAAACACGAGAGTCTTTTCTCAATACTGGCCGTTGACTATCTTTACATCTATTGTACGCCATGAACTCCTGCGCTATGCCCAATTTCCTTCCCGTTCTCTTTTGTCATCCCCAATATCCTATCATCTTGTTGCTGCCTCAAAGGCCCGTTCTATATGACAAGTCGACCAGCCTCAGAACATATCCATCTCATCACTTGTGGTCAATGCAAATCTGCCTTGCTGCATCTCGCTCCTGCGGTCCAGCTCTGCTTGGTACTCTTTGCGCACATCTTCCAGCGTAACAATTCTGCGCTTCTTGCCATGACTTGCTGACACGCTCTTACCACGCTGGTATTCCTCCTCGACTCTCTCTGCAAGAATCCAGCCCTCGTCCTTGCCGCAGCACGCGAGCGTGTTGATCAAGACCAAGTACGCCTCAACCAACGTCTCGTCATCAGGCTCAAACACCTTGGCCGTGCTGTGTCGGAGGCGCTGCAGACGCTCGAACAGTATCTCGGCAGCTCCACGGAAGTCATTGTTGTGAATACGCCACGTGTACATGACTTGATGGTACTGAGGTTGTCCAGGCGTGGGTGTCGGTGAGAAAGACAGATGCTTGCGTGCTAGTGAAAGCAGTATGTCGTCAACCTCGGGAAGGAGATACTCCGGGAACGGCAGAGAAAGAAGAGTGCTTATTCTGTTGGTCGCAATGAGCGATTGTAGCAGAGCCTGAAGTGACGTCTTGCGTAGCACAGGGTTGCCAAGTACAAGCAAAGCATCAAACGCAGGCTTGTAGCGACAAATCTGCAACGAAGCGTTGAACACGCGAGTAAGAATGTCTTCCTTCAGCTCACGCACGCGCAAAAGCTTGATCTCTTCCATTGCCAAATTGACCTTTGTGGCTGCCGGACTACTCTGCATGCCCTGCTTGCGCGTGTCCAGATCAATCAAAGAGTTGTCGTCGAAGTTTTCGAAATTCACTGCAAACTCCTGAGCAGCGAGAGAAGCAAAGTCGGCCGTATATGCGTGCAGACGACTGCGCTCGAAAAGGTATGAAATGTGCAAATAGTAGCGAGGCAATCCATCGTTGAAAAAGTTGCGCGCTTGAGGATCAATTAGGTTCGACGTATCCAGTCCATCGATCTTGAGGGTCTTCTCAGCGAGCTTCTCAGCTGCTTGCTTGAAATACTCGGCGGCCAGAGCGTATTCACCGACTGCAAGATTCAGTCTACCTCGGAGATAGGAGGCCCACGGTCCTTCCGGCACGAATCTGAGGAAATCGGTAGCTAGATTGTAATCTTGGTGCTTTATGAGATTGCCCAAAACATACAAGACAACATCGTTGTAAGCATTGGAGATGTTAGCCCCATACGTCCACGCGCGGCACCAATAGGTGATGAGGAAGGGAAGAGTCTCCGAAGCTGGGAACCGCAAGCTGTGCCAATCTCCAATAAAGATGCTTTCAAGCACTGTCAGAGTAGGATGAGACAGAGATTTGTTGGACTTCGATACGGGACTTTCGGGGGCGTCCTTGGCCTTCTTCGATGGCTCCTCTCGGACGTTGCTAGCAAGCCAAAGCAGAACATTATGTTCTTTGAGCTTCACTACCAGCTGCTCGTACAACTCTGATGGTCTGAACTCTGGCGAAAGTTCTTCCTCCTCAAGATCGCCAGCCATGAAGACCACCAAGGCGAGGAGGTCGAGAATGATGTCTCTCGTCATGGTAAGAGTGTCCTGGGCACCCCGGATGGTTGCCTTGTCTCCATAACGAGTGAGCGCTTGATCTCCGTCAGCGCCCTGTTCAGGTTCAACAAGGCGTTCAAGAGCAACGTAGAACAGTTCATTGTCCAGATCACCAAGACCTCCAAGATCTTGCATCGAGTCTGTTAATTGGTTGAAGTCCTCGTCCGTAACTTCTGTGTGCAGGGCGCACAATTCGTAAAGTTGACGCAAGTCCTCAAGGTGCTTGTCCTGGGTACCGTTCGGAGTGGTGGCATTGATACCAATCTTGAGGGCATCCGCAGCAGTTGCCTTCACGAAGAGTGCCTGGAAGTCAGAAGATAGTCCCCTCCTGAACGTTCTCGCACCTGCAAGCAGGCGACCAATGTGCACACTGTTCTCATCAGTCAGGTGGTCGGCAAGGGGCATGGAGTTGACGATGAAAGAATCTTCTTGGGTAAGGAAGACATCTTTGTTGAGATTCATAACCTCAACTTCGCTACATTGTCTGACAGGGCCGACTTGATCTGCTCTGACTGACCACGCAAGGTCGGTATCCATATCAAATGCCAGAGAAAGAGAATCACCACGCCTAGTGTGGAGGTGTCGTACAAGACCAAAGAACACATGCCATTGTGCGGCAATTTCGGATTGGTACTTGGCAAAATCAAGCTGGCCTTCAGCATCTTGATCAACATCGATTTTGGCAGCAATGGCATCGCAGATTCTTCCTTTTAGAGGACTTTCCTTGGTCGATCGAGATGATTCAGTTGAAAGTTTCAGACCCTTTTTGTAGATGTGCAATGCGCTTTCCAGCATAGGTACACTAAACCTGCCGGGATAGAAGAAGAAGTCGAGCCAACGGTCGCTGAGACTGGAACAGTCTTCTACCACAAGCTGAATGTCAGCGTCTCCTGGGTATGATGGGTCATCCATCAGAGCCTCAATGGTAAGAGACCCATCATCGACAAAGGCCCAGTTGTTGCGCCAAGCATCCTCAAGGTCTTCAGGTCCGGCAAGCAGATCGAAGGTCAAAGTGAAGATCTTACAGATAGCACCAGATCTGACTCTGATCCAAAGCTGAGTGTTGCGCCAGCCTTTCGAAGGACGGACATGGTATTCGACAAGTTGCCAGGCGTTTGTGTTCATCAGTTCGTCAAGAGGTGGAATCAGTTTGGTGTCTGGTTGAACGTCGCGAATGCCCAATTCAACATCGTCGGGATCCATGATTGCCCAAAACTTGAATTGATGGTCCTTCGGTGAGTTCGTAACAGCGTAGTACATGTCACCATCAGGGCTTCCATCAACTTGAAGAAGTTTGAGAAGCGTTCCTTGAGCAGGACTCATCAAGAACTGAGGTGAACCGGATTGTAAATCCTTGACGTTCTCATTCAGGAGATCTGTTTGCACGCCTAATTTTCCGGTCTGAGTGTTCCAGGCCTTCAAAGTGTGGTCGAGGCACACGGTGAAAACATGTGTTGTGTCGGGCGATAAGGCGATTGCAGCAGCAGTAGAAGGCTCAAGATCCATGCCGTTGAACTTGACGGTGTTGTGGCCTCTCATGGAGAAGAAAGTCTTGAAAGATGATCCCCAACCAGGTTCGCTAAACGAAGTCTCATGCCATGATCCCGAGCCCTGACCAACACTTCTTGAGAGACGTAACAAGCCGCCGTCGCTGAGAGAAACAAGCAGGTCCATCGAACTAAGAGCGACGAGCTTGTAGGGAGATCGGAAGCTGAACGAAGGCGACTGGTGTACTTTGAAGCAGCTGGCGGGATCGAAGTCGGCAGCTGAGGGTAGCGAGCCACGTAGTAGGAGGTCCTTGCGTAGGGTAAAGGTAAAGAGTTCATTGGAAGTGGTCAAGACGAAGACTTCGAGAGCGTCGCGCTCGACGGCATCGGCAAAGGCGACACCATTGGGTCGGATGGGATTGGCGAAGCTCAAGGCGAAGGTTATGACACTTTCTTGGGTGTTTCTGCGGGCCTGGATCAGGTCGACGCTCTGAATGTGTAGCAGTCTTCCCTCCTCAAGCACGCGCCAGAGAAAGCATCGCGGGTTTCTGTTCTGACGACGGAAGAAGATGGACGACTCGGTAGCTAGGTGGCGTTTCGCGTATGCCTCTTCATCGGCGTCAACCAGGGTCTCGTCGCTCCTTGGACGTTTGCGCGAGAAGAAGGAGGATTGTCCTTCGGTGGGGATGTGTAGGGTGGAATTGGCGTAAGTCGGCTCGATGTTCAGGCGGGCCTCGGTGTACAGACATGGCGCCAGTGGAGCTGTCACAGTCAACGCCATTGTATCTCCATGTACTGTCGACCTTCGGGTGTAGGATTGATGGTCGAGTAGAGAAAGTCGCGCTACGAATAGTCGATGCGCGTTTGCTGTGATGCGCCGAGCTGCGACTGCTGAAGAACGCCAAACTTCGAAACTTGGGAGCTGCCCCAGCTTTCACTCGATCACTGAGTCCTCCCGTCGATCACAAAGAAGTTTCACTCGCGAAACACATAGCATGAGCAACCTCTTCTAAGCAAGCAGAGCATTATAATTTTGTTGTCAAATCGTCTTTTCTCTGTAACTCCGAGCCACCTTCCAGCCTTCATCTTGTGATGTCGCCATGCTCGTCCTGCCAACGCCAAGCCAAAAATGCAAACCATTCCCAGCCTCCTGGTATCTTGAAAAACACAAAGCAAGCTCAAAAGCAATATCGTACCCTCATTTACACTCTATTCCCTTCCCCCATCATTTAGTTGTTGTCGAGGTCCTTGGGACTAGGGTCGCCAATACCATCCTCCTTGATGGCGAACATGGCATCGCTCTCGGGTAAGCAGGGACTGTCGTAGATCTTGCAGATTCTGGTCTCTCCACGACCCTTCTTTAAGCTGAGACGTGTTGTACTGGCGTGTGCAATGATGTTGCCACCAATGGGCTTCTTCGGATCTGGGTTGAACATGGCACTCGGTCCGCCATCTACTTGTGCGACCACCTGGTTGGTGATGAGAACTGCAATGCCAAACTCGTCTGCTAGGCGTTGTAAAGTGCGCATGAACTTGGCCAGATGTCCCTGTCTCGAAGACAGCTCACCACGTCCAGAGAAATCTGTGCGATAGAGTGCCGTTGCCGAGTCCACGATCAAAAGCGAGAAGCGCGTTTCCGTCATCATTTGTGCCGCCTGATTGAGCAGATCAAGCTGGTGCTCTGAGTTGTAAGCACGCGCGTATGCGACATTGTCGAGCACCTCTTCTCCTGACAGGCCGTATCTTTGCGCGACTGCAAGCAAACGGACCGGTCTAAAAGTACCCTCAGTGTCAATGTACAGACACTTGCCTTCACCACCACCCATGTCGAAAGGTAGCTGACAGGTGACTGCCAGCGTGTGACATAACTGACTCTTTCCTGTCCTGAACTCGCCAAAGACTTCTGTGATGGATCCTGTTTCGATGCCTCCCGCGAGCAGGGTATCAAGCTGCTTGGAACCAGTCGTGATAGAAATGAGTTCGCTGCGGCGTGCGTGCATCTCGGTGGCAGTCGTGAAGCCCATAGGCACAAGTTTGGCAGCTGAAAACCGTGTCAGCTCATGCTCAGACGATCAAGACTGACATTGCTCATACCTTCTACGAGGACCTTAGTGGCCTTCTGCTCAGATACACCCTTGATGCGCTCAAGCACCATCTTGGGAGTGTACGCCACCGACTCGACTGTGTGGAATCCGCCTTCGACGAATAGTTGAATGTCTCTCTTGGTCAGACCCGCCATGCCCTTGATCACTTAGCTTCTGATGGTAGAGGACTGAGCAACATATCTTACCTCTAGAGCGGAGAGTGGCGTGGGTGCACCAGGACCACCGGCAGCACCATCTTCGTAGCCGGACTGGGATGCGAGTTCTTGTCCTTCAGCACTCATGATTGCGGCGCGTCAGCTTGTTGTGGTAGAATGGTGCGTGTGCAATTGTCAAAGTCGAGAACACCTTGAGGGAGGCGAACAATTTATCGTCAAGTCATGTCTGAAGGCGGACGCGACTAGCGCGATTGTAGCCTTTCTATCGTGGGGAAGTCGCCACAATCGGAGGCAGGAGCGATCGTGTTTGACATGTGGCTGTCACACGGTTCCACGTGACTTTATTAACTCTTGACATTGAGCCAGACGCAAAATGCTGTCTTTCTCCCATGACGAGTTATGTACATCGTTTCCGAACGTCATTCTAACAGTCTTCAATCTCTCTCATCATCTCGTGGTAGGGACGACCTTAGATGAACGTGGGTTAGACTGCGCAACCTTGTCAGTTAGGTGCTTGCTGTCCCGCGTGTTTGAGGAGATAGTAAAATGATCCTTCTCATCTGGCGGCATGAGATCTAGCTCTTCCTTTTCAACCAAATCTACCAAGGCTCCATGCCTGGCATTCAGGCAAAATGCATGCACAAGACGTTCAGGTCCGCAGTGCATCGAATGTCTCAATACTGGACGCGAAGCAACACGGGCAAAGGGCCATTCAGGGTCGTCAATGTTGTCGGACCCTTTTCAGCTGATCATAAGAATGCCTAATCCGGTCTATATGAGCAGGGTACTATTTTCCGTTGTCGGGCGGCTTCTTGATTCTCTCGCTGAGGATGCCGACCTTGTTGTGCGTGTGGCTGCCGCAGTCGAAAGTTTGGCTGTTTTGCCGCCAGCGATCAAACCCATCCACGAACTTTCTCCTTAGCTAAGCTCGAAGTGGATATATTCTGTAACGCGCACCTTGCTCTCTTGAGACAACTGTCTTGGGAACACAAGTCATCTGGAGCCGAGTGAAACACGATGGTGGAAACCCTACGGACCCAAGCGAATGGTTCATCATATTAAAATCCATACCTGTCAACCGGCTTTGTATCGGACGTGCGTCCACCAATGCTCACACGAGATCCTCCAGTCCGCTCAACCAGCTCCATGCAGCTCCACTCGAGGTGGATAGCCAAAACTATCCGTTTGATCGCACTTTTTCGCCTGTAGGCTGTTGGATCAACAAATAGTTTCTGCATGTCTCTCGAGAAGGAACTTGAGTTGATGCATAATTAACCTAATAAGCGAGTTCGTAAAAGCCTCTCGAACCGGAAACCATCAGCCCGTTCAGCAGCCACGAATCCTACTTGCATCCTTCCCACCGTACATTTCGGTTCAGAGGCTAGTGGGCAGGATGGTTCCTTCCAGTGCCATAAAGGCTCCAGATCGGTCAATTCAAGTACTCGAGTAAGTTTCAACTCAATCTACAATGGCTTTTCGTTTCCTCCGGCCTTCAACATTTTGAGGCTCTCTTTTATGCTTAAGGCACATCGACGCAGACCGCATCTTCCCATTCGATCTTTACTCTGTCCATTTCTTCCTGGCAGCGTTTTTCGACATGGATGCCATAGAAGATGCTGCACATAGGGTGGCTGAACTTGGGCCTCGTACAATTGTCATGCTGGTCATGGGCGTCTTCTTCCTCATCGTTTCATGGATCTCGTTTGCACTCCGAGTCTATGTCCGAGCGTTCCTCATACGCTCCTTCGGGAAGGACGATTGGATGATGCTGATTACTGTTTGCTTGTTCACAATATGTTGCAGTCTGCTGATAGCCATCGAACATGTCGAACAAACCAGCAGACCGCAAAGAGTACTGGAAGAAGGTATACACGCTCAACTGGATCTACTTAATGATCTTATGAAGGTTTGTTTTGCTTGCTGCTCTTTCTCGTCTCAGCTAACCAAGTCTGTAGTATATCATCTCCCTAATGGGCTTGTACATCCTCACCACTGTCACATTGAAAATTAGTCTGGCCATCTTCTTCCTCAGAATTGTTGTCCGACCTTGGCAACGAAAGGTCATCTACGCTGTCACAGTGATCTACGCAATCTATGCTACAGCTTTCGCCTTCGTCGCCGTCTTTCAGTGCGGTATACCGACCAATTTCTTGATCAAGGAAGCCACCGGGGTCTGTATTAGAGACGACATACTTCAACCCCTCAACTACCTCCACTCGCTCCTAAACGCCATCAGCGATTGGACATTCGCATGTCTTCCAGTGTTCGTGCTCTGGAATGCCAAAATACCACGCTCCGCCAAGATATCATCCGGTCTCCTGCTCAGCCTTGGAGCAATCGGCAGCATCATCTCTCTCGTCCGCATCGCATACATCCCAGGTTTGAAGAGCGGCCCTGCTTTCTTCACAAGCGCGATCAATATCGGTGTTTTGTCCTTGACAGAACCTGGGCTGGGTATGGTTGCAGCATGTCTGGCAACACTCCGACCACTGTTCAAGAACATGATGGAGAAAGCCCGCACGACAAACACAAGTTCTAGCAGCAAATCCTTCAGCCATAACTCCAAAGGATCGTCACAGCGCAAAGCAGTTTATTCTGGCGCTAGATTCACAGAGCGTGGATATCTACAGATGGACGACGACAAGAAGCCCAGCAAGATGGGCAACTTCACCAGTGTTGTTGGCGACTTGAAAAGCGCACCACCCAGTCAAGTGTATGAACTGGGCACCATTGCCGAGCGGTCCAACTCGACAGAAAGCACAAGGTCAGACTCCGGCGCGGCGGTTGACCCGACCAGTCCTGGACCAGTCGCTGTTGGCTCGCTGCGGAACAAGAGCTGGTTTCCTGATGACGAGGTTCTGATGACTAGACATGTCAAGATATACGATGAGGAAGCGGCCGAGTGGCCAAGGCCGCCGCACAGGGAAGCGCGATCGACTGCTCCCAATTGCTGAACCTTGAAGTAGAACATCTTACGAAATAGAATATCCTATAGAATTGTTTCTTTTCCACAATTTTCTAGCTCGTCAATACTTTTGCATACAGTATCCACTTTTGTCTTTGCAAGCATATTGGCATGCACTCCTTCTCTAACGGTCTAGATTGTGATCAAGTCTGTGAACAGATATGCAATCAGCCCATTGAAGACACTCGAGTCTCCATTTCGGAAGATATGATGAAGAATGCTTGGATTGACGCAAAGACGATGCACGCTCCATGCATTGACCATTGCATTGTTCACGCGCAACAGAAGATCTACAACACATGCACATGCACATACCATCGAGATCCCATTGGGCATGAATGCGGCACTGCGTCCAGACCATACAATCCAACAAAATGCATAGCGATGCAAAGAGTATTCTCAATAACCCCCGAAATGACACATGGAAATGTTGAAAAACTATCTAGGAAGATGTAAGCGAGATAAAAAGAGCCCCATACAATGGTTCCCCAGAAAGAAGACACTGAGGGGAGCACTCGGAAGCGGATCTTGATATATTGATTTTTAATATATGACTTTTTTGACAGTCTTCCGAACAAGGCCCGAGTCAATGCAAATGAACTCACGAGACCCTCTTCCTTGTATGGCGTAATCCATCTAGGCAGCATGGCGAATACGAGGTGTGGCATATGATGTTAAATTTGTTTGATAGTGGTTACTACATAGGTGCGCTCTGGGGAAAGAACAAGGAAGGAAGATAATAAAACAATACAGCAGTGAATCCAACGCCAAGGGTATAGTATCGTGACAATCTTAACCGAGAAAGAGGTGAGTGGAAAGGATATAATAATCCTTTTCAGCGTCTGTGCGAGTCGCACTGCTCAATGAATCTGTAAATCCCTTCGAAGTTTTGGTATTCGAGAGGACTTTGAGCATCTTCGCGTTCGCCAGAGCTAGAGTAATGCAACGACTCGTAGTCCGAGACCATGGCCGGACTGTCAAATTCAAAGTCTGCTTCTGACAAGGTGTCCGACTTCATTGACAGTTGGCGACCACAACTGCTCTCGGCAGGCGTTATCATAGTCTGCCATTCGATAGGTCGACTACGACTTGCAGATGGTGATTCATAGAACTCGCTGCCGCTCTCAGACTCCTGTGTGCTTGGAGCGAAAGGGAACAACAGAGCAATCTCCGAACCGACAAAGTCGTCAAAGTCCTCGTCCTGAACTGTGACACCTCGTTGAATCTGAAGCTCGTCACGTAATCTGTTGACAGTATCGGCATCGCAGCCAGGGAAATGGATGCGCAGCGATGAACCTTGATATGTGATAGGCAGATCACCCAGATTCGAGAGCTTGCTAAGATCGCTGAGGACAGCGGTCAGGTCCTTGAGCGAGCGGGAGAAGTCGACGGTGAGGCCATCGAGGAGACCATCAGTGTTTACGTGCTCAGCATCGGCGTAGCCGGCGACAGCATTCAAGGAGGTCAATGCAGTGATGGTAGGGTTGATGGGGAAAGAGATGTAAGAGCCAGGGGTCTGCTTAGGCAACGAACGCAACTTCATAGCAGTGTCTTCCTGGGTGGCAGTAACAGTCTTGTATGACTTCTCTCCACGGGGGTTGACACCATTGAATTGGGCCTTGTTTCCAGATACAAAGAAGGCACGGACAGCCTGAGAAACGTTCTGAACAACTTGTGCTTGGCTAGCAGGACCATGGGAGAAGTATCTCTGACCTCCGATGCGACCTCCTCCAAGTGAGTATCCTCCAGATGTGCGTCCCAGAGTACCTCCAGTAAGGTTGGGTCTCAAAGTCGAGGCGAAAGGAGCGCGGCCAGAGTGACGGATGACGGCATTGCCGACGGTAGACTTGGGCAGAGCGCTACGCTTGTACTGATGTCCTGACGATTGCTCGGCAATTGAGGTGAAGCGACGGACGGTATCCTTGAAAGCAGAGCGTGAAGAGCTACTGAACCAACGGCTCTGGTGCTGTCTGATGCGAGCAGCGGGGTGAAGTGGCTGTCGTGCAGAGCTGCGGACCAGGACGGGCTCAACTTTGGAGGTTGCCGACTGGGCTGCTTTGCTCTGTACGATTTTCTGAACCTGTTTGGCGGCAGCTTTCCATGTCTTGACATGCCTCGTTAAGAGGCTATGCCAGTAGCCAGCTATGGGCGGCATGGTGAATGTGATTCGTCAAGCAGACGTGTAGATGGTAGAGAGAGGTCGATGGAAAGCGGCTGCCTAAGTACTAGTTACGACCAAAACGCGGGGAGAGGTGGCGCAGGCGGGTGGCGACTGCCGGAGATAAGACTAACGTCAAGATCTTATCTTGCCGGTCTCAGGGTCAAAAGTGAGCCTTTTCTAGTTTTCACATCATGTGCCGCATCTTCAAGCCATCTAGAGTAGTGGAGCGGTGGTTTTGTGTATCTACAGATCATAAACATAGCTTTTCTGCCCCATATTCTCCTTCTATTCCTGCCAACAGCAATCTTGCCCAAATGCAACAGGGCGAAGTGCAGCTGAGAAACGAGACCAGATGAAAGCAGAAGAAAAATGAAAAGGGCATCAAGGGAGAGGAAAGAAAAGAAAAAGAGAAAGAAGCAGAAGGAAATACATGACCAGTGAAGAATTAACCATGTCGGCGTGTGTGCAAAGAAAGCAATCAACAACAACCCATCTCCCGACCCATTTCCTGCAGCTAAACGTTGCTTTTGGTGAAGCACAAAGATGCGCCTTGTTTGCCCACCCATGCTGGAAGATAATCTATCGCCGGCTTTTTGTCCCATGCTTGAATAAACGCCCCCAATAACGCCCCTAGCATATGTGACTTTTTGAAAAGCAAAAACAATTGAAATGAAGAGAAAAAATTATGCCTCAAGCTCGGCCTTGAGGTCAGCGTCGATCATGTCACCGAACTTCTTGCGGTTGTTGACGTTGAATGCAGTGCTTCTCCATGATTCACGAAGCTGGTTGAAAGCTACACGCTCACCACCAGCCTTCTCAGACTGGAGAAGCTCGATAAAGTGACGTCCCACACGCTCGCGGATAGGGATCTGGCTGGCCAATGCCTCGCTATAGTACTTGATAAGGTTGGCAATGCCAGTAGAATTGTGACGCTGAGCAGCGTCGGCAAAGGCAAGATGACGGAACTCGGCGTACATGCTCGAGTTGAAGTTGCGAATCAGGAAGTGCGACCAGAATTGGTAAAGAACATCCATGTCGTAAGGGCAAGTGCCTGTGGCTGCAACTTCACGTTGCGACAGGGCCTTGCCGCGGAGGTGGCTGTACATCTCGTGTGTGGTGTCCTCGGGAAGGCTATCGACAGGCGAGTTCTGATCCTTAACCCAGAATAGCGTCACTGCAGGACCATCAGCTGCAGCTGTCGCGTCACCATTGGTAGCAGCTTGCTGTTCAGAGTCATTGGTTTGGGGCTTCTTTTCCTGAACCTTTGTCTTTTGAACTTCCTCGTAAATGTTCTTCGAGTCAATGGATCCATCCGAGAAAGTTCTGGTTCCTGCAGTGTGGTATGGAGCACGACGAGGAGCTTCCTCGTGCTTGCGGACAACAACAGTCAAGTTGTCAATTTGTGTACTAGGAAAGTTGTCTGGCTCACCACCCATATCCTCGGCAGGAATGAAGTAGCTGCCTAGAGGTGACAAACCATTCTCACGGTGAGGCGACTTCGCTTGGCGGCCTCTGAACTCCTCGAAACCAGCGTTCTCGGCAAATTGTTCCATACCACCAGGGTAGAAAGGTGCAACCATTCCAATGTGTGGAACAGGAGGGCGCTCAAATGAGACCGGGCCGTCGTTCTGAGCAGAAGGATCACGCTCGGCCATGGGCAGAACCCACATCTCCCAATCGCCAGCCTTTCGTAGACGATCCTTTCCATCTTGGCCAGTGCGTAGTTCAATGTTTGGTGAGTTGAGGCAGACGTACTTCAGAAGCTCGTAATCTGTGGTCAACGACTTCAGTCTGTTAAAGTCAGCGACAAAGGTCAGGAAGACGAATCCCTGGGAGTCCATGTGTTTGCGGAAGAAAGTGTCCTTGACCAGGTTATCCAAGGAGAAGTAGTACTCGATTTGCTGTGAGATTGCAGGAACAAGGTACATCTGCTCTGCGCCAGGTTGGTAAGCAGGAACAGGTGCCATGTAGCCACCGTAGTAATCGGGCATGTAACCCTGGGGAACCATCATGGGGTAGCCAGGGTACTGACCACGGCTATAATCAAAAGGAATGGATTGCGAGCGCATACCTCCACGGAAGCCGCCACGGCTCTGCTGAGGGTAATGACCGCCGCGAGGAGGGAATGAAGGAGCTGCAGGAGTGAAGTCGCCAGGGAAGCCATTGGCGAAGTTTTGGGAAGAGAAGTGGCCGTTGCTGAGACCGCCACGGTGGCCGCCTCTTCCACGCTTGGCCCCCTTGGTTTCGCGGAACGGCGGGGGATTGTCAAAGGCACGCTCCTTGTTGGCAATCTTTGTAGCCTCGGTGTGAGTTCCGTTGAGAGCATCCGCATTGATGGAAGCAGCAGATTGACGGCGACCAGTCGGCTCGAACTTGCGAGGAGACTTGTTACGACGAGCGGATGGATGACGCTTGGGAGCGCCGTTGGTGACAGGACCTTCGTGAGACACGCCGTTGGTCGAGGTTTCCTTGGACTCTTCGACCTTGACAGGCTTAGGTGGAGGAGGCATGGATTCGCGGTCTGCCTCGGCATTCGCAGCGGCGATCTGTTCCTGGGTAGCATCTGCAGACTTTGACGCAGGCTTTTCTCCATTCTGGCCGTTCTGGTAAGTTGTACGACCAGTCAGATTGCTTCCACCACGCGCGCCTCCGCGAGTGGGACGAGGAGCTCCTCTGGTCGGCAAAGTCGTTTCAAAGACAGCTGTAGGCACATAAGGCATGTTAACCCATTCAGTCTTCTTGTTACTCGGTGCATTACTATTCTCCTTTGGCGCTCTTTCCTCTTGCACTTGTGTCTTCTTGCGCTCCTCCTCACGAGCGGTCTCCATGGTAGGCCAGGCAACATCGCTGGTTGGCGGAAGAGCTGAAGCATTTCCGCGAGATTTGGGTACCTCGGCGGTCTGACGTTGATCACGATTTCTCGTACTGGAAGCGACAGGCTTCTTCGCATCTGTGTTCTTTGCCTTATCGGCTTTTCTCTCCTGCTTGCCGTTGGTTGCAGTGTTGATTGACGGTGTTGGCTTAGCGTGAGTCATGGTTGACGCTCTTTGCTGCCAGATGTTCACGGTCGGCGGAGGAGCATCGCGGAGCTTGGGTTTCTGTTGCTTGGATGTCTCTCCCTTGGCCTCGATTGTCTCAGTCTTAGACTCGGCGCTGTCTGCTTTGGCTGGGCGATCAGAGTTCTGCGACTTGGTGTCCCATGTTGACTCGGAAGAGGCTCTGTTGGGTGTGGACGAGCCATCGTCGTTGTTATTAGCCGATGTTACGCTGGATGTGTCTCCTCCTGCATGACCATCAACCTTCGAGTCAACTGAAAGACCATGAGCATCCTCGGCTACCGAGTTAGAGGACGGTGTTGCTGTGCCGGATGCTTTTGCTGCAGAGCCCTTGGCTGCTTGTGCGTATGAAAAAGACATGGCTGAGTCAGAGATTTCTCTCGTCGTGTTCTAGGCTTGTCTTGTGGCCCAGTTGGGCAGTTCCAAAGAAAATAGTTGAGAGCTGTCGCGCAGTCTCAACTTGTCCGGGAAGGTTCAAGGACGACCTCCCCGCACGATATACACCAGGACAATCGACTCAGGCTCGTACGAGGACAGGCGCAGGCTGACAGAGAACGTCAGTCGGGACTCTGAGTTGGCGGCGTTGGGTGACAGGCTCCAAATGCGACGCGGCACAGCAGGCGTTGGCTCTTCGCACACGTAAAAGAGCTCGGTCGAAATTGAGACAGGAGTTCCAAGCTGAGAAGACTTTGGGCAAGCGAGAGAAGAATAGAACCAGACTCCAGATGAAGGCGAACAAACAGCGAGCTCCGTCCGTCACTTTGATCGGGCCGCAGAAGCGAGTGGGAAAAAATCAATCGTCAGGCCGTCAGAATGGTTTGCAACTTTCAAGGCAGGCGTTTGCTTGCGCTTTTTTCCGAGCTTTAGTCGCGGTTGTCACGGGCCTTCGGTGAACGCGACAAGCCGAGCCGAATTATAACAAGAACAAGCGGCTACTTTTCGTGAGGGGCAGACTGCGGTAGTGGCCGGCTCACGAGCAGACGCCAGGTCAAGATGCTGCCGAGCTTCAACGACAACCATTCAGATTGGTATATAGTAAGAGCGACGAGGCGACGGGGATGAGAGTGGGGGACAGGATCTCATCTTGTCACCATGCTGTCCTTGAACTGCAACTCTCTGTGCCTAAGCGATTGCTGACTAGCTACAGTATGTTACTCACTAGGTTGCAGGCTGTAGTATTCAGGGATATCCCCACCGCCAAATGATGGTTTGGCCGTGTTGGAAGTTACTCACGTGCGTCGACGTGCATCTGACATGCATCCGCGGTGTCGTTGGATGTGGTGGAAGCAAGGGTCGCTCATGGCTGATTAGATCCATTCTGTTACGTTGTTGGTCGAAAATGCATAGAAACACCAACATCTCTGCTAAGCTTCTTCTCGTGGCAACCAGCACAAACTTTGGATTGGGCTCCGTTGCGTTCTTTCGGATCCGCAATCTCATGGCCAAGCACGAATTCGTCTCGGCGGACGCACGCTGCACAGCACAAGCGGGGCCTGCACTGCTCTTATGGCCTGATGTATTGCAGCTAGTTATCCTGGCTCGATCGTGAACGCTACGAGCACTCTCTAGTTGTGCAAGCTGATTCTTCCAGCTGCAAGGCTGCCAAACGCCGCAGCCACGTCACCAGCCTCGAGCTTCTTGATCTCCTCTATCTGTCGTGTGCGTCGGCGAGCTGCAACCCCTCTATCATCAATCTCCCTGGTGTCTCCCAATGGTCCAAACGCCATGATCTTGTGTATCGTCCATGGTGCCTTTCCATTGATGAACCAAATGAATCGTCTCCTCATTTCTTCGCCAAGCGCTTCTGCTGATGCGTTCATTGTCATGTCGAACCCGCCAAAGAGGTAGATCAGATCAACCGCATGGTGTGCCCGGGATGAAGCCTGCCACGGATTTGCTTGGTCGAACAAGTATCTGTATGCCTTCTTTCCTTCTTTCGTATACCCATCCATGACCAGTGGTACTGGTAATGCAAATCGCATGTCATTCATAAAGTCCATTGCACCGTGTCTGCATTGCGGTGCTCGTGTTTTGTTGATGTGATAGAGCTCTTTGAGCTGTTTGCCGGAGCTTCCGGCTTTGTCAAAACATTCTACGATCTCTTCTGCAGACATTGCTTCGACACCGTTACGCCAGAGGACTGACTCGAACTCGCAGTCCCCTATCAGCAGCTCTTCTATGTTGCCTGTGTTTTCTTGCCAGTTCTCAAAGCACTCATCGTCTTGGAGAAACACTGAAGGTATCGGTATCTCAGCTTGTGCTTCTAGTAATGCTTCAACTGGTGCTTCCTCGAGAGACGTGTATCCTTTTGCTTGCAGCTTTACGAGTACCGGATCTATGAGCATAGTTCTTGCCCTGGCTTCTGGTTGTGGTGGTGACATGTGTAAAGAACCAGACATGAGAATACCACGCCTGACAGGAGCTCCGCTCACGATCAACCCATGTACGAACACAGCTCCGGCACTCTCTCCAGCCAGCGTCATTTCATTGACATCACCGCCAAAACCAGCAATATATCGATGAACCCATTGGATAGCCAGTTGCTGATCTTTGAATCCGAAGTTCTTGTTGCCGTTGCCGTCTCCAACATGAAACATGTTCAGTCGATATTGAACGGATACCACAATCATCGGCTTCGAGTGTTGGGCTGATTCTGCTACAATCCGTGTCGTATCGCCAGCTTTGCTCGCACCATTTCCGAAACTGACGATTTGAGAGCCACCATGAATCCAGATCATAACAGGCAGTCGTGCATCTTTTGGCGTGTTGGCAGGAACAGTTATGTCCAGATTCAAGCATTCGAATTCATCCTCGGTCTCGTCGTAAAACATTTCTCCCTCCGGAGCTCGAAGTAGGTGACCAATATCATATTTGTTTTGCGGACACCTTGGTCCCCATCGCTGACAGTCAACTCTTTCTCCATTCCAGTTGGCTTTCAATGTTGGTTGTTCGAATCTCTTGTTGATGGTCCCATATTTGATCCCTCGGTACTGTGAGCAAGACTTGAGATCTGCACCAACAAACGTAGCGTTCAATTCCCCGTGCGTCAGTTCTGGCATCTTAAGTTCTGTTGTTTACAGAGCATCTTGGAGCAGGAGGTTGGTCGCTCTTATACTGCCCCCATTTGGCATGTGGGGTGGTGGGGTGTGGGGCTGGTTCAGCTGAAACGCCCAAGTCCTCTAGTGACCCTGCCCATAATTCTTCCATGTCTTCTTGCCTTGGATAACCTGCAATTGCTAGGATTAGTGAAAGATCTCCAATATGCAATACTATTTTCAGTCCTGACAATGTACACCAATAGTGGTATACACTACCAAAATAAAAAGTTGCACAGAAAGATTGCGCCATGCCATTCTGATTTTGAGTAGCTTCTCGAAATGACTTGACAAAACTGCAGACAAAGGCCAACAGCGCATTACAGTGAGCATTTTAACACACAAGGAGCCAGGTCATGGAATGGCAAGCGACTTAAAGCATCCTGGTGCTTAAGAGAGATCGCTAGAACATTGTGCGGCGATATGGTATGCATGTTGGCATTCGAAACCATGGTCGAGCATACCACCCTGCCCCAAATACTGGCCGAGCGCTCGGAACAGAGACGGAACTGGATGATCCGGTCGAGCGGAAGTATCTAAACCGTGGAAATCAGATTTTCAGTGCTGTTTGCTCTGATGATCATTTGATCAAGCGTGTGTTTTCATTATAATATGCAGCCGCTCATACGGAAAGTAAGGTGCTCGCTAAACAGAGAATACAAGACTAGACCGGCGCAAGCTCAGTAAAAGCGTTCCTCCTTACCGGCAGGAGGGTAGTATCCAGCACCAAACTCAAGACTGCCATTCTCAAAGTTGTCCTCATGTACGAACTCCCAAGGACCTAGCACACCAGCATGGTACACCTTGACATTGATAGTGGCACGGAAACTCTCAGCCAAAAAGTTGAGACGATGACCGTCCGGGAACGGTGAGCTCAATGTGAAGAATTGGCCAATGGGTGCTCGAGCTGAGACGACAATCTTCTGCGTGAAGCTTTGAATGCTCAGCTCGAAAGTGCGCGTATCCCAGCTGTGTTCGACGCTCATGAATGGAGCGATACCAGCAGCTTTTACTGCGAAGGGAGGGCGGAAGGTCATGTTGTACTTGGGGTCGCTAGCGTGGTATCCCAGAAGGTATGCTTCCATACCAAGAATCTCACCTCCAGCGATGCAAATACCGCGGTCGCCGTCGCGGGCTTGGACCCAATGGTGAGCTGAAGGGAAACTGTTGGCCCAGTTCTTTTCTTGGTGAACAGATGCGACGCCCTTCTTGTCTTCTTCCGGCAGCTCGTAGTTGTTGATCTTCATCTCGAACTCGCAGTCTGAAGCAACGGAGTGCACATGCCAATGTAGAGGTAGAGGGAGGTAGACGAGTGCACCTTCTGGCGTATCCATGTCGGGCATCCAAGGTGTATGGCTAGTCGTCGTTCCTTTGAAGCTGAAGCCCTCGTCCTCGAGATGATCAATGCAATACTCAGTCGTTGAATCGTTGTGGACCTTGACATAGCCTCCCTTCCAATGTTGCTCAAACGCTATGTCGCCCTCTCCGTTGAACATCTTCAGATCATCGACAAAGACCTCGCGTTGAAAACATTTGGTCACATCTCCTTCCGGTACGTAAGTGAAAGTGATGTTGTGAGGTCGCTCTTTAGCCTGCGGCACTGTACAGACGATCAATGCCAGATGTGCGCCAGATGGCAATCGGAACTTGGAGTAGTAACCCTCGAACGTCGAGCCAGAATGAGGTTTGTAGTGCTCCATGCTGTTTATTGCCTTTGATTATGTTGATAAAACTGATCAGGTGAGGACTGCAAGGTCGATGTTTGATCACGCTTCATCGTTTCACAGTCGTGACATCATGCTCCAGACACAGCATCCAACATTTCACGCCAGATATTAGCAAACTTAGAAGTGCATACTGTAAAAAGGCACGGCTATTTCCAGATCAGAGGTGTGTCCACAGAGAGCTGTCAAATTATCGCTTCTCAGTGGGCACTGTCCTGTTTCCAGTTGGTCTTGTGCATTTTCATAACACGCGTTGCATACTTTAGCACGTAGGGAGGAAGCTACGCGCTTGGAAAGTGGGAGGCGGGTAACACCAATGTGCCAACACTCGCACAACTTACATATCTTGATGATTGGCTGTACATGCTTACGATATTATTCGTTATCTTGCAAGTGCTTCGGGGTTGTGCTATTAGACACCGGGTCGGGTGTTATTGTAATGGATCTGCAGCCGTTTTCCACCAATTCAAAGATGCTTAAGAGCAAGGAAGGCAAGTTCGCTGTCCGATTGGGAAAGTGCATTCGCTGTCGGATTAGAAAAAGAACACTTTCCATCGAATTAGGAAGGCGCGATTCTTGTCAAATCGAGAAAACACAAGACTATATATTGTTTATGGCGATCATGTCTGCCAGCCGAGATTGTTGATTCTCTGCGAAAATTATCAGCTGAGTGGCGCAGCGGAAGGTTCGCAACATATTATCTCACGTCATCTCCCACATTCACTAACTCCTCACAGCGCGCCGGGCTCATAACCCGGAGGACCTTGGATCGAAACCAAGCTTAGCTATTCTTTTTGCACTTTTTTTCTCTTTCTGAGATACTACTTCGCACATCATCGTTTTGTGACTGCAAACTGTATGGTTTACTGTCGCGCGTGGGGAGATCTTGAAAATGAATTGCGAGAGTTTTCAGATAGCACAGATCGAACCCGAGAGAAAATTCTTCAATCCACTGCACATTTCAAAGCACATTCACTCAAAGGCCGAACAGTAGAATATTGTTAAAAAAAAATAGGACATGTTTATCATTTGGCAATGGCCTCTCTATCAGAATCGTATCGACAACAACGCCTTCGCTATGCAAATACAGAAAAAATTAAGCCTCGAGTTTCATCCATCTATCTACATCAGGGGTACAGGATCACCGGTCATGTGGATGCTCATGATCATGTCCTTCTGCATGTGACGAACTCGAAGGTTGTGTGTCGGAGATGGGCGGCATAGGCTCAACACTTGTGTCCCGTGGTCCTACTGTGGACCCACGAGTAGTAAAGCTTCGTCTGATACTCTCACCCCATGCCGAAGTGTCTAGGACATCAAGCACATTCTGCGCGTTTACGGAGCTAGTAGCACGTGAACGACTACCCGCGCTAGGAGTGCCAGCGATCGACAAAGTGCCTGCGCGAGGACGAGACTCTGGACCTGAGGCGGACAGTGTTTGAGCGCGACTTCGAGGACCTGCTCCAAGGCCCAAACCACCATACGCATCTGACGTGTCATCGGGATCGAGGTGTTGCGGTGAAGGTGACGGCGATCTAGACCGGTTGTGTCCTTCGATCAGGGCTTCAGCAAAGTGCCAGTCTTCAGGAATATCCCGCATCCCAGAGGGAGACGAGTGTGAAACTGCTCGTGAACGCGTTGGTGAAGCTGATGGTGAGACTTGAATAGAACCACTACGGTTGCGCAAGTTAGGTCGAGATGCTGTGGGATCGATAGTAAGGGCTGGTGTGCTACTATCGCCTCCAATAGTCCAATCGGGCGCCTTGTATTCAACTGGCGTAGATGGGGCCGAAGTAGATTTTCGACCAGAGTCATCGGCGTCCCCGCTATCATCCTGGATGAAGATCTCAGGCACATCCAATTGAGGTACCATAGTCATGCGTGCATTCTTCTTGGCTTCCAGCGCCTTTCTAAAGCGACGAGCCCAGTAAAGTGTATCGAAAAATCCGACGACAACATTGCGGCGTACAGCTTCTTCGACACGCTGCAGACGAGCACGACGGCGCAAGAACTCTTCGAGTCGCAGGCTTTTGTTGTCGTTGATGACCTTGTAATGGGCCAGGATCATCAGAAGCGAATTGAACTCGACACCACGATCAGGATCGGCGGAGACCAACACTTCTTCATAGAAGATGTTCATTCGCTTTCTGCGCCTTTGGATCTCATGGATCGGAATTTCTGACAGACGTTCATTCAGTTTCTCAAGGTCGATTTGGGAACTATCCTTGGGACCATCCAACCCAAGAGGATGAGCACGTTGTGGTCGAGAAGTGCAGTCTGCGATGATATTACTGACTGTGAAGTCGCCATCGTAGATACGCATTTCGAAGACACCAGAGAGTTCCTGATTCAATTAGTGTATACCGACGACATGGTGACAAGATAAACTCACTCCTAATAGGCGGGGGAACTTCTCCTTCGAGATGTATCCAGAACCACTTGGGTCGAATTCTGCCCAGGCCTGCTTATACCGTCGGATCTCTTCTCTGCTGATGACAGACAATCCGCTACTTCGCTGATAGACGTACGAGAAACTTTCGTAGATCAACGAAATGAAAAGGTTCATGAAAACGTACATGCTGAGGATATTCCAGGAGATGAACAGAGCCATAGACCATCCGTCACTACCACAGTCGCCATCGTAGTAGTGCTCGCCAATTGTGCAGTAAGGTGGGGTGACCGAGGCGAAGTCTGCCATAACCTCATTCCAGCCTTCGCCTGAACTCATACGGAACAACATGACCAGAGCTTTGGGCACTGTACGGAAATTTTGGTTGTCCGTTTCACCCTCGGCAAATCTAGTCAATCCGAAAGTTTGAGTAAAGGCAATGGCGAAGACCAGGAAGAGGACGAACCAAGTGGCAACGAGGTTGGCAATCGAGGTAAAACTAGCGGCTGCAGTCTTGAAGAGTTGATCCAGTTGATTGTTCCTGGGAATCAGAAGCAATGCGATTGACACAAGGAACAACTTGTGTACTTGTACGTAGTTTCTGTTCTTGAAGTTTGTCAGGAGTAAGACCAATGTGACAAATGAACCAGAAACCGCGAATAGCGAGTACACGTCCCAGGCACTTCTTCTGAACCGAGTCCAGGAAAGCCCGATGATACGGATGACGATGTTGACAATGTAGAAGAGCGTTAGCACCAGGAATATGTAATCTCGTGCTCTATCCCAGTGTTCGTTGTCTGGATACCATTCCAAACACAGTAAAAGGAGGTGGAAGACGAGAACCAGGGTGACACTGCGCTGCCATTTACCGTTCTTCGTCACAGCTCGGCGATAACACCATTCTCTCCAGGTTTGCCGCACCTCCTTAGATGAGGGTCTTTTGGATGGTGAAATTTGTCGGAGCAGTTTTCTCAGTTCAAGCCATGATCGCTGTTCAGTCGTCAAGAAAGCCACACCAGTTTGTTCCGTATAGTTGCGCATGAAGACACTAACAAACAGCGTCAAGACGAAGACGGCACCAAGTAAGTTGAAAGCGACGAAGAAGACAGCGTTTCCTTGAGATGCGAAAGAACTGGGCTGCGTGAAAACGCCAGTGATGGATTGACCACTCCACATGACGTCGATCCAGCCTTCCTGTGACACAATCTGGAAGAGGATGAATAGCGCTGATCCGAAATTATCGAAGTCGTAGTATGGGTTGGCGACTTGACGTGGGGCAAGCACGTTCCAATCGTAGGGTGAACTAAGGTACTCGCCAGTACAATCGGTAAGCAACGATGTGACACCATTGCCATCGTTGCATTCCATAAACCTGCCATTGAATAGATTCAGGCCGTATATGGCAAATGGAATGAGCAAACTCATTGAAACAAACGCTGCCGAGACGACTTTCCAACCACCCATGACGATGACAGAGTGGAAGGTATCTCTAGCATTCTCGCTGACGTTGAGCAATCGAAGGGCCCTCAACGCCTTGAAAGCACCGACAGCTCTTGAACCACCGCCTGGATTATAGATTGTGGTGAGAATGTCGGTCCACAATGTAACCAAGACGATGCCATCAATAATGCCCCAAGAGCTACGGTAGTATGCGTTAGGTGTCCAATAGAAGCCATCCGCGATAACTCGAATGACAGACTCGATGGTGAAGAGAGCTGCGAAGCCCATATCGCTGTAGACAAACCAGTTCAGGGCTTTGAAGTCGTGAGTTCTGAAGTACTCCTTTTGGTACAAAGGCGTTGTAACACAGGCCAAGAGCACCATGGCTACAATGGCTGCGTAAATAAATGCTGAGAACCCGTACCAGATAGGTCTGGACGGTGCGACACCCTCTATGCGATCACCACGACCTGGTCCTACAATTCTCTGACATATTCTTCTGACAGGATTGTTGATCCTGAAGATGAAAAGTGAGACATTGTAGTTGGGATACTTCCGCAAGTATTCCCGTTGAGCTCTCTTGACTCTCTCATTTGCCGCTACGACCTCTTTCACCATTTGTCGAGTGTCTACTTCCTCGTGAGCCTTCTGAAGCTCTACATTCGAGTAGAATGGATTAGGTTCGCGATTGAAGAGGCGATTGAGCAGTTGTTCCCAGCGCTGAGCCAAAGTGCCTGATTTGACGGGTGGACTGTTGTTGGGTATATTGGCGGCAGTATCAGGAAGGCTTGCACCGGGATCAATGTCGTGGTCATCAAGGAAGTCTCGGACTACTGCATCCTTGAGAAGCATTTCTGTTTGTGCAGAGCCATAATCGAGAGGGTCTTGTCGGCGAACTTGTCCGAGCTTGAAGATTGTTGACAATGATAGTGAACCCTGACTACCGGATGTCGCGTTTACTTGTCTCTTTGCAAGGAAGGCTTTGACTTGCTGCAAACGTTTCTCGTCTTCGGAAACATCGAAATTCTCTTGGATGACAGCAATAAACATGTTCAAAACAATGACTGTTCGAAGTTAGCGAGATATAAAGACAACTCAATCTGACAGCTTCAAACTTACAGTTTGCCAGAATGAACCACATGATACAGAATGCTGCGCCTATCCAACCATTGTTGTAAGCAACATTGTATGAAGTGACGCTGTACATAATGTCCGTCCAGTTCTCGCTTGAGAATATTTGATACATCCCCAAAAAGGCGTTGTAGATGTCGAAGAACGGGACGCGAATCGCTTCACCTTGATCATTTTCTTCAGGGATCTGTCCGCGGAAGATTTGTGTCGCGAATATGGCGGCGAGGAAGCACAGTAGCATAACGAACATGATCAAGTTGGACAGACCCGAGAAGTCGCCCAACACAGTGAGCTGCGAAGCATGTTAGTCAGTTGCAAGCTTGATGTCATCTGAAGAATACATACAATCAGCGTGCGTGTCATTTCGACTGCGAGTACGACACGATAGATTCTTATGATTTGGAAGAACGTCAACCATGCATATGGCTGACCAGAATGCTTGATAACCGGGATTTGAATGATCGTAGTTATTACAGCTAATGCGAGATCCACAAGATTACGCTTGCTTTTGTGGAACCGGCGCCAGTTTGCCATAAATCGAAGAATGATTTCGATATCCAGGGCTATGGTTACACCTAGCTCAGAAGAGCCTTCGAATCGGTAAGCATCTGTCGCATAACACAGGAGAGATGAACTTACTGAGAAAAGCCGCTCTGCTTGGGCTCATGTATGCACTGCGCAGGCATTGTACAATCAAACCATATGTAATGACAGCAATCCAGATCCATCGTGTATTGTTTACAAACTGTTTCAGCGTGCTTGTCTTCTGCTTGAATCCATCGCTTCCCTCTTCCGTCTCGAGATGCTTGACGTGCTCTTGTGCTGTAAAAGCACTGGCTCTGCTTTCGTCCCGGATAACCTGGAAGGAAGATGTGATGACCGCAATCAGCAAGTTGACAAGCCAAAGTGGGAAGACTATAATGCCAGCAGCGAAGAATATACCAGCAGATAAATAGTCGCTGTCAGCAAGATAGTAAAGTTGATCAGAGAACGTGTTTGAAGACATAACGACGAAAACCATCTCAAGTGACTGGAAGATATTGTCATAACTGACAGTCCCATTGTAAGGATTTTCACCTTCGATGCACTTGGAGTTGATGGGGCAGAAGAAACCTTTAGCATCGTCTGCACCAGGCGAACCGTCTTGGTGTTCCCAAGGTCTTGCTGTACCGTTAGACAAGAGATAGCCACCACAGAACTGCATTGACTGAGTGTATGTATCTGAAGCGTTTTCGGGATTGGTCCAGACACATGTACGGCGGAGGCTGGACTTGAAGCTCTGAACTCCAATGATTGCAAACAACAGCCAGAAGAACCCAGTCAGAAAGGCGACATTAAGCAAGGTAGGAGCAGCTTTCTTCAGACTCCGCAATATCACTAGAGTGCCACTAGTTATACCTAGAAGACGCACAATTCGAAGACAGCTCAGCATGCGGAAGACAAAGACGTGCTTCTGAGACTCGACGCCAAAGATACCAATTACGAAGCTAATCCAGAAAGCGCAAACGGCAAGGAAATCGAGGCGGTTGAATGAATGACGCAAGAATGCTCGGTATGCTAGTCGTTGTAGCTGAGCTTGCTTTGAGCCGCCTGGCACTTCCATCATAGTGTTCGTGGTGAAGCTACGTAGAATCCCAGGCTGAGGTCCTGGCGTTAACGGTGGAAGCGGATTCAGATTCCTGACGGAAGGCTTTCGGTGCAAAGCAAACATATCATTGGCCTTTCTCAAAACGGCAGTCCTGAGCCCAACCTTGCGATCAATGGTACTGTATTCAATGGGGTTAACGATGAATCCAGACACTATGACCCGGATCGCAATCTCAATAGTGTAGATGATAAACAATGCAAGCAACGCGATGTCGATCCAAGTAGTTCCAAATCGCTGGGATCGTGGATCATTATTAACATTGTTGCGAGCTTCGACAGCAAGCAAGATTGTCTGGAAGACAATGAGCACCAGAATGAAAGGTTCAGTGAAAGGATGAAGTAGAAAGTCGGCCAACTTTAGACGCAACTTGCTATCCGGCGGAAAGATGCCCAGTGACTTGCCACGAAAGGGGTTTGGCTCATGAGCGACTGAACCGAGATGATCGGCAGGGCGAAGCATGGGCGAAGGCATCTTCTCACTGACGGGAGAGCGGGGAGGTCCATCACTGCCAAAATCGGGAGCTTCAGAGATGCGAGAAGAATGACCCACAGACGACTTGCGCCTGATCATACGCTCTGCAACTTCGGGCTCATTACTCAGGTTGACCACACGCATCGACATCTTGCGCATCATATCTCCAGCTCGGTGGAAAGGAGAGTCTCCCATGGGGGACAAAGAGCGACGACTGTCTGCAGGAGAACGACTGTGGCCATCTGGAGAACGACTCCAGCGACCAGAAGGAGTCAAGTTTCCAGATTCGACATCTGGGTTGTTGGAATGCGAGGCAGACGGTGACAAAAAGCGGATACTCTGGAAGCTGCCACGATCATTACGTTGTGGTGAATGAGCTTCGAGACGGCTCGTATCTGTCAGAGGCACAGTGTCCAGATCCTCCTCATGCGGAAAGAAGCCAGTTGGATCATCGGGCTCTTCGTCGTAAGGTGATGTGTCAACAGTACGGAGGCTGAGGTTGCTGCCTAATCGACCATGACCAGAGTGTAACGAAGGGCGAGCAGGAGTACCTATACTGAGACCAGCAAAGCCCATAGCTTGCTGGAAACTGCTCCCTTCGTGTGGAGATAGCGGCGTGCGCTCGTCCTCATCTTGACCATCGTCGACTCGGGTACGCTGACCAGTGGGCGAGGTTACGTATGCAAGAGGCGACAAGTTACGATCGAGTTCTGGTGGACTGGGAGGATCCTCGGAGATGGGCGAGTAAGCGCGTGTATTAGGAGGGTGTTGATTTCTACCAGGACTATGTGATAAGAGAGACTCTCTATTGCGCCGAAACAAGCTACGTCCGCGGTCGCTCAACGTTCGGCGATGTGAAGCCTGAGCGGATGGGGATGCTGGATCCTGAGATATGGGAGCATGTTGAGCGGGACCCAGGTCTTGCAGCTGAATCGACGTCTGCGGAGTCGACTGATTGCGACGGTGCCTCCGACTGTTAACGGTGGGCGATTCGTCGGCCATTGCCTCAGCGCAGTGTCGTGAGCTGCTCTTTCTGCATTGGTTGTCCTACTTGTCTGTGTCCTGCTCTTTCCCTGTGCTTTAGGTTCGTGGCCCAACGGGTGTGTATTCTGGTCTTTTCAGGTGGGAGGGGCGATTCGATCGAGACTCGGTCGGAAAGGAAACAATAAGTTCTGACGGCTACAGTACGTTGTCTAGTTGGAGAGGTAATGCAAGCTGGAAAAGGACAATATTTTGATATGAAAGAGCGTACGCAACACAGTGATTGGCGTATCCACATACTGATGCGCGTCTCGTTTCGCCTTGCCAGGGACGCGCAGACAAGCCACCGCCCGCCGGGCAAACTCTCCGTTTCGCTATAAAAAGCATCATCCAAGCGCTTCAGCCTCACCGCTCTGGACCTCAGCCACAACGCTGCTTTTCTCTAAGTTTGTAACAATATTCCTGTCTACATCTGCTCCTTCACGGCTCTACTTCATCTCCAACATCCACGCCTCCATGTTCTGTAGATACCAGTTCACCCTCTCGGCGCATCTGGCACACTCTGCTCCGTCCACGACTCGATGATCTGCACTCCAGCTTAGAACCATCTCTTCCTTCTTGACCACGTTCCCTTGCTCGTCGAAGCCTGGCACCACTTTTGCCCTTCCCACTCCGACAATGGCCACCTGGGGTTCCACTATAATCGGTGCGACGACCCCACCACCTATTGATCCGATGTTGGACACTGAGAACGTCGCTCCTTGGAGGTCTTTCGGTCCTAATTTACCTTCGCGTGCCTTGCTTGATAACATCTTGATCTGCTCTGCGATGGTTCCCACACTCTGCGACTCGATGTTCCTGATGACTGGCACCAGCAACCCAGAAGGAGTATCCACCGCGATTCCAAAGTCGTGTGCTGCCTTGTAACTCAACTCAGGCTTCTTCGGATCCGATGTGTCTAACCAGGCGTTGAGCAATGGATGGTGCCCCGTTGCAAGCGAAATTGCTTTAAGTATAAAAGGCAATGGAGTCAGCTTGTTCCCAGCCTCTCGTGTGTTATTGATCTTCGCACGGAACCTGTTAAGATTGCCAGTGTCGACCGTGCTCGAATACAAGAAGTGTGGTATTGTGAGAGATCGGGTCATGGTTTTGAACATGGCCATCTGAACTGGCGTTAGAGGTTTCTTCTGGTCCTTCGCAGCTGGCTGTTGTGTTGACTTTTGAGTAGTCTGCGAGACGTGGCGGTGGACATCTTCTTTCAAGACCCTTCCGTCTTTGCCGCTTCCATCAATGTCTTGAACTCTGATGTTATGTTCTTTGATCAAATGTCGCACAGCAGGTGTCGCCAGTCCTTTGTCTTGATGCTTCGTTCTGCTCAGAGGGCCTTGAACTTCTTCCCTCTCAACGTTTGAATCTTCATGTCGAGGGGCTTGCGGTTGCGGTGCTTCCTTTCGTGGAACATCTGCTTTCTCACCGCCAGATTCTTCGATGAGTGCCTCACTCTCAGGCGTGATGTCGCTTTGTATATCAATGTCCAATAGTGGCTAAACGAGGATCAGCGCAAGCAGAGATACGAAAAGTCCCGCGTAAAATCACCTTTCCGACGAGAGCCATGTCATCTGCCTCATAGTACAACTTTTTGATTACCCCATCGAACGGCGATGTGATCTATCACATGTCAGTTCTGATGGTCAGGAGGACTTTTCTAGAACATCTCAAATACATCAGATGCTGTCTTGTCCGACTGTACTTCGCAGAGCTTATCGAATTGCTCAACGCGAGCACCTGGCTGCACGAACCATTGGATGATTTGGCATTCTCGAGTCCCCTCGCCAATATCTGCCAACAAGAATGGTTTGACTATGTCTCGTCTGCGCGTTGTGTGAAAGAGACGATGGTTGATAAACCTGGATCCTTGATGCAGTGCTAGTTTTGCAGAGAAAGTCGCAGCCATCGTGAACGTGAACGTGAAAGTGCCGATTATTCGGAATCTTACAAATCTACATGATGCCAGGTACAAGAGTGATATGCAGGAGTGACTTACCCCGGCCCAGAAGTGAGGGGTCGGCTTGCGGAAGTCGTGTGACTAAGGAGGAGTGTTGTTCAAGGTCTGTGCTCAAATAGACACCAGCCAAAAATCGACATCTTGCTCGCTGTAGGTCCAATGAGGGTCAGGAGACTCTCCCCTAGCGCTTCCAATCTCGACGCCCTAGGGTAACGCGCCCTAAACCTCCGCATGCTTGCTCACTTCAAGTATCGGAGCCCAGAGGTTCCATTGCCATGACCTGAGTTTGGAGATGTTCCAGTGTGTCCAAGAGACCATGATTTCAAGCGCTTGGTGGTCTTGGTATTATTGCCTGAAGTAGTCATGAAGCCTGCAGAGCGAGAATGGAATACGAACGTACGACCATCACCCAATGCCTGCATTGACTTTGGTATTGACATTTATTAAACCGATCCTTGGTGGCATCCAGATGTGTCTAAAACTTTCCCTTCTTCTCTAAAAATGCATGTGACCTACCGTACTCCATGCTCGCTTGTGCCCGAGTACAGAACAAGTGCATTCTTGGTATTTGAAGATCAAACTGCAAGCGAACGTCAGGGTCTGTACCAACTCGATCAAGAAGGAAGAACCCTGATGGGGCACCAGCATGTTGCTTCCGGGCACGTTTTTGCCCTTTGGTCAAGCCAACAACTGCAGCAGGTAACCATGATCTTTTGATGGCGCATCGATCGCGTCTGTGCAGTCGTTCTCAAACGCGGGACAACGGGTCTACCAAAGGCCTCCGAATGATCCGACGTTTCACGTCTGGATGCGAAGCATCTTGAACCGTCTAAATTGCAAACTACTCTGCAAGGTATCTTGTATGGTGAAAGATTTTCGAGAGCCATCTCGCCTGCGCTGACAGCAGGAGAGGACAAAGAATCATCAAAACAGGCGGTGACGAGGTTGTGCTCCCGTCCATTTGCAGGACTCACCGAAGCGCCAGCGCGAATGCAACCACATGCACAACTGCGGGACGGTCGCATACCCAAGGAAACGTGCATCCTCGCACAGGCGCCGCATGGAAACCTCCAGTGTGTGGTATGGGCCGAGAGGCTGCTTGGCCTTATTGATTTTCCTCCTCTATTCTTAGTAGAGACGGATCGATCCTCCCAAGTGAGCGGCACGCGAAGACAGCGGTAGCATGTATAATGATGGGACAAAATTCCTTTTTGCCCTCCGACTGGCCCTTCGAATGTGTTTTCCTTGCCTTTAAAAGCAGGCCCCGATCCTGCAGTGTGTAGCCGTGGAGTGACGTGCCTCGCACCTATCAAATAATCCACCGTCGTCCCTCGTTGACTGACTTAATTTTCTTCTTTCTTGAGCTCTTCCTTCTACTTGTGGCCGGCCGCAATCCCAAAAGGCTGGATCTCACAAAAGAAGAAGCCGCCATCCGCCCACCTTCCTATTGAGTTGAACGACAATACAAACCCTGCACCGACATTCACATTAACGACACTCACACACCTATCTATCCTCAATTTTTCTCTTTCCCTAATTCCCTTCGTCATACCTGTACTATTCCAGACCTTGATTATCATATTCAAAATGGGGAAAGTGTTCTTTGTTGGTTGGGCGCTGTGGGAGAAGATGACCTTTGTACGTGCTGCACACATCAATGCCTCGCGAGCTTTTACTGACATGTGATAGGTTCTGGCCTGCCTTATTGTATGTGCCCCTTCAGCTTCTAGACTGACGATCATGGCTCACATTTGTATTAGGTCTTGACTATCTTTGCTGGCTGCCTCAAGCTGTGGTACACGCATCATAAGCTTCGTAAATATGAGAAGGCTGGTCCTCAGCCGATCAATCGCGAAAAGAGTATTATCCGCAGTTTGAGTATGCGCAAAGGCCCAAAGAAGCAGAAGCAGAAACAAAAGGGAAAGTCAGCCAAGGAAGCCATGGTCCAGAAAAGACGTCTGATGGACGATGGACCGAACATTCCGTTCGGTATCCGGGCGATCGAAAGTGGTATTGAGGTTGACGGAGTATGGATCTCTCGCAATAACACACCAGCTGCAAGCATACGCGAGACCTCTTCAAGCTCTATGTCAGCCTACCGGCCAATCCCACAACAGAGTCGACAAGGCTCGTTGACTGATGTTGGCATGACTCTTACGAACAACGGCACAGATACCTCACCATTAAATGGTTCTATCGCATCTTCGTCCAGGGGGCCAAGCCGGGCGCTGTCCGTGGATCGTTCGACGTCTGTCGGCAGCATTGGAAGTAATCCACCATCCTCCCCTGAGCCAGTTGCGTCGAGTTCTCGCCGCTACCCTCCTCACTCATACCAAAGATATGAAGGCAGTAGCTCAAAATATTTCCGCAATGCTCATACTCTTGAGACTAGAGTTCCCACTGGCATGCCAACTGGTACTTATCACGCTTCAGAATTAAGTCTTCAACGCTAACATCAAATTTCAGATCCAGCCAGAATTGTCAGCTATCATAGCTCTTCCTCAGGTTCATCGAGAGGGGGCAGTAATGGAAGCAACGACCTACCAGCATCATATCTTGACTTTGCAAGACCACCTCCAGTCCACACCAGCGGGAATCCAGCATTTGATGACGCCCTTCAGACTCACCGCATGTCGCAAGTCGCCGAGACAGGGCGTTTAGTTCCTAGAAGTCGCCGTACTGGTACCTCCGCAGACTGGACTTCATCACCTCTGGGGTCAAGCGAAGTACACAACTTTTCTCTTCCACATTCAAAGACACCGCCTCCTCCTGGATCATCCAGTTCTAACAACACGCTCAATCCTTTCACTACCCCTGTGTCAGAGAAGCATCCGGAGGTCGAGTTTCCAGAGCCCAAGACGCCCGCCTCAGAGTCCAAATCGCGTCGTGGCTCAGGCTTGTCGTACACACGCCCGGATCCGACTGTGCTACGCGCAGTGAATTCAGGATTTGCCGTGCTTAAGCCAGGAACGTTGGATGCAGAGGCTGCAGCCAAAGAATCTGCTCAGGGAGTTGCATATCACCACTCGCGAGCACGATCAGCAAGCCTCGAAGGCAACGAGAGGCGGCATAGTCGCAAGCTACAGAAGAAACGTCGACCCAGCAATAGCTCACATGAGTCACAATCGAGTTTCGACGCTGCGTCTGACCTCGAGCGTGGTGATGTCAAGTACAGCTTCGAACAGCACCCACCTTCGGACCACGACATTGAACGTGGCACGCAGATTGAAGCATCGGGCTCAAAGTACAAGTTTTGATGATTTAATGTGTTTCGAAATGGAGGATGTACAGTATGCACCCGGGCTACAGGCTGAACTGCACTTGCTGTCTACTGAAGACAATGCGAGAGGAGACCAGAGCAGACATATTAGCGGTCCAATGTACAAGGACGATAATAGGACAGAATGATATGGACCATCTCTTACGTCGAGATTTTACATTGTCGAGTTGATGCTTTCGAAACCGGAAACAGCGAACAAGCAAGCCGCATGCAGTTAGTCAGTCGTCTTTGCTCTGGGCCAACGGTTTCTTGTTGGTAAAAGTTGTGGTTGAGGGGGACTTGACTCGTGGGTTCCGACGGCTTTAACATGGCAAGCGCGGGGAAAGTCGGCGGAACAGGGGAGCATTGGAGGAAGCTGCGCCGGTGACGGAGCTGGAGAGCGATTAGTGCCAGCAAACAGTCACAGCAACCAAAAAAGCCAAACCGGAGTAGTGATCAGCGCTGCGATACGCCCGATAACTGACTAGGAAGCGTCGAGCTGGCGCGCCAACGTGGAGCTCACTTTTTTTCTGGCCATTGACTCACCAACCATTCTCCATCTTTCTTAAACTGCCTCGTCTGAATCGATCTTCCCTTCCTTCATCCAACACTTCCACTAATCCACATCACATCCATCAACATGGTCAAGCAAAAGGTAAGAGACAGTGCACACCAGCTTATCTATAGCACCCAATTGACTCTCCTCCACAGGTCTGTCTCGCCTACTCTGGCGGTCTCGATACCTCATGTATCCTCAAGTACCTGCTGGACCAGGGCTACGGTGTCATCTGCTTCATGGCCAACGTTGGTCAGGAGGAGGACTTCGACGCTGCCCGCGAGAAGGCCCTCAAGATTGGTGCCGAGAAGTGCTACATTGAGGATCTCCGCCAGGAGTTCGTCGAGGAGCTGTGCTGGCCTGCTGTCCAGTGCAACGCCATCTATGAGAACGTTTACCTCTTGGGTAAGTAATACACCTTCCAATTGGCTGTCGAGGGCCATATCCTGACCATCCGCTAGGTACCTCGCTCGCCCGTCCCGTCATTGCCCGCGCTCAGATTGCCGTCGCTCAGAAGGAGGGCTGTTTCGCTGTTTCCCACGGCTGTACCGGCAAGGGCAACGACCAGGTCCGCTTCGAGCTTGCCTTCTACGCTCTGCAGCCAACCATCCAGGTCATTGCCCCATGGCGCGACCCCGTCTTCTACAACCGCTTCAAGGGTCGCCAGGACCTTCTCGACTACGCCGAGCAGTCTGGCATCCCTGTCACCAGCACAAAGAGCAAGCCTTGGAGCATGGACGAGAACTTGGCCCACTGCAGTTACGAGGCCGGTATTCTCGAGGACCCTAACGTCACTCCTCCCGAGGACATGTGGAAGTTGACCGTCGACCCCACCAAGGCCCCCGAACAGCCCGAGGACTTCGTCCTGCACTTCGAGAAGGGTCTCCCTGTTAAGGCCGAGCTTCCTGGTGGCAAGACCGTCACTGATGCCACCGAGCTCTTCCTTGCCGTCAACGCCATTGCCCGCAAGCACGGTGTTGGCCGTATCGACATTGTTGAGAACCGTTTCATTGGCCTCAAGTCTCGTGGCTGCTACGAGACTCCCGGTCTTACCTGCCTGCGCGCTGCCCACATCGATCTCGAGGGTCTGACCATGGACCGTGAGGTTCGCGCTCTCCGTGACCAGTTCTTGACCTTCAACTACGCCAAGGTACGTTCTCACAGAGTTTCTTTCCAATTTTGATCAAACGACTAACCGTAATTTCACACAGATCCTCTACAACGGTCTCTACTTCTCCCCCGAATGCAAGTTCCTCCTCCAGTGCGTTGCCGCCTCGCAGGACAGCGTCAACGGTGCCGTCCGCTGCCGCGTCTACAAGGGTGCCTTCAGCGTCCTCGGCCGCTGGTCCGATACCGAGAAGCTGTACGACATGGACGAGTCCTCCATGGACGTCATTGGCGACTTCCGCCCTGAGGACACTACCGGCTTCATCTCCGTCAACGCCATCCGCCTGAAGAAATACGGCCGCATGATGGAGGAGGCTGGCAAGAAGATGTAAAAAAAGATTCACGCCTATACCCCACGACTTTTGTAACTTTAGTTTTCTTTTTCAATGTTCGGTGTTAGGTAGCTGAGGGTTCACTTTGAGATAAGATATTTTCGTTTCGGGTCTCTTAGAGGGAAAAAGAATACACGACATGATCATTCTCAACACGATTACTGCCTACATCTGTTTTGTATTTGCATTGAGTGATGATAATAGTGTGTCCGTTGAACTGTGACTGGATCGAGATACGTCAGGAGCTGACAAGTTCAATGAGCGACTGGATCTTGTAGCTTGCACACATACAGTATTGACTCACATAAGCATCTCGGTATCATGCTGTAGATTCGATACAAGCATAGCTATTGAGATCAGCCTACACGACAGATAAGAAACAGCGGTCGCGAGCGGCGCCGGTTTGTGGATCTCCAATCGTGCATTGACCAAGTCTACACTACTTACCTGATTCATGACCATCCAAAACACCATCCTTTGCCTTCTTGACTCACCATACCTAAGGATCTACTTACATCCATACGACGAACAATTCCTACTCGGAAAGCGTACATCCGTCAAGATAATTCCGCCAAACTCTTGTTCAACACGTAAAGCAGCCACAACAAAATGCCTACTCTCCGCATAGCCATCCTCGAGTGTGACACACCGATGGATAAGGTACTTGACAAGTACGGCAGCTATGGCGATATCTTCACTGCACTCTTGAAACAAGCTGCCCAAGACTTGACGGCGGCAGGAGAGAAAGTGCAAGTCGAGTGCTCGAATTATGATGTGGTTCACAAGCAAGAGTATCCCGAGGACTTGGATAAGGTCGATGCTGTTTTGATGACCGGAAGCAGTAAGTGTCTTCTCATAGATTATTGTATTCCGTTATTATTGGTGGATTTGCAGGAAGGGATGAACGAAAGTAGAGAATGGAAAGCGAAAAGAAACTGAGCAGAAGAAGACCTCATAACTTATAAGAAACCAAATACCTGACACTTTGACCTTTGCAGAATACAACTCTTTCGACAATGACCCCTGGATTCTCAAATTGGTTGACTTTACAAAGAAAATCCTCGAACCTCAATCTCGCATCCGTGTTTTGGGCATCTGCTTTGGCCATCAGATTGTCGGCCGCGCTCTGGGTGCCAAAGTCGACCGTGGTACCCTCGGTTGGGAAGTCAGTGTCACACCTTTGGAACTGACTTCAGTGGGTAAAGACATCTTTGGCGTCGACTCCTTGGTAAGATATCCTTCTCCTCATGCCCTTGCAAAAACGACTAACGAATATTGAATAGAGCATACACCAAATGCACCAAGACATGGTCTTCTCATACCCCGAAGGCGTGCTTCCATTGGCACACACAACTCGCTGTGAGAACCAAGGCATGTATGCCAAAGGACGCCTGATCACTGTACAAGGACACCCAGAGTTCAACAAGGAAATGGTGACGCATATTCTGACTGCGAGACATGATGCTGGCGTATTTAAGGATGAGATCTATGAGGATGGCATCAAGAGAGTGGGAGAGACGCACGGTGGCGCTGTTATTGCGAAGGCGTTTTTGGAGTTCTTGATGCAATGAGTAAGTTGAAGATAGAAGGGATAGATTTGGCTGGAAGGTGCACTTACATGTGCTCTTGCCAATGCGAGGTATGATGCCTTGACATGTGACCTGCACCTACTTGATTTATAACCAAGACGCCTATCAGCCCATATATCCAGTTCTATTCTCCAATTCTTCCAACAAAAGCGGCGGTGGTCTAGTGGTCAAGACGCTGCATCAATGTGTCTTGCAAACACAAGCGCTTGCCATCCGATGTACTGCTTCAGAGTTGGGTGGTAGAAGATACAGAGAACGTGGGTTCGAATCCTACTCGCCGCGCAGTGTTTTCTTTTTGCCCATCATCACATATCTTCAGAGAGTAGTCTACAGATCTGACGCTGAGGCGAAGGCCAATGTGTATTACTGTGATGATTGTGTGAACCTGGTGCAGAAAGGAGTGGAATTTCGAAACCCACATTTCAGCATTTAGAAATCACATCCTGCCTTCATTTTCTGATCACGACTCTGACGTGTGCTCACCGTCCCTCGTCCATACAACCAGAGCATTCAATGTAGAAGTAGTATGCTATGTATAGAGGAGTAGAGTTTGGAAGATTGAAAAATTTCTTTTGAATTTGCTCACTGAAGAGCACCCGGATCTAACCATATACCCAGATCTTTCAGAGTATATGGTATCAAAGATCCGGCAGAGGGGAGATGTGATAGGAAAAACCGACCGATCCGACCAACAAACGCATGAGAGGGGACAGGCAACTTTTTATGCCTTCCTTGCTCCCGGATATCTTTGTACAATGACAACACCCAAAAATCAAAAACCCCATCGCTGACTACCCATCACACAAGTCCTTGACGCCATGCTTTGATCAAAACCTTGACGCCACCCCATTCCTTGTTGTATTCGTGTTCCTCGTGATATTTCGCTCCAAAACGCTAAAGAAAAAGTTGAAGTGAAATAATTTTTGAAGAAGGTTGAAACGACAGACTATTGTCTGCCACCACTGATGAGCTCAACAATCTTGTTGGCAACAGCGGTAGGGTAGCCCCTACTCAAAGCCTCACCAACGACGGCCTGAGCGCCTTCGCGATCTTCGACAGCAAGGTAGGCACGAACCATAGCCTCGTATGTGCTGGGCTCACGGTCGGCGAAGTTGATGCGGTCGAAAGCCTGGCGAGCACGCACGATGTCCTTCTCCAATGCCCAACCATGAATCAAAGCGTTGGCAATGTAAGGAGTCATCTCGACTCTGCGGGCAGCCATGTGAGCGAGCAAGGGCTCAGCATCAGCAACTTGACGGTTTGCAACAAGAGACTCGAACATAGCCTGGTAGACGCAAGGCTGGAGCTTGAGATTCGAATCCGAAGCGACAGTGCCAAAGAGAGCACGAGCACCAGCCATGTCCTGCTGTACGCAACCCTTAGCATGAATGAGCGCAGCATAATGAACAGCCTCAGGCTTTTCGCCTGCAGCACGCATCTCGGCGAGGACGCTTTCAGCCTCAGCCATGTTCAGAGGTTCGAGGGTAGCATGAGTGTCGATGAGAAGCTTGTAGGTGTGCATGGTAGGCTGAATACCCTTAGAACGCATACGCTCATAGTAGCTCAACACCTTGCTGCGGTCTCGCTTGGTGGTCAAGAAATGTTGCATCAAGCTGTGGTAAGGTGCGGGACGAGGCTTGTAGTTGGCACATGCTTCCATCTCCTCGAAAATCTCCTCAGCAAATTTCTCGTCGCTGACACGGCAAAGAGCATTGACAATGGTACCGTAGGTAACAGAGGTAGGACGAATGCCAAGGTTGCGCATCTCAGCGAAGTAGAAGAGACAGTCGTCGATTCTACGAGCCTTGCCCAGCTTGCCGATCAAGGCGTTGTACAGGAAGGAAGTAGGCTCGACACCCTCAGCCTTGGCGCGCAAGAAAATCTTGACAGCTTCAGTAGCCTCGTCGAAAGTCTTGGTGTTCTCCTTGAGGGTAGTGATGTACAATCCGTAAGTGTTAGCAGAAGGAGAGGCTCCCATGTCAAGCAAGTCCTGGTGGTACTGAGCAGCGAGATCGCGACGACCAACAGTCAAGCAAGCTGACAACATAGAATCGAGGATCGAGACCCATCCGAATCTGACTACGCGGTATTGAGGGAGGAAAGGCACGTCCTGCTTGGCCATCTCTACAATATCACGGCAGAGGTTGAATTGGTTCTCCTTGGCGGCAGCAGTGATCAGCTTTGAGTAGGCGAAGAATCTCGGAACGCGGCCAGCACGGCGGATGTTGCGGAACTTGGCGAGAGCCTCATTCAAATTGGACGCAGACTTTCCATGAGGTTTCTCAAGGAGGTCAGTAATAGCGACTGAAGCCTTGTTGTCAGTTCGGCTGGCATAAGGGTCGAAAGCGTCATCGAAAACCGGCGAAACAGGTACCATAGGTGCTTGAGGGAAAGCATTGAAGTTGACAACAGGCGGGTAGACAGGCGAAGGAAGAACGGGGTAGCGGTAGTTGTTCCACAGGCGGCTCAGATCACTACGATCAAGGTTGATCAAGGTCTTCTCAATCAAGTTCTCGGTAGAGACGTCAGGAAGAATGGCGCGGGAGACAATGTTCTCGAGGAGGCAAGCAAATCTGGCATCACCAGCAATCTCGGGAGCCGCCTCGTCTAGGACCATGCGCGACTGAACCTTAGTCAGAAGACCGATGTCACTGGAATTGAGCCGCGCGATTTCTTGAGAACCGAAGGAGGCTACAAGGTGCTCGGCGATAGGATTGACAAGAGCACCGTTGTCTACCATCATACGCAGAAGCTCCATGCTGGCACCAAGCTCAAGCGTGTTGTTGTTCTTCAAAGCAAAGCTGCCAAGGACCTCGATGACCTCTTCAACCTTTTCGGCAATCTCGTGGTTGGCAGATGCTGAATTCTGAGCGTCTCTTATACGACTCAACATGTGGCGAGTCTGCGCGATACCACGGGTAGCAAGACCAACACTGATGAGAGCAAGCGCACGCATGGTAGCCGGCTCAATGAAGGCAGAAGTAGCCATAGAGTTCTCAAGCACACGCCAGTAGGGTTCAGCTGCATCGAGGTTCGCATTGCGAACGTGCATTGCTAGCATTGCCATAGAGGAAGGAGCGAGGTCAGCACCGACTGCAGCTAGGGCGTTGAACGCCTTGGTGCTCTCGTCCGAATTGTTGTTGTCAGCGGCAGCGATGACGATCGCATTCAGAGCGTGGACGGAAGCGGCGCTCGAGACATTGGCAAGAATGGCGGAAGCTTCCTTGAAATTACCAGTTTGGAGCGAAAGAGGAAGGAAGGACTCGACAAAAACTGTGTCGCGGATGGCTTGGCGCTTGAAAGCATTCTGCTCATGAGATTCAATCTCGCGCAGGAACTTCTGGCCCCCACTCAAGTGTTGGCAAGAAGCGTAAGCCTTGATCAGGGAAGAGTAAACAACTTCATCCATTCTGGACATGCTGTTCAGTCCAGCATCGTTCTCAATAGCCAGCTTCTTGTAGTTGTCGTAGCAGTCCACAGCGTTGCGCAAGTCTCCTGTAAGCGCAAATGCGTTGATCATGGCAGGGAAGATGTTCGCGTTGGGCACAATGTCCTTGCCTGACATGTGGTCAAACAGACGCATCATGTCGGAAACGCGTCCTTGCTTGGCACATGCATGAATGAGGAGACCGTAAGATTTAGTTGAGAGGTCGACCTTTGTTGAAGCAGAATTGAATGTCGTCAAAGCAATGCTCAAGGACTCATCCTCTGCAAAAATGGCATATTCCAGCGCATCCGAGTGGAAGAGGAAGCTGTCCTCGGCTTCCATGCCACCATAACGCGAACGCTTTTCCTCAAGAACCTTCTTGGTAGCAGAAGCTTCCAGAGCTCTGTTTGCCAGAAGATCGATCAGAGCAGTGTAAGTCTCTGCATCCGGAATCACTCTGCGGCGGAGCATATCCGAGTAGACTTCCAGGGCCTTGGGAACCTTCTGATGTTTGCCAGTAGTGAGCTTGATGGCCGAGGTCATCAAAGCACGATAGGCTGAAGCTGGAGGCTGCCTTACGCCAGCATACAGCATCGACTCGAAGATACTAGGAATGCGTGAATACTGCTTGTCGCGAAGCATCATTTCTAGTTCCTGTGTGTACGCATCGAGTTCCGAGATGGGAGCGGCAACAGTGTCGTGAACATCGCTGGACAACTGCTCTTGGCCGCCTCGAGCAGGGGTGATGGTCCTTTCTGAAACAGCATCTTCCTCGATCGCCACGTCAACGGCAGCCTCGACTTCTTGCTTGGTCTTGCTGATCTCCTCTGCAATTGCTTCGTTGACCTGCGCGAACGCAATAGCTGCAGCTTCCTGGTTGTCGATGGCCTTTCCAAAGTTGTCAACAGCGCTAGTCGTGTATGCGCGCTTTAGGTTGCCCCGTTGTGGTGCATCTTCCAAACTCTCATCCACTTCCTCAATCGCGCTGCTTTCCTGAACATCGTCCAATTCCTTGCTCTCAACAGCTGCTGCGCCTGAGTATCCGATCAACTTTTGAAACTGAAACTGTTGCCATTCGCGAAGGTCGCCGTTCTTGTGGTGTTTGTGCCATGCCTCGTAGTATTGAGCTAGACCATCATGGTTGTTGTTGTTGTCCTGACGTGCTGCTTGGGTGCTTGTGTGTGTCGGCACATGCTGTAGTTGAGATGTGCTGGGGTTACCGCCAATGCGGTGGATCCAGTTGCTTGCGAGAGGAGTTACACCAGTGTTCTGCGAAGCGTAGGAAGACTGAGAAGCGGCGACAACAGTCTGAGCATATCCGTGGGTGAAGGATTTGAATGCTGTACCAGCAAGACGAGAGATTCCGACAGTGGGCTTAACGAACACCATCGAGACGGTGATTGAGAGCCCTCAGGTTGGAAATATGAGACTGAAAAGATGGTCAGGACCTAGACATTGAGTCATGATTAAGCAATTGAACAAGCAGCCAATCCAGTAATAGATTGCATCAAACAGAAAGAGATCGAAGAGTGGTATACGAAGAATAGAACACATACCAGATATTGCTCGAAAAAGAATTATTGCAAGTTCATCTGACGATGGCTTGATCGGCAGAGAACACGCGAAAATGCAGTGTGGAAAGGTACGAGATACCTTAGTGGCGTGATAGTCGACAATTGTCACGAGAGAAGAGAATACAGGTTAGAACTCGACCCAAAATACAGGCGCGAAAGAAGATCTGATAAAACGAGAGAATGAGAAGCTGAACTATGACTGGTTTTGCCTGGCGAAAATGTTCAGGCAACAGAATAATGGATGACGAGAACGAATGGATTCGTGGGAGCTCGTCGCGTCCGTCGGACTTTGCGACGAACCTGGGCCGGAGACTCGGACGAACTTTTGATCATGATAAGTAACAGAGCTGCTCGGCCGATCGTGCTCGATGCAGCAGATCTGATAAGCATAATGGCTCTAGTCAAGCTGTCTATCGTAATTTTACGCTGGGTACTGCTCGATAGTCGGCTTACATGGCCACGCCGTCAAACGGCCGCTAGTTATTCTCCCGCAACTTCCGTGCAACGGTTAAGGGAAACTCTCGGAACCGACTGCGCACTGCCAGTCTCGATTCTCTGCACGACGAGAAGCTTCCAAATCGACCACCACCAGCCCGGCTCTTCATCGTCAATTCGCTCTTCACTCTGGTCTGCTGACCGGTGTCCATCCCCGGCCAATACTCTATCCAGCCGTGCACTTGCCGCAGCAGAAGTAAGATTGCAGTACCGCTTCCTCCTGCTGTTGTGCGGCGTTCAGGAGGGACAAGGGTTTGAGAATTGTTGCCCTGATTGGAAGAGGAGGGGTCGCCTAGTTGCGCGCTGTCTTGATCTATTGTCTAGCCACTTCTGCTGCTGCTCAACTTTCTGTCTACCAGACGATCCGCATCGCTTCTTGTAAAGATTCCCCTGCATCATTCGAAACGACGATGAGCCAAAATGCTGTCGCTGTGTCTGCACCTGGCAAGGTCTTGCTAGCTGGTGGTTATCTCGTGCTTGACAGAAAGTACAATGGACTCGTGTTTGGCCTGGATGCTCGTATCCACGTCTGTGTAAAGCCCTTCGCATCCAGTTCGGGCGTCACCTTTTCTGAGATCACGGTCAATTCACCCCAATTCCAGAATGCTGTCTGGGAATATGGGTATCGCTTGGCCTCTCAAGACGGGGGTGTTAAAGTGACCCAATTGAGAGTGTAAGTGCTAAAATTCCTTATTCATCATCACCAATGCAAAACAAGGGGGGCAGCATAAGCGAGGTATCATGGACGGGAAGACGGAAAGTGTCTGCACCGAATCACGAAATTCTCAAAAAGAAACATTATGATTACCGGAAGAGCGGGTCTCCGAGATCAAAGATGACATTTAGAGTGTATTGCGTTGTGGGAAGCTGGACTTCGAAAATGCTCGACACATCACATATCTCGTTGGAGCCTTGACAGGACACGACTCTAACATACGTGAAACTCTAGGGATGCTGACTTGAAGCTCAACCGCAATCCATTTGTAGAGACAGCTCTGGCTTATGCCCTAAGCTACGTCTCGAGTGTTGGGTCGTCCAACATCTCTCCTTCGTCAATTACCATCCTGGCAGACAATGACTACTACTCGACTTCTTCGGCTGAATTGACTGGCGCAAGGTTCCACGACTTCGGCGTCCCTCTCGCGGAAGCAAACAAGACTGGACTAGGATCTTCCGCTGCTCTGGTGACCGCGTTCACTGCTGCTGTACTCAGCTACTACTTACCCCAGGATGCCTTTGATCTGACCACTGAAGCTGGCAAGCGCAAACTACACAACCTGGCACAAGCAGCTCACTGTGCTGCTCAAGGCAAGGTTGGCTCCGGATTCGACGTGGCTTCTGCAGTGTATGGCAGTTGTTTGTACCGAAGATTTTCACCATCCATTCTGTCCGCACATGGAGAACCAGGTACACCAGAGTTTGGCAAGCAACTGGTCGACATTGTCAACGAGAGCGGTGCGAATGGCCAATGGGATACCGAGATCGTCAAGGATCAAGTAAAGGTTCCGGCGGGCATCAGATTGATCATGTGCGATGTCAGCTGCGGTAGCCAGACGCCTGGCATGGTCAAGCAAGTCCTCGCATGGAGAAAAGACACGGGAGCAGAAGCAGAGAAGGTGTGGGAAGGATTACAGGAGGTCAACGAGGGGTTGGCACAAGAGTTGGTCAAGTTGGCCGAGAGTGGATCAAAAGACTACTCAGGACTCAAGCAACGCATTCAGGCCATCAGACAAGGGATCCGCGAGATGAGCAAGCAAAGTGGAGTACCTATTGAGCCACCGGCGCAAACGAAGCTACTGGATGCTTGCAGCAACATTGAGGGGGTAATTGGCGGAGTGGTGCCGGGAGCAGGAGGGTATGATGCAGTTGCGCTGTTGATCGAAGACAAGGACTCAGTGGTTCACAAGCTGCAGGAATTGCTTTCTGGGTGGAAGATCGAAGGCGAGACTGGAGGCAGCATGGGCAAAGTGAGCATGCTGGGAGTCAAGCAGGAGATGTCTGGAGTGCGAGTCGAGCAGGCCAGCCACTATGTGGAGTGGTCGGAGTAGAAGTCCTGAAGACAACAGCATAAAAAGTGGAGCTCAGCACACGAGCAGGCACACAACGTTCAAACAGTAAAGGAGATTCAGTGTATATAAATGTGTAATTGAGCCTATCAGACGTCTTGTTGCATTGTTTAGAGGCACAAAAGGGAGAGGTGTTTGTTGAACAGCAAAAAGTCGAATAGAGTTATGGGTCAAGGGAGCAGCCTCGGGGAGAGGAGGCGGGAATAGGAAGGAGCGGGAGTCTGGGCAGTGGGTTGGGTGGAGTTTCTGGGGTTCGGCCGGCTCGGTCGTCGTACTCTAGTCAGTGGTAGACGTGCATCATATTCAATGCGTCCTTGCCATCCTTGTCGTCGCACACTTATCACCACCATTTCTTATTGATTCCTGACGTCCGCAGTGCGCATCGAGTAAACCACGCTCGTTTTCTGCCGCCTGATCTTTTCAACGCCGCCTTGTCTTTCGAATCCTGCCTGGGCCTAACTCAACCGCCCATCCACCGAGTCCACGCCTTTCATTCACCCCATCATTCCGCACTCGAGGCCTCAAAACCAGCCTTCAAAGCCAAAGAGAAGAGATGGATCCTCACACGAATACACATGCGACAGCGACGGGCCTAGTCGCAGACAGCTCTCTCCACCCCGACAATGACCATGCACTCTCGTCAACAGAACCACAACAACCCTCTTTCTTTGCCTCTTCCACTGCTTCTCATGCCGAAGCCCCTCAGATCACAAACCCTGGCCAACAAGAATCAGAACCACAATTCGTAGATGAAGGCACCGATCCTTTACCACCAACACCGCTTATGATGCCCGCCCCCGCTCTTCTTCGTCAGGAGACAGCTGAGCCTATAGGTCCCTCGACCGATTTGCCCACTCCTATGCCCCAAGCACCAGGAAATGGTACCCCCAGCGGTCCCGTCATCACTATAAATTTGCTGTTGAGCAGCACTGGCACCCGCCATCCCTATCGCATAGATCAGAAGTATCTAGCGAAACGCAATGTTACGGCCGAAAACGAGAATGGCGATTTCGATCCTTTTGTCATCAGCGTCTATACATTGAAAGAATTGATCTGGCGAGATTGGAGAGAGGGTAACATCTGCTCATTCTTCCTTGGTTGCGAATCCACCACTGACACTGCCATCTCTAGAGTGGGAACCAAGACCCTCATCACCTGCAGCAATCCGCTTGATCCACTTCGGACGTTTCTTAGATGACAAATTACCCTTGAAAGGTATTTTTCAGACAATTCCCATCGATGTTGTCTTTCCTCCGGCGCTGACCATGAACAGATTGTCGGTTTAGCGACTCGGCGCCAAACGTTGTACACATGAGCGTCAAGCCCCAAGAAGTCATTGACGACGAAGAGAATGCAAAATCAGCAAAAGGCAAAAACAGCGGTGGTGGCGGTAGACCTGGCTCGCGTGGCGATGGCGAAGAGCCAACAGCTGGTTGCCGATGCATCGTCCAGTGATTCTTTCATGTCTTCCTTCCATCTCCCTTCTTGTCTGCTTCTTCTCTCTGATACCCCCTCCCGCCGAACTCACCCTCTCTCCTTTCTTCTGCTCTTCATACCCCACTACTTTTCCATAATTTGCATTTCCCCTTTCTTTTTTCTTCTTCTCATATATATCGGGCGTTATTCCAGCATACAGTGCGGTGCAAGGGACCAAAAATCTCTAATCATTTGGGTGTGGAAAGGCAAAGGAAAATGGAGAGGGGCGAGGCTTTTGTTGTTTTTCATTCTTGTGGTTCCTTTCTCCATTAGACATATACTGCTCACGTTTTTTATGTCACCTGGTCATGCTGCTTTTGGTTTCGTTGTTCATGCTGTATCATTCTGTATGCCATGGCTGACACGATATCATATCTTTTCCATGTCCACACTTTTCCTCTTGCTGAGTGTATATAGGCGAACACAAGAAATTGAACTTTCGTGTGTTGATGGCATGAACAGTCCGAGGGAGCAATGGTTTTTAGAGATTGTGCTATGAAAGGTGATGCATGTTGGTGGCAAGAAAGATATGTCGAGATGCTGCATCAACATTATTTGAAAGTCTACACTATTAGCTAGACTCGGAGGATTCGGTACACGGTCAAGTGCTCTTGTGATGTGTTCATTTCATTCTTTTCATTAATTGATGTCTGTCGAGCCGAGAGAAACGCAAGCTTATGCTGATGCTCCTTGCTCCTCTTCTCTTCAAGAGTCCTAATGTTCAGTGTTTACTCTGTGATCTGAGTTTCCGAGACTGGTCGCGGCGTATATGTTGTACAGTGTAGAAGGCTCGTTCCTAGCCTCTAATCATGTCTCCAGAGATACACGTTTGCCGTTCCTAAGCATCAATGACCGCATATCTCTCGACTTGTCTCATGTATGTGGCGTGTTCCTGGCATAGTCTCTACCAGTTCATCTTGAGTCTGTTCTCCATCTCCGAGTGGAAGTCGGGCGCATTCTGTGTCTCGTTGCCTGCATAACACCCACCATTAGTATCTCTTTCCATCTCTCACTCTTGGTCATAGGGCAGATAAACTCACCATTAAACACATCCTCCCAATCAACACTAGCATCTCTTCCGCTGAGAATCTCCTCATGCACGCCTTCACCCTTGTATCCCAGAACAGCTGGTCTCCACTCGCCTTCCTGGCAGATCTTGACTTCCATGCCACGACGGATGGGCTCGGCGATACCGAACTCGCGGCGAAGCATGTTCATCTTGAGCGTGTCTTGGGTCGAGCGCCAGCTGTTGAGGCGGGCTTCCAGAGGGTGTGAGGAGGCGACGGCGCTGAAGGCGGGCGAAGCGTTGTGGGGTGTGTTGAGGGATTGGTTGGAGCGGAGGGTGTCGTGCACACCTGGAGCGGATGGCGCTGAGGGAGCGAGGGCGGTCTGTTGGGCGTGGCCCTTCTGAGGGACGATGCGGAGGGACTGGTGTGAGAGTGCTGTGTTAGCCGTATAACTGTTTCACAAACGAAGGCGCTGGCTACGTGACATACCATGATGTCGTGTATGTGTGCGGATTGATTCGTCTGATTGAACTTATGTGATCGGTAGAGTACGTGACGAAGAGGAAGCGCAAGAGTTGATTCAAAGGGAGATGGCGTGGATTGCTTGATTGATGATGATTGATGGTAGCTGCTGCCCGGCGGTCCAGGCAGCTCTCCGCTGCAGCGCACGGTCCAACAACCATGATGATGCTCATACACTCCCGAGTCGTTCTCACTTCTGCACAAACATGTCAGATAGCGAAGACGTATACAAAATGCTTTCGTTTGAACATATCTGAAACAATCATACTCTGCTTATCCTCCAACAGTGCCAGTCTATCCTCTGCTTCATCTGAATATGCTGTCAGTTATCAAAACTCAGTCAGAAGACATGCCTCAAGTTAACCATGCTCGTGCCAAACGGGCTCCGAAGACCATCGATCTCGTACCGCATAACATGCTCATTGCAACCTCGTCCTCGTAGCCATTACCATTAGTGCCGCCATGTAGTGTACCGATCAGTCAAGTATGTCCAAGAAATCATGATCGAATCATGGACGACCACCTTGCTTCTGTTCACCTTCGCGCATACCAGTCTCGGTGAACCTCTTTGTCCAAACATCTCTCCAGCGACGCTTCTCCTGAGGGCTGCTGGGCTCACTCTCCTGCTCGTCTCTGCTGTCGCTGCGGACTTTGATCCCAGCTCTGCCCGCGATCTGTGCGAACTTGACCTTGGCTGGAGAGCCTTTGGTGGGCGATCTCTTTCCAGGCGACGACGATGGGCTGCCTGTCTTGACGTCGGTAGTCATGGATTCTTCGATGAACTTGGCTGACATGCCGGGCTGCTTCTTCTCGGGCAATGCTCCTGACATGGTGTCGTGGGTCGTCATGCCTGTGTTGCCAGACATCTGAGTCAGCGGCTGTCTGTCTCCAATAGTGTTGGCACCTGTTCTCGTACCGTCGTACTGCGCGAAGTAGCCAGTGGCCAATCCAGCAACCTGTGCAATTGAAGAGCCTGCCTTCCACTCGAGTTGCGAGCTCATGACACGATGAGCTGGGTAGACCCGCTGAAAGTAGGCTGTTGGCGAGCCACCACTTGACTGCATCTGTGCAGATGTGGCGCGACGGTCTTGAGTCATATGCGCCCTCTCACGTTCCATCATGGCACCGGCTGTCTGAGTGGATGGCATGACAGCACGGTTTTGTTCAGTCGAGGCATCAGCACTTGAGACCTGACGTTGCATCATCGAAGAGGTACGATCAGGCAACACGCTCTCACCATTGCGTACAGATGCAAGAACAGCATCAGAATCAACAACTGAAGGTCCCTGGTGAGTTTTTGCCCAGCTTCCGAGATGCAAGGCGGCCATGTCGCTCACACAAGGTCCATTGGGGTCCGGAGTGAGAACGACGTTCTCATTCTGAGCCGAGAAGACGACATCCTTGAGTGTTTTCATCGATGTAGCGTTGACGTTGATGGCAGGGACAGCGCGCTGCGACATGACGTCCTTGTGTCCAGATGGTAGGTAAGGCTTGACAATGACTGGATCAGCGTGGGGTTGAGCTGGGGCATTGGGTGGAGTTGGAACGGCGGTTGCTTGAGCCGACTTGAGCAGACCAGCACAGTAGCCGTCGAGCCAAAGACCGTTCTTCTCGAGGCCGACAGGCAAACGAGCTTTGCCAGCCTTGAAACCATCCATGTAGGTGGCCTCTTCACGGCCATGAGATTCCTTGGCGGAGGAAGCCGTGCGTTGAGAAGAATCGATGGCAGGCGAAGGAAGACCCGACCCGAGTGTGGTAACCTCGCTAACAGACTTGTAGCTCAATGGGTAGTCCGAACGACGGTTCTTCGGGCTCACGTTCATCTCGGAGCGGTTTTGAACAGGATCCATGCTGCCAATCTCTGAGGTGCCTGACTGGTCAATAGCGTGATTGCGCATGGATGGCGGTGTCGTAACGCTGGCAACAGGAGCGAAGTTCCATCCTGGGTCCTGATTCTCCTTGTCTGGAGTGACGGGCTGCTCACTTGATGCCGAAGGGCGTTCTGCCAGCTTGCTGCGGCTTGAATTGTGATCATATCCAACAGGATAGGCGTCTTTCCTCATCGAATGGTCGCGAGGGTTGTTGGGAAAGAAGTCGGCAGTGGCATAGCTTGACGAGGATGATTCATAACGGAGCTTGCGCTGAGAACCTGCTGAGTTCAGGTTGGTGGCGGAGGCATTGGCAGATTCGGTCACCCAAGCATTGTGCTGTCTGACAGCCTCGGCAAGAGCAGGCGATGGAGAGACAGCGCGAGGTGGAACAGCCTTGGATGCAGGCGTAGACTTGCCGGCAGGCTGGTAGCTGGGGCTCATAGGGTTGAGTGCCGACTTCTGGCTGGACTCTGACTTGCTTTCTGGGTTCTTGATCTGCAAGGCATGTGTTCTGCGTGGTGAGTCCTGCTGTGAGGTCTTCTCTGCTGCTCTACCGTTACTCGGTCCGGTTTCGTGTACCGTGTTGGCCTGTGGAGCAGGTGGACTGCCATTGGAGAAGGCTTGAGAATCCATGTTGGCGACGCTTGGAATGAAGTTGCCAAACGCATCGACGGGAGGCATACCCATCATGTTGAACATTGGCGGCATAGCACCAAACATGCCTGGGTACTGAGCCATGGCACCAGGGTAACCAGGAGGTGGTGGGCCAAAGTATCCCAGTCCATGAGGCATGGGAGCACCGTGGAAAGGAGGCACGTTGTGACCCTCGGGGGCGATGCCGTCGAAAGCCCAGTCAGGAATAGGCCCTGCTGGTCCCATCATGGCTGTTGGTCCGTAGGGTGGCATATTGAACTGCGATGACATCGGCTGAGTAACAGCTTGAGGGGAGTGATCGGTTGAAGATTTCGCCTCACGTAAAGACTTGATGCTGACACGGATCGAGTTCATGCGGCCGACGAGGTCACGACGGTTCTGAACAAGCTGAGCGTACGCCTTGGAACTCATCGAGCTGCGTTGCAAGACTTCGACTTTGTCAAGCTCCTTTGACTCGTGCTCCAGCTTGCTGTACTGCTTCTCCAGAGCTTGAATTTGCGCGGCGACGCTGATGGCTGGCTGTTTGATGGTGGTTTGCTTGACTGCTGCGACAGTTGGATGGGCATTGTCGAAGCTCTGGCTAGACTGCTGCTGTCTGGCTGAGTTGTCGAAAGGCGTGGCGCCGGCAGCGGCTTCCTTCTCGCTGGCAGGGAAGCCGGTGTTGCCAGTGAGGTTGGGAGCGGCGATATAGAGCTGAGGAATGCCGTCGACATCGTCAACGGGCAGGAACTTGCCATCGACCATCTGACAGAGTCTGCCCTCGGGATCCTGGGCCACGAAGCCGTTGGGCAAGCCCATCCTCTGCATGGGGATACCACCAGGAGGAGCCGGAAAGTTCGGACCGAACTTGATGAGCATGCCATTCTTCTTGATGGCACTGTAGCCGTAGCGAGGGCTGCAGAGAGGAGATTGGTCACTTGGGACGATGCGACCTCCAGCGGTGACGCGAAGTCCAGGAGGAGAGCCATGGTCCTTAAGAATTTGCTCGGCCTTGCGCTTCTTCAGTGATGGAGTCGGAGAGGGGCGGTAGCGGTTGGTGGTCAAGCCAGGGCGTAAGTTCTGGTTGTTTGGGTCGATCTCGGTCAGCACCGGTGCACTGGACTGGCGTGATTCAGTAGGAGGGTGTAGAGTGTCAGACGTGACGAGCGAACGCGTAGAGCGCGCAGCAAAGGAGCGTGTGTTGCGGACAACGTGGTCTGCAAAATCGTCTGTTAGCCAATCTGGTTCTGCGAAGCGACTCTGTTGACAAGGTGATGGAGTGTCGGCCACCAGACGACTCGCAAATCTCTCATGATGGGAGAATGAAGGATTGAATGATAGGCTTTTTCTTGGTGGCGTAAGGAAAGAATGCATGATAATGAATGACTAAAGTTGGTTGAATGGATGAATGATCCATGCGAGGAAGACAGGAATGATTGTTGTTGTTGATGGTGGGATCGTTGATGGGGGAGCGAAGCAAAGCCAAGAGGCGTAGCTGGGAGACGGAGCGGGAGTTGAACACACCTTTGATGGCTCCATCGCGAGCCTTGGCTTCGATCTGGATAGCTGTCTCATCCGAGGCTGAATGACGAAGAGCCAAGAGTTGTTCTGCTGAGTAGGCCTTGCGGGCGATGTTGTGGGCCATTGACATCAATTGAGACTTGATGTGGAACGAGACGGTGGGTATATGATTTGGAAGAAGGGTGATGCTCGTGAGCTTCCTGTTAGATAGGTATCAGTCTTCATGCAATGCAAGATAGGTATGAGCGCAGTGATGGACGTACCGGCAATGGATTGGTATCGATCTGGGGTCAGAGGTGTATTATCGCTGAGCAGCAGCTGAAGTGGGTGATCCAAGAAGAGTAGTAGTGGTGTAACGGAAGTGTCAAAAGACCAAATGAGTGTGAGTGCGATGGAAGAAAGGGTGCTGATGGAAGAGTGTATTGTGTGAGATGTAAGAGCAGAGTCAGGAGGACAAGAGGTAAGGAAGCAGGACGCTGGACGTTCTTTCCGGCATTACAGTTGCCATATGAGATGAAGATTTGACGTAAAAGAGAATATGCATTTCCCGAATCGGGTTGAGTGCTCTTTCTCTTCTGTATACCTACCCCAGATATCATGACAGCGACATTCATGACCCCTTCCCAAAACCACACAACCGGGTCTGGGGAATCTCAGGGCCCTACCGCCTTCCCTCGATGCTTGAAAAGAGCTAAAAGTGAGTGTCAGAGCAAATCGTCATCCCAGCCACTCCCCTACCAAACTCCATACGCTATGCTTTTGTCATGTCAGTACCAGCGCTCCCGTTTTAATGCTACTGTAAAATGCACAAATTTTTCGAAGCCTTCCTTCGTCGAATGTTGATCTTGCACAATCCCAAGACAATAGTCTTCGGAACCTCAGAATTTGCGACGTGCGGCGGGACGAGATGCTGTGGGTGGAGGTTCGAAAGCATCGTCGTCATCGTCAGAAATCTCATCCTCACTCTTCGATCTGGTTAGTGACTTGATTACAATCCATCTCGAAGCCAGAACTTACAGGGGCTGCGGTTCTGCGTCCAGCACGAGATGCAGTAGTACGTGTTTGCGATGGCGCAGGAGTCTGAGAGAAATTCAGGGTCGTCTGTCTGGATGCAGTGGCCTTTGCTGCTGTGCTACGAGCAGGTGCCTTGCGTTTTGGTGGTGAAGCAGCACGCTTCGAAGTGGACTTGCTCGCAGTCTTTGCGGGTGCTCTCTTCTTGGGCGCTTGCTTGACAAACAAGTCATCCTCATCATCCTCGTCATCGTTCACGTCAGGAATCTCGTCCTCGTCATCGTCATCGAGCATGATCACATCATCATCATCTTCTTCCTCGTCTTCCGACTCCTCTTCGATTGGAGCTTTTCTTGAGCGAGTTGTTGTCTTTTTGGCAGGTGCTGCTTTCTTCGTAGCCGCAGCTGACTTGCGTGTGGTTCCGGTAGCCTTGCCTCCTCTACCGCGAGTGGCTTTGGCTTTTGGCTGAGCTGTTTCTTCCTCGTCCAATGCTTCATCCTCGGAACGAACTAGTGCACCTGGTTGCGCTGCCCAGTCTCCATCCAGGTCCGAATCCCAGTTCGCTGGCTTGGGCTTCAGCTTGTCCTTTCTGACTGTACGCTTCAGAGTGCCTTGAGCCCACATTTCTTCTAGCTTGGCCTTGTAACACTCCATGGCTTCTGTCATATCCTCGTCTTCTACGCTCTCGCCACTCAGAAGATGTTTCAACTGACTTGCAAGACTTTCATTCACAAATGCTTCCATAGCGTGCTTGTCATCCTTGTTGACGAATTGACTGACAGCGTCACCGAACGAATTCTGAGGAAGGATTGTAAGAGACTGGGCTGTGAGGAACTCCTTGACAAGCTTCTCCACTTTGACAGTGTCGAGGGTGAGCTGTTGCAGAACGGCTTCTTCAGGCATATCGGGCTGCTCTTTCTTTCTGCTAGTGCCAGTCTTCTTGCGGTGGAATTGGACTACATCGTTGACGTTTGCCACCTTGTCCAAAAAGCGGTTGGAAAAGCGTTGGGGGTTCTCGCAGTCGAAGCGTCCTCCTTCAGGAGCAGAATATTCTACGCGAAGACGGATCAAAGGTAATTCAGGCTTCTGGTTCTCGTCAATGTCTCCTTCCTGAGCCTCGCGCCAGGCTTGACGAGCTTCTCTAATCATGTCTTCAACTACTGTTGTCAGATATCGAGTAATCTCTGCGCGATTGTCGTCTTTCATGGCAACCTTCCTCATGTGGGCGTCGTCCTGAAGAGAAATTTCCCTCATCACGAAAGGCCGGACAGTCTTTAGGCGAATTGGTTCACACTTAAACTCTTTGCCCGTGATACTGAGAATTGCGACATGTTTCGGCACAGCTTCACCCGGCATAAGAGAAGTGGCGACTGATGAACCAGGTTGCATGACATGGAATGTCTGCTCAGGATTGTATCGAGGATTGATGAGACATTCGTGCTCATGTCCCCAGATGATTAGGTCCATGAAAGAAGGAAGGAAGTTCTCAGGAAGATAGCCAGTTTCAGTGTATGCGTGGTGATTTTGGTGGACGCTCATGAGGTTGAACCAATCTCCTGTCTGTGTGCCGGGTTGGTAGAACTTGACTTTTTGATCTCTGAAGGTGCGGAACATTCGCTCGTCGCGAACATTGCTCATGCCGTAAAGTGCGAGCTTGGTTCGACCTTTCTGTAGTAGCACAGGCTTGATGATGATGTTGTCAGATTCAGGAGTGCGGCCGTAGTAGTTCACCATTCCAGCCATCTGCAGCAGATCTAAGGATGCCAAATGGCCGTCTCCAGTAGGGTCATCATGGTTTCCGTGAATTGAGAACACTGGGATAGCGACGTTGATGTCTGGATCTTCATAGTTGACATGGTTGAAGGCGCCCTGAAAGGCTTCCGAGGCATCGCTGAGCATTTCGAGCTCGCATGGTTTCTCACCGAAACAGTTCTTGCGAAGGGATGACATGACATGATACATGGCCTTGCGAGATGGTTTGTTGTCGTGAAACAAGTCACCGGCCAAGAGCACCATATCGACATCCCGTTCTCGTGCTAGTGTCATGATCTCGTCGAAAGTTTCCCAGGAATCGTTTCCACGAGTTGGGTCGCGTTCTCCATATCCAACATGGTTGTCAGTTGAAACCATGATACGGATCGTATCCGCGGCTGAGAACTTGGTCAGTAACGCTCATCTGAACTTTTTGGTCAAGTTTACCAGAATTAGTAGGCATCTTGATTTTAGCCTTCAGGTGTATAGTGGCATGAAAGTGGTAAAAGGTGGAAGAGGCGAAGAGGAAAGAGTTCTGTGAAGAGTTCCTCCTTCGAAGAGACGGCAGAAGACACAACACTTTTCAATCTTCTTACCAAGCCTCCTGCTCGTCCCTTCACCAACACTCGAAGGCAAACACAAACTGCTGCCTGCACAAAGATGGTCGTCGACGTGTAGCGCGTAGATGGACAAGGTGTGGTCTGTGCTTCGGGGATTGGCGGAGGAGAGAGATGCAATCAAGACCAGAAGCCGCAGACACCTCCGAGTCGAGATTATACACAGCACACCATGAGGCCGACGACGATACTGCAGGGCGCTCGCTCCGTGTGGAAGGGTAAGTAAGGCTCCATCAACTGTATACACAAAGACTGATTCATCTCCCAGGCCCTCACATTGTCCCGTAAGCATCTCCAGAATTATCTTTTACCCACCCTCTGTCGCAAACTTCGTGGACACCTGGACTCGCATACAAGACTTCTAGAATCAGCTCTGACGATACGACAACCAGCCTGCCCATCGTCCGCCCAAAGCCCGGCGAGCGTGCCCCTCCGATCAAGACGCAAGCACGCGGTGCCACCATTCTGCCCAACTTTGTCGGCTTGATTTTTCAGGTTCACAACGGCAAGATCTACAACGATGTCAGAATCACTGAGGATATGGTCGGTCACAAGCTTGGAGAGTTCTCAGCGTGCGTAGCCCTAGCAGAAGGTGGTGATTCTGGATCGATACTGACGTCCTGCAGGACGAGAAAGCGCTTCACCTACAAGCACTCTAAGAACAAGTAAACGCGCATCCATAAATTGATTGAATTTTCAGATACTGGCGTTTCTTGGGTTTTCATGTACAAAATATCAGTCAGGGAGGCACATTTTGGCGGCCTCAAATGATACCCGCTTTCGATGCATTTCAGTGTTCTTTCAAGGTTCTGAAGTCTTGTCAATTGTGGATCGCTTATGACCAGCATCCTTTGTCCCTATGATACAGTCTCATCTATCAAGTAATGAATGCATGCCCGCATCTGCCCTCCAAACGCCCTTTCCCTTGGTTCAATGACCTTTTCATCTTTTCGTAAGAATGCGTGCAAGTCTGCCGCCAATGTTCCCAGCCCGAAAACGCCTGCCCATATGTCTTGAGCTTTGCAAGAAGATTACCTGTAGAACTCGCCTCTCTTGACGTTGACGCCGTACTCTCCGACGGCCATGCCCAGATCTTCCATGGTCAGCACTGTCCTGCCGCCCGACGAGTTCACACCACCACCGCCATAACCTGGACGAGGTCCTCCCAGCTGAGCGCCTTTTCCAGCATCTTTGCCCTTGCCCTTAGCACCACCTTCCTCTGTCGGCATCATACCAAAGCCTGCTGCACCACCGAGTCCGGTCAAGGGGTTGTTGGATGTAGTGTTTGTGGATCGGATGCGCGAGTACTGGTATGCGTCTGCTGCAATGTCTGCAATGAACTTTTGAGCAGCGAGTGCGAGAAGTCGTGCTAGGTGAGGTGGGGTGGCTGGTGGTGGTGGTAGACCAGCGAGAGTGAGGTAGTAGTTTGTGACAGCATCTGGGATCTAACGGCGAGTTATGTTAGTGAGAGTGGTCGTACTGTAGCGTGTTGCGACGCGAGTTGAGGGTGAACTCACGATTGGCGCATATTCATCCATCTTGCCCAAGAAGTCTCGCAATGCGACGTCCTTCTTTGCCGGCATCCGCGTCTCGATCTGAGGCACAGTGGGAGGGTCGTCGTTTGCGCCGTCCATGTTCATATTGGCTGCACTCTTGGTGTTGTTGGTGTTGTCGTCTTGCATTTCAACCTCGACGTCAATGTCGTCGCCCGTAGGAGGTGCAGTCGGATCTGTCGTCGTGGCTTGAGGTGCCTCAGCCTTGATGTCGCTGGGCGCGCGATCTTCGCTGTCTGCCATAGTGATTGGGTTGATGGATTGATTGGTTGCAGCTGCGCGCAATAGATTGATTATTGTTCCGTCGTCCAACAGCAACAACCAAGCCCCACGGCGTCCGACGTCTTTCAAGCCGAGGCCTCTCTCCACGCGACAACGAGAACAATACCTTTTGTTGCCAACATCAGACATCTCACGTAGCAGTCCACAATCTAATCACATATTTGCCAGTGAAAGTAACAATAGAAAGGCTCATGAGACGACCATACAATCATCACTTTGCTGTACATTATTCTGAAGATGCCATTCTCTTTAACTTCAGCAGATCCTCTCCCATGCCCTGTATTCTAGATGAATATCCCCAGAACGCCAGACAGATGCAACCAAAGATCCCGACACGCCACTGGTATCAAACACATGTAAGATCCACGCTATACTTGCTTTTCCGTAACTCCAAGTCACACAAAGAGAGCCACACTGCATCTAGCGCAGCTTCCAGTCCTTGTAACTCCACTTCTCGGTGACTTCTCTCTTGGGCTTCTTGTGTTGCATGGTACGACGAGACTCCATCTTGCCGTTCAGCAACAAATTTCTGTAACGATCTTTGAGCAGATTGCCTTCAGGTCGCAATGCACGAAGTGAGTCTTGGAGCTCGTCTGCGAGAACAACCTCGAGGGGAGCATCAGGGACACTAGGACGGCTGTTAGTACGTGAATGAACATGGTTGAGAGACAGAGACTTACGCATGCTTGCCGAGGGTGCGACGACGCAACACCTCGCTCTCATCCTCATCGTTGATCTCAGCTTCGGCCTCAGCGCCAGTTTCAGCAGGCTGCAATGCCTTTTGCTCGGCGAGAAGACGCTCCTTCTCGGCCAGCTGAAGAGCAATCTCCTTGACGCGCGCTAATTGTTCTTCCTTCTTCTTCATCTGCTTGTCCCACTTGGCCTTCTGTTCCAACTCCTTTCTCCTCTTGATCTTGTTTCTCTGGGACGGTGTCTTTCTCTCCGGACGCTTCTTGGTGACGACTCCAGAATCTTCGGCTTCGCTCTGAATACCCTCCCACTCGCTCTCATATGCTGATTGGTACTCGTCGTCTGTTGCTGGCTCAGGTCTTGCGGCCTCGGCAAGAGCTTTCTCCAGGCGGTCGTGCTCCTCTTGTGCCTCTTGCAGGCGTTTACGTTCAGCGGCAACCTCACGCTCACCAACCTTGGTAACGTGTGCCTCCCAGTCTTCGAATGTAGGGTTGTAACTCTTGCCAGCAGAAGGCTTGGGTACAGCGGCGAATGGCTTGCCATTGGCGGCCAGTGAGATAGGAGCGTGCTTCAGAGTCTTGGGGGCAACCTTTGCCTTCTTTTCGGGGATGAAGGAGAATCTAGGGTCTTGGGGCAAGGGTTCCATACTCCACGGGTCATGGTCTGCGCTCTCGGAGGCTTTGATAATATCGGATTGGGCACCGGCAGAGTTTGCGACGCTGCGCAGGTGTTGAAGGTCCTTGTGTGAAACGTAGGTGCCGTTCTTGTTGCGCTTGCTGCTTCCAGTTGCGATGCCATCGGACTTGCGCTTCCTTGTGTCTACTGCGGGGACCTTTGAGCGTTGTGCAATGATCTCGTCGGCCTTGAGAGGCTTGTGGCGCTTGTTGAAGTCGTCTTTGATTGAGTCGGCGCCCTTGACGTCGGTAACGAAGAGTTCCTCGGCGGGTCTCTCGGTCAACACACCACTGCAAGAACGTCAACTTGTGAGATTGTGGAAGGGGTTACACGGATTCGTACCCTTGGATGATCTGCTCGCGGACATCTTCAACGCCTGCTTGCAGCTCGGTGATGTCGACGTTCTTGCGCCATGCCTTCTTTCCTTTACGAGAAGGCTGCTTGTGTGTTGCAGGAGCGCTCTGGGTCTTTTCTGCCACGGGAGCCATGGTCTTGGTGAGAAAAATAATGTCGTTTGAAAAAGTAGGACAGCAGCCCGTAATTTTTCTGACAGGGCCAAATCTCGCAGCGTGTTTCTCCGCAAGCGCTCTGGAAGGCTTGGCTCGATTGGCGTCGGCGAACAAGCCCTGGCCCTTTCCGGCTGCTGGCACGGTCCTTTGTGGAGACACATTGAGGGTCGCAGCTCGCGCGAGTCCGCAATTCAATCTCCTGAATTGGTGGTGCTGCTTTCTTGCAGACTTGTTCATAATACTACCCTGTTCTCTCCTCTGCACAAGACGTTGCTGCTGCTGCTCCCGCCCTTACACATCTTGTCAACTCAGCACCCGTCGTCATGGCTCAACCAGCGTCCTACACAAACCCGCTGAAGAAGTTCAAGTTGCTCATAACCGTTCTAATCGATACATGCACATGCTGACGTGCATAACCCAGGCTGGTCTTCCTCGGCGAGCAGAGTGGTATGCCACAATTCAACCTTGCCTTCCATTGACATTCCCGATTCTAACCCTCTTCAGTCGGCAAGACGTCTCTGATCACCCGCTTCATGTACGACTCGTTCGACAACACCTACCAAGCTACTATCGGAATCGACTTCTTGTCAAAGGTTGCTACTATGCCTCCGCACTTCTTGAATCCACGACCCAGGCTTACACAATCCCCTTGCAGACCATGTACCTCGAAGACCGCACCGTACGCCTACAGCTCTGGGACACTGCTGGACAAGAGCGTTTTCGTAGTCTGATTCCCTCATACATCCGCGACAGCAGTGTTGCCGTCGTCGTTTACGACATTACTTCAGCAAAGTCCTTCCAACAAACCCGCAAGTGGGTCGACGATGTCCGCGGTGAGCGTGGCTCCGACGTCATTATCGTCCTCGTAGGCAACAAGACCGACTTGAACGACAAGCGCGAAGTCACCACCCAGCAAGGAGAGGAAGAGGCCAAGAAGCACAACCTCATGTTCATTGAGACGAGCGCAAAGGTCGGACACAACGTGAAGCCTTTGTTCAAGAGAATCGCACAAGCACTGCCTGGCATGGAGAGTGAACAGAACCAAACGCCCAACCAAAGTACGTTTGCTTTTACACCATGGGTCCCGGATCCTCTGACTGACTCTCTCAGTGATCGATGTCAACATCAACCCAGGACCCACGACAGACAACTCGAGCTGCGCTTGTTAATTGCTTGGCTCCCCGCCTTGTCTTTGTTCTCATTCGACGCCGTTTTCCCTTCCCAAGATACCTTTAGTTTTTACCTCAAATCTTCTTCTTGTACAGTATTCAGCATGCAGCACGGCGTTAATTGAGCGGTTGACCGGCTTTTGGAGTAAACGATAACCCCATGTACATAAACATATCTGCATGTTCTGCTTCTCTGTCTTGCCTCTTCAGATCTTGGAAATTGAGTTATACCACCTTGACGAAGCCTCCGTCCGCAGAGACAACCGAGCCAGTAACCCATCGACTATCTAGACCACAAAGGAAACCTACAACATCGGCGATATCTTCAGGAAGAGCTGCTCGAGGACCCAGACTTTGTTTCGCCAGAACGTTCTTGTTCACTGCTTCCCTCATTGGAGGGGGCATCTTGCTGACCATATCTGTCTCTGTAAATCCGACTGCGACTGTGTTCGCTGTGGTACCCTTCATGAAGTCCAACTCTGGGTTGGCACCGAGTTCGTCTGCCCATGCTCGTGAAAGGCCCTCTAGTGCTGATTTGAACGTTATGTAAAGAGATCTTGGATACCTTTTAGCTTTCCTGGCGTTATAATCAGGACCGACGATCTTGAACCCACCTTCCTGGCAACCCAGGGATCGATGCTCGAGCCGAATCAGAACCGATGTTGACGATTCTGGAATTGGTGCGGAACATCTTTCTCTTGACAAACTCGTTGACAATCATCATAGGTGTCTGGACGTTTGCAGCCATCACCTCCGAGACCATGTGTGGCTCGATCTCGCCAATTTTGGCGCGAATGGGATGGGCCGCATTGTTGACCTTTTCCATTCGTGGTCAATGTCATCCGATGCTGAGGACAGAAGTGAGTGTGTGACTCACTAATATGTCGACATGGCCATCGAACTTTTGTTCAAGAGCCTGAACAATCTTCTGTGCGCAATCTGCATCTTTGATGTTTGCAACTATTCCAGTGACTTCAGGTGGTGATGCGTGTTCTGAGTAAAGATGAGATACGGTGTGGGCAAGCGAGTCGATCAGGATTAAAGAGTCCGGTCCCGAGCAGGTGCCCAGTACCGAACAACCTCGACTTGCGAGTTGAAGAGCAATGGCTCGTCCAATGCCTCTTGTGGCGCCTCTGATGTTCGATCAGTATACTTTCTCTCTCTTCATCCTTGCTACTTGCTCCAAACGGGGAACATCTCCTCCAGTGATTCGTGAAGCAGTTCTGGGCTCACGAGGACGATCAAGCGTAGGAGACACTCAAAGACCTACGTTACGACAGCAACCTTGCCAGCGAGATCTTGCTCACGAAGCCTTGGTGCCTGAATCTCTGACATGTTTTACTGCGGCGATGTAATCGTTGATGAGCAAGGACAGGGTGCTCCTGGTAGCGATGGTTACTGCTTTGCGGGTTGGAACACAGTCACACAGTGTGTATAGCACAATTCCAAAAGTCAACTGCCATAGATTCGAGCCTTTATACAACCCTGCTGGAAGGGAAGGATCACTAGTGCTCTAGGATGGGGACCCGGATGCGCCTTTGACGTCGGCTGTCATATGTTGGACTGGTAGGCACGACGGCTGAGCACCAATAACAAGAACGAAACAGCACATACATCACATCCCGAAAACAGTATTGCTTGGATGTATATGCAGGCTACAATATCCTTCGCATCGGAAATGAAAGTAAGAATATGAAGTGCCTGCACGTAAACAGGGCAGATACGGCAATTTAGCGCCCGGGTTCCGTTTTCTCTGTCTAATTTCTCTGGCCGGCAGTCCCGGCGTCCGAGCCTCAAGGCTCAGCGCCGACCCTTGAACTCGCTCTTCTGCTAATAATCAACAACAACCACAACCTCGCGAGGACACTGGATTGAGCAGCGCCTCGGACAATCTCTGCGACACCTATCAACTCCAACATATCGCCTTGGAACAGCGACCATGGCGCTTCCTGCCATCTTCCGCATGCTGCGGCCTAAAGTGCGTCGTGAGAATCATCATGCGACAGCGCGCACACTGACGACGAGCAGACATTCCTCTACCTGATCTCGCTGCGCACCGGAACCGAGATGATTGCCTTGACGCTGCTTATCAACAAGGTCTCAGGCATCTACGGTCTCCTTGCCATTCTTACCGGCTACCACCTCTCCTGGCTGCAACTCACCATGTACATCTACTCGATCGGTGTACTCGCCGCCCTCTGCTATCTCTCGCCGCATATCAAGCGCCAAAGCCCATTACAATGTCTCGCCCTCGCCTGGCTATATGTGATCGACTCTATTATCAATGCCTCCTACACCGCTCTCTTTGGTACCACTTGGTTCCTAATGCTTGCCCGCCACATCAACGACCCCGCGCCCAGTGACAACAGCAAGCTTCCCGGTGGAGCGATGATGAACGATACCGCAGGATTCACCAGCCCTGAAGTCAACGCCTCTCGCGTTGAGGTTGTCGCAACCCCTGCTATGCCCGGACAAAACGCTGTCGCTGCCGGCATCAATGACGGTTCCGCTCTCGGACACGCAGTCTTCCAATCTGGTAGCATTGCTAGCATTACTGTCATCAGCACGCTTTGGGCTATTCGCATCTACTTCTGCCTGGTCGTTATGGCATACGCTCGTGGCGTGCTACGCCAACACATTCTTATGACCTCTTCGAACAACTTCGGCCTGCACGGTGGCTCTGAGCGTACCGATTTGGCAGAAAATCCCTTCCGTGAGGGCCGCGAGGAGGGTGAAGGCTGGAAGGGTCGTCTGGGCCGCATCATGACTTCAGTCGGAAAGAGATACTGGCTCGGCAAGGATGACGAGGATGAGTGGGTACGTGGTACTGGCGAACGCTTCACCAACAAGAAGCGTCTCAATATCAGGGTTCCTGAACCCGGCGTCGGCGAGCGTGAAAGAAGAGCTAGAAGTGGCACAGGACCACCGCCTATGTTGAAGAAGCAGGAGACTTCCTGATCTGTACGAAGCTCGAGACAGGATTACGAGGCACTCGATTTGTATGTTATTGGGCATGTATAGCTACTGGGACATGCAGGAGTTCAGGACAGCTCGGGGTTCAGGCACACGTTACGCATTCAAGATTCGATTCTGTATAATCAATAGTTCACTTGAGACACGATACAAGTCTCATTTCATTCGTTGCTGCCAGTTACTACAACCTGTAGAACAATTGAAGAGTGCAAACTCAAACCTTACCTTGACATTTCTGACCTTGCTGACATCCTCATAGCCAGCAAGATCGCCTGCACTAAGACTTGTCGCAAAACCAGAATCGCGTATCGCTGCTCTGGCTCTGCGTCTTGGAAGGAGCAGTAATGCCTGTGTTGGAGCTGGTTTCTGGTGCAACAGTATCAAAGTTGTACCTCGCCGTGTACTAGAATCTGCAACTTCCACCATACTCCTACTATAGTCAAGAGCAGAATATATACTATTATATAAAGGTACACTTGGTTTAGAAAGCAGAGGCATGTTCATGGAGAGTTTGCAACTTATTGTATCTCAGGGGGAACCATCTTATTCTATATTGCTATAATGCGTTTCTATAGCTATACGCGTTACATGTTTTAGTTCACGGAGAGGAAGGATTTTTGTAACAGGCCAGCAGAAGAATATCCATTTTCAAAGAGCGATGACGATAGCAGAGAGGGCACTGGTCGGCAGACATTGTCATTTTTCATCTGCTAGATACAGACAATGCAGCTGGCACAACCCAGAAGGGCGATATACAGCTTCTCATGTGATACACAGAAAGGCTCGCCCTTTGACCATGAATATCGTCGTGGTTTCGCCGAGAAAATCTGAAGTGTTATTTTGTTAAAGTTCAGCGTTGCTCTGGATGAACGGTGGTCTGCTCGCTCCCGAGAGTCTGATCCCAAGATCCACTTCGCAAGACCCTGGATTTCAACGGTGGACCTTGATGCGGGCCGATCTGTTTACTGATGGTGTTTCAGCACGAGATGATGTATTCTTGTCATGATCAATTGGGTTCTGGCGAATGTCAGATATACGACCAGAGTCAGAAAAGGCTGCATCGTCGCTACACGTAAATGGCCAGCCAAACTCGCCGATGCTCAGCATCAGAGCGCCCGTTGTCATATGAAACGAAACAGGGCATTTAGAGTTTCACGGACCTCAAATGGTGGCTGGGAATATTATCTTTCGTGACTCCCAAGCCACTTGAGTGCAATTTCCGCCGTCTCTCCTCAAGACTCCACGCGTGGCTAGAACGACACGCTCCAGCGACAGCGACAGAAGCAGATACTTCTTGCACGATTTTGCATGCAGTATGACATGTGCAACAGGCAAACCTGCAAGCGTCATTAAGGCGCAGCCAACTCTGGCGAAATTCAGGCTATATCTTGATGCTAGCTAGTTTTTTATATTTTGTTTGCTCCTGATTTCATTGCTGCAAGCGTCATCCCGCAGCGATCTTCTCTCATGCAAGGCTGCTTCCAAGGTTAAACGCACGACAGGCTGGACATTTTAGCGCCGTTTCCTGTCTTGACACTCAAGCGCCTCCTCAAAAGAAGACCCTGATATCAGAGGCGGTCTACCCCTTGGGTAGATTTCTTTTCTTTCTGCTCTTTCGTGAACCTGAGCTTGCCACTCGGACGCATTTATCGCTCTCGAGTACCACATTGCCGTCAACATGGCGGCCACATCAGCTACGGTACTTCAATCACAAGACAACATTGTTACAGCGACAATTCTGACCGCATGAGATAGAACGCGAATGACGATCCTAACGTTGGCAGCGCACAGCATGCGTCATCTTCTGCTACTGGTCTCCTCTCTACTTTAGCTCCAGTTGCTCTGATAGCATTGGTCTGGTTCGCACTGTTCTTGATCTTCAGAAAATGGTTTCCGCGCAACTATCGCCCGAGAACCTTCCTGGGCAGTATACAAGAGCGCGAACGGTCGCCTGCGCTCCCTGATGGCATCTTTGCATGGTTTGGCAACTTTTTCAATGTCCCTGACAGTTACGTCCTCAACCACCATTCTCTGGATGGCTACCTATTCCTGCGCCTGTTGAAGATGGCCGTCTTCACTTGTTTGGTTGGCTGTTGTATTACTTTCCCCGTTCTATTCCCAATCAATATTACAGGTGGCGGAGGCAAATCGCAACTTGATATCCTTACTATGGGTAACGTGACCAACAACTATTACAAGTTGTTTGCGCACACTGGTTGTGCCTACCTCTTCTTTGGTACGATGAACATCCGATCTTCAAGTATAAAGCTTACAATGTGTTCAAGGTTTTGTCATCTACATGGTCACCCGAGAGAGTATCTACTACATCAATCTGCGCCAGGCCTATCTGCTCTCGCCATACTATGCTAGTCGCCTCTCGTCCCGTACTGTTCTTTTTACCTCCGTGCCGGATGAGTATCTGAACGAGGCAAATATACGTCGCATGCTCGGAGAATCCGTTGAAAGAGTTTGGATCCCTACCGACACTGGAGACCTTGAGGACGAAGTCAAAGTCAGGGACAAGACAGCACTCAAGCTCGAAGCCGCCGAAACCAAGCTCATCAAAGCCGCAAATGCTGCTCGTCTGAAAGTCAACAAAAAGAAGGCCAAGAAGGATCACGAAGACATCGCTCTGGAAGAACTTACACCCGACGTTGAGGGCGGCTCTGCCGCTTCTCGCTACCTCTCTGCGAAAGATAGACCTACACATCGTCTGAAGCCTTTGATTGGAAAGAAGGTAGACACTATCGATTGGTGCCGCGCGGAGCTGGAAAAGCGTATTCCCAAAGTCGAGGAGATGCAGAACAAGCACAAGACTCTCGATGGCGTCAAGAAGGTCAACGCAGTCTTTGTGCAATTCACCAGTCTACAAGAAGCACAATCTGCTTACCAGAGCTTGACACATCACCAGGTGCTTCACATGGCTCCTCGCTACACTGGAATGACGCCAGGAGAGATCATCTGGAGCAATTTGCGCATCAAGTGGTGGGAGCGAGTTCTCAGATTCACAGCAACCGTTTCCTTTGTTGTTGCCTTGATCGTTTTCTGGTCGTTCCCAGTCGCTGCTGTCGGTTTCATCTCCAACTTGGACAATCTCAAGGATTATGACAGTGGCAACCCTCCGACTACTTTCAAAGAAGGGTTCACCTGGTTGAATTGGCTCCTTGCTCTACCACAAGTCATTTTCGGAGTTGTGTCTGGTCTATTGCCCACGGTCGCCTTGGCTATCCTGGTGTCCGTATTGCCGATAATTTTGCGTCTCATGGCCAGACTTGGAGGCGATCCTTCTCTGTCTGCTGTCGAGCTCACAGTCCAGAACACCTACTTTGGTTTCCAGGTCGTACAGGTCTTCTTGGTCGCCACTCTCGGTTCTGCTGCATCTTCAGCTCTTGGTGAGATTCTTCCGAACCACATCAACCAAATTCCTACCCTATTGGCTTCAAGCATACCTAAGGCTTCGAATTTCTACTTGTCATACTTCGTACTTCAGGGTTTGGGCGTGGTATCTGGAACCTTGCTCAACCTTACCGGTCTGGTTGTCTTTATCATCCTTGGAAAATTCTTGGACAACACACCTCGTAAGATGTACAAGCGATGGACGTCTTTAGCCGGCATGAGCTGGGGCACTGTGTTCCCACCATACACCAACCTCTTCGTGATTGCGATCTGTTACGCGATCATTGCTCCGTTGGTCCTCATTTTCGCTGCCATCGGCCTTTACCTGTTCTACCTGGCCTATCGTTATAATCTGCTCTACGTGTCGAATGCCAACATCGATACTAAAGGACGTGTATACCCTCGTGCCCTCCAGCAGGTCTTCGTTGGCCTCTATATTGCTGAATTTTGTCTCATTGGACTGTTCGCCATCGCCACGGGATCATCCGTAGGAGCACTGGGTCCTTTGATCTTGATGATCATCTTCATGGTGTTCACAGCTCTCTATCACCTGGCTCTGAATGCCGCTCTAGAGCCTTTAATTAACTATCTGCCCAAGAGTCTTGAGGCTGAAGAGCGTCGCCTACTGGATGAAGACGCCAACGTTGAGAAAGGCGAGAAAGGAATGGTCGCTGACACGAACGTGGATCTTGGCCCATCGCCTCATGAAAAGCCTACCTTCTTGAAGAAGTTCCTCCGACCAGATATCTACACCGACTATGCAACAATGCGTCGCTTGGTCCCCAAGATGGTCGGTGTCAGATACGAGTCTGAGGAAGAAGACGATGCCTACTTCAACCCGGCAGTCACTTCACAGCCGCAACTTTTGTGGATTCCGCGTGATCCAATGGGTGTCAGTAGACAGGAAGTCAGAGAAACAAGCAAGGTGATACCAATCACGGATGAAGGCGCCACTCTTGATGAGAAGAACAAGATCGTCTGGGATGCTCAAGATGGTCGTCCGCCAATCTGGGAGCGTCCAGTCTATTACTAAAAGCTTAACGACCCGACGTTCGAAATGCAGAAACAGTCGCCGGTATGAAGATGTTTTGTAGCTTGAATCATGACCTTAGTGTCTTTTCTCCTGTTTTCCAGTCTTGGTTGCGATTGAGGCATGAATATTGGTCGCTCACGAAACAATATTTAGATATCATAGAGAAGCCATCACGATGGAACTATCATTCAACGATAGTATGCTTCCTGTGCTGACCAAAATAAGACACTGTATACCATATTGAAACCACCGCCGGGGGATGAAAGCTGTCATATAGTGATCCTGGCTTATCTGCTGTAGAGATATTGAGCAGCGTCCATGATATCCCTGTCTGATCGCGGGACTGACAGTTGAAGCATTTACATGAGCATGTCATGTACACGGATATGATGTAGCTCAGGACTGTACATACGAAGTCATCAGTCCTACCGTGGCTGAGTGAGATACACCATTTTGAGATTGCCGCTTCAAGAGTCTCATTAGGGCGGGTCTGCCAGCGGCCACGCACTTGTCGGATGGAGGTTGTTATGGTTTGAGTTCTACTCCGCACTGGTGACTGACTCGCATCCGAAAAATGCACATCGGTGAGCTTCGCACAGAGTTCAAAGATTATTCGCTGCATTCATTCATCAAACAAATGACTTTTCTCGTCAAGCGAAGCCGGATCTAGCACGAGTCTAAGGTAATCGATTCGATACCAAACATCAAGAAAGCATCAAAAGTTGGAGGGGAAACACCATGAAGTTGCGTTCGTCCGGATCACTGAGCCTGCAAGCCACTGTCTCCTCTCAGTCCAACTATTGCCAATTCGAGGCCAGCCGATTCGAGTTGAATGCTGCTAACAGGCGAGGATGGCGCAAGCAAGGTCAGCTAGGTGCTCTGATCTCTCGAAGGATGCTGACCTGATGCCTTGGCGAGTGGGATCTGGGTAGATTTCCGTTCGAACGAGCCTATGAGGTTCTTCGGATCCACGCCCGGCCATCGTTTGGACCTGCGTTATGAAGCTGGATGAATACCTATGACAAGGTTTGGAAGCTACCCCGCCGTAGCCACGCAGTTCACTGCCCCGCGTGCGGGAGCTAGGGGTCCCGAGACTGGGGTCGGAAGCCGGCAGACCATACCACATTAAGATATGACCGTGTATCAAACCCTTGTCACTGTTTTGTTTACAATGGTCTTCCTCGAGCTCCCTTAGCTCTCTGCACCCTCAATCGACTCTCAAAGACTCCTTGTAAGTGCCCCGCTATGTATTGTCTTGTAGTGATTAGCTACGCTCGAAGTTGAAGCCTTGAAGATGTCGACGTTGTGTCACGCCATGACAGCAGACGCCGCATAGTTCCGCGACGCGAGACGTCAGCCCTCAAACCATTCGATTCCTTCCCAACCAAATTGTTGTTTTACGAGTAGTTTTCGTAGGATTGGCCTTAGATTCGGACCTTGTACGGTAAGAAATTTGGCCGTTTCGGCCCTTGTGGGTATAGCACGAGACTACACCACCACGCCATGGCGCCTGGCGACTGTTTCGTGACTTGGTTACACCCGATAGAGCGAGATCTCCTGCCACTCGCTGCAGGTTGAACTTAGCTTCGGACTACCGCGCGAACCTCGAAGGAGCTGCTGGAAACATCACCGAGTTGCTCCCTTCCAGCCGATGCAGGTTGACCCCTCCATGCAAGTGGGGTGAGCTCTCTTCGGGCCTGCTTCAAGCAGACAAGCACATAAGTAGTTCGCTCCTGCCAGCTACACACTCCCTCATCTTTCGATCAAGCAACTCTTCCTCACACACATCACAACCCCCTTATCAACTTTCACCTCTACTTTGACTCGAACTAGAGACCAATTGACAATGTCGTCTCCTCAAATCCCCGAGAAGCAATGGGCTCAGGTCATCGAGAAGACTGGCGGCCCACTCGAGTACAAGCAGATCCCCGTCCAGAAGCCTGGTCCTGATGAGGTCCTCGTCAACGTTAAGTACACCGGTGTCTGTCACACTGATCTTCACGCCTTGAACGGTGACTGGCCTCTCCCAACTAAGCTTCCTCTTGTTGGCGGCCACGAAGGAGCTGGTGTCGTTGTTGCCCGCGGTCAGCTCGTCTCCGAGGTGAACATTGGTGACCATGTTGGTATCAAGGTATGTATAGACTGCTTGTCCTTCGATTGACGTGACTGACTCAAGTGATCAGTGGATCAATGGTACTTGCCTTTCTTGCGACTTCTGCATGCAGTCAGACGAGCCTCTGTGCGCCAAGGCTCAATTGTCCGGATACACTGTCGATGGTTCCTTCCAACAGTACGCTATCGCTAAGGCCGCACATGTTGCCAGACTTGACAAGAACGTTCCTCTGGACGGTGTTTCACCAGTTCTGTGTGCCGGTATCACTGTCTACAAGGGCATCAAGGAATCTGGTGCTCGCCCTGGCCAGACAGTAGCCATTGTTGGTGCTGGTGGTGGTCTCGGTTCTCTCGCTCAGCAGTACTGCAAAGCCATGGGTATCCGCACCATCGCCATCGATGCTGGTGACGACAAGAAGAAGATGTGCGAGGAGCTGGGCTCTTATGCATTCGTCGACTTTAGCAAGAGCCAGAACGTTGTCAAGGATGTCCAGGCTGCCACTGAAGATGGTCTTGGTCCCCACGCTGTCATCCTCCTCGCCGTCTCCGAGAAGCCCTTCCAACAAGCCGCTGAGGTAAGTCCACCATTGAAACATACGTCATTGCTATTGATCCTTGGGTAATAACACGCAATTTAGTACGTCCGTCCCCGTGGTACCGTTATCTGCATTGGTCTGCCCGCCGGTGCCTCCCTCAAGGCCCCTGTCTTTGAGTCAGTCATCAGAATGATCACCATCAAGGGTTCATACGTCGGCAACCGCAGAGACACCGCCGAAGCCCTCGACTTCTACGCCAAGGGTTTGATCAAGGCACCCTTCAAGGTCGTTGGTCTTTCGGAACTGCCCAAGGTCTTTGAGATGATGGAGAAGGGACAGATCGCTGGTCGCTATGTCCTCGATACCTCAAAGTAAGCTTTGGAGCTGTTGAAACATGTTTGGAATTTGACCCGAAAGCCACATTTGGACGTTGGCTAGTCTTGGATGATGATGATGACTTTGTTGGCAGTCGACTTTGTTCTTGGTATCTCCTCTTCGACCTCTTGTATATAATTTGTTGGCCTTTATATCTGAAATCGACCTCTGCAAAATTATGTCCTTCAGTGATTCGATTCCAAAGGAAAGCATGCTGTCAACCCTGTAGAGAATGAATCAACATTTGAGGCCGATAAATGCTCCAGTATAGTTGAGCACGGCAATGCTCCCGGCCGAAAAACAAAGTTTGATACTGTCAAGCGTTATTGGAGATAGTGATTGATACGTTGACTTCATCGATTCGCGGTCACGGGAATTCAGTCTTCGTCTACGAATCGCCAGTTTGTAGGCTCATTTCTCGATGGCGAAAACTCCCGACCTTGGTCAAGGGGTCGACCTTACTGTCAGAGATCGTGACGGAATACGTGCTGGGATTGGCGCTCATGTGACTTGAACTCAAATAAAGATGCCATACAGTATTTAAGATGCATGAACACTAACCAGAGCTCAAGAAGCCGGAAGACGCTACGAGAAGACACACAGTGAGCGTTCACACCACGCCTCTCGGAGCTCCGACGGCAAGAGGCCTCGACCGCTGAGGAACGACTTGTTCAACGCGGCAGAGAGGCCTGTTCGGATTCGTCAGATGCAAGTGCTTCGTCTTCTCGTCATGCCTACAAGAACAACTCAAGTCTATCGACCACTGAGAAAAGCAAGGCTCAGGAAGGCACACACGATCTTATGTGATAAACTGCAACAATGTCACAAATACGTTCTCCATTGTACTTCATCAAGACGGAGGGAGGCCGTATTGGAGCAATACAGTCCTGTTTGCGTTTGTCCTTGCTACGTGCACGAATGCGAGAGGACTGGAAATAACAGCGTCGGCAGCTGCTTTTGCCGCAGTGGACGTAGCTTTTATCGGTAGCAACCTCGGAAAGACTTGACGAAATCAGGAGTGGATATTTGAGTGCTTGTTAGAAGTTCAATCATATCGGCATCTATAAAGAGCTCATTGATACCATTCCCTCTCGTCATAAGTCGTCATAGAATCAAACCCATCTTGCTGTTGCCGGGTTTGTTGTTGCTGTTGCTGTTGAGCGCCCACGCCACCACTGCCAATGACAGAAGGATATGCTGCTGCTGCAGATGAAAAAGCACCTAGTCCAGGTCCTGCAGTGACAGGACTTTGTCCCAGAGGTGTGACACCCAAGTCAAGCGCGCCACCCCAGTTGCCAAAGCCGGAAGCTAGTTGTGCTTGATCGCGGAACACCCAGTCTTGGCTGTCACGTAGTAGTTGTTCGACTCCACCGAACATGTCTGATGGGCTTGCGGCTGCCGTGTAGGTCGCTGTCGGCGACTCTGCCGAGTTCATCGATTGGAGGCCGTTTGTGAAGGGTGTGGATTGTGCAGAAGGATAATTTGTTGCACGCATATCGGATGCTGATTGAGGAGGTAGAGTAAAGGGATTTGCGGTTGATTGAGCGTTGAATGGGATTTGTCCGTACATTGGCGCAGAGGCATTGGCGAGCATGGCTTGCTGTGCTTGTGACCACGCAGTTCGCTGTTGGGTGAGAGGCTGTTGTACTCTTTGCACTGGCTGGGCTTCTGATGTCCCCATCACTGCATTCATGGATTCTCGGCGTGCCATCGGACTAGGCGTGTCTATGCTGTGGGCACTGAATTTGGTTTCGGCACGAGCAAGTACGGTCGCTGCTTCCTCAGGTAGCTCGACCTTCCACTTTCGCGCCATGACGGAAAGAATGCTCAACGTGCGGCGCGCGCCGAGCCAGCCTTCTCCGATCTCTTCTAGATGCTTGATGCCGTGAATAATGTCACGGCGAGCATTCTTGTCCGGCAGGTTTAGCAGATGGATAGTACATGCAGTATGCATGATATAGACAGTCACATTGCAGATCTGTCTCAGACCGTGCGATCGTTTGTATAAGCGCATGAGCTTCGAGATCATGCCTGCGGCTTGCGTGCATAGCCTTCGCGGGCTGACATTTGCAGGCAAGGGCGACGTGCTCTGATTGTACTTGAGGAAAGGTCTGAAAAGGTGGATAAACAGAAGTTGGAAGAACATGTGCATGGTCAGAACACTGCTGAGCCCTCCCTCTTTGGGCTCCATTTCTGCAGGTAGATTGCGACGCCAGCTTTCAAGGCGGGTATGAATATCACTCAACATCTTGAGTTCGGCTTGCCGACCGCGGCTTTTGTCCATATCACTTGGATTGTAGAAGTGTCGCATGAGATCGTTGCTGATCTCGCAGAGCACTGATATCTGCAAAGCAACTGCACGGGTACGGGCGGGCTGGGATCGCGCACTCATGAAGCCTGAATCTGTATATGGTGCCCAAGAGGCACTGTCTTCGTCCGGAAAGACATCGAATTTGGGCACTGTGATGGCCGAGCTGGGTAGTTGAGGTAGACGACCCAGGTAATTTGACCAGCATTTGTCGAACAGAAAACAACCCCAGAATGTGATTCGACGAGCATCCTCTTCCTCGGAATCGATAGTATGGTCAGCGCCGTGACTCAGACCAGATGAATCGATGTTCAGACCCATGTCACAAGCCAAACGGAAACTCATTCCCGAATATACCCAGCCCTTGGCTTCACGACCGCAACCAGCCTCACGCACACTCATAAGTGCCAGAGCCTGAACCGTGGTCATCTTTGGCTTCTCATATTCATCGTTATCCATAATAAGTCGTTTCGCTTCGCGGAAGAAGTGGTCACCAGCAGTAGCAGAGTCGTCCGGGTTCTCACGCGCACCAGGCGAAGAGGTGAAGTGGCAGCCAAGGGCGAGAATAGCATTCACTAGCAAGGGCGTACAGTATTCGGTTTTTCGCCGAGTGTCAGATGGAGGCTTTCCTCTCATGAAATCGCGGAAGAAAAGATGCTTGGGTAGGCATGTGAAGTAGGTGTAGTGCCATGTAAAGTACATGTTGACAAGATGCATGACCAGCTCGGGATCAGATGTCTGATTAGTCCAGGATGTGACAGGATTTTCTTGCTGAGGATATGCGTCAGACACAGACGAGGACTGCGAGTCGTCGGCTTGCAAGAAGAGTAGATTTGAGGTGCCGCCGATATAGCGCACTGAGCCATCGTCGAGTCTCAGCTCGCCCGCACGAGTGGACAGTTGCTTCTCGAATAGCGGCGTTGCTGTCGAAGAAGGGTTTGTGCGATTATGAGAATGTTCTTCGTCCATTTGATCATCCGACTCGTCCACATCCAGGCCTTGCTCACGAGCGACAACTCGCTCAGCGACCTTGTCCAGACTCTCACAAGTGCGCATCTCACGCACCAGGGCGGGCACATCTTCTTCGGGATAGTTGAGAATGGCGTGAATAAGGGTCTGCAGGGTAGAGTTGCGCGTTTTGATGGAATCGGCGTCGCTCCGGTACACGCCCTTGCGGCGGTGATCTGAATTAGGATCATATACACATTCCGTATTGTAGACCTGGGCGCAGGCTGCGCAAGAGGGCAAGTTGCCATCCTAAAGCAGTAGTTAGATTGGCAAAATATCAAAGGTTGGATGTGAGAGGACTGAGGCTTCGCTGAACAAGTCCTTTCAACTTTCTCTGGGACTTACACATTTTGACTTCCTCTTGCGACAGGCTACACAAGCTGAGCTCACACAGCGTCGCTTGTTCGAGTCATCGCCAGGCGCGTCGGTTGCTGTGTCGTCCTTCTCCTTCCTTCGATGGCGGGCACGCGATTTGGCTGTAGTTGGCTTCACTGTGGCATTGTTCTTATCCGAGGCCGCTGCTGCTGCCGCTCCTGGGCCTGGTTGCGACGGCTGCTGCTGCGGTTCCATCGACTTCACAGGACTGTCATAAGGATTGCCGCTGATCGATTTCCAGATACCCCGCGATAGTGACGCTCGTCTCCGAGGACTTGTTTGATAATGGGTCACCCGGTATCTTTGCGAGTTTTGATTCTTGTCAGCGAGCGACAAACGAGTTGCATCTAATCAGTGACTTGCTCGTAGCGCTCAGCATCCTGTGCCTCGATGACATGCTGACAAACAGTGGTGTTTCTTGACCTCCCACATATGCTTTGCGTTATCGGCCCAGTTCCCTCGTAGCCGTTCAACCAATCAGACCCCAGCTAAATGATAAGCCGAGCCGCCAAATGGGGCTCTTCCAGCCATACAACTCTCGCTATTCATCACTTATCATTGACACCGTTGGCTACCAAGAACCTCTTGCATTATTGTCACTAGCTATCTCTTCATTTGTCCGTGATCCTTCTACATGACACTAAGCCTTGGCAGCCATGCCCAGAAGGTTCGACTCTCCGTGGAACACAACAAAGTGGTGCTTAAGCAACGCGTCGCCAAAGATTTGAACGTCACTGCCCGAGTTGCTTTGAATACCACCGAAGCAAGTCTTCGAATCGACTGGAGAGAATGTGATACCCGAGCCAGGGATGTTAGCCATGTAGTTCTCTCCGACAGCCACTGCGAAATCAGGCAGGTTTTCCGAACAGTCGTATGTGTAGCCGCCAACTGTGCTGTCATAGTTGGCGCTTGGAATTTGAGAATAGTACGCTTGAACAACTTCAGGATCAAGCAACAGCAGACTGGTACCAGTGTCGGCAATGGCCGGTGAAGCGTTAGTTCTGTTGTAGGTCTTGCCGCCAATGCTGTAGCAGTTGCTGTCGAACTGCCAGAATCCAGAGGCTGCATTAACAGGCGTGAACTCCAAGTCGCCTGTGAACTTGGAAGAATCGATCGTGCCGAATTCGTACGTTCCACTTCCATCAAGATCCAGACATGCCGTAAAGACAGGCTGCGCCAGCTCAGACATGATGTTGTCGAAGAAGGTCTTCTGAGGTGTAGGCGACACCGAGTTGAGATTTGAGAATGCAAGGCCGACAAGACCGTCCGAGTCGGCATCTGACACGAAAGCGCTTGACACGGAAGTGGCCAGCTCGATGGCTTGACGAGTCACAGTTGCACCACCAATGTCGACAGTATCGGTACCTACAACACCTGCAGCGCCGCTTCCGTCACCGTACGAGAGGCTGAAACTGTAACCTTGAAGTTCTTGGTAAGATGAGCTCTTGGAAGGGTTGAAGGCGCTGTGCTGTCCGATCTCAGAGCTGGAAAGAGAGGTACTGAAGACCCATCTAATAAATTGTCAGCATCGTTTCATATCTTATGCGACCTTGGGCTTGACACATACAAGTCGGAAGAGCCGGTGTCGAAATTCAGGTTGAGTTTCTGGCCACCAATGGTAACAGGAGAAAGATATTCGGCACCGTTGTCAGCAGGGGTAGCGGCCACCTCTCCGGTCTCATCATCAGCGTTGGCAGCGGGAGCCGGAGAAGAAGCGGCAGTAGCGGCAGCCGCAGCAGAAGAAGAAGCAGCAGTAGAAGAAGAAGCGGCCCACGAAGTGGCAGCACTGTAATAAGCAGCCTCCGAAGTTGCAGCAGCGGCATAAGACGTAGCGTGAGAGGCGGCAGCCGACGAAGCAGCAGCGGAAGGAGCAGCAGCAGATGGAGCAGGAGCGGAGTTGCCATCTGGAGCCGAGAATCCCCACGAGAAAGTTGCATAGAGCCAGGCCTTGAAGTCGGTGAAGGGTCGGTTTTGCGAGGCAGTGTGACGGTCATTGCCTGCAACACTGGACGAAGAAGAAGCGTCTGCGTCAAGGTCCATGGTAGTCCCAGCATTGAACTCAGCGGCCCAGGGGGATCCGTCTGGAGTGGTCATCGACCAGCCATACTTGCGGTAGGCGCGAGCCATGGCCTCAGCGGGCTTGCGAATGTATCCAGTCTTGCGGATACGAGGCACGATGAAAGAACGCTTCGAGAGAGTGTTTGAAGAGGTCTGTTTGGCGGTAGGTGCGGCCAGCGCAACTGTGGCCAGGATGGCTACTAGCAGAAGAGCGAAAAGACGGTGCATCTTGATCAGAAGCAGAATGGTAATGAGCGGATGGTTGACTGCGCTGTCAAGCGTCGGGACAGATTATCAAAAAAGAGTGTAAGAAAAGAGTGAAAGTGACTGAACCAAAGCAGTCAACGTCCGCGCAACAATGAAGTTGTCCTTCACTGTGCGAAGAGTGAGAAAGGAAAGAGCACAAAACAAAAAGGGAAGCGGCGATGGGACGTGAAAGGAGAGGAAGTCGATCCCCTTAGATGAGGGCGAAACAGTACATTTGTATGTACACACAGACGACAGTCACTTTACATCCCTGGCCCTGAACACTTTGAACACCCGCTTCGCTTACATCTCAATGCGCCTCTCGCTATTGTTTAGGACAGAGGCCAAACCCAAGGGGTAAAACTGGCCTTGGTGAGGTAGGTGCGCACGGGGCGTTCTCGCTCAGCAGCGCAATGGAGTGCATCAAAGTACCGTAAACCATCGGGTCCTTCCTGTTTGCATTGGCGCTATTCAGAGAGTGACTGACATCTGCGACGGCTCGGCACGTCAGCGATCCTTATTGGCACGGCCGTCACTGAACATGCTGCCTGTATGAATCTGGATTGTTTCGAAGTCTTGAGACTCATCAAACCAAAATGTAGTCCTGAGCACATGGCAATCCGTCTCGCATGCTCACACTCATTAAGCCAAGTGGTATTGAGGTCGTACAATGTATCAATCTCTTTCATTCTCGCGCCTTGCCGCCTTGGCTCCATAGCCAAGTGTTTCGAGTATTTTGTCTTGCCGAGACGAAAACTCTCGCGAGATCAGATGTATTGATGTTTGCGAGGTCCATAGCCATCTTCAATCTATTGTTTAGAGCCAAGCGTGGTAGTCGTCTCACCACCATATTTACACTTTGCTTTCGCTTGGTGCTCGCTCATCTGCAGTCCTTGAAAATCTGGAACATGTATCTTGTGTCTGCTAGCCGCTGCATTTCTGAAACGTGTTGTGGGTCGCAACTTGAGGTACGAAGTGGCCAAGAACAAACAGTCAGGGGTCAAACCTTGCTTGCTTGACTCTCAATCTGTTTCTGGCGGTTCGTGCTGAAACAGATTACCCCGGACCTCTGCCGCCGACATTCTGGATGCCATATATGAGGTCAAGCGTAAAAAATGGTTAAAAGCGTAAGTCTGCCTCAGCGTTGACACTTCAATCAACTGGTTTACGTTCAGATACTCTCTGGGGTGAAGTGGTCGAAACACGAATGAAGTGATCTCTTGAATATCTACAAGACCAAAGCCAATGTCTATAAAACATCACCGCAATGAGAAACCCCTAACCAATTAATACACACAAGAAAACAGAACGCCATCGCTCAAATATCACAAACGACATACAATCTTTACTACTAGATGATCGTAGGCTGCATGCCCAGCAACCTCTTGATGTTTAGCCACATCTCAAATGCAGTGAGCTTAAACTCGATGCGGGCAAAATCGGCCCAGGCAGTGAATCTGCGCCAGAGCCTTCTAGGACCGAATCCAGCAGCAGCTAGTAGCTCCATCTTTTCTTCGTAAACTGCACGAGCCGCGTAACGCGCGAGAATCATAAAGGTGCGGACAGGTCCTTGGCGAGTATGCAGGTTCTCATCAAGACTGCGCGTCAGATCATTGGTCTTGAGGATAAGAAGGATGACACGGGGCACTTGACCCAGGAGCTGAACGAGCTGTTCAAGCATGCCATCGCCTAGCGCGTCTGAAATGGCCTCTTTCTCCTCATCTGTCCTAGAGGTTGCGACGCTCTTTGTGACGACGCGGTAATCGCGGCCAGTGATTGCAGAGGCAAACAGCGGAAATTGTTCATCGTTGATGCCAGCTACCTCTTTCGCATATTGGCGCATACGAGGCTCATCGGCATCCAAAACAGCCAGCCATAGCTTGGCGTAGCTACGACGAAGAGCGTTATCAGGTACACGATAGAGACCGTGATCGTAAAGAATGACGTCGAAGTTATGAGGAGCGCGTCTAGAAGTATTCAAGCGAATAGCGATATTGCCACCGTGGGGGTCGCAATGCAGCGGGGCGTCTTTGCAAAAGATCATCTCGTTGAAGATACGGGCAAGGGCGGCAGAGACTTCATCACGGTCGATGTTGTTGGAATCAAGATAGGCAAGGTCGTCAGGCCTGCGACCAGTGACATAGTCCATGACAAGAATGCGGCGCTGAGCCCAGTGAACTCTAGGAATAATGACGGGTAGGTATGGAACCTGGGCGAAGTACTTGCGAGCAAGTTCGGCGTTGGAGCCCTCGAGAGCGAAGTCCAACTCTTTCGGCAGACTTTGGTCCATCTCGTCACTTAGCCAAGTCAGGTCGTATTCCGGGAAGAAACGCTTGAGGGTGCGGAAGGTGAATCTGGTGAGAGCCAAGTCGAGAGCAGCCCATTCATCGAGAGCAGGGTGCTGAACCTTGACAGCAACACGTTCGCCGGTTTCGCGCAGAGTAGCACGGTGGACTTGAGCCAGCGAGGCTGCACCAATCGGATTCGTCTCGAATTCGGAAAAGTAGTGTGACAGAGTGTTGCCGGTGTCCTTGAGAACCATAGCCTCGACGCTTTCCATCGAGGACACAGGGCATTGGTCTTGCAAGGGAATGAAAGTATCACACCATTCGGAAGGCAGGAGGTAGTTCATGCTGCTAAGATGCTGTCCCAACTTGACGAAGATGGAGCCATTCTTTTGCAATACAATCAGGGTACGATCAGCGCAGCGCTGGTGGCAATTCTTGAGAAGAGCCTGGTATTCAGGCTCAGGAAGGACATCGTGTTGGTTGAGAGTACGGCGGTAGTCGTTGATGTTGAGAGCGAGAGCGCTGACGACTCTTCCAGTACGGCGGGCGGCAATCCAGATATAGCGGGCATCATCGCTGACGGCAACAGCACCAGCAGTGGCTACGATAATGCCGCTGACGATGTACAGGCGTCTCCGGGACTTGGTGGTCTTTGGCAGAGCGGCGTCTGTGGCATATGCGCGCTGCTTGAGAGTATCAGTAGGGCGGATAGGGGAAGTCCATGTTCGGTGCGAGGCTGGTCGCGAGAGCCACGGCGTCCGACTCGCCGCAGTCCTGAACAATCGTGCCCATCCAGACGTCCCGTTCATCGCATTGTGTCTTGGATCATGTCCTGCCTCGTCGTCGAAAAAATGGAGGGACCCTGGACTGGACTTGCATGACGCTAACGACCGAGACAGCCTGCCCAGCCCAGCTCCGGCGTCGCCCGACAGCTGAGTCCATCTTTGTGCATTATTGACATAACATCTTGTGCTCTGTTTGCAGTCGTCATATAGCTATCTATTGCTCAGGCATCACAATCTCGGTGCCATTCTTCTCTCCCACGTTCATGGCTACAAGGAATCTGCTGACCATGTTGTATGTCGCTACCGTTGCCGTCATCTCCATGACTCCTGTGTCGCCCAAGAGCTTTCTGAGCCCATCAAACACATGGTCTTCCACCTCGACGTTCTTGGTGCTTTGGTCCGTGTAACACAGCACTGCCCATTCCTCTTCGCTGAATGTCTCTTGCTCTTCCTTGGTCTTTTCCCTGCCGCCTACAGGAAACACTGCTGCAGTTCGGACCAGATCCAGCGAGGCTCGCGGCAGGCCTCCCTTGAGCGCCAATGGAGAATGCGCGTTCCACTCGAATGTCGCTTTGTTGAGTACCGCAATACGGCACACAGCCATCTCCATCAAGCCAGGGTTGAGTGATGTCTTTGATCGTACTGCTCCAAGAAGACTGTTCCAGCCGTCGGCGATGGCAGTGTTGTGCAGCAGGGCCAGGTCTAGTGGCAGAAGAGGACGTGGCTTTCTGCGTTCGGTAATGCGCTCGTAAACAGCTTTTGTCGACTCCGGCGCATCAGCTGCTGGCTCCTTGGGTGCGTACGGGATGCGCATGTTGGGTCGATGGGTTGACTTGTAGCTTCTTATAGAAGGTGGTGGTGATTTGGGTGAGTGGTAGCGAATGCAAGAGCTCCCTAACAGAGGAAAGGCCCTTAGCTTTATATAACTGAGTTGCTTGACATGTGGGGTCATCTTTACGGAGGGCGACCGAAGAATCAATGCCAAAAGTGCCTCGCGCGGAGGCCGTCTTTCGCACCGGTCTCTGGACTCGGACCAAACCGCAACTATCTAGTCAGAGACATCCCGATCTGAATCATATTCACACCAATTCTGCTTTACAAATGTGGTTTTGATGCTTCATGAGCATACAGTTCTCGCTCAATCGACTTTGCCGTGCTCGGAGCCGTGAGTGGACCCCACACTCCCCGGTCGTTTGCCGTGGTCTTCTCCCGAGACTCCGTTCTCGCTAGAGCAACAATTCCAATCTTGTGGTCAATCTTGTAGATAGCTTCTGTGTCTCATGTTCCGGAGACTGCAAAGCAAGTTAGTGAGTCCATTGATCCAGGCACCAGGCTCTGCAAAGCGTGCCTTCTCGACATCTAATCACCATAAAATGCTCCACCATTTGATGGTAGGCACCTGGACACCGCCAGGTGCCATTTTTACCTTTCAATTCGATGATGAGGCCTTGACCTTGAAGTTGATCAAGAGAACTGAGATTCCTGAAGATGAGCCCATCTCATGGATGACCTTCGACGTTTGTTCAAGCCAAAAACAAGATTGCTTACAACCAAATTTCTAACACAAGTACTAGCATGCGAGAAAGACCATCTATGGAGCTGCTATGAAAAAGTGGAACAGTTTCTCGGTCAAGAGTCCGACAGAGATCGAGCACACTGCCTCTTTCCCTATGGAACACGACCCTAAGGCATCTCAAGCAGACACAAAAACCCGTGCAATCTTCGTTCTGGCAGGCAAGAAGCCCCCATATAATGTGTACGGTAACCCTTTCTACGACCACGCTGGCTCAGGCAACGTCTTCTCTGTGGACGACAAAGGTAGTCTGAAAGAGAACATTCAAAACTATGACTACTGTCCACAAACAGCTATCCACGGCATGGTCTTCGATTCTACAGAGACTTATCTCTACTCTGCCGATATGTGGGCGAACAGAGTTTGGTGCCATAAGAAGGACCCAGAGACTGGACACATGACTACTATTGGCAGTGTCGATGCTCCGGCGGCAGGTGATCATCCACGCTGGGTTGAGATGGCACCAAGTGGAAAGTACCTCTACGCTCTGATGGAAGGTGGCAACCGACTTGGAGTTTACTCGATCGATGAGGAAACGCATATGCCCGTATACACCAACAAGATCTACCCTCTTGTTCCTCCAGGTAAGAAGCACAACTGAATCTGGTCAAGAACATAAATCACTAACATAGATAACAGGCCACCAGGAGATCTATCCTAAGATGTACCGCTCAGATGTTGTGTTCCTCTCATCCAGCGGTAAATATCTGTTTGCGACAGCTCGATCGAATTCTCCAGACCTGACTGGATACATTGCAGCATTCAAGCTGTCGGAGTCTGGTGACATTGAGCGCCAGATTTGTCTCAACCCTACACCCACTAGTGGTGGTCATTCCAATGCTGTCAGCCCTTGCCCTTGGAGTGACGAATGGTTGGCCTTGACCGATGACGAGAAGGGCTTCATCGAAATCTACAGATGGAACGAAGAGTTCCTCGGTCGTGTTGCTCATTGCGATGTCAAGGAGCCTGGCTTCGGCATGAATGCTATCTGGTATGATTAGATGATTAGGTAGAAGCTTCCACAAAATAAACAAGCACCACCATATGAAGTTTCGTCCAGTTATTCCCCTCCTTTCAACCAACATACCTCAACTCACGCCAGAAGACACACAAGTACCAGTCTGAGCAGCATGAAAGAATGGAAGCACATCTGCTTGCTGGACCGGAGTACCAGGGTCGCTCCCACGAGCACGTAAGGAACGTGTTTGGAACATGTCTCTCTCTGCCGCAGCTTCTGCCGTGCCAAAAAACCGACCCCACTACCCCTCACCTCACGGACTCGAATGTTTTTGTGATGAGCAACGGCATCGTCATTCGGGATTCTGGAGTTTTTGCCGTCGTCGGCTGCTCAGCTCGGGAGTGGTGATAGATAGGCAATCAACCAAATTTGACAATTTCGTTTCAATGACACCAGATTGAAACTCTCCAGAGCATTTTCTACAACTCGAAATTCACCTTACTGTGACAACCGATTGATACAGTTCAACAAGAGAAGACGCAACAATGGCAAAGACATCGGGAATTCTGTATGTAACCATGCAACCCTCGGCCGACCTCCCAGCCGCCGACTTCCATGACTGGTATAATAACGAACACGGGCCCAATCGTCTTCGCCTACCCTTCATCCACAATGGCTTCCGCTACCATGCCCGCGACTTGTCCGGCGAAGGAAAAGGCAAACACGAATGGATGGCCATCTACGATACCGACGACATGGATGCATTCAACTCGGAAGAGTATCTTGCTCTCCGCGGTGCTCCCATCCAAACCCAGCGAGAAAGAGATATCAGACCCAAGGTTGAGATCGATAGACGAAGCTACGATTTGGTGAGCAGCAGAGAAGCAAAGAAGTTCAAGAAACTAGAGAAGATTGAGAATTATGGAGAGGGCAATGTAATGATTTCTGTTCTTCTCAAGTTGAAGCCTGGTCAAAAGGGAGAAGAGTTGGACAAATGGTACAATGAAGAACATATCGATATGCTCTCAAAGGTACCTGGTTGGCTGCGCACAAGACGCTATGTCACTGCTGCCATTGACAAGAAAGACGAAGTCGAGTACATGGCTCTGCATGAATACGCACCAAACAATGGACTTGGTGGCAAGGAGTTCCAAGCCGCAGTCGAAACGCCCTGGGCCAAAGAAATCATGACCAACGTGGTTGCCGAGAAGATCAGACGCGAGTACGAACTCTTCTACACCTTCGGCCCTGCCCCTCGCGACCTCCAAAACTTCGCCATTGCAGGATTCAAGAAGTGGGATAGTCCTGCTACACAAACCAGAACTTTCTCTACTGGCAAAGATGGCGGTGCGGTTGAGTCCTACATCACCACCAGCGATGGAGCAGAGCTTCAATACAGACTGGAAGGCTCGACACATCCCAATGCACCCCTGATTGTGCTAAGCAACTCGATTCTTACAAGCTATGGTATCTGGGATGATATGGTGGACTCGTTCCTGGCCAAGAACAAGCAATACCGCATTCTGAGATACAACACCAGAGGCCGCACAAGCAAGGCTGGCGAGAAGCTTGTCACAATGAACGTTTTGGCTTCAGATATCATTGCTTTGCTTGATGCACTCAAGGTTCGCAAGGCAGCAGCAATTGTTGGTGTCAGCATGGGCGGAGCATCTGTGCTCAACACTGCCTTGACATACCCAGACAGAATCGGCTCATTCATGGCATGCGACACCAACGACAAGAACCCAGAGGTCAACAGAAAGGCATGGGGCGAGAGAGTGGCCATGTGCGAGAAGGAAAACGCGTCTGGCGAAGAGGGCGAGAAAATTGTCGGAGAAGAACTCGCCGAAGTCACAGTCAGAAGATGGTTTGTCAAGGAGAGCTACGATGGAGGTGACATGGAGAAGGAGTGCGAGAGAGTCAAGAAGATGGTCATCAACAACAGTCTGGAAGGATTCAGAAAGAGCGTTGAGGCACTGTGCGACTACAACTTCCAGCCGCGCATGAAGGATGGAAAAGTTAAGGGTGTATTCGTGGTTGGCAGTGGAGACGGAGTACTGCCAAAGACTATGAAAGAGATGGCTGCCAGATATGGCAGCAACGGCGCTGAATGCGTCGAGATCGAGGGAGCAGGTCACCTGCCCATGGTGGAAAAGCCAGACCAAGTAGCAGAGGTGCTGGGCAAACTGGTGGCTTCGTCGTCGTAGAATGGATCTGCCAGGCCGCTCCTTCTGCGGCGTCTGTGAATAAAGTAATTTATCAACGAAACCCTTGTCCCCTTCCCATCGTCGGCCTAGCAGTAAATTCCTCCCAACTCGTCGCTTGTAGCATGCTTTGTGTGTGATTCGAAGTCAGAAATGCATTCCGTAATTCGTAGTCGTCGTGTGGATAGGTCGCAAGATCAGCCAAGATTTCAAGGAGCTGGGTTGTCTCTGACGACCTGCTTGATCTTCTTCTCGTAGGCGGCGCGATCCTTGCGGAACAGGTTGTAGGCCTCGGCCTGAGCAGGCGACTCGGGGTTGGGCTCGTTCAGCAGAGATTGAATACCGAGGAGAATCTCCTTGATGGTGATAGCGGGCTTCCAGCCTTCTTCTTCGTTGAGAATGGACAAGCAGACAGTGCCGGAAGGGTAAACATTGGGGTGGAAGAGAGGAGGAACGAACTTGCCTGGGGAGCGTCAGAGGATACCAAAGAGGACGGCGGGCTAGATATGGAAGCACATACACTTGGGGGGCTTGGTAGGGTATTCGTCAGGGAACTGGACCTCGAGCTTGAAGAGGCCGCCCTCCCAGAGAGTCTTTTCCTTGCCAGGAATGGAGCACTCCCACTTTTGGAGATCAAGACCGCCCTGAGGGTTTTTTGCGGGCTTTGCGACGAAACCGAAGGGGTGATCTTTGCGCCACTGCTTTCTCTCCTCAGAGAGACGGTTGGAACAGAGCGACATGGTAGCGCAGCTGGTGTTTTGTCGTGGGGAAGTGGTCGTGTAGGATGAGTTTGGCGAGAATGTTGATGTGTCGACAGTGAAGAGAGCAGTATGATGTGCCAGGGAGGGTTACGACAAAACAATCAAAGTGTTGTTGTGAAAGTGAAGCAGGCAGAGTTGTGTTCTGCTTGACCAGAATCGCGCCGTCCTTGTCTAATCTGATTGTCGTTGCATCAGACAAACCAAGCAAACAAGTGAGCCCCCACACTGGAACATGGAAGGTGACGGAGCGGGTTTCCTTGGGAGGTCCGCTCGATTGAGCCTCGGCCTAAAGCTTGCACCCAGTGACTCGATTGTAAACATTTCCAGCTTGCTTTGACACTTGTTCCTTCCATCTCCTTCACTTTGACATATATACCGTCGTTCTGCCCGAATAGACACCATGGCAGACAAGCAACCGGAAAAACACGTCGAAATGGCTCCGGACCCAGACGAGGACGATCTTTCCGACCTTGATGATATGCTGGACGACTTCTCGGCCACTTCCATCAAAGACCAGAAACCCGCTGCTCCTTCCACTTCCACCGCACCTTCCTCGACGCAAAAACCTTCCTCTTCCTCTATACCCTCACAACCTTCTACCGAGGACGATGACTTTGCCCGCCAATTACAGGCCGGTATGGCTGAGCTGCTGGGAGGTCTCGGAGAGGATCCGGAAATGCAAAAACAGTTCGAGCAAATGATGAAGGAGCTCAGTGCTGCTGCAGAACAAGAAGCTGCCTCTACGCCCGCCCCATCAAATGATGCTGCTCCCAAACCAAATACCACCTCTTCGTCTTCGGCCAAGCCTGCTTTCGCTTCAACCATCGAAAAGACCATGGAACGCATGCAAGCTTCCGGTGACTCTGCCTCTGCTGCTGCTGCAAGCTCATCACAAGACGACATGCTTGCACAAATGCTCAAGGAGATGGAAGCCGGCAACTTCCCCGGCATGGACGGTGACGGAGGAGATTTCAATTCAATGCTCATGGGCATGATGGAACAACTAGTCAACAAAGACATCTTGTACGAGCCCATGAAGGAGCTTCACGATAACTTCCCCGAGTGGTTGGAGAAGAACAAAGATTCCACTTCAAAAGAAGACCTGGAACGCTACAAGACACAACAAGCCGTCGTCAAAGATATCGTAGACAGGTTTGAAAGGAAGAACTTTAGTGACGACAACAAGGAAGATCGGGAATATATTGTGGACAAGATGCAACAGGTATGTATCCCCACAACAGATCGCTTGTTGATGTTTGCTAACAATCGACAAAGATGCAAGCAGCAGGGGCGCCCCCACCTGGCCTGGTCGGTGACATGAATGCCGCTCAAGATATGCTCAGTGAAGCCGACGGCTGTCCACAGCAATGATATTGCTGACGCCCGCATGTGTGCCATTTGTCCCGACATGAAAAAGATACCCACCTTTTCGGAATTTTTGAAGCGACTTGTACATTCTCAATACAATCTCGGCAGTAATGCCTGTTGCATAATATCTTACTGATGCGCCTGTGCCTTCATACAGTTCCTCGTCTTTCTGTTTCATTGTTTATCGATGAACTGATGATGGGAGCAAACTTAGAATATTGAAACCTCCAATCTATGTACATTCAAACCCAGGCTTCATCATTATCAGGACATCATCACCATAGACACATTAAACCCTATACACACCAATAAATGCACCCAACATACTTTTCTAGAAGAAACCACCATGCGGCACGGCACAAAAGATACCAACCACAACACAAGAAACCAAAAACGCACCCAACAGACTCTGAATGAAGATGGTATCCTGGATCTGTCGCAATGCCGGCTCTTGGATCCAAACTTCACGATCAAAGATCTTGCGAATGAGATTGCGTTTCTCGTACTTGGCGACCCAGGGCTCATCTTCATAGCTGCCAGACCCAGATGTACTGAAAAGAGAAGACTCAGAGCTGGCTTTGAGGGATGGGTCTTCAGGGTCGGCGAAGAGTTCCCAAGGGCGTAGATGGCGGTGGTGCATTCCGTGTAGGACTACACACATGCCCTTCCATGCGGCGATGAGGGTCGAGACACCTAGCATGAAGCCGATGATGGGTAGGACACGCCATGCACGACCAGCAGAACTGAGTGTTATCAGCAAGTCTGCAAGGACACCGAGAAGGATTAGTGAAATGCCCAAGCCTCGGGCAAAGATAACTCGAGGACGATTGCCATTGCAGATGGTCCAACGGATGAAGTTTGGATGAGCTTGACGCCGGAGTGAGTATTCTGCACTCATGTATGCAGCACGCAGAGCAGAGGGATGTGTAGTGTTTTGGAGGGCGTGGAGGACAGCGCTTCGTTCACGATCGGAGAGATTGAGCTGACTGGAGCCATCGACGGCAATAAACAGTGTGATGATGCGTGTCATTTCTTCACGGAATGGTTGTGCAGTAACTTGATTGATAGTGTCAGTAGAGTATAACCATCAAAACAAATTCTCGGGACTTACAAGGCTTCCACTGCATACCAGCATCTGTCAGTGCTTCCTCAGCCTTACGATCGAAATCTGATTTGCTGGACACAGGTCTCTCCATACTCATAGAAGAGTCAAACTCAGAGAATGTAGGCGATGCAGGAGCCCTCATTGTCTCAGGCGACTCGCTACGAGGTTCATTGAAGGGATCCCGTTTCTCTGCAGCAAGAGGTACTGTATCGGCGAAGTCGGTCCCTTCAAGTACTGTAGCTATCGCTGCAGGTATCTTCTTTCGACGAGCTGGTTGAGTGATTTCGGCGTCCATCTTGGAGGCACTCCATTCTGGCGACAATGCCTTTTCAGAACTTGGCAACTTATCGAAGCGCTTGACATAATCTCTGTACCAGAGGTAGAATTGTAGATTTTCCGCACTGTGTTCGACATACTTCAGATAGTTCATGAAGTCACGCGTGGTGCATGGCTATGAAAATGTGGTTAGATTGATGATCTGAGTATGCGTTGATCCAATTGTACTTACAGGGCAGGTGCCACCAGCTATGATTCGATCAAAAGACAATGCTTCCGGAATGCCTTTTATTGAACCAGAAGTTCCTGAGTGATATGAGCCGTCACCAGACAATCTCTTTTCGTTTGAGGATGTGAGCGAAGACCCGTCAGAAACTCGACTCGGGCGTCGATAGCTAAGTGAGTAGACCATGTCTGGTTGGCAATAACGACCGAGGAGACGTTGAACGTTTGGAAAATCTCTCTTGGATGTCAGGTACGCTCGGGGAACACGGGTAGGATGGGCAGGTGCAGGTGACCTCTTATAGACCCCACAGATATCGATGTTGCAATGACAGGGCTTGTAGTCCTATCAAGCAGCGTTTGAGTGATAGATCGTCGTTCAACGGTAAGGTAAACCGAGACAGAAGAGGAATTGAATGCGAGAAGGTATCAGCCACGCTATCGGAGAGAAGACAGACTTTTCTTGTACTGGCAGCATCCATGTCGATGCTAGGGTCCCGCTTGCACTTGCGGTTGAATAGACGAACGCCACAAGAAATAACAAGGTGCCGCCATTCCGCAGAGCTGTAACAGCATTGTGACTGGTCCAAGGACCAAAGTATATTTCACCTTGCCGCAGTTCTTAGCTCGACATTCAGCATCTCAATGCGCCTCTATTGTGACGGGACCCTAGAGGTGGCACTCTGGACTGTACAGAAGATGAACCATGCGTTAGAGACGGCGCAGTCTCGAATCGTTTACCGTTGCATAGCCGCGTGTTTGCTAAGGACTCATGTCCGCAGCCTCAGCTACTGTATCTCGATATCAGAATCACACCCTGGCCTACTACCACCATGGATGTCAGGCACACAATCACTCGTACGTACGTTCAGCTCTGCCTTCTCGGAGTACGCACACGATGTATCTGTTGATCTGCAGTCACCCAGCCAGCCAAAGTGCGGCGAATACGTCGACTCGCAGAATTGACCGAAGGATTCAGGATGACAAACCTGATAGTTCACGGCAGCTAATGATCTTGCCGAGAAGTAAACTTCAAAGCGGGGCGTTTACCTGATTGGGTGAAGTGAGTCTGCTAGAATTGCCGAAGCGGCTCTGTCAGGGAAAACCGCGACAAGTGCTGACAGAAGCTGCTGTGGGTCTGGAAGAAATTGCAAGAGTCGAACGTTCCGCTCGAAGAGTCAGGACATAAGGAAAGTGGAATAGATCTGGGAAGGTGGTCGCGCTCACAAGGCAGCTGAAGTGGTTGGATCAAGGTATTTTCGGTTATGCATGCCCATTGAGAACCATGCACAACCCACATGCTCTGAACATCCGGATCTCGGTCTATAATGTCGATCGTACTTCCAGCGATCTGGAACCTGGGGGACGGGTGGTACACAAGTTCGGTACTCCCGAGCGGCATCACGTTATCGCACGAGTTAAGATGACAGTGGTTTGAGAATACAGAACCTTGTACGCCATCGCATCCTTTAAACATTGGTCGCTAAATCTGATTGGCCACAAGAGACGAACGAGAAATTGTCTTGTGTAGAAGGGTCATGACGGCGTTGCTATATTAGCGTGGACTAATGCTGTTTTATATATACACGGAAGAATCAGTACCCAAAAGCCTCAGCATGGAGCCAGATGCCTTGAGCGCCCGTGCCTTTATGGACGGCCCTCTCGTCACTAAGCGAGACGACGCTCGTTCGCACATCGTGAACTAAGCCCTGTGGACCACACACCACGACTGCGCTTTCGCCATAAGCTTGTTCAAGTGTTTTGCGAATGACATTCCTGCAAGATGGTCGGCCTGAGAAGACCGAGATTGCAGGATGCAGGAAAGGCTGTTTCGGTTTGGGCTTCTCGTTTAGAATGCTCGACCTTGAGCTTTCTGTCCGTGATGGGCCCGCTCCACAACTGCAAGTGCATGCAGGTCTGATGGCTTCGTCATCGTCCTCATCTTCGATAGTAGCAGTGCAGCAACATGTACCATTAGGTCCGCAAGATTGCTTTGATGTAGGCTCAGCCGTGTCTGATGATGAGTAACGATCGAGCTCCTGAACCTCAATCTTCTCATCCTTGGAGGCAAACTTCTTCTCCATACCGAAGTCGTTGTACTCTTCGTCATCAACAGAGTCCAAAACTTCAGTCACTTGACCATACTTCGTGGTCGTCGACGTCGAGTATGCCTTCCAGGCGTCGAGCAAGGTCTTCTGTTCGGTCGTGAAAGTTTCATCGCACGTAATGTAAGCGCTGATATCAACGCTGACGTCGTGGCCCTGAGCCTGCAGATGAGTAACGTCTTCCACAACTTGGCTAAGTTGGGTGGAAAACCAGCTTAGTTGAGATCCGGCCTTGACGATCCAGACGTATCTTACATGTCTAGTTACCGGCTTCTCACGTTGACTCTTGCTCTGGCCATCCATGGACTTCCACGAACGAACAAGGTCGCGCAGCAATGGCATAGTGTATGATGCACCAGAGCTACCAGCGAGCAATATTACGCGATCGAATTGTTGCAGAGGACGAATGCAACCATAGGGACCCTCAATAGCAACACTCGTGTTTGACCCTCTGGTCAGATCTCCGTTGGTCGAGGGCAGAGTCAGCCCAATTTTCTCGGCATGTCGATAGATTTTCTGCGTTCCACCCTTTTTGGATTGAATCAGAAACTCCATCTTACCGTCGCTAGGAAGCGAGGAGATAGTGAAAGGGTGGGCTTGCATGAGAGCTAGTGAGTGAGCAGACAAAAAGACATGTTGACCAGGACGCCAAGAGATTGGAGGATTGTTTATGGTGATGCGGGTAGTGTTGTTCGGCAGAGCAGTGAGTTCGGCGTTCAGAGCCCACAGCTTACCCATCGTGCCATCCTTTCTTTGCGTGGGGTGCAAGATGGACAAGTTGTTGTACAGGTAGAAGAAACCTCGTACGACACGGTCAAAGAAAAATAGACCAACACAGATCCAGACCCAGACTTTGACCTCGGCAGGGATATGTAGATAGACGAAGCCGATGAAGACGGCGAAAGAAATGATGTGCTGAACAACGAAGAACTCATAACTCCAGCCACGGATAGGAGTCATCGAGCTAATAGTGATCCAGACCAGGATAGCCCATGCGATAACACCGTGTTTTGTGATAGGATCAGTGCGAATTTTTGTGCCGATGTAGTCGTAAGGAGCCCAGTCTGCGAACCAGTAGCCCATGTGAATGGTGGCGGTCAGAAGGAAGCACCGCGATGCCCAACGATGGAGCCAATTGATGCGCTCATACGAAGAGCCGATGAGAGCAGCGATAATGTTGCGCTTTCCGGCCAGGAGGAAGAGAAGGGGCAATTGGCAGACTGTGACAAAACCTGTGCGGTAGCCGATGTCTTCGAAGGACCATTGATCGCTGACGTCGAGCTTGTAGAAACACATGACCAGGAGGACGACGATATTTGCTGCTACCAAAGAGGCTTTTCCAAGAGTTGGAGAAGGCGTGCGGAGAGATTTGATAGCGAAGACTGGCAATGAAGCATTGGCAAGCTCACGAACGAGAGCAGTACATGTGGCCATGGCGAGGAAGGGGAAAGCTTTGGGTTTGGCGGGAGTGTTGCTTGTTGATCGTAACCTGGGCAGATATGAGTACAGACATACACAGAAAGTATGCGACAATTGCAGTCACCTTTGACGACACAGAAACCAGCTGTACACGTTGACGAGGGTAAAAGCACCGATGGCAGCGCCAACAACAGCCCAATACATTTTCTCAAAGGTGAACAGACTAGGAATGCCAGGGCCCATGGACTCGTTGCCCATGGACATATCCATACCACCCATTGACATGTCCATTGTGAAGGTATTGGCTCAGTCAGGGTCGAGTTGAAACGAAGGACAAAATGTTCAGCAATCTGCGATGCAGATGCGGTGTTCCAAGTGATGGGACCCAGGACAGATTTGGGAACAGAGTCGGATATGTGCGTGTTTTGGTCGGGGGAAGTCGTGGGAAGTCAACCAGCACAGCGCATGGTAGGAACAGAATCAAGGCATGTCGGATAGAATGGCAGCGCAAACGAACTCAAGTGGTGGAGTTGATTACGAGCATGTCGAGTGTCACTCGGCGTGCCAGACGGCGGCCCGCGGGAGGGGCTGTTTAGAAGTCCGAAAGCGCTACCCGCCTCTGGCTTAGCTCTTGCCTGTTTGGGCTGAAACTTGCTCATTGTTGCTCTCCATGAATAAACCCACCGCCCCTCTAGAACCATCGCCAACGTGGAACACGCAGCTACCCACGTAGCCCGATATGTTGGGACCATTGTGTGTTTCCGCCGACTTCCCTTGACCATCCTGGTCCTAACATCTCACATCTCTACACCTGTCAATCGCTGCCGGCCTGTCTTGACTGTGTTGGAAACTGCACACTAGCTTCAATTCTTTTTCATCAGCGAGAACTGCTCTCTTAAGCCCACACATCCGCTGAAAGTTGAAACGCTCTCGTTGTGCGACCAATTCCTCACTACACCTGAACAATTCTCAACCTACTATCATGAGTATGTCACACATGTCGTCGTCTACTATGGATATGTCACACATGTCGTCTACTATGGCAATGTCAAGCACAACCTCAGCTGCTGCCTCTACGGGAATGTCTGGCATGTCCTCTATGTCCGGCATGGGCTCCATGTCCATGGTCTTTACTACCGCTCATAACACCCCTCTCTACTCAAAGGCATGGACTCCCACTTCCACAGGCGCATATGCCGGCACTTGCATTTTCCTCATTGTTCTGGCCATCATCTCCCGACTATTGCAAGCCTGGAGACATACTCTCGAACAAAGGATCCACGACAAAGCTATGAAGCGTCGCTACGTTGTCGTTGCAGGCGAGCAGGAAGGCGAGCAGTCTCTCGAAGAGTCAGAGGCAGCCAAGGAGATCTCAGAAAAGCAAGGCATTCTCACCTCTCGCGGCCTCGACGAGAAGGTCCGCATCATTACAGCAGCATCCAGAAGGAAGGAAACCACCCCGTGGAGAATAACTACCGAATTGCCGAGAGCTTGCGTCTACACTGTCCAGGCTGGACTTGGGTACCTGCTGTAAGTCTGCCACAACCCCTTCTCTCTGATCATACAATTGACACTCTCCAGCATGTTGGCAGTCATGACCTTGAACGTCGGATACTTCCTCTCAGTCCTTGCAGGTCTCTTTGTGGGTGAATTGGCCATTGGCAGATATGCCTCGCCTGTGGATGATCATCACTAGCGATGCAGTCTCCTCTCACGTCGATCAAAAGCTCTGTACACTCTCTCATACTTAATCAATTATGTGTATATGACCAATCTACGTGATTGTCTCGCCTCACCGTGATTTCGCAACTTTGACCACTTGCATGTGTGAAGATACATTAGACACTGGGTTCATATTCACACGTAGTCCACCTCGTGTGTAACTATAAAAGCAATAGGTATATTGCGGAGACCTCGTCTGTGCATCTGACTGCAGCTGCCAATAGTTCAACCCTAAGCTACGGACATGAGTTTGTTTCTCACAATTCAACAGGACAATCTGACCATTCGGATGTGGGATGTATGTAAGATCAGGGTTCCGCATGCCGTTTGGACCAACCGTGCGAAGCCCCAGAAGGCTAGACCGATTTAACTTGCTCAAATCCACGCCTCGCCCGCGCACCAACAGCGACCAAGGTCTCTCGCGGATGGAATGCGTTTCGGGTTTACGGCAAAGGGGTATCAAGCCATTTGAGCTTCTGTATACGAAGTAAATTGTCAGGTAGGAAGGCGCGGGACTATAAACACAGCTGGTGTGACCGCTTTCGCTGCAACGTTCCACCAACCAAGCAGAACTCACTCTCTCTTTCACTTTCGTTTCTTTGGTTTCTTTGGTCTGCCTTTGTCTTTGCGCATCTTGCTAGCGATTGCACAGCACATTACACATCTTTTCCTCACACACACACGCTACACGTCAAGATGAAGGTCCAATTGCTTCTCGGCGCCTTGCTGCCCCTGGCCTCTGCCCACTTCAAGCTCATCTACCCTGCCGCACGTGGTTTCGATGAAGACCTTCTGGTCCAATTCCCCTGCGGTGGTCAGAACACCGTCAGCTCGAACCGCACTATGTTCCCCATCACCGGTGCACCCATTCAGCTCCTCATGGGCCACACTGCCGCCAAGGTCCAGGTGCTGATGGCTCTTGGAAACGACCCTGGCATCAACTACGACATCACCCTCGTACCTACTTTCCAGGAGAAGGGCCCTCAGAACTTCTGTATGGGTGCTGGTGCTATCCAATTTCCTGCTGGCTTGAACATTACCGATGGCATGAATGCTACCATCCAAGTCGTTACCAACGGTGACCCCAACGGCGGTCTCTACAACGTAAGATATCTTGCGAGTGGGAGGAGAATACGATTAAGTTGCTGACAATGCTTACAGTGCGCCGACATCACCTTCACCTCAACTCCCTTGACTGCCTCCGAGTACAGCGCAGACTGCCAGAACAGCACTGGTGTTACCGCCGAGGCGCTGACCAACGCTGGCAATGCAAACCAATCGACCGCTGATGCCACAGGCAGTGCTGCACCTTCTGGCTCTTCCTCTGCCACTGCTTCTGCCGCCTCTTCTGGTTCTTCTTCCGGTGCCTCTTCTGCTGGCAGTAGCTCCAAGACCTCTACTGGCGCTGCTGCTCAGGCCACATTCGCTGGCTTTGCCCTTGGTGCAATGGGTGTGTTGGCTGGTATGGCCGCTCTGTAAAAAGGGAACGGAAGAAGTGCATAAAATTGGCGTTGTCTCTCTTGGAGACGTAGAGCGTCGAGCATACTGCTTGCTCTGATGCATGTTGCTCTTTCTGCGTTTACTATGATACCTACACGTTTCGAAATGAACCATCACGACTTTTCCATCTCTTCTGTCATCGTGCATCCCATGTGAATCTGTACCAAGAACCGCCCGCCTCATTCACTGGTGGCTTGATATCCTTTGCTCCATGTCATTCTCGAGCCTGGGATGGTCTCGTCAATCAGCCGCAGGGCATCGACATGTCAGCTCCCACGGTGTGACGGGCTGATGTCCAAAGCCCACATCGCATGGTCGAGTTATGCGGGGCTATGCTGTGTCGTGTGTCTTTCAAGTCCGGCTAGCAATCTCATCTATGTTCCGATGATAAGACCTGCTTCCACTCTCCCAGTCTGCTTTGTGTATGAGCAACGAGCTCTCTCATGGCCTCTCTGCCGACAAATCCACCACCCCTCTTCTCAATCCTTAGGATGGACTTTTCTGTAGCCACAATCGTGATGCTTTCATTGCACAGCTCTTCCTCGAAGTTGTCGGGATCAGCCAAAACCCAGTTCTTTGCATCCTCTAGCTTTTTTTGTGGTGCGGCGGTTGTGAATACGGCGAAGGTCAGAGATGCTGGAATGCTTCCAAGACTTAGTGATTTGGCTTCAGAGAGCTGGTCAGAGCAAAGAACAGCTTCGCGGTCGGCATCCCACCATGCCTTGGGCAATTTCGTGTCCGACAGAGCGGCCAAAACAGCGCCCCATGCAGCGTCGAAGGGGTTTCCGTCCAGACTGATGACCAGCAGGTCGATGTAGAGGACCCAGTATGCCTTTGTCTGTAACTGAGGTGGTGCATCCGGCAAGTCGTCCTCGGTCTCTGGTGGTTGGTATTTGACCTTCAGATCTTCAACATCGACGAGCTTGGACAAATGTAGCAATGAAAGCAGTCTTTGTGTTAAAGATTGCGCCAATGTGCCGGGGGCGTTTCCTGGAAGGAATCCTGGTGAGCAGCCGGTACTAAGCTCGATGTTGGGTACCAAGAGACCCAGCTCTTCGATCTCGCGTCTGCTGTCCTCTGGGCCGCGGTAGGGAGTGGGGACGTCTGATGAGCGTAAAACTTCGGCGCGTACACCACACACCACAGCGCTGTCTCCTAGCCGTACGACGGCACTACCGTTGGCATGGGTGAGAGATCCGGTGTTGACAGAGGGCGAACGGCATTGTTGCGGCGAACGGCCACTGGGTCGTGTGGGCGAGGCGGAAGAGGATGTCGGGTCGAGGTGAGCGAGGAGGTATGGGGCGGGCGATAATTTGGCGAATGTCGCAGGAGAGAACGAAAGCGCTGAAGGAAGTGTTGATGTCGCCATTGTTTGTATTGTCATGTGTCTGGAATGATGATCTGGTTGCTGTTTCTTCTTTGTGCAGCACAAATTCCTGAGAAAGTCTGTCTTGGCAGCGAAGCTCAATCGATCATCGTCACCGATGATTGACATTTCCAAATCGACCCCAGATCATCCTTCAATTTCCATCAGGTCAAAGTTAACGGGCTTTCCAAGATCCAAGCCATTTCAAATGTGAATCTCCCGCCTGCTCCGGGACTGCCATGGCTTGTCCCTTTTCTCCAACCTCTTCACCATGCAGCCTTGGGCCCTAGTTAGCCCCGCCTCCCGCGGAATTGGTCTTCACCTCGCTCGCCATTTGCTGCAGAATACCAAGCTGCCAATTGTAACCACCGCACGGAAGGACTTGGATCAGACCAAGGCATCAATCCTCGATGGCCTGCATCAAGTCGACCAGAACCGACTGAATGTCTTGAAACTGGATGTCCTTGGTATGTCACTTTTCTTCTGCCAGGCCGTTGTGCTCCTCGACGCTAATGCCAACTTCCCAGACGAGACTACCATCCAAGATGCAGCATCCGCTTGCAGTGACCTGTTTCCCAAGAAGGACAATTACTTGCATGTGTCCTATGCTATTCCCGGCATCCTGTATCCTGAAAAGTCTCCTCAGCAGATTGATCATGATGATGCTCTTTTGACCTTCCGAACCAACACCTTGGGCCCCATGATGATGCTAAAACACTTTGGCCCTTTCTTGCCGCGAAAGTCGACAGAACTCGCTCAGGATGCATCTTTGCCTAAAACTGCCGTTTGGGCGACGATGTCTGCTCGTGTGGGTAGTATCACTGACAATCAGCTTGGGGGATGGTACTCATACCGTGCCTCCAAAGCTGCCGTCAATCAGGTCACAAAGACCTTCGACAACCATTTACGGACCGCCTCTGGTGAGAAAGCTATAGCTGTTAGCTTACACCCGGGCACGGTCAAGACGGACTTCAGCAAGGAATTCTGGGGCGGTGTCAAAGAAGGAAAGTTGTTTAGTCCCGAGTTTTCAGCTGAGAAGTTATACGAGGTTGTCGTATGCAGGACTCTGCAGGACAGAGGCAAGTGCTGGGACTGGAAGGGTGAGGAGGTTCCACCTTAGACAAATGTACTTTAGCTATGTACCATTCACATGCACTCTGACGATCTTAAAGAGTATATCTTATCAAATGGGATTTGGTTCATCTCTTGATCATGCTATGGTATAGGCTAGTCATATCGTCGTGGTTGCGTCCATTACTTGTTGAGCTCGGCAGCTCTCTTCTTGAGGTCGTCCTTGCTGGCAGGCTCGCCGAGACCCTCAGCCATGACGGGGCCCTGGTTCATCGTTAACAGTGCCCATGGCAACGTGGGCAGAGCGATGACTTACGGGGTTGGCGCTGTGGTCTTGAGCAGTAGCCTTGCCGCCACTGGTGGCACCGGTCTCGGTCTGGTGCATGGCGTGGGAGGATGCGTTCGAGTCAGAGGACTCCTTTGCAACCTGGTCGGTGATGTCTGGACAGAGAGTCAACAAGGAAGTGGAAACGTGTGGGGAGGGGACACGAACTGCCAGTGGTGTTCTCTTCCTTGTCGTGGTGAGGCATGATGGCTGAGTTGGTTATTTGTTTGAGAGTTGACTTGGAAGTTAAGTATGAAAGTTGTTTACTTTTGGTCGTGTGGTCAAAGGAAACAGAAAGCAAGAGTAGAGCTACGAACGTGAGCTACAAACCTGAATCGAGAGCAACGTCCATGACGCAGTCGTGAGAGCTGTCAGCCTCATCGAAGCGGGGTGGCTGAGGGGTCTCCCGTGCCGTCGCTGAAAGAGGCAGATCATGTCGAATCATTAACTTCCCGTCAAGGTTCACAAGCGGCAGTTGCCAGTTTTTGACAAGACCAATCGATTGGCACATGGCGGGTACTAGGTTTGCACTTTCCTCGAGATGGTCCTGGAGCTGTACAAGCTGATATTCATGGCAAGAGCCATAGCAAGGCAAAAGCTCAGCGGCAAGCAAAACCTCCAAAAGGACGCGTCAGATCAACGGAGCGTGCATGTCGCCGCATCTCGCCAGCAGCAGATCATTGACGCACAGGATATTCGGAGATCCGTGATCGTACTTGCACCGCTTGAGTGCAGCCAGGGACTACGGCGGGCGCTACGAGGAAGCCGTAACCATCTTGACAAGCCCCGGCTTAAAGCTTTAGCGGCTGAACATTCCTCGAATTATCATACTATTTTCCATCCTGCTTTGTCTCTGCACCAAGCTACTTGGCCCCATCATCATCCCTCGTTGTCTTTCTTGGGGTACAACTACTCTTCCGCCCGCCCTCCACCATCACTCCTTCCGTTCGCCGCAGCTCTGGTCTTCAAAAGCATCCAGAAAATGCTTTGAGCCTCCACCGAGCTACTCACAGCCTTCCCGTGTTAAGACACGGCCTTTATCTTCACCAGCCACTTCCGCTCCAAAGACTGTAGCCACGCAATTCACCGCAAAACTGCTGCTTTCTTGACGCCCAACTAAATCCATCGTTCTCATTCTCATCCTCGCTATCACTGGTCATACGACGCGTTGGCTGCTGCCCGAGACCCTTATCTCAAGCCGATCCTCCACATTTCTCGACTGCCACAACTTTCACAACCTGCAACATGGTCGCCTGGCGACTTTTGGCATTAGCCACTACACTTCTTGCTGCAATACAACCAGTAGCAGCTGCTAGTGATACACGCTATGTGACAACCACAAATTCTGCCGGCCAGACTGTTTACTTGGCAGGTCAGTAACAAGACACTATCTTGTGTTTCAACGACCTACTTACCCTGTACTCAGATGACAGGAGACCGTCTCTGTACACCGGACAATTCGGAGATTGCAAGGGTTCTAGTGCTGTCAACGTCACTCGCTTTGATGCTGCTTATTACAAAGACAACATGACCGTGCTCTTTCATTTGGCGGGTAACACGGCCATCGCTAATGAAAGCCTGATGAGTGAGTAGTGACTCCTTTACCATTTTACTCGAATGGAGCTAATTCCAAGCAGTGTACATCGGTGTCTATGCATACGGACAAGGTCGATTCGACTTGACCTTTGATCCGTGCAATGCAAATATTGCCAGGTGAGTTATTTTTTGTAGCTACTTGACAGTCTATCATTAACATGAACAAGCCTGTGCCCGCTCAACGCGAGTATACCCATCGAAGCTAACGGCATCATCCCGGTCGCTCAATCCGATGTTGCTGCCATTCCTCCAATCGCTCTCTCGATTCCAGACTTCGAGGGCGAGGCTATTCTTCGTATTTTCGCTAACTCGACTCAAGCTGAAATTGGTTGTTACTCAGCTGTCGTAACTAATGGGGCCACTTTTTCGCAGCCTAAAGCTGTGGGATCAGTCCTCGGGATCTTCACCGTCATTGCTTTGATCGCTTCCTTTGCAACGGCCATCTACGGAGATAGTGTGCCTGTCATGCGGAAGCACTATGCCCACTCGCTCTCGGTCTTGGTCGTCTTCTCCGTTTTCCAGCATGTCTTCTTTACCGGAGCTCTTTCTATGAATTGGCCAAGTGTGCTCGTTGCTTGGTGGAGTAACTTTGCTTGGTCAGGAGGCATGATTTACTCCAGCTCAATGCAGCGTTCTATTGACAAACTCATTGGTAACAACCTTGGAAATACATCGCAAGTCGGCGCTGCCGGTTCTGGAACCAACCAAGACGGTGTAGGAGGTGGTTTTGACATCTCGTCGATCTATAGAAGAGGTCTATCAGTGAAAAGAGACATCGCTTGGGACATTTATCAGCGCGATCATTCCATCCAACTTCGACGAGACGTCCTTTCGCGCACTTTCGAAGAACATTTGTTCAGACGCGATTTGGCCAACAAGACCAGCGGCTTCAACTGGTATGGACAGCCTGTACAAGCAGGTCTACCTCTACCTGGTAACTACTCTGGATTTGCTGGTACCCTAGCCCAGGAGAACATTCGTGTCTCTAATGCCTTCGTGACCGGATTCCTGTGGCTTCTCATTCTTCTCGTAATCCTTGTCGCTAGCGTGATCGCTTTCAAGTGGGTTCTTGAGGCTTTCATTGCTGCCAAACTCATGAAGAATGAGCGCTTGGGTTTCTTCCGAAAGCACTGGATCCGATACACCACCTTTGTTGCTCTGCGGACCTTGTTCATTGCATTCTTCATGATGATGTTCTTAACCATGTTCCAGTTCTCTTACCAAAGCTCGGGTGGTGTCAAAGCCGTTGCTGCTATCATCTTCATCTTGTTCTTCGTTGGTATTCCTGCTTGTGTCATCTACGCCATCTATGTCGGCATGGCCTCCCAGGGTACCATTCTCAAGTCTGAAGTTCCTGCCGAGCAAGCCGAAGGGAGGCAACCATCGAAGTTACTTTCTAAGCTTGGAATCAAGAAGCCCATCTCGATCAAGATGCCAATGATCTCGCTCTGTCAACAACCATCGCACCTTGAAGAGGACCGACCCTCGTTACACGATGATGAGGAATATCTCCAGAAGTTTGGATGGCTTTCTGCTCGTTACCGCCGTACAAAGTGGTGGTTCTTTGCTGCGTGGACCCTTTACGAGTTCATTCGAGCCTGTTTCTATGCCGGCGCTTCGGGTCAGCCCACGACTCAAGTTTTTGGTCTGTTGGTCGTCGAGTTTCTTTTTTTCATCTTCATTCTCTGGGCTAGGCCCTTCGAAGGTCAACGCCTCAACGTGATTGTTGTGTACCTGCTTGGCTTCAGCAAAGTCGCGACCGTGGCTCTGTCTTCTGCCTTCAATATCACCTTCAACCTGGAACGTATTACTACGACCGTGATTGGCGTTGTCATCATAGTCATTCAAGGAGTGTTGGTAATCGTCACTCTGATAGCCATTGCAGTCGGAGCTTTCTCTTCCTACATGTCGATTACCCGAAACCACGAAGATTTCCGACCAAGAAGGATGATGGGCGTTCGCGAGAAATACTTCAAGCACCTCGATCGTACTGCTACCGATTTACCTCGTCCACCAAGGCCAGAACCCGTTGAGGTCGTCACTGGAGAGCCCAAGGGACCTTACTTCTCTGTCTCGCAAGTTCGTCGAGTGGCTAAGATCGAGGACGAAGACCCGGATTTTGTTGCTGAGATGGCAATGCTTCACCATGAGGAGGAGTTAGGTCCTGAGCCAATGCCACACGCATCGTATTCTGCTCTACCTTCGAGATCGCAAACACCAGGTATGGACGGAGAGTCCTCTCAAACTCCTATCCGCCGTGGTCGCGCTGCTAGTGGAATGAGTCATAGAAGCACAAGTGGGAGCTACTCGAACCTGCCTCGAGGGGCCCGTCTCCACCGTCCTAGTTGGACCTCTCGTGACTTCTCAGAAACAAGAGATGATCGATCGAGGACACCTATTGATATGACTAGGAACGTGCCCGAAGACGAGACTGTCATGCCGACGCCGACAAAATCTGGCTCGCGCACGCCCAAGAGAAGATCGGTAACTATGCCGGCAATCCTTTCTCCAATGCCCAATGTAAACGAACTGCAAATGGGCGGCGATGTCAGCAGCCGGGATGTGATTGCAGACGTACCCACACCACTTATCAGACCGCGTTCTGGGACATTCGGTGGAAGTCGCAGTAACACGCCAACCCCAGCAGAGCGAAACTCGTTTCACACAAGATCAACAACACTCGACATGCCGGCGCGAGACAGCAGAGGCCCTCTTACGCCTGCAGTAGAACGCGAAGAGGAGTCTTACCACTGAGCTCAGCTTCTGACCTTCTTTTCATCTCATATCCACTCGGAGGTTTATTACGTCTTTCATTCTAGCATTGCGTTTGGCGCTTGGGAACTGGTCTCGCATAGAACAGTTAGGTTGTTCTGTTTTCTCTTTCATTTGTCTAATAACGAAGCACACGATATTCATGACTATCAGCAATACAGAGACTTGCCTGTATCAGAGAGTTAGGTATATAGAGTCGTACGGATCATCAATGATATCTTCCTCTGGCCTTTTGTGCATTCCCAGAGTCTTTTGCATTTGATACGCGTATTCATTCGACGAATGCTTAAGGTGATGGAAAAGAGATGAGGGGCAGTCGGCCTGATAGGAAGAAGTCGTCAACAGCATTTTTCTAGAATGAAGTGTGCGTAAATCAAGGACTATATATATTTAGGAAATGTTGAACTGGTTGAATAACTGCTTTTTTTGAGATGATGAGGTTGAGATTCTCTTCATGAGATTGTTTAGCCGATCGCTGCACCGAGTGCATCGATGACAACAACGATATGCACCGAATCAGGCAACGTTGAGGAAATGGTTGCACAGCAAGACAGAGTCGTGGTTGCGTCAGACTCGGTCAGAGATAACAGAGAAAGAAATGTTTCCCGATGCCGATTGTTGAGACTGATGGAATGTGTGCTTTGTCTGAAGGCGGACCGATACTCGAGCGCGGAGAGCCGCTCGTCGCTGGGATTGAGATATCGGGAAATTCAGCAAGTCCGAACAAACACAACTAAATGATCGGGGAATTGCCGAAAGGATGAATTGAAAAAGACTGAAACGTACGAGAAATTGAGCCTGGTGCTGGGTAAGACGATACAAATCTTAGGAGAGAGATGAGTGGTAGGCAGGGTGAGCAATGGTCGGGTAATTTGGTACCACTGACCAGGCAAGAGATGGTCTGATGTTCAGGAGGGAGATCAGCATCAGCAGATAAGGAACTATGGGGATGCACGCTAACCCGCGGCAAGGGATCCGGGTATGGAGGCCTATGGATGGCTTGGAGCTCACGTGTGGTCGAAGATGAGGTCGGCGCAGGCACAGAACAGCTATAATCGCAGCATGAAGATGATAACAAAGTAAAAATCTCGAGATAGCTTCCCAACGGAGAAACAATCTGGTGTTGACTGTTGCTCCTTCCTCAGAATACCGCATGTGTGTCGCGAACGACACTCGATGTCGGGATGGCTCTCGGAACAGGGGGTCCGCGTTACAGCTTAATGTAGATCCCGAATGTTGAGGCTTATCCGGGGCTGACAAGCTCTCCATGCTATGCTATTCGCAGATACAGTATGCTGCTGGTGAGGCCAGCGGTGTGTCGTTCGTGCTTGCCTTGATGCAAGAGCCCATAGCTGTACCACCCCCCCACGGTGGCCTTTTTCTTATAGACTTGTGTGACTTCCCCTCCAACTTTCTTTCTCCTCCAAACCTGAATCCTTTATCTACCTAGTAGCTTCTTGTACAGCCTTTCCGCCAGGACGACCGACCTTTCTGACACTCACACCTTTTCATCATCGCCAACATGTCCGCACCTAGAGCTTACCAGTTCATCGCCCTCAGACGTCTGGCAGCTGGTGGCAGCCGTCGCCAGCTTCACATGACCGGCCCTGCTACTTTCCCCTCGCCATTGCTTACTGCTGAGCGTCCTGTCTCAAACCTTCCGCGTGACATTGCAGGCCTGAGAGCCGAGTGTAAGAGACGCAAGCTGGATTACTCTGGCTCTATGCACGACGTAAGCTTCCCCAAACAATTGTATCGTGCTTCAGGACTGATCAGGTTACAGCTCATGGCTCGTCTGTCTGCCGATGATTTGACCCATTCTCGAGCTTTTACTACCGCTGTCAACAACAGCAAGCGTCCTAGTGCTGAGCAGCAGGAAGAGGTCAAAGCAGTGCGTCACTTCAACACTAGCCGTGCCCTCAAGGCCGTCAACGACAGCTCTACCATTGATTTTGCCTACTTCCCCGATTTTGACCCTGACAATGCTGAGGCCTCTGCTATTCGTGTGCCTCTGCTTCATGACAACTTCAGCCCTGCGCGTACCGGTGCTCACAGTCCTGAGGCTGCCGATGAGGTACGTATCCTTAAGAATGTTAACTCGAAGAATATGACTAACGCAGTCCGCAGATGGTTATGAAACCACAGATCAATACCATGGCAGCTGACAAGATCATAAGCAACTTTTCCGAGGTTTCTGATAACAATGCAATGACGATTGACTTCCATGGCATGGCGGAGAAAATTGCTGCAGCCACTCAGAAAGCTGCTCAAGCACCTATTGCGGAGCAGACTAGTATTCTCAAGCAGTTGTGGACAGGCATTATCGAGGACTTCAAGGGCGTCCAGGCAAAGCCCGTTACAGCTTGATTGAGTGACTGAGGGCGTCTAGCTGGATTCATGATGTAGATGGCTGTCGACACAGAATGAAATTGTACTGGCTGGGAGGCCTGTCATTTCCCACAACGGTCGCATGCTATCATGACGTGGTGTAAACGAGTGTCGAACGATAGAAGATAAGGCAACCTGGCAGAAATCTAATTGTGAAGTCATTAAGTATTTGTGGTGGGTGGGTGTTTGGCGGAGGGTTTGTTTATGCGTGGAGGCGGAAGATGTTGATGCGGCAACGGTTGCTTCTCCCCTCGTCAGCAATCAATCAAGCATCTCGAGCAATCAATCATACACAAATCAGACCAGCGCTTCGAGACACTCTTCTACAAAAAGAGCATGGCGTCTCCCGATAAGAGTCTGCATTTGAACATGCCCATGATGCCGCCGCCAATGCATTCGCGCGCTGGCAGCGACTTGGGCGAGCGACCTCTGACTCCCACCTCTCCACGACACCAGAACCAGAATCATAATGCGCAACCCTTCATCTCTCCGGCTCAGACACCTCAGGGCAGTCCAAGCAAGAACCGCATGCCCCCTGGCGCCTTCGACCTGCCCGACGTATTCTCCAATGCCATGAAACTACTGCCCACCCTGGGCTCTCCTTCAAAGACTCCCAGAAACCAAGATCACAGCCCTACGCGCAAATCTAACAAGGAGAACACCCCACCTACTCGCCCTGGCGCTCAGCAACAAGATCATGTCAGCCAAGCTGCGGCGAGCAGACAGAGCCAGTATCGCCAGGACGAACAGCCCCTGAGCAGACAGCGCAGTGTCATTTCTGGTGGCCTAACACAAGAAGAGATTGAGAAGCTGCAGAAGCCCACCGTCAAGCGTCTGGCTAACGTTACCCAACTTTGTGAGTTCAACTTTCTCCAGCTTGCTGGAATCTGCTAACAGCACAGACTTCCTTGACCACTACTATGATCTTCTCAACTACGTCTCAACCCGCCAGAAGCGTACCGAACTCTTCCATGCCCACAATCCTCCACCACCGCAGACTCCCAATGATGAATACCAATCGAACATGCAACAGTACCTTGGACGCGAACGTGCAAAGCTCCGTGCCAGACGCACTCGTCTCAACCATGGTGATTTTGCCATTCTCACTCAGGTCGGTCAGGGCGGTTATGGTCAGGTCTACCTGGCGCAAAAGAAGGACACACGCGAAGTCTGCGCTCTCAAAGTCATGAGCAAGAAGTTGCTATTCAAGCTCGATGAAGTGCGCCATGTCTTGACCGAGCGCGACATTCTCACCACCGCAAAGAGTGACTGGCTGGTGCGTCTTTTGTACGCCTTCCAGGATGAGGCCAGCATCTACCTCGCCATGGAGTATGTCCCCGGTGGTGACTTCCGCACTCTTCTCAACAACACTGGTGTTCTGCACAACCGTCATGCTCGTTTCTACATCTCCGAAATGTTCCTCTGCGTCGACGCATTGCACCAGCTCGGCTACATCCACCGTGACCTTAAGCCTGAAAACTTCTTGATCGATAGCACTGGTCATGTCAAGCTTACCGACTTTGGTCTGGCTGCTGGTTTCCTAGCCCCAGCCAAGATTGAGAGTATGCGCATCAAGCTCGAGGAGGTCGGAAACATGCCCCGCGATGCTATTCCCTTTGGCAGGCCCATCGAGGAGCGTTCGCTGCAGGAGAGAAGAGAAGGATACCGCAGTCTGCGTGAGCGCGACGTCAACTACGCAAAGAGTATCGTTGGAAGCCCCGACTACATGGCCCCTGAGGTGTTGAAGGGCGACGAGTACGATTTCACTGTTGACTACTGGTCTCTCGGATGTATGCTCTTCGAGGCGCTTGCTGGATACCCACCATTCGCTGGTGCGACGGTCGACGAGACATGGCAAAATCTGAAGCGCTGGTCATCCGTCCTGCGCAAGCCTGAGTACGAAGATCCCAACTACTTCCTTTCTCGTCGTACATGGGATCTCATCACTCGTCTCATTTCCGGAAAGAACCAGAGGCTGCGCGGTATCTCGCAGGTCAAGGCTCATGCCTACTTTGCTGAAGTTCGCTGGGACCGACTGCGCGAAGAGCGTGCCCCCTTCGTGCCCGAACTCGACAGTGAGACTGATGCTGGTTACTTCGACGACTTTGAGAGCGAGAAGGACATGGCCAAGTACAAGGAAGTCAAAGACAAGCAGAAGGCGCTCGAAGAGATGGCTGAGAGGGACGAGAAGATGGGCCGCAATCTGTTTGTTGGCTTCACATTCAAGTAAGTACTTGTCCAAATAAGCTCCTGATCCTATACTGACTTTAACCTAGACACCGAAAGCCCGCCGTCGACGAGAATGGCGAACGCACTAGCCCTCGCAAGCCTCTTCCACAAGTGGATGAGGACTTTGGCACCATCTTCTAGGTGCATGCTTCTCTTTCTTTCTTCTTCTTTTTCATACATCTTAGGGACACGGTGTGGGCGATGGTTGGGGCGTAGAAATGGCGATCAGGACTGGGCAACGACAGACGAAGTTCGAATGGTGATTGGGTTGACATGACTTTGCATGAGGACATTTCAGTGTCCATCTTTTTGTTCTCTTTTCTTTTCCAAGCAGACAGTCGGTTGAATCGACAATTTCGTATTGCGATGTTCAGACAAAGGTCACGGATCCAACGCATTCACTGTAGAGCATGAGGCATGTGTCGTGATTCGTGTCTAGGTCTCTATGTTCGAGGATACTGCTCTTGATTGTGACTTTCTTGTATGTCTTTGTTCTGCCATCAAGGTCAAGGTCCGTGCACGCTTTCTCATGTGGATCCTGTCCGCGAATCGTGTTGAGCGGCGGTAAAGACCAAGACAGCCTGTCATCCACGACACATCTTTATGTCTTTTGGCGATGCGACCATCATGAGTATTCCTTGAGAGGTTATCCGCCTCTGCAGCTTATTATGAGAAGTTCGTCCGACTATCGTAATTGAGCAGCCACAAGCAAGCAAGCAGAAACTGAAAAGCCTTCCTTCCATAGGCTTGAGGATCATGTTGTTACCAGTCTCTTTAGCTGTCGTTGCGGTCGCAGTATATTTTGGCTTGCAACAGGAGCTCTCTTGGTTGACCTTAATACACGACCAACTCCATACGATTTTGAGCAAATGGGATTATCCCCAGGTTCCAATCCTAAGCACCGCAAACGAAAATTGGAACATCTTATATCACCTTGGAGGCAATGGACCATGGATTTCCAAAGTAGACGGTGTCTATGGAGATGATTTAAGTATACCTGAGGGTTGTCACATAGAACAAGTGCACATGGTAAGAGCTCTCCAGCATTTCTCGAAACCTGTATATGGGCTTACGCTATCTCAGATAGCGAGACATAACGAACGATATCCGACGCATGCAACAGCTGAACGTAAGTCTCCATACCGAACATCCTTCCCTCTTTGGTTCTGATCAAATTACAGACATGGTCTCTCTTCACAACCGCCTTCGAACGTTAGACTTTGCTCTCCAGGGTGATCTGTCTTTCTTCCAGAGCTGGACTTTCTTCATGGACGAGGATTATAGATCCAATATCGGTGAATTGGTTCCTGTAGGACCATATGCTGGTTCACTGGGCGCCTTCCAAGCAGGTGTCACTCTTCGAACACGTTACCCAGATCTTCGTGCCACAGCGATCGCTCGCAACCAAACAAACTTTTGGGCTGCAGACTCCCATCGCGTAGTCGAGACTGCAAAACACTTCGCAGGCGGCTTCTGGGGCGTGGACTGGAATACCGACACTGCAAAATTGCATATCATACCCGAGACTTCGGGACTAGGTGCCGACACATTGACGACAGGCAATACCTGCAAAGCCTACCTCAAACCACACAATCCTGAAGGACGACATAAAGGCTTGCACAAACTCAAAGAATGGCAAAACATTTATATACCACCCATCATTCAGCGATTGGAGCAACAGAATCCAGGCTTGAATTTGAGCATCCACGAAGTCTTTTCCATGCAAGAACTTTGCGGATTTGAATTGCTTGCTCGGGGAAGTAGTCCCTGGTGTGATGTCTTCACACACGATGAGTGGCGAGATTTTGAGTATGCTAGGGACGTACTCCATTACTATCGCACCGGGCCTGGAAACAAGTATAGTGCAGGCCGCGGCTTCCCGTTCTTGAACGCTACTACCAACCTACTTTCAAATGGCACTTCAGCTGGATCCCTCTTCTTCAGTTTCGTGCATGATGGAGATATCTTACCGTTGCTGTCTGCGTTGGATCTTTTTCCGTCAGCTGAAGACCTGCCCACGGATCGGGCACCAGAAGATAGGCTGTGGAGAACCTCTTCCATTGTTCCCATGGGCGGAAGGGTCGAGTTTGAGCGTATGGTATGTCCTCAGGTTTACTGCCATTCTAACGCTCCACTCTATCCGAATCATGTATATTGCAATCCGCCTCATCCAGAGCCTTACGTTCGTGTCGTCGTCAATGATGGCGTCGTGCCTATACCTGGCTGTGATGATGGACCTGGAAAAAGTTGTCCTTTGGCTGCTTTTGAGAGGAAGGTCATGCTCAGAGGTTGGGAAGTCGGTGACTTTGGACGTTTGTGTGAGTTGGAGGAAGGAGCGGCTGACAAGATTACTTTCTTGCATCAATGAAGGCTATCACATAATGAGCCTCTGCTAGACGTGAATAGTATTGTTTGACAGTCGAACTGTATGTAAGTAAACAAAACATGGGTGTGATCAGAATTTGCTCAAACTTGATCATTCCAGTCTTCTTAATCCAACCCCATGCGCAAGCAATTCACACGACATACCACGTGGAATGAATCAGTCAGAATATGGCAAGCGCGCTCCTGCGTTCTTATCTGCGCCGGCACTTCGCTGTCCATCTTAACTTTCTTCATCTACATCAACATCAACATCAACCCCCGTCTCGACTTCTTTCATCTGTATCAACATCCATCCCGACTTCGACCCGTCTCTATCCACAAATCCAACAGGGACACACATTCCTGCGTCGATCCAATCAACAACCAAAAATGAATAGCAGTGAGGGATTGCAAACGCTCCAAGCAGACCAGAACCTGTGGTACAAAGTCTGTGTCTTTCTCCACGACTTTTGCAATATCGCAACCGATCATGCAGCAGAGTTACGCACGCTTGCAACAACAGATGAGCTATACATCAGCACACCATACTTTACAGCCGAAGAAGCCGCTTTGGTGAAAAATACACGAATTCTAGCACCAACCCTGACAGATGTCCCAGAGTTCGAGCAGTTAGATCAGGAAGGTATTCCTAAACCACGTCAAATTGAGGGTGTCGCTTCGCACACTGTCACCATCGAACAAGCTATCAAAGACTGCCTCCGAAACTTCTTCGAAAAGCGCAGAGCAAGTGGAGATTCACGTCCTTGTGGCCCGCATGACATGGGCCCAATATACCGTGCAGTCTTTGGCATATCGAAAGAAGAACTCAAGGACGAGAAGTTTCTAAGTCGTTTGAGACGGGCGGGTCTACCTCGATCGGAAGCAGAGGTAACAGGAAAGAGTAATGAGCAGAAGGCTCAGAAAGGAGGGAAGAAGGAAGGAAAGAAATGTGCACGTAAAGCTTAGGGCCTGGCATCTGCGATACGGACAAACTCAGTATCTATTTTTCCAAACAATGATAGTCTATCTCAAGCTTTCGCAGTCCAATCAAGCCTAACTCCAGCACTTAGGTGGCAACCCGCCGGGCGTGGCCCGCCCAACCAACCATATATTCGATGGCAAGATCGAGGTCGTAGCAGCCTTTTGGTATGGTCGCGTTGTGCAATCTGTATCCGAGCCGAGTAACATCGGTTGCCCACTCCAAGTCGCGGTTCGGACAACCTATAGATCTCAGCCATGAGCGACATGAATCAACAACCAAGTCAACTTACCGTGCCAGCGCACGTTGTGTCCATCGAACCCCTTGTACTGAATCTTTCCAGCTTCGTCGTAAAACACGCCCTTAGTTCCAGGCCAAATACCAAGATCATCTGCACCATTGATTTCTGCAAAGTTGGTAGGTGAAGCTTGAGTCAAGGGGTTCAGCGTCAACCCCCTCGTGTGCTCGTATTCGTCGTCTGGAAACTCAAGATAAGAAGCAGTGCGATTGTAGATGTCGGTGGTATAAGCTGTTGTTCCGGTCCAGGAGTCTGCAGGGTCGAGGATCGCATGATAAATATCGGAATACCAGGCTGATGATTTCACGTAGCCGAAAGAGCTTGTGGCATTGATGTTGGTTGAATTTGTAAGGACTGATTTCACCCTGAAGACAGAAGAAGCTGGGCAATATGTTTGGCCATAGGCTATAGTGGCCAAAAGCACGATAATGCTAAGGCTGTGGTGCATGTTGCTGGTGGTGAATCAGCCGATGTCAAAATCAGAGAGTAATAAGAAAGGCAGTGAAGACAATTTGACATGTCGATTTTATACACGAAGATCAATTGCTGGGTGCGCTACTATTAATAAAGAGTATTGTAATTGATATCCTGCATACTGACCGTGCTTCTGGTTTGGTTGAGAAGCACGACGCTCGATCTGCAGCAAGCATATAACCAGCTAGCTGACTCGAGTTCACGCTCTCGGCAAGAGTCTTTCCGTGGACGTCAAACCCTCATGAAAAGTACTATGCATTTTTACAGTCACGATTTGACAGCCTTTGGCTTACAGGAGGGGAAGAAAACTTCAACGGGCGCTTCCTCTCGTGCTTGATTGATGACTTGACATGTGCCCGGTATCTCACCTCCTCTGGACCTGTGCTCAAGGAATTTCGATATCCGTCAGATTCAGCCTGATCAACTGATTGGTCAGGAAATGCGTATACCAGATCGAGTCACCGAGAATATCTTTCTGTCCTTGACCTGGTGGCTGGCCAACAGCATACCCGAAGATACCGCTCTCGCCATAAAATGGCACTGTGATACCTGGAGTGTCCAGAATGACGCTTGGCTCAACAACAACACTGACATTGCCTGTCTTTGGGTTGAGTACGCCCAGTGTGTTTTGCAAGATGTGCGTAGCCCACACATTTCCTTTCAAATCTTGAGCAACCTCAACAGTCTCTGTGGGAGCATTAGGCTCAAGGTAAGGAGTTATGGCTCCGGTTCGGGTGTTGATTCCAGTGATGGAGGATGAAGTTGTGCATGCAAACCAGAGAGTCGAACTGCCGTCTTCGTTTATCGTCTCGGCACGCATGACAAGAGGTTGCAGGGCATCCAGAGGTAGATCGAATTCTTCAATTTCATGGGTATGACGATCCAGACGGCCGACCTTCGAAGCACCGAACTCTAAGAACCAAACTCCATCATCATGCTGTGAATAGTAGATGCCAAGAGGAATTGCAAGAAGCGTAGGTACAGTCCATGAGGTGAACTCATGTGTCTCGTAATCGAACTTCGTGACTTGGTTGCCAGTGGTTTGGGTGAAGTAGATTCCGTCCGGAGCAGAAGTCACGTCATTGAAGGGTTCAAGGTTGCCCAAGACACTCAGGAGCGGAGGAGGAGGGGTGAAGACGACGGTCTCGCCGCTGTGAACATCGTGGCGCACAAGCTGATTGTGGGCCCCGTTGCTGAAGTACATGTAGCCATCGTAGCCAGTACGAATGGCACAAGACAGGAGTTCAAACTTTGCGTGGCTAGGCAATGGTAGGGTGAAGTTGTCTAATCCAGGTACAGTGAAAGGAATGTCGTACTCGGTGAATTCACCAGTATTTTGATTGAAGCGCGCAATCTTGTTGGCGAAGAATTCTTGCACGTAGATGAAGTTGTCAGGTCCTATTGAGACGTCACATGGTCCCGAAACGGCAGTAGGAAGCTGCCATGAGGTGAATGCTGAATCGGGGACATCGAGTTGGTGCTGATACGCTTGCACACCAGTCACAGCGGCTGCAAGGGTCAACACAGGAAGCTGATATTTCATTTCACCCAAACACGAAATTGAGAAGAGTTGTCGAGCCTAGCTCTCGCTCTCATCAGTGACAGACCAGCAACCTAAGTACCAAGACGCAGGCTGATCGACACTGCATTGAATTGTCATCTTAGCGTTGCTTCCGTTGCTCCTTACTCGAGTCCCGTCGACGGTTGTCATTCCCGTGCCGTGGTTCACAGTAAGTGCTCGATCTCAAGATGTCGTGGTAATCAGCAAGGACCGCCAAAAGAAAAAAGGCTAGTGGATGACCAAATCGCCCCACGCTGGCGCCGGCAATTGCGAACCTACTGCCTTATAAGCATGCAGATCTGTATATGGGATCATGGATTGCCGCATTGAGATAATGCAAAGAGAATTCTAATCGATGTCTTCTTGGCACAGGACTGTAACACAGAATTTATTGAACATCTTGAAAATTCACCGTTGGCGCCCGAGACGCGACTTTTGATCATGATCAACTGACTGAAATGCTTTCGTGAAAGATGATCGCACGTGACAGTGATTATGTACGTTAAGAACGGCTTTCCGAGCACATACGGCCACAGTCAGCTGAAAACTGGGCATCCCGTCCGCTCTGCCATACATAAGCAGTTGAACGGCAGATTAGTACTACGGTGGGTGACCACGTGGGGATCCCTGCTGCTGTATGTTTTGCATCTCGATCTTCCTTTTTGTCGCTCAACTATCGAGAAACAGCTTGCAACGTTGTCTCGACGCTTTTGAATGCCTGCCGTCGAGGTGACGGACGCGAGACGCGGCATTTGTCAACAATGTTGACTATCAGCGTCTTTGCTTCACAACTACACTTCGCTGCTGTCTTGTTCAATCGCTTAAGAGCTCCGTCTTCGCTTTGTGTGTTAGCAATTCATCTCCCTTGCACTGTCCTGGCGCTGCTTGAGAGGCCGTCGCTAGACTCTCAACATGGCGGCCAGGCAAGCGAAAGCAAGCCTCTTCGATGCGATCCCGGCAGAGATCATTCTCAGAACTCTAGACTTCATGTGGCCCGACGAGTATTCGGGGTTCACGTGTACGTGCCGACATGCGCTTGATCTCGTCAATGCGAGATGGGCTTCCGACACTCTTAGTTGTTCTCAACACCGCGGTTCAACAGTCAGTCTGACGGGCGCATGGATGCGCTGGCTGCGTGAACATCGGAAGCAATTCGAATCAGAGGGTTGTTACACGGTCGACGAAGATCCTGACCTATAGACACCCGGAACCTGCTCATTCTTTGGCGGGCAGGCACTAAGGACGTCTGATGGCCACCTCAGCCGTTGGCAGGCAATATGGAGTACGAGGGATCTTCGACTGTTTGCGTGCATAGTAGAGATTCACAAGCATGTCAAGAACTCATCGTCTGAGCACGACAACTCGAGAGACATGTTCACTAAAGGTAGAAACTCATTCCCAGATTCTGCTTCTAATGTTGGCAAACTACTTGTAGGAGCAAAGGCAGCGAAGATGTGCTGTTGTTTCCTAGGCTATGACCTGCGTTTTCCTATACTCGGTCCAATCTTTGTCAAAATCCTCGTATCGAGAGATGTGTTGACTATCGTAGAAGCCTTCAAGAGCAAACCTCCAAAGACGCCGAATCCATCTTCCTCTTCCATATGCATCATCGAGATAAGCTTCCCGGCTTGCGGAGCTGGTGTCGCCATAGAGCTTAGTTGTGATTTCTGATTCGAAGAACTTCTTGACTTGTAAGTCTTCCTTGGAGAGACGAGTTCTAGCATCACTGTAGAGTTCTGGAGGTATAAGGTCCATGTCTCCGTAATAGTGTGCAAGGACAGACGAGGGAAGTGTTTCATCATCAGAGAAATCCCAGAGCCAGATAGGAGGTTTGCGTGCGAGGATAGGAGGAACACTTAGAGCATCGTCCCAGTCTAACACGCCAGTGATCTGTACGTGGTGTTCTTCAGAGGCATCGGAAGAAGGAACAGTAGTGTTTCGTTCAATGAGAATGTTACGAGGCTCAAGGTCCCAATGATATAGAACATTGGAGTTGAGTGAAGCTCGATCTTCAAAGAATCCCAACTCATCCATCTCGGAATAGATCTTTTTCAAACGCTGAAACATTCCGGCGTCGAACGTTTCAGTAGGATCATCTGCAAGTTTGTGCTGTATCCAGGCATCAAACTGCGTACTCAGGAGCTCTCGTAATGAAGTTGGTGATGGGGAGGTCGGCTTCGATCTGGATGATCCGACACCGACGCCAAAACCTTGGACCTGTAGAATATCCATAGGGCTAGTGTCATCTACTTTGCCAATTCCATGGCGGTCGGGCACTGCTCCAGAGCATTCGAGTCTGCCTGGGTTCGGAAACTTCATGTTCTCGATTGCTGCCAAAAGACGTACCAATTCGCTCGCTGTGCTGAGTCTTTCGGTGATTGTCAGATCCCCATAGGTCAGATCCAGTGCTTGTCCTTCAAGTCGCGTCTGCAGAGAGAATGGCATGCCGAGAGCATTGTTTGAAGTACAGTCGTAAGCGAGTACACGAGGAACACGTAGGCCAAGCTTGGCAGTTGCGTCGAGAATAGAATACTGATTACGAATGTCTTCATTCAGTGGATCTGTGTCCTCTGCAAACCGTGGGATCCGTAAGACGACCTTTTGAATTGTGGATGCTGTCTCATGGCTGTGTAGATCCGCTGCTATTATTCTGTTGAAGCTTCCACCCGATATGCGAACGATGTTCTCAAGAGATTTGGATCCAATATCATGAGCCAGAGCTCCGACTTTCTTGCGGAATGTCTCGAAAGATTCATGAGAGTATTTATATGTGGATGTGGAGTTGGGTGTAGTTGAGTGCGAAGAGTCGGTCGATAATGACTTGGCGTCGGACGTCTCCATCGTAGCGACGATCGCACAGTGATACCGAGTAGGTAGAAGGTTGTAAGTATGTTGGGCTTTGAGGTTTATAGCATGCTTGGACTAAAGCTCGCGTCAAAAGCCAGGCGCTTAGGGACTGTTTGTGATTGGAATGCGTGTTTTGCCAAGGCTCGATATAAATAGTCGTTATCTTAGAAGCGCCAAAACGATTCACTTTCATACAGTTGAGCAGCACTTGAACTGTACGTGTTAACGCAGCACATCGATGAGATCTTGTGAAATCTTATACAAAGACACTTTTCAACATGCTTTTCCGGACTCTCCGCTCAGATTCTCAAGATGTCGGCAGATTGCGGAGTTTCTTGTGTCAAACATAAGAGGTCAACCCCCACAAGCACCTCTTTTGTCCAGCGCTTTGCAGAGTTTCGCGGGGATGGGTCAAACTTCCTCTTGCTGATCACTACATACTTTGACTAATCTTGCTCCATAGTACCAACATATCTGCATCTCCAAGTATCCCAATCTATGACAGCAGCTTTGCGATTGCTTTGCTGCAATTCATGACTCGACCTCGTTTGCCCGCGCTTGTCCAACTCTTCCTGCTGCGGCGTTATCTTGCACCCTTTCCAGCAGCAGCCTTTTCAGCAGCAGCCTTTTCAGCAGCAGCCTTTTCAGCAGCAGCCTTTT